GAACCTTAAAAAATTATTTTGAAGACACCTAAAACTAAAACTCTAGTGTGAAGATGCCTGAATCTCTTTAATCTTTTGTGAAGACACCTGAACCTTAAAAAATTATTTTGAAGACACCTGAACCTTAAAAAATTATTTTGAAGAAACCTTAAACTAAAACTCTATTGTGAAGATGCCTGAATCGCTTAAATCTTTTGTGAAGGCACATCAATCTTAATATTTTAATGTGAAGACACCTAAGCCTTAAAGTCCTCTAATTTGAAGGCAAGTAAACCTTAAATTCATGTTTAAATTCAACTGATCATAAGAAATTCACCTTATACAAAAGAAAGCACCCTAAACTGATCGAAAATAAATTACAGCTTGTAAATTCAATTCTTACAATATAGAACAAGTCACAAATCAAGTATCAGACACTTGTTACTCGATCAATTAATCTCAGCATCAACTTACTAAGGAAATTCTTACAGTAATTTTGTGAAAGGTCGTTGTTGTAAATTAAATTATGAGCAATTGTTGTTGTTGCTGATCTTATTCGGTATAATTTGCTATTATTATGATAATCATGTAAGAAACTTGTGAGCAGATTTGAGACTTAGTGTTGTCTTAGTTAAGTGGGGTATGAGTCATAAGTTGTGCATTTATGGCGCTATTATTAAAGTTTTCTTCTTTTATTATTGCTCTAAATTCCTTAATAATTGTACGTTACTGAATTTGGGGGGGGGGGGGGGGGGGTTCAGATTTTGGAATGTTTATAGTTACGCAGAAAAATTAATTTATTTTAGCATTAAGACGTGTCAAGTGTCGAAAATGAATGGTAATATGGGAATATATATTTTGTCATATATTAGGTTCTTTTACATTAGATTTTTAAGGTTCAGGTTTCATCACACTAGGGTTTTAGTATTCACGTGCCTTCTCACTACAAATTTGAGGTTCAGGTGTCTCCACATTATATATTTGGAGGTTCAGTTGCCTTCACATTATAATTCTTGAAATCCGGGTGCCTAAACACTATAGTTTTAAGGTTTTCGGTGTCTTTACAATAGAATTTTAAGGTTCAGGTGCATTCACACTAGAATTCTTTATTCTTTATTAAATTATTATATTCCAATAAATTCAAATTAATAATTTATTAAACTTCAATTTACATTACATAAGAGTCAACATGTTCAATAAATCCAGGGTTCTAATCTATTTAGCACAACAATTTGCTGTATTGTCCCATTCAATGTTAAAAAAGATCGGTCGAGCCAAGCCTTAGAATTCGATTTAATTTACATCAAAAAGGATTAGAATGAGAATGAAAAAAATGAGTTTTTGTCATGCAAGGTGATGTATTGGAACTGCTGTGATCTATATCTGAGATCTGGATGGAATGTTTGAGGTTATGTTGATGGCGTTGTTGAAGCTTTAAGCTTCAAAAGACAACAAATAGTCACCAAAAATATTATTCAATCCGAAACTCAACAATTTCTCAACCATTTTAATTGAAAAACCTAAACTAAAGCAATTTCTACTGGGTGGGAGAGAATGAAAGAAAAATTCAATTTTTTTTGTGTTGCGCGAATTTCGCAAATCAATAAAAATATTTTTCTTTCTTGTTTCAGTCATTTTAGAAAGGAATTTAAATTTCAATGTTGAAAAAATGAGAAATAAAATGTATTAAAGAATTTGAAATGTTGAAGTTATGCTGACTAATGGAACTGAGTTTTTGAAGACATAATCAATCATTTGGGGAGTTGCTGCTGTTGAGGTTTGGTAGGTTTGGTAGTATTGGTGTGAAAAATTATTTTTTAACCTCAACATTTAGGAACCTAACCTCAAAGTTTAGGAACATAACCTCAAAATTTATGAACATAACCTCAAAAATTGGAAACTTAACCTAAAACTTTGGCAATGTAACCTCAAAATTTGAAAATTTCCCCTCAAAAATTGGAAAAATAACCTCAAAAACCTGCAATATAACCTCAAATCTTTTAGAATAACCATTATAATAGTAAATATGAACCTTAATTTCGGCAACATAACCTTTAAGTTTATTAACATAACCTAAAAATTCAGCAACATAACCTAAAATTTTGTCGAAACAACCTTAAATCATCATTTTTCTAACAGATTCATCTCCAACAACAATGCCCTGAGGCTTCTGACTACACCACAAATCTGAATAAAGTTCAACGCGAGTCTATTAGTACTTGCATACAAAGACACTTCCTGTACTATATTTTCTACATTTTAAACATTTTTTTATGCATGAATATCAATCAATTTACGTAAACTAGGAAGGAAAAAGGTGAAGAGAAAGAAAGGTCGTCGTCATTTAATGAGAAGGAATTGATTTGTGCATAATAAAAATAATATTAATGCGTTTTAAAAGGTCTTGATGTAATAGAGAGTCAGTAATATTAAAGTAATAAATTGGATTGGTCATTCGAGGTATTGTTACGTAGATTCTGCGTAGTTAAGTAATTTTGACTGAAAGGTTTTTAAATGTGCTTCAAAAATATTGGAATCATAATCTCAAAATTTGATAGCATAACCTCAAAGTTTGGCAACATAACCGTAAAATGTGCACATAACCTCAAACTTTAGTAAGTTAAACTTAAATTCCAGCAACTTATCCTCAAATTCGGCAATTTAACCTCAAAATTCAGCAATTTAACCTTAAAAATTCAGCAACTTAACCTCAAAATTCGGCAACTTAACCTCAAAATTCAGAAACTTAGCCTCAAAATTTGGCAACATAATCTCAAAATTTGGATTCCTAATTGTAAAGTTCATGAAAATAACCTCGAAATTTAGCGATATATCCTCAAAAATCTGATAACTTAACCTCAAACCTTAGTCATTTCTATCCTCAAATCCAACCTAATAACCTCAAAATTCCCTAAATCACAGCTCAAACCCACCCAAATTATCCAGTAAATTACAATCTAATCTGCACCTTTCTCACATCAAAAGGTGAAATCAACACAATTTTTGTAATCATTGACAACACTCTTTTACTGTGACTTATCATCTAATAGACATAACGAGACCAACGAACTTCCTCGAACCGACAAAAAAAGCCAATTTTTCACACCAAAATTTAATGTTTTTTGAGATCCGAAAATGAGATTTTTGACAATTTTTTTCTTGCTTTATTGGAGATTGTGTCAGAGAAAAAGAGATTTTGAGTGGCATTGTCGGTGTGCGATAAGATAAAATTTAAAATGATTTGTAAATAATAGCATATGGGCTCGTTAAACATGATAAGTGGTAGCCATTGAATATAACCTCAAAATTTGAAAACTTAACCTCAGAATTTCTTAATTTTTTGTTAAAATATCTTTAATAACTCGAAAATTTCGATTCTAACCTCAAATTTGTTTATCATAACCTCAAAATTTATAGATTTAACCTCAAAAATGTTCATTCCAACCTCAACATTTCTAGTGTAACCTCAAAACTGTGCAATCGTTCCTCAAATTTGTGATTCTAACCTCATTCTAACCTCAAAAATTCCCCAATCTAACCTCAAAATTTGTCGAACTTGAACTTTAAAATTCACTTAAAACATGACAAACAAATCCCAAAAATTCTATAAATCCACAAAAAACACCGCACCAGAGTCACCCGAGACACATCAGACCGAAATGAGAGAGAAATCATTGAAAGTGAAAGCGATTTTGGTGCTCTGTGTCTGCCTTCTTCTTTACATTTATTTCCATCCGTTCGTTGTCGTCTCAAAAAGCAGCTCAAAAAAAATGAAAGAAATTTCTTTCCGATAACTTTCTTACTCAAGACTCGACTTGACTCTATATCCTGAAGTAACTGTATTGGTTGATTATTATTGCAAAGTATTGAGACAATTTCAAGTTGCACGCGATTTGTTACGGTACAAAAAAAAATTATTAATTAAATGCAAGTAAAGGTGATGTAAATGTACGCATACTTACTGCTTTTTTGTGTGATTTGAGGCTAATGTGGTGACAGGTTGTTGATTTAACGGGATGTTGGGTATTGTTTGGTTAGGGGCTGTTCACTTATTACGTAACGCGAAAAAATGACTTCTTAGACCCCCCCCCCCCCCCCTCGTAACAAAATTTGTATGAAAAAAAAATTTCCTTGTTTGAACCGTAACAAAATCTTAGACCCCCCCTCCCCCTAAAAGCGTTACGTAATAAGTGAATGGCCCCTTATGTAATTGACTATTTAATGTCAAAATTGTAGGTTTAATTAATTTTTGAAGAAGATTTTGAAACTCCTTCGAAGATTTTAGACTAAAATTGTTTGAAAGTGGACTCAAAAAGTCACAAAATCCGGTTGAGTTTGAATTAAAATTCACCACAAATTTGCACTAAAGTTTGACAGTTTCAAAAGGTTTTAATAATTTTGCCATATTAAATAAATTCAGCAAATCTCAGCTCACAAATTCACTTTCAAATTAGAATTTAAAATAAAGATGTTTTACAAGATTCAAGTTTGTTTCAGAAAAGTTAAAAATTTGAACTAAAATTAATATTTTAAAAGCTCAAAAACCTCAAAAAATCAGAAACTTCAAAAAAAAACAAAAATGTAAAAATGTTAAAATTGAAAAAAATGCAATAAAAAATAAAAAAATTCAAAACTTCAAAAATTCAAGTTTAATTAAAAAAATCAAAAAATTTCAAAACATCAAAAAAAAAAATCAAAAAATTCAAAACTTTAAAAAAAAAATTCCATAAAACAAAAATTATTTAAAACTGTAAAATATTATAAATGTTCAAAAATGTAAAATAATGTTTCCAAAAGTATTAAAAAAGTAAAATTATAAAAAATATAAAAAAGATAAAATTAATATTAAAATTAATAATTTCAAAAAATATTGAATTTTAAAAGAACAATAAAATTGTTTTTGAAGATTTTTTTAAAAGTCTGAGCTTTACAAAATTTTAATTTTGAATCAAAATCTTCAATTTTCTTAAATTTATTTGAAACTTAAAAAAATAATTTAACAACAAATTCGACAAACTTACACAAATTTAAAATAATTTTTTTGCATAAAATTCAATATTTCACAAAAAATTTCACTTTTCAGTCACAATCCAATTTCAAATGATTTTTAAAAATCTTTCAAATTCCACAATTCTTGTCACAAAAATCCAAATTTAACAATTCCACTTAATAGAATCTCAATTTCTTATTACTTTTTCTTTTAAATAAGTCACACAAGACACAGCAAAAATTCAATAAAAAAAAATGTTCAATTCCGTTCAAAATTTGCCGTTCTTCTTTCTCGTTTCTCTTCGATTTTCTTCGTCTTTTACCGTCAACAGTTGAAAGCTAACTGAAAGAAGAAGTGAATAAATATTTTTGAGTGCAATAAAATCGAAAAGAAAAGAAGACAAAAAAAATATTTTAAAGTTTTGGCAAACATTGAATGTTGAGAGCTTTTTGAGGTTTAAATGCTGAACTAAGCAACATGCTGCATTGGAGATAAAACAATGCTCCTTTGTGCAGTTTGAGGTTCATTCGTGTTGGTGTTAGAACCGAGCATAGATCAAGCATGAAAAGGTTTAAAAGAAAATTGAGTCGGTTTCATTCTGTCGTGATCTTTTAAGCCATAAATATGTGAAAAAAGAAGTTATTTGTGAAAAAATTGTGTGGATCTGGAATCAAGTAAGTTTAATTAAATTCTGATTTTTTTTTTCTTACTTTCCGTGGATTTTTATTAATTTAGAATGATTCATAATTTTACAAAAATTATTAAAATAAGTAGGAAAACTTCAATTGTTAAAGTTTGTCCTTATGACCCCAACCAGAACGAAGTAAGCCAAAGAATCCATTTTTAATTTTAAGTTTTCAAATGCATGAAAATAAGGTTTCTGTTCTTAATTTCGGCAAGAATTGACACTCATGAGAAATAAGTTCTATAATCAGACTATGGCAACTTACGCACGCACGCTTACAATGGTGACTAGATACATCGCAGAGGATATTTATAAGGTCTTAGGACGTCCTCTTGTTTATGCAATGTGCAGAGCTTACAAGTGGTTCGGATTCCACTAGAAACAATAAAAGTCGTCCTAAAGGGTGTGGCACAATAGTTTTGAAATCATGTTCCTATGTGGATCTTAGGTTACAACAAAAGATTCTCCATCTGACGCTGTTGCTGGTCTTGTAACCTAGTTTGTACAAATTCTCTGTCCGCACATTAAGCTGACATTCTTTCATCACTGTTCTGTGCCAAGGAGTTCCTGGAAAAGAAGAACTAACCCCTCTATGGCTACATTCCTGTACTTAATACTCGAAACTCGAGTAATAAAAAACTAACCTAATTTTACTCTTTCTTACTTAATCTTTATTTCAATATTTGTTTTAGAGATTTGATGATCATTTGGAGCATCGGTCGACCATATCTGATTATTAAACTGAACTGCTATCAAAGAAAAGGCAAAGCAGACCAGAAATGCGATTGAAACTACATCATCATCTGCTTTATCGATAATTTTTTGTTTAAATTTAAATATTTCGTTATTTTTAACAGGATTTATCAAAATTTTGTAAAGTTTAATGTAAAAATAAAAATAAATTGAAATATTTTGTGAAAATTTGAATTTAATTTTGCATTTTTTTTTAAATCTAAAATTAAAAAGCCCAATTCACTGACTCTAGAAAGGAAGCCATGTGAAGCCATTTGTGAAGTCGTGTGAAGTCAAAAATTTAAAGGGTGTTGACAAAATGGTTGCGAGGGGTGTCAGATGAGGGTGGGGGTCAGGTGGGGGGTGGGTGTCAGATAAGGGTGGGTGTCAAGTGGGGGTGAGTGCCAGGTGTAGAGTAAGGTGGGTCCGAGTTTAAGGGGGTCTGTGAAGCCATGTGATAGAGGGTGTTAAATTGAGAGGTGGGGGTAAGGTGGGTGTCAGATGGGGTGGGGGGGGGAGGTGGGTGTTAGGAATATTTACTGAAGAAATGTGAAGTTTTGTGGTAGGATTGACCTTAGAAACATTATTGTTATTTGCGTCTTGTAGTTATTTACATAATAGTAATCAAATTTAAACCCTGATAACAGGCGCCACGGGCGCCTCCGAATATAAATCTCTCAAAATAATTATTTTTTCCCCTCAAAAAAAAAGCTACAGAAATAAAAAAAATCGATAGTAAAGAATATTTTTATGAGGTCAGGATGTCAAAGAATTTTGGCGCCAATAAGACGATTCGCAAGCTCTCAGCATCACATAAAACATTGAGAACATTGAAGCCATGCGTACGCGACATCAGAATAAGAAAAATGTTCAGTCGATTACGGATTTTTAGATGCGACAGTCAGCAATAAGGATTTGAGACAAGAAGCAATAATTTTTTTAAAAAAGTCCAAAAAGTGGATTAAAAGTAGCTCAATAATGTCAAAGTTAATTAAATATTTTGTGCAATTTTTTGTGTTTAGCGTCTTGTTCGGGCAATTAGGTAATGGATATTCTTTTTTTGGGGGGCAGTTTGAGTGATGTGATCGAGGATGTTGGATAGTTTTTGTGAGTGATGTCGGACTTTGGTGAAATAAGTTGTCGAGTAATAATAAAATAATTTAAATCTATCAAGTTCAAATTTTAAAAAAGAAATAAAAATCAAATGTGATAAGTTCCAAAAAATTCCATAATTAGCTAATCATTGATTAGCGCTCTTGTGTCTTTATTTGTGCAAAAGTCAAGTCAAATTGTTGACTTGAAAGAATTTCACTGATAACCTTAAGTTGTGATCTTATGTCAGTGGTGTCCAACCTTTTTTGTGCCACGGCACAGCTTGGCAGTCAACACACGATTTGCATGGATTTTTTGACGCAAACTTGTGTGCCGCGACACATAGGTTGACCATCACTGACTTATGTGAATATTTAAATGCTTAGCCGCGATTAAAAAATTTAATATTAATTGGATGTCTCCTTTTTTGGGAATCTGTCAATTTTTCGCATCCTTACTTACTTCCTTCGATGACAATACAGATCAATTGTGATCAATAGCTTCCCTTAGCTACTGCTAATATTATAATCAATTCAAATCCTTATTTGCAGCAAGTGCACTACAGTGTTACTCATGTGATTCAACAAAAGAGAAAGATTGCCATAAAATTGGAAAGAAAACGGAAATTAAATTGCTGGTGAGTTCAAAAGACTTTTGTGAAATAAAAGGCCCTATTGGGCAGTGTTTCTCAAACTTTTTAAACCCTTGGAACATCAGGTATTATTTTCCGTTTTACCGAGGTTTTTTTGTGTTTTGATCTAAAAATGTTCAATAATATCTAGTGTGAGCTCTCAGAAAATGGGGGGGAGGGGGGGGGGGGGGGGGGGAATTATCCCAAACCACCCTCTCACCCCCCCTGTCAACACCCCTCCGAAACAGTCAATCGTATACGTTTCCGCGCCACACTAACAACCACTATTGACACAGTTAAAATTTATTCGCGGAACAAAGTTTTAGAAACACTGCATATAAGGGGAAAACAACATGATGGGGAAAAGCTGTTGATGTAAAATTGTTGGGAAATTGTTAAAAAATTTCTAATTAGGGTCGGGGGAAATAATAAGTAATAAAAAAAGATGTTGATGAGAATTTAGCATTTTTATTTTTCCTCATCATGTTGTTATCCCCTTGAAAAAAAACTTGATTTGTAGATTTTGAGAAAGTAACAAAATATGTCCGTTGATTCTCTTACTGCAATAAATCCGATTACAAAAATCGTAAAATAGAAGCATTAAAATGGCGAGAAGCAAGTGAAGAACTAAATTCAATGAAATCTGTTAACTTCCTGTGATAGCTTCACATCGACTTGATTACATTATTTTGCAGCTTTTTTCAGTTGTGTGCCTTAATATTAAAGATGCTCTATTTTGTTCTTGTATTTAGGATTGCGCACCAAACATAATCAAAGAGAATATGCCAGATTATCTAGACGGGATAGTAGGCATCGATTTTTTTCAAAATACAGCTGATGGTATGACCCAAATATAATTTAATTCATGATGAATTAAGGACATCAAATAACTTTTCATTCATTCTAGAAGGTGACGTGCCCATGGTGTGTCAGAAGGTTGTTCTTACTAAAGGTTCGTTGATTTATATTTATTTTATGATTTTTGAGGTTATTATCCTTGATCCAGTGGTTCTCAAGCTATGTAACACGATACTCTTGTGAACAATTTGAGCACCACTGTTCTAGATACAGTTATGGATAACCATGTAGATTGTCGGTCATGGTTTACCACCAAGGTGGGCCGTGAAACAAAAAAGGTTGCCCACACCTTCTCTAGAATGAATTTTCCATCTAATAAATAAGCAATTTAACCAAATTTTCATTTCAGGTGACGAGTTAATCACATACCGTGGATGTCAACTAGATATCGAGAAGTCAGACGCGTGTGCAGTCGCTCAAAGTCAACTGGAACAATCTGGAAATAGTGAAATTAAAATTACATCCTGCGACTTGTGCTCCAATGAGGATAAATGCAACTTTTCATCGCAAATTATCTCCGATATTCGTCTCGTCTTCGTCCTGTTAGCTTTTATTAAATTGATTTATTAAATTCATGATGTTTATGAATGTGAGGAAGTTGGGCTCATGGATGAGGAGCTACATGCTTGCCACTCATGAGCTCCACTTCCTTAGAAAAGTTATGCATAAGTAAAAAAGAATTTATCGTAATTAAAATGTCAATTTTTCTCGATTATTTTGGTTCCTATTATTCAAGAAAAAATATCTTAATATTCCGCAATAAACTGCAATAAATGTAAAATGTTCATCCACAAATTAATAGACAATAATAAAATGACAAGCACAACTTTTTTTCTGTTGTTGAATAAAATATAAGTTTGAATTATTATTTGTTTTGGATAGTTTCGAGGGGGGGGGGGGGGGGGGGGGGGGCTTAGTTTGATGATCCTTTTGAAGCATAAACCTTCCTTTCCGGAAACTTTCTAGGATTTGATTGAGAATAAAAGACCAAACGTCCCAAAATTTCAACCTCTAGCTCAGTGGTGGCCAACCTTTTGTGCCACGGCACACCTAGCATAAGCCATGACCAAAACCGCACACAGTATACTATTCGTGGGATTTTCCGAATTTTGTCTCGTGACTCTAGAGTGCCGCAAATCATAGGTTGGCCATCACTGCTCTATCTACGATTCTAGTCATAAAATATCAATCATAACAGCTAATTGTGTCTGAAGCAGTGTTTTTGCTGATCTCACCATCTTCTACCGATAATCAAGTGCCATGTCACATCTGTTGACCAGCACTGATGGTAATTAGTGTTAATTCTAAGTTCATTTAGGATAATCAACTTAATTAATTATTCAGATCTTTAATTTGACATCCGATTTATTCATTTTGAGTGTCAGTTCTTCAGTAAAATTCACTCTATAAAGTCGCAAGCTTCACAGCATGTCAAGAATATCCAAATTTATAGGATTTTTACTAATAGTTGTCTGTACACACGGGCGGTTTGGTAAAGCTATTGCATTTTGAGTAGTGAACTAGCTGTGATGTTCAAAAAATTGTTAATTTCAGCTAGTGCTCTTCAATGCTTTAGTTGTGACTCAAATAGGGAGAAAGAATGTCACGATATCAAAAGTGTTTCTCCTGTAAAGGCTGTGGTAAGCGTCACTAGACATGTTTAAACCCATTTTATATCCTTTTTCTATTCTATTTCAACCCCAATTACAGGAATGTCGTCCAAACGTTGTAAAGCAAAGCACACCAGAATGGCTAGCTGAGATCATAAGTATCAGCAATTTCGGAACGGAACTAGAAAGTAATACTTAATAATTGCGACCAATTAAGTTAATGTGCATATAAATTTTGTCTAATTTTTATCAGTAACGGTTCCGATGGTCTGCCAGAAAATTACAGCTATTAATGGTTAGTATAGCTTTTAACTGTGTGACAAGGGGACAACAACGTGATGGGAAAAATATAATATGAAATTTCGATCAATTTTTATTCAAAGCTTAAACATAAATTTTTATTCAATTTTTTTTTTGAAAAATGTGCTGAAAATTTCCCATTATGTTGTTACCCCCCTGAAAATTAAATTGATTTTCAGAGAAAATGGACCCTCTCACATATCGAGGATGTCAAATGCATGGCGGAAAAATTGATCTGTGCAGCATAGCAAAGTCAAATGCAATTTCTGTCGACAATGGAATTAAAATTCAATCATGCATCGTCTGCGAAGAAGATTCTTGCAATGGAGCTGGTCGGATGGGTGTGGTTAGGGTTGTAGTGATGATTATTTGTGTGGTTGTATTGGTATTGAACTGTTTTGACTAGGTTTGACTTACCTTCTTTGACCGAGACTCCCTTCCTTCCAAATTTTTAATATGGTTGCACCATTTTGAAGTTAGAATCCACCATTTTGAGTTCAGAATCCACCATTTTGGATTAAGGACCCACCATTTTAGATTAAGAACTGACCCACAAATTTATGGACCCACCATTTTGAATTCATGATTCACCCTTTTGGATTTACTTTGAACCATTTTGGATTTACTATCCACCATTTTTGATTATAGACCCACCATTTTGAATTCATTATCCACCATTTTGAGTTCAGAACCCACTATTTTGGACCAAGAACCCACCATTTTGAATTCATGATCCACCATTTTGGATCAAGGACCCACCATTTTGGATCGAAGACTCACTCTTCTTTGACTATGACTTGACAAGCTTCAATACCGACAGATTTTAAAGAAACAAATCAAAATCATTGAACAGCATCAAAAGAATATAAAAAAAGTAATTTCATTTCATCTTCAATCTTCTTATTGCTTTATCTCTGCAACGCAATTTTCCTCCCAAGCCGCAATTTATGTGGCGCCACATTGTTTTCCTTTCACATCTCCGTCTTTATGTTGACAATAATTGTCAAGTCCTTTTTTTATGTCTCACAAGTCAATCCAGTTTATCGTTGCATTTTCATTCATTCACATCAAAAATTTTATTTTTAAGTTTCTTTTTTTAAATGAGGAAATTCTTATTTTGTATGAAAATTGAATCGGGCGGACTTTTTGTTGCCATTTATTGTGCTGTGACAAATGTTGCTTATGCTGTTGCACTTTTGTTGTTGTATAATTTTGTGAGAATTACAAAGCATGATAAGGACATGATGTTTGTGGATAAATTGAAGGCATTGGGCATTGGTGCTTGTGAGAATTTGATTATTTATCATACGATTGGGACTGTTCTGCTTGGTATTGGCATTAGAAAGGTAAGCATGAGTGACATAACCCCAAAATTTATTTAATTTGAATTTTTATTCCAGCGTAAGCCCAACCACATCCTTTATTTCTTCAATTTCCACTTATTTATCACAATTTTCATCACCGTCTTTGGCTTTGGTTACTTTTACTCCATAAAACCAGCATTTTTCTTCCTTGTCTTGTTCTTCATCGACATTACCATACGAATCTATAGTCTGTGCATCCTTGAAACTATTTACAAACTGTTCAAAGCTGAAACAAAAGAAAACGAGCTTATTAAAATGCGAGAAGATACAAAATTAACATATGGCGCAGTAGATGATGCCAAAAGCACCCCATCACATCATGTAACATTCACACTTAGTTCGTCGAAGGATTCATTGGATTCATCTGATATGGAAGAAAGTAGGGATGAGCTAAGAAGCATATATTGAGGGGTTTTGAGAGAAGCAATCAGTTCTGGTTGCTTTTGGAATGGTTAATCTTGAAATATCAATGTCTTATCAGTGTAAACTAAATGTGTGGCTTTAGAATACAATTTGTGTGCCTTTACAGAATATAAATCAATAAATATCAAATTGTTTTAACCTAACCTCAAAATATTGCTGTAGTTTCTGGAATTTTGCATCTTAACCTCAATTTTTTGCAATTTTCCATCCTAAACTCAAAATGTTGTTGTTGTTTCTGGAATTTTGCATCTTAACCTCAATTTTTTGCAATTTTCCATCCTAAACTCAAAATGTTGTTGTTGTTTCTGAAATTTTGCATCTTAACCTCAATTTTTTGCAATTTTCCATCCTAAACTCAAAATGTTGTTGTTGTTTCTGGAATTTTGCATCTTAACCTCAAATTTTTTGCAATTTTCCATCCTAACCTCAAATTTTTTTGATTTTTTTTTGTAAAATAACCTCAAATGTCGTAAATTTTCCATCCTAACCTCAAAGTTTTTTGATTGTTTTTGCATCTTAACCTCAAAATTGTGTAAATTTTAACATCCTAACCTCAATTTTTTTTTTATTTTTTTGTAACATAACCTCAAAATGTCGTAAATTTTTCATCCTAACCTCAAAGTTCTTTAATTTTTTTTTGCATCCTAACCTCAAAATTGAGTAGATTTTAACATCTTAACCTCAAAATCCCTTCCTATTCCCAAACCTTAACCCCATCAATCCCAAACCAACAAAAAATCCCAAATCAATTCCAATCAATACAGCGAAAAATAAACAGTCAAGAATAAGTCAGCGCATGACAATTATCACATGTAATACGCATGATATGGCCCTAAATGTCGACAACTTATGGCATAATAAACAAGAAAAATAAAATCCTTGAAGCATGAAAAAAGAAAAAGGCGCCAAAAAGTCTGGTGACTGCATCAACAAGAATATTTTTAGAAAAGAAGAAGACTTTGGGGGGGGGGGGGGGTTGGTGAGGAGAGGGTTGATTAAGGATAGCGTAGGGTATGTATGTGATTGAATGAGATGTTGAATCCTTTATTGGGGTTATGAAGTGACAATGAAGTCCTCTTTGACATTTTAGATAAAATTTTACATTTTCTAACCTCAAAATCATCAAAAAATCCAAAACCTAACCTCAAAATCTCCAAAAATCCGAACCCTAACCTCAAAAATTCTCACATTTACACCTTCAAAATGTCACCAAACCCACTCATAACTTCCACTGCATCTCTTCTTCCTTACTTTTTCAGTTTTAAAACATTTTCTTTTCTTCCTTCCCTTCCAGCCTTGTCCTCTTTTTCCTCAAAACAACCATCAACCACCAACTTTACATTTTATTTTTTTCATCTTCCTTTCTCAGTAGATATTTACTTTTCCTCCAAGACAGTCACCAAGCAGTGACTGTTTTGAGTTCAGTCTTTTGTTGTTGTTGTTGCTTTTCAGGATGTTAAAATGAGCACAAGTGTGAAAGCTTTACATAATATTTTGATGTGGTTGTTTTGAGAGTTTACATAGTTTGATAATTTATGAAAAACAATATTTTATGAAGTGAAAAAACAGAGCCTGTGACAGGAAAATAAAAGTTTTGTGATAGTTTGTTTAGACTTTTGGGAAAAGGTGGGGCTGATTTTTTATTAATCTGTTCTTTTTTCAAGTAAGAGACTCGACTCGAGCTTAGATTACTACTTTTAGTATACTACTTCAAGTATACTACTTCGAGTACACTGCAAACTGTCAAAGTAAGACCAAATAAACTTTATATTCAATACAAACAAATGCTCAGCTCCATCTACATCCTAAAATCCAAATTAACCTAGTTCTATTTACACAAAGTGTGACTAAATAATTCAAATAAAATCAATAAAACAATAAACAGCTAATTAATAAAGACACAAATAAATCATGATGTATAATAATCTAAGTTGCCAATCTTGTACGACAAGATATAAAATTTATGGATCTTGTTCCTCAAAATGACTCTTAAAATCCGAAAAACTTGTTAATTATACAAATTGTGAGCAAATAAACCATCCAGAAACCTGAAAAAAACTCAATACAAAATTATGTTTGTAGTAAAAAAATTCCTTTTTTTCTTCGAGCTTGAGGTCGGCGCCTTTGCAATTGGAATGTTTGGATTTACAACAAGCTTCCTGCTCGAACTATTCATTGTCATGCTGCTGTACCAAACTGACTGTTTAGGACTTTTTAAGCTTTATACCTGTGCAACTATTGTGGCTTACTACATGTTTGCGTCTTTTATGCTTGTAAAGGAGATTTTTTGTGATGTGAGTATTGGAAATACAAAAAAAAATATTCTCGTGCGCCATATTCTTGGAAATAGTTTACTGTCTCTCCAAAATGTAGCGCACAATTTTAAAATTTTTTTAAATTTCTTTACCAGAAAACGCACAGCATCGTCAAGCATTTTCTAGTCATCGACATCATTGCAACATGCACCGTCATCTCAGGAAACATAAAATTTTACGAATTTTACCCAAACTGGTTGCCCTTCTTCATAGTCGATACCCTAATTCGCCTGTATTCAGACTTTTGTATGTTTTCTCTCCTAGTAAAATATAAAAATAACTGCAGCAATGAGAAACAACAACAATCAACAGTGATAGACAAGTCGGCGTCTACACTCACTGCGACAAAATCGTCATCAACATCTTCGTCAGCGACACGATCATCATCATCGACGGCTGCTGAGGGTCTGATGAAAATATTTGATAACTTTTGTGGATTCTTCCCTTTAGAGATGAGCGGATTCATTTATTGTGGATTTAATTTTGTATTCAGCGTAGTTGTGATTGTTTTATTGCTGATTTTTGGAAAGCTGAGTGAGGAAAAAGTCGTAATTTACGCTATAATTTTTACGATCAATGCTGTGATGCTTTTAGCACTTATTGCTGGAATTAAGATGGTAAGTGGTTTTTGTCAGAATCATAAATCGAGGGGTATGCAGCCTTGACTAGAACGAAACATACTCGAAGGGATACGCAGCTTTGAATAAACTGAATCATATTCAGAGGGGTATACAGGCTTGACTAGACCAAATCAAACTTGAAGGGGTACGCAGCTTTGAATAAACTAAATCATACTCAATGGGGTATGCAGCCTTGACTAGACCGAATCATACTCGAAGGGGTACGCAGCTTTGAATAAACTGAATCATATTTAAAGGGGTATGCAGCCTTGACTAGACTGAATCATACCCGAAGGGGTACGTAGCTTTGAATAAACTGACTCATATTAAAAGGGGTATGCAGCCTCGACTAGACTGAATCATACCCGAAGGGGTACGTAGCTTTGAATAAACTGACTCATATTAAAAGGGGTATGCAGCCTTGACTAGACCGAATCATACTCGAAGAGGTACGCAGCTTTGAATAAACTGAATCATATTTAAAGGAAAAATCAGCTTTTACTTAAATAACCATTACTTTAGAGTATTTTCTCCTACTGAAAAGATGCTTATACCACGGGGGTACGCAGCTAATAAAAAAGTCTATGTTTCAATTTTCATTCTCTAATTCCAGCGCAAATCATCAATATTCATCCCAATTCTCATTTTTACATTCATCGAAATCTTTACCGCAACCTATCTTCTCGTCTCATCAATGATCGTCATAATTCAAGGTGAAGATTACGAAGTGAGAATGAAGAGATTCATTGAGAAAATAAATATTCCCGAAACAGCTGGCATTGGAATCTGGATTTATTTTTATTTATGTATTTGTTCATTGTATGATGTGATTAAGTGTGAGGAGAAAGAGAGGAGGTTGTTGGTGGCAAAAGAGAGCATCACTTATGGATCTGTGAGTGATGTTAAGGGATCGTCGAGCTTGTAGACTTGATAGAATGTGAATTATAGAGGTGAATTGTGAATTTAAATTAAATTCATACATTTTTGAGGTTAGATTTTGACAACTTTAAGGTTAAAATGCTGAAAAACTATTAAATCAAGCTGAAATTTTAAAAATTGACAGTTATTTAAACAATATTGAAAACAATATTGTCTGCCAACTGGAAAAAATCAAACTTAGTAAGCTTTGAAAGCTAGAATAAACTTAAGAATTTGAAATTAAGCATGCAGTGCCAATAAATAATAAAAATTGTTAATAAATTTTTAAGTTTTTGCAAACTTAAATGAATAAATATTTAAAAATGCTATATTTTCCATTTTTAAAAGTCAATTCCAGAATTTTGAAATTCTAATGTGAAGGCACCTGAACTTAAGAAGCTATTGTGTGAAGGCTGAACTTAAAAACTCTATTGTAAAGGCACTTTAATCTAAAAACCTAAAATATGAAGACACTTGTAGCTCAAAACTCAATTGTGAAGGCACTTGATCATCAATCCTCAAGTGTGAAGGCAACTGAACTTAAAAAAACTAGTGTAAAGACATCTGATTCCTTAAAAAGTCTAAGCTGAAGACACTTGAACCTTTTTTATGCAATGCGGAGGCACCTGAACCTTAATGATCCAGTGTAAAGGAGCATTAATTTTAAAAAACTTAATGTGAAGGCACCTTCAACCCAAATAAGCCCACACAAGTCAATCAATTCGAAAAAAAATTCACAAATTCAAATTTATTTCCTCAAAAAATTCTCAAATTAAATTCGACAAAAAAAAATACATCAACAAATATTTACAAACACCAAAAATCTCTCTTTACATATTTTCATTAACTTTAATCCTCTCATCTTTCTTACACATTGCCATAGCTGCAGCTAAACTGATTGTCGACTTATCTGCTGGCTCTTCTCTTCCATTTTTCGTAAGTCTCGCTCCATATTTCATAGTCTTTGCTCTCACGATTTCTCTTTTTTTACCACACCATGAAAAGAGCCCAGCAAAGCAGCCAGCCTTCTTATTTTCTGACATTTCTTGGGATTCTTCAGCTTCATCTTCGTCAATTTTTGTATCTTCATTGTCGTGTGGCTTGATTTCATTTATGTTTTCATCGGATAGGTTGTCAAAGTTAAGTTTCATGCGAGGGGTTTTTGGTTTGCTTTGGGGCAGGTCGGGAATTGGTTGGTCCATTTTTGACAACTTTTTTTACTTTTTTGTGACCTTTTTTAAGTTGTTTGAAATTTTTAAGGATATTTCTGAAATATTTTTAAAACTTTTAAATCTTTTTAATTGTTTTTGAAATTGTTTGTTTGAAATTTAATTTTTTTGAACTGTTTTGAACTTTTTTAAAACTATTTTTGAACTTTCTGTAATTTTTTGAATTTTTTTAAATTATTTTGTAATTTGGACTTTTTGAAAATATTTTTGATTTTTTTTATCTTTTTGGAATTTTTATATATTTCTTTTAAAATTTTTTTAACGTTTTTTTGTTTATTTTGATTTTATTTGGAAATTATTTTTGAAATTTTTGAAATTTTTTGATTTTTTGATTTTTGAAATTTTTTTATTTTTGAAATTTTTTGATTTTTTGATTTTTGAAATTTTTTGATTTTTGAAATTTTTTGATTTTTGAAATTTTTTGATTTTTGAAATTTTTTGATTTTTGAAATTTTTTGAAGTTGAAATTTTTTGATTTTTGAAATTTTTGGCGTATTCAAAATTTTTAGCGTTTTCTTGGATTTTTTAAAATTTTTTAAAATTATTTTTAGTTCTTTTGAACTTTCTGAAAGTTATTTGAAGCTTTTTTAAATTATTTTTAAATTTATTTTGATATTTTCAATATTTTTTGAAAGTTTTTTTGAAATTTTTGAAGTTTTTTTGGAACTTTTTAATATTTTTTGAAAGTTTTTTTTTTTGATTTTTAAAATTTTATTTGAGTTTTTCAATATTTTTGTTTCAATATTTAACTTCTTTAATTTTTTATTTTTTTTAACTTGTCTTTTGCATTTTTGTCACGCTGTTGATGAGTGTCTATGTATCAATTTTAACAATTCGACATCTACAAGAGTATCTTTTTTTTGATGTGTGGTCTTCAACTCTTTTGTGGAATTTCACCATCGTTTTAGTCTTTTAAGATTAATATTATTAAAAATTCTTAATTAATGTGTCACTAAACCACCGAAATTCAATCTTGTTGCAATTTTTAAACCTTAAAAGCAGCAAAAGCAGCAAAATTCATCAAGTTGTTCAAAATAATTCTAACCAAAAAATCACTCAATGAACTAAGTTGAATAAAATGAGATTCATAACTGTCTAAGACTCTCTGCTGTCATAGTAAAGACAACAAATGCTTGCTTAACAGGTTTTTGAGCATGTTTAAATTGTTTTGAATGTGTGGGAATAGATTTATGTACAATAACAGTCCCAATCTTCTGTGGATTTAAATTAAGTGAGCTTTTGTGTTCGTCGATGTTAATATCTAATGAAGCATGAATATAAATTCTTGAATTGAGCCTTATCCCGAAAGGCACACAGCCTTAAAAATGGCTGTGATTTCTCATTAGGTTCAAGCCGACCTGAATGCAAGATTTACAGCCATTTTTATATCAAGTGCCTTTCGGGGACCTAGCCAATCCCTCCTTCAACACCAGCTCCTTCCACCTAAGATAAAATCAAGCATTAAACCACAAATATCTAATAAAATATCCAAAAAAAACCCTTAAAACAATCAATAAAGTTTGGCATTGATTCAAGAGCCTTTAACATTCAGTCCATCAAAATTGCATCTCAATGCAAAGAAGCAACAAAAAAAAGGCATGCAACAAGCTCCTAATTTGCACATCAAAAAATCAATTCTAATCGATTTGCAATAAATTTTCTATTGAACTAAAAAAAAAACAATTTTTTTTGACATTTTCGAGTCAAAGTCGATAAATTTTGTAAAAAAAATAATTTTTTATTTAGTTTATTTTGTGGCTTTTAAGGCATCGCATCGAATGGCTTTTTTAAAGAAATTTTTATTTTGCATTTCTATGGAAAATGGGTGCTACATAATCGCGACTTACATCACACTCGTTAATTCTTGTTACATTGCAATTTTAATGATGATTTTGAATAGCTTTAATGTCCTTAGTGATCATATGAGTGGATCGGAAAAGTTTCAGATGTTGATGGTCGCGTCTTGTGTCAACTTTTTGGTTTATTATCTTTTTGGATCGTTGCTGTTGGTGCTTGGAGTTAATGAGGTGAGTAAATGACAAGGTTTTCGGGCTGTGCTGGTGAGTTTGTTGTGAAAAATGTTAAATTTGATTGGAAAATTCTGAAAAACTAACCTCAAAAGTCAGGAAATGATGTCAAGGTGAATATCGACTGAAATGTGATAGTAAATTTTTTTGTCTGTTCTGCTGCACGGAGCATTTTCTCTCAGCAATGCTCATACCATAGCTTATCAAACTGTCTTATTTTCTCTGCTCATTCTGTGATTGACTGTTGACTTGAGTGGACTTAAGTTTGCATCTCAGCTGGACTTTCTTATCAAAATATTGTTTAATAAATTCCAAAAAGTGCTGAAAATTGTGAAAAATAATTTCAAATTTATCGAAAGTTAAAAATTAGTGGAAGTAAGGAACTGAGCAGCATCAAAAATGGCTAAAATTGCTTTGTAAGTATGAAAAAAAATTAAAATTGATAAAAAATTGTGGATTTTCCGAAGTTCATTGGAATTAATTAAGATTGTGATTCTCAGTAAATTTATAATCAGCAGCTTGATTTGTTCCTTGAGATTTTTTTGTTCCTTTAATATTTTATCTTGCTATTTTCAGGTTGCTGTTTTGTGTTGTCGGAGTTTATTTGGAATTGTCAGCATCGACAAGTATTGAGTGTGACTATGGAACTGATGATTGGAATATTGTTGAAAATGCATATTACTGCTATGTCAATAATAATCTAAGCATAACAACTCGAGAATCAGCGACAATAACTTCAATTTCTGGACCTCATCAAAGTGGAAAGACAAATTCTGATGTTGTTGGCTTTTATGCCAATACCAAAACTTTTATTTATTTCCCGCGTGGTTTAGAAACTTTCTTTAAGAATATTAAAATTATTCAAATTCATAATTGTAATTTAACGGAAGTCCATCAAGAAGATTTGAAGCCATTTTCTAAATTAATTGAGATTTATTTGGAATATAATGAACTAGAAGTTCTCGAAGAGGGTCTTTTCGATTTTAATCTTGATTTAGAATTTATTCATTTTGGTGACAACAAAATTGTTCACATTGAACCAAATGTCTTTGATCATTTAAGTAAATTAAGCTATCTTTACTTACTTTCTAATTCCTGCATTGACAAAAAAGTTAGAAATTCAACTTCAGAAGTCAAAAATTTCATCCAAGCTGTAAAATCCCAATGCAATAATTCTGAATTTTCCTTACTCAAAAGCCAACTTGAAAGCCTCGAAACTGACTCAAAAACTTTTAATTCCTTAGAATTCTCTGAAAAATTTGCAGCTTTTGAAAAAACTTTCAACTCCTCAAAGTTTGCCAATTTTCGTCCATTAAACTACAAAAAACACGACTTACGTAGAAAGTCACTAGCTTCCGCGTTTGACTTATGTTAGATTACAGTTCTTATATATATATCACAAAATGAAAACTAGTGTTTCGGGTAGAAACCCAATGCGGATATATTCACACCGTACCATCAGAAGTCTTGTGCAAAGACCAAGCTAAGCTCAACATTAATTTGAAAGTATAAATCTTGACGAACCAGCTGAGCTCCGCTCAGCTTATGTTTGGAGGTATAAAGTTTGACGAGTCACAGCATAAGCGACTTTGGACTCTTACCATAGAAAGTCTTCATCGATCAGCTGAGCTATCGCACAGCTTAAGTTTGTAAACTAGAACGCTTACCATATGTTTTTTTTTTTTTTTTTAATTTAATTTAATTTATTAATCTCTTTTGCATTGCTCCTAAGGAAAAAGCCTTCTGAATCAGTACTTAAACTGATTAAAAAGGCATAAAAAACCTTAGGATCCTTTAACATATACAAACTGGTGGTGTTTAGAAGAGTTTCAGTGTATAAATACCTTAAAGAAATCTCTTCTTAATTAATTATGTTAAAATTACTACAAACATTATAGCGGCTCTCATGAATTTAAATTTAAACAGTAAAAATAAGTCTACAAAAATAACGGCAAAAAAAAAACTTTTCAAACACAAATTGTGTCATCTCAGTATGATTACAAATATTTACTTTAAAAGTGAGTGAATTAAATTAGATCAAATTCAATAAAAATAAAAATGAGTGAAATAAAAAGACTAAGCGAATCATTGAGCTTCCTTCTACTGTTACTATTCATCTCCTTGACTGTCATTTCTGCTGCCGTCTGATAAGTATCCTTATTAATTGTAGTTCCATATCTTTTGCATATTAAGTCTCATTAGATAATTTTTTTATCTCTTTTTAGGTATATTTAGCAAGGAAACTACCACTGAAACATGTCTCAATTATGCTCTTTTGCTGACAATGTGTTTTTACTGAACGCATGAACTCATAGATGTGCTTACTATTCTGGATTTCTTGAGGAAGGTCATTAAAGATCCTAGGACTAATTGCTGTTATTCTTTTTTTTCCATATGACGTTCTGGATGTTGTTGGCTTGAAGTATTCTTTTGTCCTGCCTGTTCTGGATCTCACTCTGTCAAGTTGTGTTTGAAGGCATAAGGCTTGACAGGTAAACTAAGCTTCGCTCAGCATAAAATTGAAGGTATAAAGAAGGGAGGGGGTATAAAAATTTTGAGGGGGGCCAAATGAGAATTATAATCGATCATGTAATAATTTTTTTAATAATTTTTCAAAACAGTAAATAAATTTTAAATAAAATTCAAACACATAATGTGTCTTTTTGTGACTTTAATGCGCTTTATTTCAGTCCCATTAGTGGTATTTTACTTGACATCATTAACTGATATTAAAATTTGTATGAATTACTCATAAATTATTTTTAAAAATAACTTCAATGTCAGTTGTTATCAGCACTTGGCTTAATTTCTTTCTGTGATGCTGTTTTATATTCAAAAATATTAAAAAATAAATTTTAAAAAAATCAAAAAGTTATAAAAAATTAAAAAAAAATCAAAAAAAGTTCAAATAATTCAAAAAATTCAAAAAATTTAAAAAAAATAAAAAAAAAAACCCCAAATTTCAAATTTATTTCCAGCGCAACTACTTAACCCTCAACTACTTCAACATGGTCCACGGTGCGATGACAGTGTTCAACTTCCTTTGCGGACTTTTATTTTCGTACATCTTCGAGAGCCTTGAACTTCTTATCATCATGATTGCTGACGCCTTAATTCGCACTTATTTCTTCTTTATTGTGCTTGCTTTGAGCACCATCTTCAGAACTGAAGAGCTTGAGAATAACTTATTAAATGCCAATTCTAGTCAGGAGGAGTCACACAGGATGTCCATGTACAGTGAAAATGACTTGAGATACAAGCGAGATTCACTCGGATTTGACCTTTACATGAACGGAATTGACTGAATTTTTGTGAGAATTTAAAAATGTTAAATAAAAGTTTTAAAATAATTTAAGTGTTTTTTATAAAAATCTTTCAACCCCCTCCCCCAAATAGGACCACCAGTGCGTGAATAATTCTTCATCTCACATCCACAGCGCATGTTTTTCATAGCCACAGTCATTTTAATCTCACAGTCAACCAATGGCACACAATAAAAAGCTTCTCGCAGTCACAATTTTACTTCTCGAGCAGTAAAGTCTCATTTTTTTGTTGCCATGAATTGTGATAAAAAGTTTTTATTCACTTTGCGGCTTGAAACTGGCGGATATGCACTTGGATTACTGCATTCTGGGGCTAGTGTTGCTGTCTTGGTGCTTTATTTGAATCACTTACAGAGGTTCTCACATATACCCGTGTGGTGGGTGCTTGTTTTGGGGGTATTTTGGGTTTTTCATTTTGTGGCGTCAGTGATGTTGCTGATTGGGACTGCGAAGGTAAGAGATGTTTATAAAATTAAATTGAACTTGTAATAAAACTATTCAGAATTTTGAGTTATATCCCGTTTTTTTCGATCAACCCCTTCGAAACAATTAAAAATTTGCACAATTTACCCAAAAATTCAATTCTTAGGTTCCAAAATTTTTAAAAAAATTAGTAAAATATTGAGCCAAATTCCTGAAATTTCCAGCCAACCCTTTATAAAAAAACTCCATTTTTTTCTATTTGCTCAGATATTTCGAGGAATTATATTGAAAAAATTTTAATATATTTTAACAAAATTCCCATTTTTTCCGGCCAACCCCCAAAATAATCCAACTCATCTCCAATTTTAGCGCAAATCATCTTTCTTAATCCCCTTCATCGTCCTCTACACCATCATATTCACCATAGTCGCAACATTCGCAGCCTTTTGTGTCCTCGAAATCATCGCAACCAATCCAAGATCCGAGCACAAGAAGGTCAACACCCAACAAAACATCTCAACATTAGAAATGAAGCGAAAAATGAAAGAATTTAAACAGAATTCAGTTTTTAACCTCAAAATGGATAAAAAGGATCACATTTTATTGATAGTTGTAGTCACAATAATTTGTCTGCTTTGTGTTTACATCTTGTCATGCGTTTGTGCTTTGTATGACAAGTTAAAGGAGTATCCAAAGGAGCACAAAAGCTTGCCAATTCTCGGGAATATTGTGTACGGAGCTGTAAAGAAAAGTGAAAGCAGCGAGTCTTAAAGAATTGTTAAAAAAGACTTTTTTTTATTATTGAAATTTTCAAAATTAGTTGAATTTGGACTGTTAAAAATTATTAAATGAATAAAAATTGTAGTTAAAATTAATTTTGTAGCATTATTTGAATTTTTTTAGCACCTCTAGTAAGTCAAGATAGCTGGTATGTAATTTATAAAACTTATTTAGAGTGGGGTTAAAAGAGGGGGGGGGGGGGGGGGTTCGAGAAAATACCACTCTTAATTTTGTGGCAAATGTGATTTATTTCTTGGCATTTAACATTTAGAAGAAATAATTTTTTTCACCCCCCCTTCTTTTATTCCCCCCCCCACTCTTTTTCACTATATCTTATCAGGACGGCTCATAATCCCACTTCAATCTAATACATATCTATTGTCTAATTATTCCAAAAAATTCTGAGGCAAAAAGCTTAGATTTATTAAAAAATCCCCCCCCCCCCCCGGTCCACACAAAAATCTTTAACATTTTCTAAAAAAAAATTAATTTAATAAAGCTCAATTTGCAACATTTTAACTTTCTCCTCGTAAATTTCCCTACAAAATCTCTTAAAAGTTGAATAAATGCACAGCGTGTAGTAAAAATTGAAGGCAAAAAAGGCGATGAGATTGAGCGATTTTCTCGAAACTCCCTCAATGAAGACACTCAATGTCAATGTCATGCTGCAAACGATGCAAAGGCGAAGAATTTTCGTTGCTCTCTGAAATATAAGAAAGTGAGAGGAATTGAGAGATGAGAGGGAATTTTAAGGTTATGTCACGTGGTTATTTGAGATTATATGTTTTATACTTACATTGGCCATCATGTACTGCATCAAGAATGAAAAGAGTGACGAAAAGATGAAGACAAAAATTTCACAGCATTTTATAAATTCGAAAACTGGAAAGAAAATTTAAATGCGCTTTATATAAATTATTGTAAGGAATTTTTTACTTGTTTTGTTTTTAAGATGTCTAGTTGCTATTGTTGGCTCAAATGTTCTTATTTTTGAAATTTGAAATTTAAAAATTTTGAAAGAGAAATGCGCCTTGTACTTAATTAAATGGACATTTTTTTACTTTTTGGTTTAAGACCATTTTAAGGTTTTGCACTTAAACTTCTGAGCCTTGTTGTTCTAGATTGATTCTCAAAACTAATTAGAAGTTTGAAATACAAATTATTTTGGAAAATGCGCTTTATGTTCTCCTATATTGAGACTTTCTTACTTGATTACTTAACAAAATTAGTCTTGTGAGCTTTAATTTCTAGATCTCATTGAAATCTTTTTTTGTAATCTAAACATAGATTTCAAATTTGAGACAAATGATTACTGGTTGTAAAAAATGCGCTTTATGCACAACTAATTCATGATTTTCTTACTTGTTAAATTTTTTTTATCAACATTTTCAAAACTTTCCGAACAATACAAAAAAAAAACAATAATTTCCATCACATGTTCCACATCCACATGTTACTATCCATCCACACCACCCCAAAAATCAACACAACACAAACCTTCCGGTGATCTCGTTCCACTCCTCACTTCCTCTTCATTCCTCTCTTTCATATATTCCCATAAAAATACCGCATCGTGATATGTCAGAATGCAACACGGAACTGCAATGAATAATCCAGCGACTGGCAAGCTACTTTCAATCTCAAAACAGCACAAGAAATTTTCAATTTGCAGCAACTTTCTCACTTTTCGATAATTTCGATAACATTTCTTTAAAGACATTAAGTAAAAATTTACAAAAACCAAAATAAAAAGTATAATTTTTTTATGGTGCAACGAACGAAAAGAGTTGAAGTGAAAATGAGGAAAAAATAATAAATTTTTGAGAGAAAATTTTCGTCGTTGGAGAGGCTTAAAATGCGCATGAACAACACTCGCAATTTTATTGGCGCCAAAAAGACTGTAAGCATGGAAAATAAACCGTTTAAGTGTGTCGATTTTATGAATTATGAAATAATTAGTATGGATTTTTATTAATGACGCTGTTCATGAGCTTATTTGTAGCATTGTATTTATGTGGTCAGATTGATGTGATGGATTTGTGCATTTTTTATGTGATTTGATTTGATTTGAGCTATTTTTGGATTGATTTGGGGTGCTAATGGTGATTGTATTAATGATTTTTCTTAATTTGATTTGATTGATGTGGAAGATGCATTTTCTGAGCGCTCAGGGTTATCTCTTCTTGACCAACAAGGTTTGGGTTGTCTCTTCTTGATCAACTAGGTTAAAGTTGTTTCTTCTTGATCAACTAGGTTAGGGTTGTCTCTTCTTGATCAACTAGGTTGGGGTTGTCTCTTCTTGACCAACTAGGTTTAGGTTATCTCTTCTTGACTAGCTTGGTTATGGTTGTCTCTTCTTGATCAACTAGGTTGGGGCTATCTCCTCTTGATCAACTAGGTTTGGGTTGTCTCTTCTTGATCAACTAGGTTAGGGTTGTCTCTTCTTGACCAACTAGGTTTGGGTTGTCTCTTCTTGATCAACTAGGTTTAAGTTGTCTCTTCTTGATCAACTAGGTTAGGGTTGTCTCTTCTTGACCAACTAGGTTTGGGTTGTCTCTTCTTGATCAACTAGGTTTAAGTTGTCTCTTCTTGATCAACTAGGTTAGGGTTGTCTCTTCTTGACCAACTAGGTTTGGGTTGTCTCTTGTTGACCAACTAGGTTAAAGTTGTCTCTTCTTGATCAACTAGGTTTGGGTTGTCTTTTCTTGACCAGCTAGGTTAGGGTTGTCTCTTCTTGACCAGCTAGGTTAGGGTTGTCTCTTCTCGATCAACTAGGTTTGGGTTGTCTCTTCTTGATCAACTAGGTTAGGGTTGTCTCTTCTTGACCAACTAGGTTTGGGTTGTCTCTTGTTGACCAACTAGGTTAAAGTTGTCTCTTCTTGATCAACTAGGTTTGGGTTGTCGTTTCTTGACCAGCTAGGTTAGGGTTGTCTCTTCTTGACCAGCTAGGTTAGGGTTGTCTCTTCTCGATCAACTAGGTTTGGGTTGTCTCTTCTTGATCAACTAGGTTAGGGTTGTTTCTTCTTGATCAACTAGGTTGGGGCTATCTCCTCTTGATCAACTAGGTTTGGGTTGTCTCTTCTTGATCAACTAGGTTAGGGTTGTCTCTTCTTGACCAACTAGGTTTGGGTTGTCTCTTCTTGATCAACTAGGTTTAAGTTGTCTCTTCTTGATCAACTAGGTTAGGGTTGTCTCTTCTTGACCAACTAGGTTTGGGTTGTCTCTTGTTGACCAACTAGGTTAAAGTTGTCTCTTCTTGATCAACTAGGTTTGGGTTGTCTTTTCTTGACCAGCTAGGTTAGGGTTGTCTCTTCTTGACCAGCTAGGTTAGGGTTGTCTCTTCTCGATCAACTAGGTTTGGGTTGTCTTTTCTTGATCAACTAGGTTAGGGTTGTCTCTTCTTGACCAACTAGGTTTGGGTTGTCTCTTGTTGACCAACTAGGTTAAAGTTGTCTCTTCTTGATCAACTAGGTTTGGGTTGTCGTTTCTTGACCAGCTAGGTTAGGGTTGTCTCTTCTTGACCAGCTAGGTTAGGGTTGTCTCTTCTCGATCAACTAGGTTTGGGTTGTCTCTTCTTGATCAACTGGTTTTTTTTTCGTCTTTTCTTAACCAACAAAGTCGAAGTCATCTCTTCTTCACTATCCTCAAACAATTCGAACTCGAAAGACCAAAAATTTGCCAAGAATCATCATCCACAAAATCAACGATAAAACGTCTTTCAAAAAATCTTCCTCTAAAAATAATTTAATGACATTCATATTCGCATTACTTGCTCCACAGCTGCCATAATGTCTCGATCATGCAGCATTAGACTTTCTGGCTGCTTTTATCTTTCATGTTCTTCACAATCATGCGTAGTTTTTTTACGTTTCTGTTATTTTGTCCTTAAACTTTTTTTGTGTTACTCTTCAGATGCTGAATTTATTTTTCAGTTTTTCATTGTCGCTCGCTGATTTTAGGCATGAAAGTCCCGACAGTAAGTAAATTTTTGTGGTGTTTTGATCTTACGACAGGTGGATTGTTCCTGGGTTATGTTGGTGCTGTGACAAATGCTGGATGTGCGTTAGCATTGTTGTATGAGCTTGTGGCTGATACTGATGAGTTTGAGGAGGAAGTCTTTGAGTTTGCAGAGGAAGTGGAGCCAGTTGATGCTTTTGTTGAGGGAATAATTGGACATAAGGCTAATAGTCGAAGGGATTTGCCGTTTTGGGGTAGGTATAATGTGCTGTGTTGTCTAAAGTATGGATATATTTGGATGTTCTTGCAGCTATTCTATTTATTGCTGGATTATGGATTGGATTGCTTGTTATGTGCTCAGTGTTCTCAGTTTGGTTCGTTCAAGGTGTCAATAATGTGAGTTTGTAGCTAATTTGCGATAAAGCATACCAAATTTGACTGAAAAATTCATTTACATTCCAGAGAGACCCACAAAAAGTCCGTTACTTCCTAATAATCATGATCATCGGAACCGTCTCATCCTTCTTCAAAGGCATGCTATCACTGTCCTTCTGGTGGATCCTTTTCGGAATGCTCAACGTCTACTTCATCATCTGTGTCTACTCACTTTATCAAATCCTTCAATATGAAGATGTAGAACAAGTGAAAACACACGCCACTGCCTATAATCAAGGTTATTCTCAATGTTATGATGAACCAGAGACGCATCATGATGAAGAGAGCGTAAATGGTGAAGGCTATCAGACCACTGCGTTCAATGAGCCGTAATTTTTTAAAAATATTGTTGAATTTAAAGTTTTTTTGTGATTGGAAAAATTGATTATTTTTGGAAAATAAAATAAAATGAATTTGTGTGTTTAAAATTTAATTTACTAACGGATTAAGATTTTTAGTTCCTTTTTGCTTAGTTCCACACCTCGAAAGTCCTCTTTATCCTTAGTTTTACACCCCTCAAAACCTAAACTTTAATTAGTTTCACTCCCCTGAAACCTACCGCTTACGTAGTTTCATTCCCTTGAAAACCACTTGATCCTTAGTCTCACACCTCTCCTGGAGCCTATTTTCTACTTATTTTCACACCCTTGGAGCCTATTTTTTGCTTAGTTTCATACCCCTGGAGCCAATTTTCTACTTATTTTCACACCCTTTTAAACTAACCTCTACTAAGTTTTACACCCCTTGAATCAACATTTTACTTAATTTTACTCTTCATAGTAAGTTTTCCTATCCTTTTTCCTACACATTGCGTAATTTCACACCCCTTTTTATATTAATCCTCAACTATTCAAGCCAAATTCCATCACAACTTCCTCATTACATTGTCTCCATTGAGTCTTCATTGAAAATTTTCTTCTTTTCACACTCACAATTTCTTGCAGAACTTTGCATTTTCCGTTTTTTATTTCGTTCCAATTTTTTTTCTGTTCTTCATTTTTTATTCACTATCAAAACTTGTTTTTGCGTGCTTAATTCAGTTTCCATTTGGAATTAAAACGAGTCACATCGTTTTAGCTAGAATTTAATAAAATATTTTTCAGTTTTGTTTTGTGTGTTGTAGGATAGATTTTGTGTGTAGTGGTAGGCAAAAGTAGCTAGGTTGTAGTTAGAAGGTCCAAAAGTAACCGAAAGTTGCCAAATAGTTTTAAAAAAAATTTAACAAATTTTATCAATCAGTTATTCAATCAAGATAAGAGTTCGTCATGAGAGTTCCAACATTTTCTAGATTTTGCTTTTGCCTCAACCTACAAACTGGAAATACGATTTGTGCTTGGATGTTTTTATTGGCATATATTGCAATTTTCCTTATTGCTTTGTTCTCGCTTGTCTTTGGGATTGACATTATTCACATTGATCAGTTTAGGGTCACAGAAACACTTCAGAATGTAACACTCGTTCAGGAGGAGGTGCAGGAAGTAAAGGAGACGAGGATTGGAGTTGGTAGGCATAACCTCAAACATATGGTTTCTTACCTAAAGAATTTGGATTCTAACCTCAAAAATTGTAATCCTAACCTTAAACTTTATATTCTAACCTCGAAATTTTAAATTCTAGATTCAAAATTCTAAATTCTAACCTCAATAATTTGGATTCTAACCTCAAAAATTTTAAGTTCTAGCCTCAAAATTCTAAATTTTAACCTCAATAATTTGGATTCTAACCTCAAAAATTGTAATCCTAACCTTAAACTTTATATTCTAAACTCGAAATTTTAAATTCTAGCTTCAAAATTCTAAATTCTTACCTCAATAATTTGGATTCTAACCTCAAAAATTTTAAGTTCAAGCCTCAAAATTCTAAGTTCTAACCTCAATAATTTGAATTCTAACCTCAAAAATTTTAAGTTCTAGCCTCAAAATTCTAAATTCTAACCTCAATAATTTGGATTTTAACCTCAAAAATTGTAATTCTAACCTTAAACTTTATATTCTAACCTCAAAGTTCTAAATTCTAACCTCAAATTTTCAAGTCCTAACCTCAAAAATTTTGATTCTAACCTTTAAATGCAACCAATTTAATTCCAGCCGACTCCATCGGAACGATCATAATCTCAGCCATTCTTGCAGTCGTCTGCTTCCTCTTCATTCATGGCATAAAACTCGTAAGAACAACAGTTACAACCCATCGCATGTCCTTCAACTAAATCTTTTTCTCATATAATTCCAGCACGATATAGGAAAAATGATGCCATATATAATCCAAAACGGCGTCTTCGGGGTGCTTTTCATTGGCGCCGCAATCTATTTCATCAGTATCATCTTCCTCGTCAAGACCATTGTATTTACTTACATCTCTATCGCATCATATTCACTTTATGAAGTATTTGCATTTGAGGAAGCTCAGAAGCAGGAAAATGTTCAAATGAATGAGAATTTTAATGAATATGGACATACTTATGAGGCTGAGAGTTATAGTGGACAGCATGGTGCTGTTAATGGAGGGCAAGGCGGTGGATACGAGGGTAATGGTGGAGAATTTCATGGACCATAAGATGAGGTTAAGATGTATCTTGTTTAGAGTGGGATTGCTTTGGGGGTTTGTGTTTGAAATTTGTTTAAAAATATTGTCTGTAGTCTTTTTTTTTTAAATGGAGACTTTACTTGAAAATTTTGTGACTTTAGTTCTAAACTTGTGACTTTAGTTCTAAAAATGTGACTTTAGTTCTAAAATTGTGACTTTAGTTCTAAAAATGTGACCTTAGTTCTAAAAGTGTGACCTTAGTTCTAAAAGTGTGACCTTAGTTCTAAAATATTGACTTCAGTTCTAAAATATGGACTTTAGTTCTAAAAATGTGACCTTAATTCTAAAAGTGTGACCTTAGTTTAAAAACTCGACCTTAGTTCTAAAAAATGTGACTTTAGTTCTAAAAGTGTGACTTTAGTTCTAAAAATCTAAACATAAGCTAATTTTACATTTTAACTAGTTCTAAGTGTTTCCTTCCAGTAGAATCATTCGTTTAATTTCCTTAAAAACGTCCATTTTAAACATATTAACTGTTAAATATTCATTAAATTTCAACTTTTATCAAAAAATATTCTTAAAAATTTGGAATTGAAAAATGTTTTAAATAAAATATCACTAAATTATATCAATCGCTTGATGCTTGACAATATCACAAAAAAAGAGTTAATTTGATCTTGCCTTTCAGTTTTATAACTTTCTGTGCACATTTTTTGCATCACTTCCACTCTGCTGTCATTTCATGACTGAAAGGAATTTGTTAAAATCATAGACTATTGTTAAATTTTTCTGCTCAGCGTCCTTAAACTCCATTCATTCTTCATCATCCTCAACATGTACGGCTTAATATACATCCCTGTCACACCAGGGTTCTTCATTTACTTCCTTATAGCCACAATTCATCACACAGTCCTGACAATCATCTGCTTGAACTTCACAATTGACGGAATCTTCTCAATTTATTTATTATATTGTTGTCATTTTCTTTACATTTCATTTAAATATGAAAATTCTGATCTTTACGATGACATTTTTTTCCTTGGAGACTATGAACGATTGTAGACAAGCTTATGTTCAATAAGATCTTGTTTGATTTTCAATTTATTTAATATTTTCTGCCAAAAAATTTGTTTTACGAACAAATTGGTAAATTTTATGTTGTTTAGCAGAAAGTTAAATTTAAAATTGAACATTGTGATTCAATGTAAATAAGAATTTCACGGATATTGGAGGTTATGTTAATCATTTTAGCGAAAATAATAGAATGACTTAATATCAACGATCTGACAGCAATTGATCAAAAAATGACAGCATTTGGCTGTAAACTGACAATTTTTGATCATAAACGGACAGAATATTACTATCGACTGACAGCATTTAATTAAAAACTGACGAGATTTTTCGGAACTGACAGCATTTGTTCTGAACTGACAGCATTTGTTCTGAACTGACAGCATTTGTTCTGAACTGACAGCATTTGTTCTAAACTGACAGCATATGTTCTGGCCAAAAAGCAAAATAAGTAAAACCGGTAAGACCCCTAAAAAACTAGGTTTTCACCACAATTTTTTATTTTATTATTTCACAAACCTCATCCAACATATTGTCCAATAAAAATCAAAGTCGGTCCACTTCTGATAAAGAAGACAAAAGGACGATTTGCTGTGAATTTTTGTGGATTAATTGGCAATGAGTCATCCGAAATTTTTAAAACTGAAAAGTAAAAAATTATAAATAATTTATGAAAAAAAAGGATCAAATAATTCACATACCTGCAGCCGCCACTGCAACAGTCCCAATCTCATTAACTGTTAAGACATTTTTATGAAACAAATTTGAAACCTTCGCAAATCGTTTAGAAAAGATTTTATCAAGATGAGCTTGATCATCAAAAATGGAACTTAAGCCCATCTAAAAATGACAAGTAAGAAAGTCATATGATGTTAAAGGCGCATTTTTAAACTTAATTTACACTTTTCAGCGTATCCTTCATGTCAGTATCATATGTGATGTTGAATTTTGGAATTGAAAGCTTGACATTCGTTGGTTCCAATGATTTATCAACTGCTGCCCAATTGATGGACTTAATGCTTGACAGCCAAGACTTTAAATTGGATCCTTTTGGTGGTAAGACGAACAGCATGGACACTGATGTGTCTTCGTAATTAAGTGACACTGCTGATGCTCCTTTAAGCTCATCCACGCTGCTGCTGAAATTAAATCTTGCTTCTTGATACATAAATTCTGTTGACTTAGTGCTTCCATCTTCAGTCGTAAAATTTCCTTCATAATTGAACTCGCTTAGGAACGGATCTGTCCATTTTCCACCAAAATAGATGCAGTTGACTAAGATCATCAGCGTACTCTTGTCAATGACACCCGGTCCAATCATGTTTTGAATCATGTCACGTGTTGAGTCTGAAATCCACTTGTTGATCTTTGTTGTGGCTGGTTTTGACTTAATAAATGCAATTTTCTCAAGATCTGAGTTTAAAATCTTCTTGATTGACATTTTATAAGCTTTTTTGATTGTGAGCGAGTTGTTGACGTAAATTTTAGTTGCTGAGAATTAAAAACATTATTACTTTAATGAAATGTAGCCAAGATGATCAAGTAGGTTCCAAGGAAGTGTGAAAATGAGGAAAAAGAGTGTCCGGGAGGTCAAAAACTTACCAACTTCCACGTCATTAATCATCTTAACTGATTTTGACCATTTTAGTAAATTATCTTCAATAGCTTTGATTGTAAAATCTTTTGGATATTTCAATCCAGCCTTTACAGCAGTAAAAGTAGTTTTGGTGGTTCCAAGGAATAAAAGGTTCATGACATAATCCAGTGATAGCGGTGAGATGAGGAAATTTGTTGTCACTGGAGTGTTCTTAAATGATGTTGTAGCTATTGATTAAAATAGAATAAGTTGGATATAAAATGGAAGCTAACCTTAAATAAATCCAATGCAAATTGCTGTCGAGACATCATAAATCGATCATCTTGAGCAGCAGACAGCGAGAAAATCACAAAAATCCACAAGAATGCTGAAAAAAAATACATAAAAAAATTTCCACGATGTTGTTATCCCCCTGAAAAAAAATAATAAAATTAAATAATTTTTTCTCTCACAATTTGATTCCATTGCTAAATTAACACTGGTTTTTAAATCAGACTTAAATTTGCCATTTATAGCTGAAAATAATTTTTCAATAAAAAAGCACAAAATTTCATTTCCTGCTAACTTACACCTTACGAATTTTTTGCAGCATGTTAAATTTTTTTAAGTTGTCGATTTCAGCTATATATTTCGATACTTAAAAATATTTTTTTAAAAAAAGTCCAAATTTCGCAATGAAATCAAATTGTAAGAAAGATTTAATTTTTTTTCGGGGGGATAACAACATGGTGGGAAATTTTTTATATATTTTTTTCAGCATTCTTGTGGATTTTTGTGATTTTCTCACTATCTTTTGCTCAAGATGATCGATTTATGATGTCTCGACAGCAATTTGCATTGGATTTATTTAAGGTTAGCTTTCATTTTATATCCAACTTATCCTTTTCTAATCAATAGCTACAACATCATTTAAGAACACTCCAGTGACAACAAGTTTCCTCATTTCACCTCTTTCACTGGATTATGTCATGAACCTTTTATTCCTTGGAACCACTAAAACTACTTTTACTGCTGTTAAGACTGGATTAAAATATCCAAAAGATTTCACAATCAAAGCTATTGAAGATAATTTACTAAAATGGTCAAAATCAGTTAAGATGATTAATGACGTGGAAGTTGGTAAGTTTTTGACCTTCCGGACCCTTTTTCTTCATTTTCATACTTTCTTGGAACTTACTTGATCATCTTGGCTACATTTAATTAAAGTAATAATGTTTTTAATTCTCAGCAACTAAAATCTACGTCAACAACTCGCTCACAATCAAAAAAGCTTATAAAATGTCAATTAAGAAGATTTTAAGCTCAGATCTTGAGAAAATTGCCTTTATTAAGTCAAAACCAGCCACAACAAAGATCAACAAGTGGATTTCAGACGCAACACGTGACATGATTCAAAACATGATTGGACCGGGTGTCATTGACAAGAGCACGCTGATGATCTTAGTCAACTGCATCTATTTTGGTGGAAAATGGAAAGATCCGTTCCTTAAAAGTTTAAACTGTGAAGGAAATTTCACGACTGAAGATGGAAGCACTAAGTCAACAGAATTTATGAATCAAGAAGTAAAACTGAATTTCAGCAGCAGCGTGGATGAGCTTAAAGGAGCATCAGCAGTGTCACTTAATTACGAAGACACAACAGTGTCCATGCTTTTCGTCTTACCACCAAAAGGATCCAATTTAAAGTCTTGGTTGTCAAGCATTAAGTCCATTAACTGGGCAGCAGTTGATAAATCATTGGAACCAACAAATGTCAAGCTTTCAATTCCAAAATTCAACATCACATTCGAGACTGACATGAGAACTCCTTTAGAAAATGTAAAGAAATACTTAAAATGCGTCTTTGACATTATGTGACTTTCTTACTTGTTATTTTCTAGATGGGACTTGAATCAATTTTTGATAACAATGTTCATCTTGCTAAAATTTTTACTGGACAGAATGCCAAAATGACAAATTTATTACACAAAACACTTTTGAGGGTTGACGAGATTGGGACAGTTGCCGTTGGAGCTACAGCATTAGGCAAGTTGATATTTTTTGATTAAAGATCATTTTTGTTTTTATTTAATTTATAGTGGCTAAGACATCGAGCTTCTTATTGCCAATTTATCAACAAGAATTCACCGCAAATCGTCCTTTTGTCTTCTTTATTAGAAGTGGACCGACTTTGATTTTTATTGGACAATATATTGGATGAAGTTTGTGGAAAAATAAAAAATTATTATGAAAATCTGGTTTTTTGGATTTTTAATTATTTTTTGGCTGTTTGGTCAAATGTTGTCAGTTTTGTTTAAATCTGGTCCATCTGATCAAATGCTGTCAGTTCTGAACAAGTGCTGTCAGTTCTGATCAAACGTTGTCAGTTCTGAACAAATGTTGTCAGTTCTGATGAAATGCTGTCAGTTCCGAACAAATTCTGTCAGTTCTGATCAAATGATGTTAGTTCTGATCAAATGCTATCAGTTCTGATCAAATGCTGTCAGTTCTGAACAAATGCTGTCGGTTCTGAACAAATGCTGTCGGTTCTGAACAAACGCTATCAGTTCTGATCAAATTTTGTCATGTCTGATCAAATGCTGTCAGTTCTGATCAAATGCTGTCAGTTCTGAGCAAATGCTGTCGGTTCTGATCAAATGCTATCAATTCTAAATAAATGCGGTCATTTTTTGCACAAATGCTGTCAGTTCTGAATAAATGCTGTCAGTTCTGATCATATGCTGTCAGTTCTGATCAAATGCTGTCAGTTCTTAACAAATGCTGACAGTTCTTAACAAATGCTGTCAGTTCAGAACAAATGTTGCCAGTTGTGATAAAACTCGTCAGTTTTTAATCAAACGTCGTCAGTTGTTTTTAATATTCTGTTCGTAAATGATAAGCCAAATGCTGTCATTTTTTGATCAAATGCTGTCAGTTTTTTGATCAAATGCTGTCAGTTTTTTGAATAAATGCTGTCAGTTTAAATAAAAACCTCATTTTCATGATGAGTATTTTATGAAATGGTCCGATGACTTGTCTTTATTGAATATTTTACCTAAAGGTCCATGTTTGACTTGCTAGTTGAATGATATGAAACCTTTACTGACTATAGACCATAATTTGAAAATAAATAAATTGAATCTACATAAAATCATTGAGAAGGTCAAGAATTTTTTTTTGCGAATAATCAAATTAGGAAGTTGTAAGTTCCTGTAATAAACTAGAGGAAATAATTGTTTTTTTTCAATTTCTAGTTGTGGCTATAAATTTGCCAATTTAAAAACAGTTTTAACTATTTTAGCACTTAAAATGAAGCTGAAATGTAAGAAAAATTTTAATGAAAATTCTGCAAATAAAATTACTGACTCTTTTGGAAATACTTTTAGCTACTTTGTGGATATTTGTGACAGTTTTGACACTTTCTGTTGCTCAAAATGATCGATTTATGGCGTCACGTCAGCAATTTGCATTGGAGTTGTTCAAGGTTCGTTGATTTTATTGGGTGGACTTGAGGTTGCAATGGAAGAGGTTCTTTGGGTAGACGGAAGGCTGATGTTATATTTTTAAGGTTCTAGCTTGAATGGCACATTTAACATGAAAGATAATTTCACTTTTAAGGGTTTCTTTAACTTTCAACCACTCCTCGTCTTAAAATACCACTCCTTACTTAAAAGAAGACCCAAGAAGACACAAATCAGCCATTGCTTCCACTTAAACTCATCCCAATCAATCTTCGTAATAATTCATCATTCATGTCCTTTCCAGAACACCCAATCGACATCAAACATGCTCATTTCGCCATTATCTATTGACTTTGTACTCCATCTCATGTTCCTTGGATCAACAAAAAGTACAACAACTGAAATGAAAAATGGACTTGGATATCCGAAGAGTTTTAATGCAAAAGCGATTGAATTAAATTTACAAAAGTGGTCAGCAGATATAAAAATGATTAATGGAGTCGAAGTTGGTGAGTTTTTAAGGGTTTTATGGTCGGTGGGTGGTTTATGAAGCTTATGGGGTGGTGGGAGGTGCCAGAATGTAGTAACAGAAGCTTAAGAGTTTATTCAAGATTATAAAGGTATTTTTAGAAGCTCAGAAGGTTTGTCACGAGCATTAAGTCAATTTTTCAAGCCATTGGACATTAATTAAGACACAAAAGCATCAATTTGAGTCAATGCCATTGAAAAAAGCTTTAAAGACCTTTGTTGTATTGAAAATAATCCATGGAAAGGAACAAACCTTTCTAGGTAGTCCAAAACTATCCTAACTCCTCTCTTAATCATTCCAGCAACCAAAATCTACGTCAACAACACACTCGCCATCAAAAACAGCTACAAACTGTCAATCAGGAAGACTTTAAGCTCAGATCTTGAGAAAATTGCTTTTATTAAGTCTAAACCAGCAACAAAAAAGATCAACAAGTGGATTTCAGACTCAACACATAACTTGATTAAGAATATGATTGCTCCGGGTGTCATTGACAAGGATACGCTGATGATTTTAATCAATTGCATCTATTTTGGTGGAAAATGGGCAGATCCGTTCATACCAAATGCCAATCTTTTTGAAAACTTTACAGCTATTGATGAAAGTGTCAAGACAATCGAGTTTATGTATCAAAGCTCAGTTCTGAATTTTAGCAAAGACGTACCAGAGCTGAAAGGAGCATCAGCAGTGTCACTTAATTACGACAATACAACTGTTTCGATGTTGTTTGTGCTGCCACCAGCTGATGTCGATTTTAAGTCGTGGATGTCGAGTATTAATAAAATCAACTGGTCGGCAGTTGACAAGTCAATGAAGCCTGTTGAAGTAAGGCTCAGAATCCCGAAATTTAACATCACATTCGATGATGACATGAAAAAATTTTTAAAAAAGGTGAGAAAATGCGCTTTAGACAATCTGTGACTTTCTTACTTGTGCTTATTTTTTTCAGATGCAAATTAATTCAATTTTTGAAAATGAAGCACATTTGGATAAAATATTTGCAGGACAAAAGGCAAAAGTTGAGAATTTGTTTCATAAAACAATCATACAAGTCGATGAGGTTGGAACTGTCGCAGTTGGAGTTGCTGTCATGAAGATTGTCAGCTATTCTATGCCATTTAATCCTCCTGAGTTTACAGCAAATCGACCATTTATATTCTTTATAAGAAGTGGACCGACTATTATGTTTGTTGGACAATATGTTGAATGATTGACTTTGAGGAATGATCAATAAATTTTAATAAATAAATGTTTCAAGTATTTAGTAAATTTTCTGTGAATTTTCACTTCCTTTTGGTCAAATGCTGTCAGTTTAGGTCAAATGCTGTCAGTTAATGTTGTAATGCTGTCTGTCAAATGTTAAAATGCTGTCAGTTTAGGTAACAAACAGACACTTTTTTGTTCTCATGCTGTTAGTTTAGGTCAAATGCTGTCAGTTTATGTTGTAATGCTGTCGGTTAAATGTTGCAATGCTGTCAGTTTAGGTAACAAACAGACACTTTTCGTTCCAATGCTGTCAGTTAAAGTTAAATGCTGTCAGTTTAGGTCAAATGCTGTCAGTTGGACTTGATTTTCTTTTGCTAAGCATTACTCATCCAAAAGTTCATCCTTTATCCTTCAACTACATTTTTGCTAAAATAACCTTGAAATCCACCGTAAAAACCCGAATTTCTTTGTCCAAATGACCAACAAGAAATCTATCCATAATAAACTAGCTACAATTACGTGTCCAAAAAAAACTCGTGCTTGTCGATGATTAATGAAAGGAAGTTAAATGTAATCATTTTCTGTTAAAATTCAGTCAATGACTATAAAATGCTTGGCTTTAATGATTATCGCATCCAGTACAAAAACGGAAATGGAACTGAAAAGTAAAAAACTAAGAAACTAAAATAAAAACAAGCTTGTCTAAACTCTAATTTTATTAACATTTTCACAGATTTCTTATGGATTTTTGGATTCGCGTCACTCGCCGTGGCACAAAGCGATCTTTTTATGAAGTCGCGTCAGAGCTTTGCATTGAATTTATATAAGGTAGGTAAAAAATGAGTAGTTTTAAGCACGAATTCTAATCCAAAAACTCTGCACAGAACTCAAGAGAGCCAGTGAATGTTGTCATGTCCCCAATATCGATGGATTACGCCTTAAATGTTTTATTCCTCGGTGCCACAAAGGAAACATTAACGAGTCTAAAAACTGGACTTGAATATCCAAAAAAGTTTAGTCTTCGAATAATTGAGAGCAAGTTGCAGGCTTGGACACAAACTGTGGGTGACACTGGTGGAGTTGAAATGGGTAAGTTCAGATTTTGACAGACTTGAAAAACTTGACAGACTTGACAGTCTTGACTTTAAAGACTTGACAGACTAGACAGACTTGACTAATTTTCAAATTCCTCCTAATCCCCAGTAACAAAGCTCTACGTCAACAAGACTGTCCAAACAATGAAGAACTACACATCACGTATCCAGAAAGCTTTAAATGCCACAACTGAGTCAATTGCCTTTGCTAATAATATACAATCAGCTAAGAAGATCAATGACTGGATAGCATATGCGACCCACAATTTGATTCAAAATTTGATTCCTTCACGAATGATAAACAAAGCGACCAAGATGCTGATCGTCAACTGCATTTATTTTAAAGCCAATTGGCAAGTTCCTTTCAAAAAGTCGTCAACATTTTCTGGAGGATTTAAATCTATTGATGGAAAAACAATTCCTGTTGAATACATGACTAGAACTGGATTCTTTGATTATAGTCCAAGTGTTGCTGAGCTAAATGGTGCTGCGGCTGTGTCAATTGAGTACAAAGACTCAAATGCATCGATGCTGTTCATTTTGCCACCTGCAGACACTGACGTAGAGTCCTGGATTGGAAGTATCTCAAAAGTTGATTGGGATGTCGTTGGAAGTTCACTTAACAATTCTAATTTAAATGTCACAATCCCTAAATTTAATATAACTTATTTACGTGATATGACAGATGCAGTAAAAGCAGTAAGTATTAAAAATGCGCTATTGACACTTGAGAGTGTTCCTTACTTGTGGATTAATTTCTTTAGATGAGCATGGATCCTATATTTCATGAAAATGCAACCTTTGATAAAATGTTTACAAAAAAACATAGAGCAGGTTCAAATGTTTGCAATATTCTGCAAAAGGCTGTTATTTCTGTGGATGAGGAAGGAACCATTGCTGCTGCTGTGTCGGGTAAGAAAACTGAAAAGACTTAACAGGAAATAACGAAATTCTGACTTAAAATTGAGCATGGTTCTAAGGAGCAAAAGCTCCAAAAAATGACAAATTTGGCTAGACTTTGACCAAAACAGAAGCAAAAATTGACATTCAGTTATAAAAAAAATTTTGCCATATATTTTAGTTATATTAAAGGGATCTTCTCGTGCATCAACTCCTCCTGTATTCCATGCAAATCGATCATTCCTATTCGTAATCCGAAGTGGACCATCTTTAATGTTTGTTGGGCAGTATTTTGGCATAGAAAAGGCTGATACAAATCTAGTTTAACTTAAAACACATTTTGAATGATTTTTTAATTGTATTTTAAAAATATTTGATTAAATAACAAGTTTTAGATTTTTTAACAATTTGCGCAACTTGTTTAAAAACTGAGCAACTTGACTAAAAACTGAGCAGCTTGACTAAAAACTGAGAAAATTTGCCAAAAACTGAGGAACTTGATCAAAACCGGAGCATCTTGACTAGAAACAAGCAACTTGACTTAGAACTAATAACTTCTCTGAAAATCAACTTAATTCAAGATAATCAACTTGATTAAAAACAATTAACTTAATTAAAAAACAGTCAACTTGATTAAAAACAATCAGCTTGATTAAAAAATAATCAATTTGATTAAAAACAATCAACTTGATTAAAAACAATCAACTTGATTAAAAACAATCAACTTGATTAAAAACAATCAACTTGAATAAAAACAATCAGCTTGATTAAAAACAAGCAACTTGGTTAATATCAATCAACTTGATTAAAAACAATCAACTTGATTAAAATTAATCAACTTGATTAAAAATAATCAACTTTATTAAAAACAATCAACTTGATTAAAATCAATCAACTCTATTAAAATCAATCAACTTGATTGAAAACAATCAACTTGATTAAAAACATCGAACTTGATTGAAAGCAATCAACTTCTTAAAAATCAATCAACTCTATTAAAATCAATCAACTTGATTGAAAACAATCAACTTGATTAAAAACAATGAACTTGATTGAAAGCAATCAACTTCTTAAAAATCAATCAGCTTAGTTGAAATCAATCAACTTGATTAAAATTAATCAACTTGATTAAAAACAATCAACTTGATTAAAAACAATCAACTTGATTAAAAACATTCAACTTGATTAAAAACAATAAACTTCATTAAAATCAATCAACTTAATCAAAAGCAACCAACTAGGTTAAAAACAATCAACTTGATTAAAAGCAATCAACTTGATTAAAATCAATCAACTCTATTAAAATCAATCAACTTGATTGAAAACAATCAACTTGATTAAAAACAATCAACTTGGTTAAAAACAATCAACTTGATTGAAAACAATCAACTTCTTAAAAATCAATCAGCTTAGTTGAAATCAATCAACTTGATTAAAAGCAGTAAACTTGATTGAAATCAATCAACTTCTTAAAAGCAATCAACTCGATTAAAATCAATCAACTTGACCATAAAATAATATCTTTTATTCTTTTTCAGTTATAATGATGGGATCAGGTCGGCCATCAACACCTCCAATTTTCCTGGCTAATCGACCATTTTTGTTTGTCATAAGAAGTGGACCGACCATACTTTTTATAGGACAATTCTTTGGCATCGAAAAAAATGAAGTTAATCTTGTATAAATTGCATTTTTTGTATTTTTTGAAAATAAATTTGATTTTTAACACTCAAGAACATACAACATTTAATGATTTTCGCAGTTCTTTTCCCTATTATGGTCACCCTAACCACATGTCAACAAAACTTCTCTCTACGGTCAGCTGATTAAACTGACACACGTTGCCGGCTACAAAACACACACAACAACAACAAGAAAATCACTCATTCGATCTAAAAATATGAGCAAAATAAAAGCTGAATGAATGTTCTTATCAATTTAATTGCTCGAACACCGGGCGAGAATTTCGCTCTCACAATTTTGCTCACTTATTATTATTTTTTACATATGTACGAAGATGTCAGTAAGCCAACGGGAAGATTTTGTGTACGATCGCTGAGTTATTTGTTGTGCAATTTTTTTTAATTTTATTAAATGTTAAGTAAAGTCAAATTATGAAAATTCCTAGAATAACACAATGTTGTTGCTGTGGATTGAAAACAGGAAACATTTTTTGGTGTTGGATTGAATTTTTTACAATACTTTCGGGGCTAGTAATCAGTACATATGTTTTCTTTATACATGGATTGAACGGAATGCCAGTGATTCTTTCGATTGATGATTATTTTCATCCGTATAAATATTGTGAGTTATTTTGATATTTACTTGAGTCATACTTGACTTTTTGTTACCCTACTTGACTTTATTTGACCATACTTTAAGATTTTGCGACCTTGTTTGAGTTTTCTTCACGATACTTGACCAACTTAACTTGACCAACTTAACCAACTTGACCTTAGGCAACCCTACTTGACTTCTTGCAACCCTCCATGACTTTTAGAAACCTTACTTGACGTTTAGTAACCCTACTTGACTTTTAGTAACTCTACTTGACTTTTAGTAACGCTAATTGACTTTTAGTTACCAACTTGACTTTTAGTAACTCTACTTGACTTTTGATAACCCTAATTGCGTGTTAGTAACCCTACTTGACTTTTAGTAACCCTGCCTGATTTTTAGTAACCCTACTTGACTTTTAGGAACCCTACTTGACTTTTAGTAACCATATATGACTTTTAGTAACCCTACTTGACTTTTAATAAGCCTCCTTGACTTTTAGTAACCCTACATGACTTTTAGTAACCTTACTTGACTTCTAATAACCCTACTTGACTTTTAGTAACTCTACTTGACTTTTGTAACCCTACTTGACCTTTTAAACCTACTTGACTTTTTAAGCCTACTTGACTTTTGTTATCTTACTTGCGGCCCAAATTGACTGATTGCTGTGCTCCTGAATATCTTTTTTGAAGCAATTTGACGTCACTTACCTTAAGCTACATCTTTTCTACCCACAATACTTAGAAATATGGTTAAAAATAAATGCACAAATTTTATTTACAGCTGTTGGATTTTTTCTTATCGGTGCGGAGACAGTTTGCGCTGTGATTTGTTTATTCTTTATTCATGGCATCAGAAAAGTAAGTTCATGACGTCATTTATGAAAGTATAAAGTATGAAGTTTTAAAATTTTTCAGAAGAAACCCGAATACCTTCTTCCATTCACTTTCAAAAATGCTGGAATCTCTCTAATATTCATCTTGTACGGTGCTTGCTTCCTTAACTTGCTAGGCATCATCGGAGTCTTTTACATGCTCGTCGCCATCTCAAATTATTCTTTATATGATGAAATTCTTGATGAAAATCACAGAAAATTGACAATAGCTCAGATGGAGATGCAATCTATTCATCCAGTTGCTGTGCCTGTATACCAATGTGATTATTGTCCGGCTGTTAATGAGCAGTGGGTTCCTAGTTCATGTGATATTGTTACTTATGGTCATATGTTTCCAAACAGGGCTAGGTATTGCAATTAATGTTATGTATTAGATTTCTTTTGACGTCATAAATCAAGACGCAAGTTGAAACTGCCAAAAACAATTGAGAGAAACTGATTATGAGCAAATCTTATAACTGTAAGACAAAATAAGCAATAAAAAAATGAGAATTAAGAATAAAAAATTGTACATCTCAGCAATTTAATTTCAGTCAAGTTTAAGCCTACAAATAGCACAGAGTTACTATAAATCTTCAAAAAAGCCGCCATGACAGTTCCAAGAGCATCTCAATTTTGCTGTCTATCATTAAAATTCGTGAACCAAGTTTGGGTTTGGGTTCATTTTGTATTACTGGTTTTTGCATATTTAACGACAATATCGATTGGAGCTATTCGCCTTCTTAAACTTAATTATGATGATTATACAACAGCAAAAGATGAAATATTACGAATTATTGAGAAGGAGATTAAAGTTGAAATTAATGGTGAGTGAGATTGTTTGAGAATGTGGAAATTTTTGATATTTTATGAGATTCAGGCAGCTTTTTGTGTCAGTTTGGTGTGTATTAGAATTTACACTAGGATTGAAATATATAATAGAGTTTATTTCAAAGCTTGTGTCATCTTATAGCAGGTCTCGTCCTAGGTTAGGTTAAGTCTTTGCGTAGGTAACGTTCTGGATTAGTATTAGTCTCGTTAGGAGGTCTTGTTCTGGAGTATATCTTGTCAAGGGATAGGTCTTGTCCTGAAAAAGCTTTAATCTTGGAATAGGTCATAAAGTAATATAGCTAATTAATAGTTTTTTAAGCCTCTATGCAACCCTACACTATGGCTCTGTCTTAAAGCTAGTACATAGCTAAGAAATCAGTCCGTGTGTTCAGTTTTTGAATCTTTTTGAATAATGCTCATCTTCTCCTGTTTGGTAATGCTGCTCTTAAGTGGATTGTAAAGCAACGATGTCTTTAGATCAGTAGAGGGCCTCAGAGGAAGGGAGATGCGGTAGATGAGTTAACCCGAAAGGCACACGGCGTAAAAGTGATTTTCAATCTAGCGTTTAGGACGGCATAAACACGGCACTACACTGTATTTCACCTAATCTGGCATAATGCCGCGTTTATGCTTTCCTGAACGCCAGATTGATAGTCATTATTACGTCGTATGCCTTTCGGATAAGTTATCTTATGGGAGTAAAAGAAAATTGGCTTCTTTAGGTATTTTTAAGAGAAGTGCTACCTCAGAGAATCCTACCAAACCCAACAAGGAATCTTAAACCTAAACCCAAAGCTATGTCATCTGCCAATTAAGTCCTTACGACGCTCACTTAACGAATATCTTTACAGCTCAAAATTGGGTTGCTCTCTTCACAATTCTGATGGTCCTCATAATGATTTGCCATTACCACCTCAATGGCATCAAAAAGGTAAAAATTAATTCATTTTATTGACATTTCAACTCCTAATTGCATCTCAAACTCAACAGAACATCCCACAGAACCTCCTCCCCTTCACATTCCTCAACGCATTAGCCGGTGTAGCCATAATTGTATATAAAATCAGCAATATGGATGAATATTTCTGCCTCGGTGCAATCTACTGCTTTGCAGCCATCTGTAGCTACTCACTGTATGACGACATGCTGGTACAGAATATGGAAAAAATAGAAAAGAGATTCCAAGAAGCCAGTCAACAGACAAAGAATACAAATCAAATCTCAATGTATCCACAGGTGCCACCTCCATACTCTAAAAATAATCATATTGTGTGAAAATGTTTAAGGAAGTTAGCAATAAATGCTCGTAAAATTGAACCTTGATGATTCTTGCAGGATTTTTTATTATTTTTCTATTGTTTATTTACTTGATGCTTTTATGACTTTTTACAAATTAACTTGCAATTTGTCTCAGTCCTGATTAGACTTCAATGTGAAGTAGTTGCAGTTCTTAAAATGATGAAGTTTGCAGCCATTCCAAGCATTAATTGCTTTGATATTAAGAAAATTAGTATAATTTTATGTTGGATTGACTTTATCGCTAGTATTCTCGGCGTTGTTGCTGCAGCGGCTTTTGGATTTGTCGGAATAATTATAGTAAATGATGAGCAGCAAAAGCACTTGATTGCTGACTATATTTCACAATATTTGACAGTTAATAGTGATGTCATATGTAAGTATTAAGTTTCTAGGAAGTAATACATTTGAGTGACTTTGTGATAAACTTGAAACATCTGGCTTGTAAGGAGAATTATTAAAACTAGCAACTTCTCCGTCAAGCATGAAGAGAGTTGCTTAGTCTGAACAGACAAGTGATGTGAATTGTATGACTAGTTCAGAACATTAGAGCATTTAAACAATTCAAAGTTGATTTTACCGTCGGAAGTTGTAATCACATTTAAAGATTAACAATACTTATAGTCATAGGGATATTTAGGGGTGTCCATGTGGGTCGATGAATGTCCATACAGGACAATGTATGTCCATGTAATTCCATCGTTCATCACTATGAGTCTCCCAAAAAGCACAAGTCGGTTTATCGAAAAGAAATCTGGCAACAAGCCACTTTAACTTGCTGCTGACTTCGATTTAAATCCAGAATTATGCTAAAGTCACACCAGCTTGGTGCCGGATTACTGAGCCGACTTGTGTAATTTGGGTCTGTATATTGCTTAGGAAAACCCTAGAGACAGTAAACTCTGTAGGACACCTAGAATATACACTTATTGAAGTTAGAAGCTCAACAACCTAGGATCTAGTGAAGCATCCTGACTGTGACTGCAATAGAACGTTGCCTCGCCTCTGGCTGGTGTAACTTACTATACATACGGTCCCTAAGAGCCTAGTTAAGTTGTGACAGATTTGAATGCAGTTGCTTGACAATAAACCAGTCCAATGAGGTTTCCTAAACCTAAAAGATAATTCCAAAGTTATCGGTATGGATCCCAACAGGGGCGCAGCCAGAAATTTGAAGAGGGGGGCAAAAAAAATTTTGTATGGAAAAATGTAAGGGGGGGGGGGGGGGGGTGGGGGGGGGGGGGGGGGGGGTATTTTGTGATTTTTTTATAAAAACCCTAGCAAAATAAAGAAATTTCTGTTTACGTTGGGGGTCCCCAAATCCCCCCCCCCCTGGCTACGCGTCTGGATTCAAAACATTAGTCCTAAGTTCAAGAATCTCTTTGTACGTCAAAAATCAACCCTTGAGTCATATTCAGTCCCTTATCACCATCCGTCTGTGGCACACACAGCCTCTGTTCTCACACAATTTTAAAAAATTTCTCATCTTTCGTGACATTGAAATTTTCAAAACAAATCTTATTATTCTCTATTGCTAGCCGCCTAAGTCGCAGTCAGTTATTGATAAAGCATTCTGCTCAATAAGTTGTGTTTAGTGCAATTTTGTTTCGGATTGGGTTAGAAAAAATTGGCAATGCAAGAAAAATTGGAATTCTCAAAAATTCCTCGATTTAAATCGTGCCTTTGTTGTGACTTGAAATCTGGGAATATTTTTATCTGTCGGTTAGAATTTTTGTTGACTATTTTGGGAATTGTTTTTGTGTCATTTGGTGGTGTTGGATTCTTCTATGCTGCAATAAATGACGTTCGATTTAGTGACAATGAGGATGGATTTATTCGGACTATTTTCTATGAATTTAATGTCATTTGTGAGTATTTGGCTAATGTTTGGTGATTATTTGAAAATTAAGGATCTTCATGCTGATCATGTACTTACTTCCTTCGCTGATCGTACAGATCAATTGTGTTCCATGACCTTCCTTAATCGTACCCTAAAACTAGCTCTATCGCTGGTTAACGTCTGCCAATTGCCGATTCCAAATGCAAGACTGTCTCTATGCTGATCATGGACTATGTTTAAATAGCAGTGCAAGCCTCTGAAACAGCTAAACCAGAAGCGACTTTGAGAAGGATTTAAAATTGTGTTTTCATAATTAACTGCAGGACCTGCTGCAGGAGCGTAGTCAGGGGCTTGAGTTGTGGATGATTGGAGCTTTTTTTGAAAAAATTATTCAATTTTCCAGGGTTTATGGCTATGCCTCTGGGAACCTTTCAATTATATTACGCTTTACGTCACAAATTTTCAAGAAATATTAATAAATAAAATTGGAACTAGAGCAGAACAATCAACATACGTCTTCCGTATTAAGAAGAAAATTTGTCCTTGAAGTTTATTTTTGTTTTAAAAAAATTCTCACGCTCACACTAAGCCAATAGCGTCATGTGATTTTAAAATTGCCAGTAATCTTCAGCAGCTTCTCAGAATCAGTTCTGAACGTTGTCAATTTTTTTACTTAAATTGTCATATGATATGGCTGAAGACAAGATTGTGGAACTGACAATTAAGATCAAAAATAACCCAAATTGTCATTGATCAGTTCCGTCCACTTTATCCTTGTATACCTGTGCCTCCTTTGCTAGGTATACAAGGATATACTAGCATCTGGATGACTTCCTTACGGCATCTTGCGCACACGAATTGTGACTAGGTACATTGCAGGGTACATCAGGTCTTATGACATCCTCGTGTCTTTGCAATGTGCAGAGCTTGCAAGTGGTTCGGATCCCACTATAAACTGTAGGTCTAGAGGGTGTGGTACAATAGATTCTGTTCTAATTTGAGTCGCAGTGCCTCCAGCTGAAAAGCTAGGCCCATCACACATTATTATTACCGTCCACTTTGCTCAAGTTTACAGGTTAAGTTGATTAATTTTCTAAAATATTATTTACAGCTTATGGACTATTCAGTGTTACTCTTCTGACGCTGATGGCTGTCTTTTCATATTATTTTCTGGATGGAGTCAAAATGGTAAGGCAATGTTCACTTATGACGTCCGAAATTAACGGTCGTTTTTCAAAAAAGAACAATGGATTTCCAGGAATTACCCCCCCCCCCCCCCCCCTCCTGGACGTCATAAGTGAACCTTCTGATTTTGAGAGACACAATATTCTTGCTAATTTTATATTATTTTTAGAATGAGCCTCGGAACCTGCTGCCCTACACATTCAAGAATGTATTTTTTGGTATCATCCTGACTGCTTACGGATTATGCTTTTTGAGTCCTTTATTCTTCCTTGGTGTCTATTTTATTCTCTTAGCAACATTCAATTATTCACTTTTTGATGCAATTTCACTTGAAAATGAAGAAAAACTTTTAAAATCATTGACAAGTCAGCAAAGGACACAGAATGGTAAAATAACTCCAGCGATTGAAATATCGTCAAATGATCAGGAATAACCCCAAGATTATTCATTTGCTGGCTGTATTTAAATTAAGTTGTAGATTGTGAAATAAAATTGAAATGTTTTAAAATGAAATTACAAATTAAACTATTAAGCCTATTAAGCTCCTTGTTTTGATAATACATGCAAGTTTGTTTACTAGGCGCGTAGCCAGGAGGGTCTTGTCCCCCTTTTAAGCGTTTAAGGCCGTGCTCTCGCTATAGTTCAAAACGTCTAAAGGGGGCAAGTCCCTTCTGGCTACGCGCCTGTTTCACATCAAGGCAATTTTCTATTCGCGCTAATTTCATCAAAATATTCTCATAATTAATATTAAATACAGGCATCAAAATTAAAGCAACCTCAATACTACAGCTTACGACAAGTCCAACTGATAATGCTGATAATTTGGAATTCCCCTTTCATTTTGTAGCTAGAATTCAGACAGATCGTCGTGTATTTATAATTATTTTTGAAGGTAAGTTAAGTGTTTTTTCTTTTGCGTCCAGTTCCTAAGGTTGGTCTATTTTAAATGTGCTCAGTTAAATTGTGGATTATGGGGTCGTTCATAAATGACTTCCAACATATAGAGCATAGGAGGGGTTCAATCCTGCATTATGACACAAATCTACATTTACCAATAAGTGACGCATTTTCCTTGAATCATGAACTTTCCCAAGATCATGTTGACTTTTTTTTTGTTTTTGTAAAAAATGAAGATCAAGCCTTGAAGCAGAATCAGAGTGATAAGACAGTCGAGAGCAATGAGCGGATTAAGTAATTGAGATTTTATAATTCTCTGTGGAGATTTTGATGAAAGTACATAATATTTGGGGCTGATTCATAAGTTACGACTGGTTTGTGGCTTTTTTAGTCATAAAGTTCTATTTAATCAGCTTTTAAGGAAGTCGATTCCAAAAAATTATTAAAAATTATGAATTACTCATTGACATCATTTACGTACACTCCCCCTCAAATCTTCTCATTTTTCTCACTCTTTTCAGCTCCATTCAATCAACTTTATGTGACAAAATCACACAATTAAATCACAAATAGCCATATAAAGTCAAATTTTAATCAATTAATCACTCAGGTATCCACAAAATGGCACCAAAGATCAAAATCGTGTCTGGCTGTTTCGACTTAAAGAATGGAAATCTGTTTTGGAGCTACTTTGTTGTTCTTTTTGAAGTAAGTTTGATAATCACACGACTGAGGACGTCAGAACCAACAAAGGCAAAAGCGCTTGCTCTAATTCCAGCTTTGTCTGAATGTAAGTGACTTAAAAATAGTTTTTTGTAGACTTAGTGACAATTTTATATAATTTTAGATGAGGATTATTTTGTGACTTTGAGGCTGTTCTATCTTTTGTTTATTATTTGGCTGTTCTATGCGATCAATGAGGTAAGCTCTAGGATATCCTAAGCAGGCGCGTAGACAGGAGGGCCTTGTCCCCCCTTAAACGTATTGAACCGCAGTGAGATCACGGCCTAAAACGCTTAAAAGGGGTACAAGACCCTTCTGGCTACGCGCCTGATCCGAAGATACGTTTAAATATAAGGCACAGGCGACAAAGATCGACTAGAAGCAACTTTTGAGATTATCTAAGCGCTCATAACTTAACTGACATACTCGTGCAGTCAAGAAGTGTCAATGCTTAAAGCACAAGCTTCGTGTGACCAATTTCTTTGGTCTTATACTTAATAATGCTTGATATACTACGTCATTGACCGTCTAATTCTCCTTCCAGAACAAACCAATTTGGATCAAACCATACATGACCCTCCAGCTCCTCAGTGGATTTATCTTCCTTTTCATCTCACTTTTGTACCTCTTCAGCTTCCTTCTCATCATCGGCCACAGAGTTGGAGATCTGATGTGCTTTTACACGACTGTTTACTTCATAGAATCAGCATTCAGCTTTTACATGTTCATCTGTGTTTATTCACTGTACAAGGAAATGACAAAGGGAGATGAGAATAAACCAAATGAAGTGATGTACTTGAAGGATAATGACGTTCAGGTTTTGTCTGTTAATTATCAATAGAACTGATTAGAAGTGTGAATTTATGTGATTGAAACTTAATGAATGGAATCTCAATGTAAATGGACTGGATAATAAAAGGTTGTAATTATTTTTTTGAATCATTGGCTGTTTTACTGGTTTAGGTTAGGTATAGGTTAGGTTTAGGTTAGGTATAGGTTAGGTATAGGTTAGGTATAGGTTAGGTATAGGTTAGGTATAGGTTAGGTATAGGTTAGGTATAGGTTAGGTATAGGTTAGGTATAGGTTAGGTATAGGTTAGGTATAGGTTAGGTATAGGTTAGGTATAGGTTAGGTATAGGCTAGGTATAGGTTAGGTATAGGTTAGGTATAGGAAGCACCCAAAGATTCCTCACGACAATAAATAAAAAAAACAAATTAACCTTGATGCAGTTCTCAGGAAAAATCAGCACAAATTCGTGTGTATTAAGTTCTTGACATGTTTGATAACAACTTAGTAAGTGCCGAAAGCACACAAATATTTGACAAAGATATCAGAATAAAAAAAAATACCTTGAATAAATTCACATTAAACTTGAATTTTTTACTATTATTGCTTCCCAAAAGTCATATTTGGTGTGTCATAATTAAAATTATTGTTTGAATAGTAAACAGCTGGTTATCAAAAGTCAAATAAGATTATTTGGTAAGTGATTTGTTTAAATTCAGCGGAGTTTTGGGTTTTGGGAACAGTCAGTTAAGTGGAGTTGAAGGGAAGTGAATTATCAAAACTAAGAAAGGATATTCAGAGGTCTAATAATGGCTTTGAGGTAAGCAGGAAGCTTAATAGCTCACTTAGTTGAAAATTTAACAAAATTTTATAAATTTTCAGACTCATTCTAATCACATTCGCGATTCTATTCGCAACTTCATTCACATTTGCTGAAGATTTGACAATCAATTGCCTTTATGTGCCCGATAAGCAAGTCTATGTCTCAAAAACGGACAAGTTCTTAACATGTAATTTAAAAAGTAACTTAACAGCGACTGCAACTGTCACAGAAGCTATTGGTGAGCCAGGAACAACATTACCGACTGATGTTAAAATTTTTGAAGTCACGGAAGTGCTGATCCAACGAATCCCAAAAGGATTAAAAACAGTTTTCGCAAATTTAATTGGAATCAAGATCCACAATACAGAATTCAACTATTTAAGTAAAGATGACCTGACTGAGTACGCTTTGTTGCAGTTTTTGGAGATATCAAACTCAAAGCTGTCCGTCATTCTGGGTGACACATTTTCTGAAAGTACAAAATTAGAGCTGATTGATTTTTCTGGCAATTCTATTTTCTACATTGGTGCTGCTGCATTTGATGATCTAACAGTATTGACATATTTGAATTTTAATCAAACTTTATGTCTATTAGACGAAGATGGTGTTGCTGATACAGATGCTAAAATTACAGCATTAAAAGCTTTACTACCAGATAAATGTGGAGCATCCCAAGTAGACATGGCACTTACAGCTGTAATGAAAAACTATCTTGATGCCATTGAAGCATCTCAAAATTGTGGCATTGATAATCCAGAAGAAGAATGTCCAGATGAATGTGAGACTCAACTTGCAGAATGTCAGGAAAAATACAATAATCAAACAAAATTACTCGAAACCTGCAACAGTGACATCAAGAAGCTAGATGATGAGAACAAGGAATTACAAAATACAATTGATGATCTCGAAAGTCAATCCTGTGAATCTGGAAATGGCACTTGTAACTTTAAACTCGTATCAAATGTCTATTCATGCATTGCTGGCAAACTTTCCATCAAAACAGCAGCAGAACAGACTGTAAATTGGACAGGAACACATGCAACTGGAAAGAACAACGATGCAGTGCTGTCTATGACCATTAATTCACAGACAATTGAGATTTTGCCACTTAACATTGGAACTGTCTTTAAAAATCTTAAAACTCTCATTATCAGAAATTCTGGATTGACTAAAATTAAAGCTGGTGACTTCAAGACATTGACGAAGCTGGAAACTTTGGAGATTACAGGCAACAACATTGCATCAATCGATGCTACAGCCTTTTCAGGACTTACAGCTTTGACAAAAATCGACTTGTCTGCTAATAAGCTTACAGAATTGCCATCAAAGGTCTTTGATGCCCTCCTAAAATTGAGCATCATCAATCTTAGTGACAATGACATGAAAATCCGCTATGACGTCATCAATGCAAACAATACAATTGCTGAAGCTTACCTTATGAACAATAATGCAATCGTACCTTTCGACAAGACCTTTATTTGGAGATTGCAAAAGGCTCAAAAGATTGATTTGAGTGGAACTGGATGTGATTATTCTTTAGACAAAACACAGCCTAATCCACCAACTTTTATGGTTTTTTATTATAATATTATTTCGAATTGTTAAATTTATTTTTTAGTTCACCTTTTTGGCACATTTGCAACTTTAATAAAAGCTATTAAATTTTAATTGATTCTATTTGGTTCAGTTCAATTCACTTCTGTTCGGTTCTGTTCGGCTCCTTTCGGTTCTGTTCGCTTACGTTCGGTCCTGTTCGGTTCCGTTCGGTTCTGTTTGTTTACGTTCGTTTCTGTTCGGTTCTGTTCGGTTCTGTTCGGTGTTCTGTTAAGTTTTGTTCGGTGCTCTTCGGTTCTATTGGGTTCTGTTCGGTTCTCTTCGGTTCTATTGGGTTCTGTTCGGTTCTGTTCGGTTCTATTCGGTTCTGTTCGGTTCTGTTCGGTTCTGTTCGGTTCTATTCGGCTCTGTTCGGTTCTGTTCGGTTCTGTTCGGTTCTGTTCGGTTCTGCTCGGTTCTGTTCGGTTCTGTTCGGTTCTGTTCGGTTCTGTTCGGTTCTGTTCGGTTCTGTTCGGTTCTTTTTGATTCTGTTCGGTTCTATTCTATTCTTTTCGATTATGTTCGGTTCTGATTAATCACAAGCCATTCATTTCCACACAACATAAAACACTCAACTAATTTTAGTTTAATTTTTATGCCTCAAAAGCTTACAAAAAGTCAAGTTATTGTTTGACTTAATTAAGTCACGAATTTCAAGAAAGCTATTAAAAAAGATATTTTAAAAGAGAGTCATTATATTACTTCAAATAGCTCGAGCGGGACACGAGAATGAAGTTTATTCAGTCTAGAAAATATTTTACTTAACTTTTGACCGTTGAAGTGGACGATAGGCGATGAAAATTTTTGTGATTTTATTTACTTTTGGATTACTTTGCTGCTTAACTGAAGCGGCTAGGAGCTTTGATGAGTTCAAGGTAAGTGGATCTTTACAATGATGGCTTAAGTGGCAACAAACAATTTCTTAATGTCTATTCCAGGCAAGATTCTACAAACGCTACCGATCCAAAATGCAGGAAGAACAAAGCCGAAAAATCTTTGAAAAGCGAATCGATAGAATTAACAAGTTCAACAAGCGTCGTGACCGAACCTTTAAAATGGAAGTAAATCATCTTACAGACTTGACAGAAACACAACGAAAGGGTCTGAATGGATTTCAATTTTCAGTCTTTGCCAACACTTTCCTGACTAAATCATCCCCAATAATGGCAAGAAATATGGATCAACACATTCCAGACAACTTTGACTGGCGTAAGTTTGGTGTTGTGTCACCTGTTCAGGATCAAGGATTTATTTGTGGCGCATGCTGGGCTTTTGCAACGACTGGACATCTTGAAAGCATTATTGCGATTGCCACAAATTCTTCAGTTGTGAAGCTATCAGAACAACAGTTTATAGATTGCAACAGGAACCTTAAGATTGGCAATTATGGATGCGATGTGAGTCAAACTCAATTAAATCCTTCAAAATAACCAATCTCAACTCATTTTAGGGTGGCTTTATGGCCACAAGCTTAGCATATTCTCGATTTAATGACATCACAACCGAGAAATTATATCCATACCTTGGTGCTGACAGCATCTGCTTCTACAATGTATCACAGACTAGATTCAATTTCTCACAGCCAATCATGATCCCGTCTGGTGATGAGGAAGCTTTAAAGATTGCTGTAGCTCTTTATGGACCGATCACAACAGCTATTGATGCTAATCAGGAGTCATTGTTTGGATATTCCACTGGAGTTTATTATGAGCCACAGTGCACACAGTGGTTGAATCATGCAGGTTAGTAAGTTTTAGACTATGCGACTCATGGAACTTAGTTATGCAGGAGATATGATTTGAACACTAAGATGGTTCTTATGAATTATCTTATAAGCTAGGATCAGACATCTAACACAACTCTAAACTTTATTACAGTTTTAGTCGTAGGATATGGAACAGATAAAGTTGGTGGTGATTACTGGTGAGGCAAACTTCCTAATATCCGAAAATTATTGACTAATTGACATTAATAATTACAGGATCATAAAAAATTCTTGGAGTTCACTTTGGGGTGAAAATGGGTAAGTTGAATGGTTTGTTGAATTCTAAAGCTAATCTTTATTTGTTCTTTTAGCTACTTTAGACTGGCTAGGAACCGAAACAATCACTGTGGAATATCCAAATATGCTGTTTATGTTAAGCTCAATAAAATTAACCATAAATAAGAAAATTGTTTGTCTTTTGAGCTTAAAGTAATGAGATAGATTTAGGTTAGGTTTAGGTTAGGTTAAGGTTAGGTTTAGGTTAGGTTTAGGTTAGGTTTAGGTTAGGTATAGGTTAGGTATAGGTTAGGTTTAGGTTAGGTTTAGGTTAGGTTTAGGTTAGGTTTAGGTTAGGTTTAGGTTAGGTTTAGGTTAGGTTTAGGTTAGGTTTAGGTTAGGTTTAGGTTAGGTATAGGTTAGGTATAGGTTAGGTATAGGTTAGGTATAGGTTAGGTATAGGTTAGGTATAGGTTAGGTATAGGTTAGGAATAGGTTAGGTATAGGTTAGGTATAGGTTAGGTATAGGTTAGGTATAGGTTAGGTATAGGTTAGGTATAGGTTAGGTATAGGTTAGGTTTAGATTAGGTATAGGTTAGGTATAGGTTAGGTATAGGTTAGGTATAGGTTAGGTATAGGTTAGGTATAGGTTAGGTATAGGTTAGGTATAGGTTAGGTATAGGTTAGGAATAGGTTAGGTATAGGTTAGGTATAGGTTAGGTATAGGTAAGGTATAGGTTAGGTATAGGTTAGGTATAGGTTAGGTATAGGTTAGGTATAGGTTAGGTATAGGTTAGGTATAGGTTAGGTATAGGTTAGGTATAGGTTAGGTATAGGTTAGGTATAGGTTAGGTATAGGTTAGGTATAGGTAAGGTATAGGTTAGGTATAGGTTAGGTATAGGTTAGGTATAGGTTAGGTATAGGTTAGGTATAGGTTAGGTATAGGTTAGGTATAGGTTAGGTATAGGTTAGGTTTAGGTTAGGTTTAGGTTAGGTTTAGGTTAGGTTTAGGTTAGGTTTAGGTTAGGTTTAGGTTAGGTTTAGGTTAGGTTTAGGTTAGGTTTAGGTTAGGTATAGGTTAGGTTTAGGTTGAGATTAGGTTAGGTTAGGTTTAGGCTGGTCAGGATTCAGATTCATCCTCCTCTTGACACTTTGAGCTTAGCACCTGGCACATCAAAAGACTTTCAAACAACAGCCAGCCAGACAAAGCGCAAACAAAACTTCGACATAACCTCAAAAATAATTTAATTTAAATTTTCTAAGATAACCGTCTACATGACATCACATAAGATTATTTATCAATTCTCTAAAAAAAATACATTAAATCATGAATCACAGCCGCGATTGATAAGCAAATCCACAAGCGTGATAGCAAAACTGCACAGATAAATTTTTTCTACAACATTTGCCAAACCGTCAGTGTGTTTCGAGACATTACAGACGCATCATGGCATTTAAAATTTTCCTATTTTTGGCACTTTTGTACGTCGCTCAAGTCAACAGTCAACTCACGGTCCTTCCAGATGTTGATGATTTTGCGAGCAGATTCATGGCAAGGATTCATCACGAGGATAGAATTCGAGGATCACTTCTTAGTAATGGATTCTTCTTTAATGCTAGAACAATCGTCACAACTGGATCTGCTGTCTTTGGCTTAACAATGGCACAACTTCGAGTCGAATTCGGCAACACAAATCTTATTGGACTTCAATCAGCAAGACCAGAAACTGTCATCTTTCACCCAGATTTCAATGCAAATAATTTACTTGAAAATAATTTGGCAATTGTGAGGTTAAGTGCGGCTGACTCAAACAGAACAGGACCTAATGTCATGACATACCGAGAAATCGGAAGACTCATTCGTGGAAATCACTTCTGTTCAAAACTTGGGTACGGTGAGCTATTATCAGACCAATGGCAAGGACGTGAACCAATGAGGATGATTCCATCAATCGTCGAGTCCAATTCAACAATGTGTAACTTCCTTTTCCGTGGTGATTTTACATGCTCATTTGGACGTGCCGGTGAATTTGGATTTTGTGGTGGATTTGTTGGATCTCCAATCATTTGTGATGGCGAGCGAGTCAGTGGAATGGTCGTTGTTGATAATTTTTGTGGACTAAGGCCAGTGTCTTACATCATGGACCTTGAGAGACATGCTGAATGGATTCATCGACAGTCCGGAGCCGAAAAAGTCTTGGCATCAATTTTCATGATTTTTGTTGTCTTTTTAACATCGAAAATTCTTTAATTTTTTTTTAACGCGAGGTTGAATGTGGATTATGTGGATTAGTGCTATCAGATGGCAGTGCTGATTGTGATTGAATCCATGAGAAATATTTTATCGGATATAGGATTAAGATTATTTATGAGATAAATAAAGTTGAGAATTTGATAAACAACAAAATTTGATTTTTTATGGCTTGGGATATAAGAATTTGGAATTGAATGAGTTTTTTGGGGGATTAAGGCTTGGTTTGGAGTTACATACTTTGATGAAGGTTGTCTTGGAAGTTGTTTATAGGTTTGGAAGCTTACTGCATGTCACTCAGTCGTTAGAAACTTCAAATCTACTTAAAAGGTCTTGTTTGACCAGGACATACCACAATACGGCTTAACCTTCAAGATTAGAACTAAACCTCTTGATATGTCTCAGCCAAAAGTTATACATTGAGCACATATCAACTATTTTTAACTTTTTAAGCTTTCTGCTCAAAACTTGAAGCCCCCAAAAGCAGTTCTAGCTAGAATCAATTTTAACCTAGGTCAACCTCTTCTACATTGAGTCATAAGCTACCCTTAGTTCTAATTAGCTTGTATTGCATTATTCCTTCCTGTTTACATTCTTGACTTTTCTTTGCTAATCTTGTTGAACTTTTTATAATCATTTGCACTTAACTTCTTAATTCCCTACTTTTACCTCCCAGAGATTATTTTGGTTTAATGTTTCTTATCTGGCTAATTTCACTTGCGTCTGTTTACTGCAGCTTTTAACTTAAAACGTGGTAAAATTCTAGGTTATTTTTTATAAAAAGCAATGTGGGAATATTGTGATTTCAAAATTGTATAAGATATGGAGTAGAACTTTACTTTATAGAATTTGGGTCGCGAGTAGATTGTGGACTCTGACTTGGTTATGATTTGGTTCTTACTTGGTTCCGATTTGGTTCCGACTTGGTTCTGATTTGGTTCTGACTTGGTTTTGACTTGATTCTGACTTGGTTCTGATTTGGTTCCGACTTGGTTCCGACTTGGTTCTGACTTGATTCTGACTTGGTTCTGATTTGGTTCCGACTTGGTTCCGACTTGGTTCTGACTTGATTCTGACTTGGTTCTGATTTGGTTCTGACTTGGTTCTGATTTATTTTAATTAACTACAATTTTTTACTCATAAAATACAAAAAATGCGCTTTATCCACCAAACATCAATTACTCCCTCACTTGTCAATATCATATCCCTAAAAAATGCGCAAAAGCTTCATCAATTCACAACGAAATTTCATAATTTTTAACTCAATCGACTGACTCACCAGCCATTTCAGGTTTTTATTTATCTTATCTCATCATTTTGCAATTAATCTAAAGACTTACGTCCCTAAAACTGTTTTCCAGCATTGATTTTGTGTTTTATAATGACAAAAATATCAACGCAAATTCAGTCTAGATAGTGAATTTACCACAGCAAGTCAAACTCACAGTTATAATAATGAAAATTGTACAAATTTTCTCGATAATTTTTCTTATCGGGTGCGTAAAGTCACAAGGACCAATTGTCATTCCAGATGACAGTGAAGTCTTAGAGTTCACAGTTCAAATTGAACGAGCTGCTTTGCAGGCAAATCAACAAAATATTTTCCTCAGTGTCGGAACATTGTTGACTTTATCGCATGTTTTGTCGCCTGGTCATATTTTTGACTTTCCATTCGTCAATGCCAGCAACCCAAACCAAATTGTCATCAGATTCCGTGGGAACCAACTTGGTCATGGATTTAGAGCTAGCCCAAATTTGATTACCAGACATCAGACAGCTGATTTGGCAATTTTGAGGATGACACATCGAGTTGATCAGCAGTTCCGTTTTGCACCAAGAAATCGTGTGGATTTGACATGGAATCGATTCTGTACAATTTATGGATTTGATATTGGCCAAGTGAATCCAACAGCACAACAACTTGTAGCTACATCAGCTATGATAAGGAACTCGACTGATGCAAGCTGTAACACTGGATTCTGTGCAATTGGAACTGTTGGACAATTTTCACATTGTGATGGATTTATTGGCTCACCAGTGACTTGTGATGGAGTTTCTGTAGCTGCTATTGTCACTGAGGATCACTTTTGTGCATTGACTACTGCAAGTGCTACTCTGTTCAGGCTTAGTGATCAAACAGAATGGATCAATACACACACAAGTGGAGCAAAGATTTCAACACAGTCATCAATTTTTGGGGTTATTTTGGGGGCTTTGTTGATGAGATTTATAGCCTAAGATGTGAATTTGATGATTTAATGTTGTTTTATTTAATTTAATTTAATTTTTAAAAAAATAAAGGATTTTTATTAAAATAAATGGTTGATGGAATTTTATTAGTTTTATCTTAATCTGCTGGATTTTAATAAGTAAGATAAGAGTTTTAGCTTTATTTTACATTACTTACTATTGATAAATAAGTGAAAATAAAAAAAATTAAAAAAAAAGATTAAAATTTCAAAAAAGTAAAAAATTCGAATAAATAAAAAAGTTTAAAAATTCAAAAAAAAAATTATAAACTCAAAAAAACAAATAATTAAAAAATAACAAATTTTTTCAAAAAATCAAATAATTTAAATAATTCAAATAATTCAAATGATTTTACAATTGTATAAGAACTTTACTTTATAGAATTTGGGTCGGAAGTTGACTTGGTTCTGACTTGGTTCTGATTTGGTTCCGACTTGGTTCCGACTTGGTTCTTACTTGGTTCAAATAATTCAAATAGTTCAAATAATTCAAATAATTCAAATAATTCAAATAATTCAAATAATTCAAATAATTCAAATAATTCAAATAATTCAAATAATTCAAATAATTCAAATAATTCAAATAATTCAAATAATTTTCAAATAATTCAAATAATTCAAATAATTCAAATAATTCAAATAATTCAAATAATTCAAATAATTCAAATAATTCAAATAATTCAAATAATTCAAATAATTCAAATAATTCAAATAATTTTCAAATAATTCAAATAATTCAAATAATTCAAATAATTCAAATAATTCAAATAATTCAAATAATTCAAATAATTCAAATAATTCAAATAATTCAAATAATTCAAATAATTCAAAAAATTCAAATAATTCAAATAATTCAAATAATTCAAATAATTCAAATAATTCAAATAATCCAAATAATTCAAATAATTCAAATAATTCAAATAATTCGCATAATTCAAATAATTCAAATAATTCAAATAATTCAAATAATTCAAATAATTCAAATAATTCAAATAATTCAAATGATTCAAATAATTCAAATAATTCAAATAATTCAAATAATTCAAATAATTCAAATAATTCAAATAATTCAAATAATTCAAATAATTCAAATAATTCAAATAATTCAAATAATTCAAATAATTCAAATAATTCAAATAATTCAAATAATTCAAATAATTCAAATAATTCAAATAATTCAAATAATCCAAATAATTCAAATAATTCAAATAATTCAAATAATTCAAATAATTCAAATAATTCAAATAATTCAAATAATTCAAATAATTCAAATAATTCAAATAATTCAAATAATTCAAATAATTCAAATAATTCAAATAATTCAAATAATTCAAATAATTCAAATAATTCAAATAATTCAAATAATTCAAATAATTCAAATAATTCAAATAATTCAAATAATTCAAATAATCCAAATAATTCAAATAATTCAAATAATTCAAATAATTCAAATAATTCAAATAATTCAAATAATTCAAATAATTCAAATAATTCAAATAATTCAAATAATTCAAATAATTCAAATAATTCAAATAATTCAAATAATTCAAATAATTCAAATAATTCAAATAATTCAAATAATCCAAATAATTCAAATAATTCAAATAATTCAAATAATTCAAATAATTCAAATAATTCAAATAATTCAAATAATTCAAATAATTCAAATAATTCAAATAATTCAAATAATTCAAATAATTCAAATAATTCAAATAATTCAAATAATTCAAATAATTCAAATAATTCAAATAATTCAAATAATTCAAATAATTCAAATAATTCAAATAATTCAAATAATTCAAATAATTCAAATAATTCAAATAATTCAAATAATTCAAATAATTCAAATAATTCAAATAATCCAAATAATTCAAATAATTCAAATAATTCAAATAATTCAAATAATTCAAATAATTCAAATAATTCAAATAATTCAAATAATTCAAATAATTCAAATAATTCAAATAATTCAAATAATTCAAATAATTCAAATAATCCAAATAGTTTAAAAAATTCAACTAATTTAAAAAGTCAAAAATTTCAAAAAATTCAAAAATATGCAACAAAAAAATTTTAAGAATTGAAAAAAGAAAAATAATTGAAATTTTAATTATTTTAAATAGTTATAAAAGCAAAAAAAAATTGAAATAAATTATAAAAGTTTCCACATTGTTTATAGTTTCACAAATATTATTCCCGCCATAATTCAAATACCAATCTAGTCAATCAACAAACTCAAAGTACCAGAATGTTTCCAAATTATCCAAAGATTCCCAAACTTTTTCATATAAATTTGCTTCTAATTCATCACAACATCAGCATTTAATCAACACCGGTAAACAAACCAGCTTGGAAATATAAAAAAATAATAATTTTATAAATTTAAAAACCAAATATTTAGAATTTAAATAGAAATAAACTAAAATTCATAAAATGTTCTACCATGTAAGTACGAATTAATGTTAAAAGTGAACTAATTTCACACAAAATTTAAAAAAATCTCAAAAATTCATTGAATTGTTTATCAAAAAAGTGTGAAAAAAAGTGGGAAAAATAATTTTTAATTTTTATTAACAAAAATCCATAATTTTGTCAATTTTAGATCGCCCTCGAGCATGAGATCCTCCTCCATCCGCGCTACTTTGGTCCACAACTTCTCGACACAGTCCGTCAAAAACTCTACACAGAAGTTGAAGGAACCTGTACAGGAAAGTACGGATTTGTCATTGCAGTCACAACAATCATCGACATTGGATCTGGAATTATTCAAGCTGGTCAAGGCTTTGTCGTCTATCCAGTCAAGTACAAAGCCATCGTCTTCCGACCATTCAAAGGTGAAGTCCTCGACGCTGTCGTTAAGCAAGTCAACAAAGTCGGAATGTTTGCAGAAATTGGTCCACTTTCGTGCTTCATTTCACATCACTCAATTCCAGCTGACATGCAGTTCTGTCCCAATAGTAATCCAGCATGTTATAAGTCAAAGGATGAAGACATTGTGATAGCTGCTGAGGATAAGATTCGATTGAAAATTGTCGGTACGAGGGTTGATGCGACTGGAATTTTTGCAATTGGAACTTTGATGGACGACTACCTTGGATTGGTTCTTAATTGAGGATTTGGCTTATTTTGTAAATTTATGAAAGAAAAAAAAATAAAAAATATTAAAAGCAAAAAATAATATTTTTTTAACTCTAAAGCAGTAATGCCCAACCGGTGCTGCATGGGACGCTTAGATCAGGAACGTACAGTAGCATAGCCAGGAATGAGGGTCTTTGAGGGGGTCTTATATTATTCTTGTCACATTATTTTTTGGATTTTAAAAGTCTGAATATTTATTTTTAAAAATTTCAATATTGAGGTGGAGGGGGGGGGTGAGAACTTATTAATCCCCCCCCCTCCCCTCCTCCAAACGTTCCCTTACAATATACATTAGATAGACTAAATTCTGCAATTTAATTCTTAAGTAAGAAGTTAATAACGCCCCTCCACTCAACCCCCCCCCCCCCCCCCCCCCAACCATCCCTAAAAATATACTTTAGATAAACTTAGTTCTGCAATTTAATTATCTTCCTATGTAGCATCTTCTCAATCCTAGCACTGTCATTATTTGGTGCAACTGAGACGGTAGACTTACCATGCAGCTACATTCATAATTCATATCCATTTGTTGACAGAATTTATTATTGCCATATAGGAGGTATAGTCAAAATCAACTCAAGAAATGAATTGGCTACATTTTCAGGAGATTATGAGCATGGATATGATAATGATAATGTCAATGGATTCATGGTCCAGTCAAATGTTTATTACTTTCCAAGTGGGCTGGACATATTTAAAAATCTATTCTACATCAATGTAGGAGATCATCTCAAAGATATTCGTCAAGTTAACATGAAACCATTTAATAAGTTGCGGACGCTCGTGCTACAAGGAACAATAGAAGTTCTGGAAGAAGGATTATTTGACAATAATTTAGAGCTGCAGTACATTGATTTAAAAGAGAACAAAATTTCTCACATTGACGCAAATGTTTTTAATAATTTGTCAAAATTGAGCTACTTCTATATTGACCGTAAAGCATGCATCCACATTTCGGTACACAACAGTTTATCAGAAGTTCAAAATGTCATCGCAAAAGTCAAAGAAAAATGCACAAATTCAGGTTATTTAATTATTAAACAAAAAATTGCAGATTTAAAGCTTGAAGCTGATTCCTTAACGTCAACAATTTTAGAGGATAAAATTAAAAATCTTGAAGACGAGGTCAAAAAATCTAAATTTTGCATTTATTTCGAGAAAAAATTGGAAATTTTGAAACTTTTTGTGATTGATGATTAAGCTTTATTTTACAAAATGGAGAAATTTGAGGTTAGGAGCATCTAAACTTGATGAAGGCAGAGATTGGGTTTCTTCGACTGCAAGTGTTGACTTTTACTGAAAGGTAGGAGGAGGGGCGTAGCCAGGAGGGTCTTGATCCCCCCTCCCCCCACCCCTCCCTTAAAAATTGTGCGCTCTAGCTGCGGTCCAAGACTTTTTGAGATGCAGACGCTCATGGCTACGCCCTAGATAGAAATATAGAAAAAGTTGAACTTACATTTTGAGAAACCCTACCCAGGGGTGCCAAACCTTTTTTTTACAACTAAATTTAATGTTAAACTTTTTAATAAATTTTTGTTAATCTTCAACAAAATAAAAACAGTTTTAAACAAAAAAAATTAAACTTTATTTAAAAATATATTCAATGATTTTATCTAGTTTGGTTCCAGGACTCTGCAAGTCTTTCAACATCATCTAATGAATATTCCTGAACTCTTTTCTTCATGTTAGCCACGACTAAGGTTGCGATTGATGCAGCTATAATTAAAATTCAATTAATTCAAGTTTCGAGGAATTCAAATAAAAGTTGCAAACCTTTTTCAGAATCGTAGTACTTAGTCAGCACCTTCTGCACTAAACTCTTTAAATCCACCTTCACTCTAGTCAGCATAATTTTACTCGTCTCACTGACTTTATAGTCATCCAATGTCTTGTCATCTTGAAGGACTTTCCCACTAAACAGCAACTTCATCTCCATCGTGGAAATTTTCTTCTCAATCTCAATTTTTGACTTTAGTGCTGCAACTGTCTCGGTTGGCTCGATTTGGATGAGGAACTCGTCGCCGTTGATTTCTTTTATTTTTATTTGCATTTTGTGATTTTTTTTGAGGTGGATTTTGTGCTGGTTATTGCGAGTTCTTGCTGGTTTTTGAAGTCTTTGTTGGATTTTTAGGTTATTTTGACGTCAGTTCCTTATTTTATAATGCTATGGACTCTAAATGCGACCCTATAAATGCAAAATTTAAATTTCAATAATTTTGGATTTTTTTCTAAAGTTTCCAAAACAAAATAGAAATTGGTAAAGCCGTCTTCACATGAAACTTTGTGAATCTTTCATAAAATATTGTACAACCTGAAGTTGGCTGCAAATCAAAAATTCTACTACATTATTCTCCTCAGCCGGCCATACACAAAATCTCAATCGGACAATTTAAACTTAACTCAAAATATTCCAGAAATTACGATGGGATTCGTATTGAAAACTATAAATGGCGACTTATTCTCAGCCACAGTGTCACTTGCACATTGTGTCGGAGCTGATTTCAAGATGGGAATGGGAATAGCTGTCAAGTTTCGTGATCTGTTTGGAAAAGTTGATTATCTAAAGAGTCAGAATGTAATGTCTAATGCTTAGTTGAGCTCCTTGTTGGGTGTTGCTTGCTATTTTAGATTTTTTGCTAAGATTATCCAAAATTATTCCAAAACTTTTAGCCCAACCCCATCAAAAATCATCCCTTAACTCATAAAACCATCAAAATCTCACATTCCAGGTCAAATCCGGTGGCTGTGCAGTCCTAAAAGTCCAAAATCCAGACAGATACATTTACTACTTAGTGACGAAGCCAATGACAGCACCAGGTGTACTTCCAAGCTATGATTCACTAGAAAGTTCACTAAAATCAATGAGGGATCATATGGTAGCTAATGATGTCAAGCAGGTTGCGATGCCACAGATAGGTAAGTGGATATTTGGGATTGAATCTTGTCAAGGCATTGGATTAAGTCGCTGGGGTAAACCAGACGGTCTCTAGTGTCTTTTTGAGCAGACAATTCGTGAAGGATACTCCATGATTTATCTCAAAATTTTTATTGACTATGTTTCATGCCTATAAAGACCTTTTAAGCCTTCGCTAGCAATTGCACTGTAGACAATCTTCAGGTTAATGCCTTCTGGGTCTACAGAGATGGTTGTCTTGGGATGTGCTACAGAATGTTACTAGAAATTACAATTTTCTGATGTTTATTGAATATTTTAGGCTGTGGACTGGACAAGCTACAGTGGGACGAAGTCGAGAAGAGATTGAGGAACGTCTTCCAAAATGATGACATTCAAGTTGATGTTTATGTTTACTCACCAGGAAAATAAAGACTATTAAGTACTAAGCTATGTTGTTTTACTTATTAAGAAGACTCAGTTTAACTGAGGTGCACCTAAACATAGCCACAGTTCATCCTGCTCCCCCCAAAAATCAATAAAATCATTCTTTTTTTTTAAATGCGACTTGTTTTTATTTTCACATTTCTTTTTTTCAAAATGAAACGAACAAAAAATGAAATTTCCTTTTTTTGCACAAATTTATTTCTTTTTAAACACAATTACACTTTTATTGGTCGTTTAGAAGCGCAATTTTGTGAAGAACCACTTGTTCTTGCCGCTCTTGTAGCGATCCTCGAAACGCATGCGGATTTGGAAACGTGCCTTCTTACGCTTAATTGGATCTTTCAAGTCCTTTACGCTGTATTTACTATCAAGTGTCACTTCTGGTACACTGTAACGTGTTGGCATGAGATGATTGTAGTTTACGAGCTGGAATGGGCGAGAAAAGTGTGATTAGTTTTGTGGATTTTTTGTGAATATAATGCAAGAATTCAATGCTGGATGTTATGAGGAGCTAATCAATCAGCATTGATCAACATGATAAAGCGTCAAATTGAGTACAACCAAGACTTAATTCTTAAGCTAGCTGGAGGACTCTGGTCAATAGATTGTTGATTTCAAAGAAGAATAGGCTGAAGACTCATAAAAATTGACCTCTGGATTATCTATGCCATTATCTATGCCTAGTCTAGCTCCTAATCTACTTATTTTCTGTTATGTGAGCTTATATACAGCACTATGAGCCATTAGCTTTATGAGTGAGCCTAAACAGATCATCTTGAAGGTCAATAGACCGCTTTGTAAGTCAATAGACTTTATAGTAACTAAGGAGGAGTATTTACATAGAAGCCAGACTCAGTTTGGAGACAAACTCCATTTCATTTGCATCAAGTCACTCGCATGAGTTCTCCCCGAGTCAAATTTGACATATTTGAGTTCATTATTGCAGGACTAGACCAACTGTTCTCGACATAGCTACAAAAACTTATAGACAGTGCTTTCATATGAACTAAGAACAGCAGTTAAGAGTCAAATTCTTCAAACTTATTGATAGGAACATGCTGCATCAATACTATGCCTCCCATCCTTTCAAGAGTCATGAGAACTATAATTTGCTGCCTAAAATTGCCTAGGTAATCCCTGGATCAACATATGATCTTCATAATTGACTAATTATCCTCATAACAACAATAAGCTCCAATCTAATCTAATCCCAACCCGAACAAGCAGCATTAATATCAAATACTAGCCAGACACCCGCCCATACAAACAGTCAACTCACCTTAATGAATGGCTTTATTCTACAATTCTTATGAACTTTAGATTTATTCATACGCCTCGTTACACGACGTGGATAACGATCGATGCCAGCAACAAGTGCTTGTCCAAACATTTTCTCTGATGTTCCATCATCCAATGTCTTCATGATGATCGCTTTGCGACCAGCATATCGCCCGCTCAGCACGAGCACAACCTTGCCAGATTTCATAATCTTGCCCATTTTTGTTTTTGTTTACTGAAATTTGTAAAGAATAATTTTTTTTGTGGTTAGGTTTTTTGTTATGAAAATAAAAAGTCGGAGTGAATTTAAAATTTAAAGGTTTTTGAGGTTTTTTGAGTAGATTTGATGGGAAATTTTGGTGTGGATGGAAAATTTGTGAAACTTTAGCTCATAAAATTGATTTAAATTGAAAATTGTGCAAAAAATTTTTTCGACTTCACAAAACACACGAAAGAATTTTTTTAAATTAATTTATTTAACATTTCTGCGAGAATTTTTGAGAATCTTTCACTGAATTTGGGTGACATCCTGAGCTGTGAGATGCTCGCGACAATTTCCACAAATTTTCCTTCACATTTTCCATCAATTCTTTAATTTTTAATAATTATTTTGTGAAACTTACGTCCTGTCGACGCACGATGGGTAAGGAAAAAGAAAGAGATAGAGTTTTCGACAGGGGAGGTTGGCTATGTCGATGGAGTAAGGGGTGTGCAAGAGCTCTTTTTATTTTAATAATTTTTTAAAAACTAATTTTGATCAATCTTTTGATTTTCGATTTTTACTGCATTTTTAAAATCCAATTTTAATTGGATAGTGAAAAAAATCGACAATTTAATGGATTTTCAAGCTACAGCTAAAAGCCGTTACAGAAAATTTTGAAAAATTCATACTTGAGTACCCCTTTTTGTAAACTAATTGAGATTATTGGTCTTATGTTATAAACTTTTCTGTTTACATCAACAAAAAATAATTTTTTATTTCACAAATTGTCAATTTTAATAAAAATTCCACTCTTTATTCCAAGATTGAAATGAATTCCTAACCTAAAAGTATAAAATATAACAAAAATTGGCGATTGCCTCAATTAAGACTTATTACTGTGAATTAAAAAAGTGAAAAGTCAATCAAAACAAATCAAAAAGTTGCAGAAAAATCTGAACAACTCAATTAAGTAAGGTTGAACAGACTTTAAGACACTCGATACTACAACAAAGTAACTCCAAATCCACCTAAACTTCCCCAAAACCCTCAACATCATGAACACAATCTGCCGCCTCTGCATCACCAAAACACCAGCTCTCACCTCAGTATTTTCATTCAAAAATGACCGTCTCATAGCCGACATGATTGCACTTATATGTCCAGTTAAAATTGATCCATGTGACAGCTACCCAAAGAGTGTCTGCCTGTCATGTCTGCGGATTGTCACAGAAGCTTATGAGCTGAGAGAAAAAAGTGTTCAAAGTGATGTCAAATTAAAAACTGGAATGGTTCAAAATTTAAATCAATTGGAACTTCCAAAGACGACTAGATCCTCAAACATTAGAAAATCTACAGAACCAGCAAAGCTTCCAGAAGTAGCGAACATAAAAGTTGAAAAAGATCCATTTAATAGTGCGATTGAGTTTGTGGATGAAAGCTTTCCACCTGACGATGAGGAATATGAGTCAAATGAGAATGGAAATGACTATGATGATGATGATGATGATGACTACCAAGAAATAATTCCAGTTGAACCAAATGTAGCCAAAAGATTAAAATATGAACGAATCAAAATCGGTGAAGTCACGAGAGTCAAGTGTCATTATTGTGACAAGATCTTCTCAAATACACAAAATGTAAAGAGGCACATGATAACTGATCATGAGAATAAGAAGGATAACTCAATATCTTGTCATCTTTGTGGCGCTTACATATCACATAAGACTAACTTGAAACGTCATATTAAGATGCATCATCCAGGTTAGTAGATTTGTTTTGGTATTGATTGAAGCTCAGCTTATATGAAGCTCAGCTTGATTGAAGATCAGCTTTACTTATACTTAGCTTGACTGACGCCAAGCTTGACCGACGCTCAGCTTTATTTATGCTCAGCTTGGTGAAGCTCAGTTTGACTGAAGCTTAGCTTGACTGATGCTCAGCTTTATTGAAATTCAGTGTGACTGACGCTCAGCTTGATTAAAGTTCTGCTTGAATGACGCTCAGCTTGAATTAAGATCAGCATAATTGACTTTAGCTCTACTGATACTCAGCTTTATTGAAACTCAGCGTGACTGACGCTCAGCTTGATTAAAGCTCAGCTTGAATAATTCTCAAATTGATTAAAGTTCTGATTGAATGACGCTCAGCTTTATTGAAGTTCAGCTTGACTGACGCTCAGCTTTACTAAAACTCAGCGTGACTGACGCTCAGCTTGATTAAAGCTAAGCTTGAGTAATTCTAAAATTGATTAAAGTTCTGATTGAATGACGCTCAGCTTTGTTGAAGTTCAGCGTGACTGACGCTTAGCTTGACTGATGCTCAGCTTTATTGAAGTTCAGCTTGACTGACGCTCAGCTTAACTGAAGCTCAGATTGACTGAAGCTCAGCTTGACTGAAGCTCAGCTTGACTGAAGCTCAGCTTTACTAAAGCTCGATCAAAATTCAGCATTCTACAAAAAATTCAACCGTTTTTTTCACTTTCTTCTCAACAGAATACAACCAACAAGCTTCTTCCAAACACAAATCCGAACATCTCAAAGACATCGTCAAAAACTCATCAGACCTAACCAAACAAGTCTTTGCGACACCAAAGAAACAGAAATATATGGAATACATTACCATAACTTCACTTGAGAACGACAACTGCTTCAAATATCAATGCCTGATTTGCATGAAAGACACTGGCAAGTCAAAAATTTGGTCACAAAATATCAGCAACGGTGGAACATCAAACATTCGAAGACATTTAAGTACGAGTCATCCTGATGATTTTCAGAAGCTTGAAGCTAGTATTAATGGGGTTGGCTTGCTGCCAACGCTTGATGATTTGAAGTAGTTTGGAGTTGGATTGTCATTATTTAAAACATTATAAATATTGAAATAAAAGTTTAAAAAATGAATTTTAAGTTTTGTTGATTTAGGAGCTTAAGGTAGGCGGCAAGCTAAGAACCAGGACAGTCAGACCAAGTAATCGTATGCAATAAACACTCTGACATGTTCCAAATCCCAAAAAGTTCCACAAAACCTCCAAAATTATCTTCTTTTTCAATTCCGATCAATCACATCTCAAATATCACTTTTGCAACAGATTTGTCAATTCAGTCTCGTCGCAGTCTTCAAAGTCTCAAGTCGATCAATAGCCAGCGAGAATATTTGTTCATTTAATTAGCCTTGAGACAGCTTATTAGACATCATTTAATAACGATTTAATTTAAATAAAGGTTGAGAGGTGAAAAGTGGATGGACTGAATTTGAGAATTGAAGCTTGTTTGTTGTGATAAAGTTTTGAGGACAAATTGCTGGAAATTTGCAGGAATTCAACTTAAAAACTTGATTTTTTGAACTTTTTAAGCAATGAAAATTCCAAAAGTCAATCGAGTCTTTTACTTTCTGAACCTAAAGTTAGGAAATCAGATCTTCTGCTCAGCATACATCGCTCTGTATGTTTTTGTGATATCATTTGGATTGTATGAGCTGTTTGAGTACTATGCATTTAAGTATAGGCCACTGAACTTGGGTAAGTGAAGGCTTGGAACTCAAGAAAGCCAGTTTCTTAGATATATCTTAGTTTAGGAGTGCTATAAGGACACCCCGCCCCCTTATTTGGTGTCTTTGTCATTGATTATCATTAGGAACCAGGCACGATAGTACAGAAAGCTACAGAAAACTTAAGAATCTAGAAGATAAAGACACAAAATCTTTAAAATTCATCTTCCTTTTAATTCCAGCAATCACTTTGATCATTGTTGCCGTATTGTCAACATTCATAGCTATTTGTGGGATTTTTTTGAGCGGAATGAAGCATGTAAGCTCAATTTTATCATTTTTTACAGCAGTTCCTGTCTTAAATACCAAAATTCCTATTTTTTACCAAATGTCCTTGCCTGAATTATAAATAAAATAGCTTTGACCTAAGAACCTCTCTCCCGGATTACTCAAGTCTGTTAATCGATTAGGAATCTGACGCCAAGCTGCCGTGGATCTACATTCAGAGAGTCGCACCAGCTTGACATTGGATTTCTCATTAATCAACCTACTTGTGCTTTCCATGCCTCTTCATCCTAAAAGTCATGACAAAATAACTATTTTACTATCAATAATTTTAGAATCACATCCACAAGCTGCTCCCCTACATCCTTAAAACAATCATCTTCGGATCAGTTCTTCTCATCCATGGCATCTTGGACCTCTCATGGAAGGCCATCCTAATGTCAATCATATTTTTTTACACATCCTTATGCAGCTATTCTGTCTACAAAAGGATTGAAATTGATGGACAATTAGACAATTTTCAGATTAATACGAACTTTCAGCAGTTGAAGGAGACTTTGGATGCTCCGAGAGTGGCAGTTGGAATGGGAAATGCTGGACATCATAAGGCTAATTTGCTGGTTTATCAGGAATGAGGGAATTATTGACATGTGTGAACTATTCCGTCCATTTTTGATAAATTTCAATAAAATTTTGAATTTTCATATTTTTTTTCAATTTATTTTGGGGTTTGTTCATAAGTTACGAATTCGAAAAAAAGTTGAATTTTGACAAATTTTCATGAATTTAGACTAAAAGTTATCAAACATGTTAAACATTCCCTCGCCCTTATCCACTTGAATCATTAGACCTCGTTTATGATTGACCCCAAAACATTTTGAATTTAGATTTCTTATTCTTCATTGTGTCACACAATCGACACATTTCGATTCAAAACACAACAAATTAATTAAATTAATTAATCAATCTCAATTAAGAATTTTCAGATGAATAAAATCTTAAATAGTGTCAATGTATAGAAAATATTAATTCATTAGTTGAGTGCATTTTGAGCTGTTTTGATCAAGTTTTGACTTTTTAAAAAAAAATTTAAAAAATTTTAAATTTGCCTCAAATTTGAGAGAAAAAACATTTAAAAAACTCATAAAAAGTTAAAATCTGGAGAAAAAAACTTAAATCCCCAGAAAATGCCACAGCCAATATTCAAAAAGTTCTGTTGCTGCTGCGACTTATCAACTGGAAACACAATTTATGCCTACTTTCAATTCTTTGTGTCTTTAATTTCAATTGGAATCGGAATTATGAAGTTCATGACAACGAAAGCTGAGCAGAAAAGCGATGGATACTTTTTTGATGTTCCTGATGAGTTGAAGCCATTGTTTGCTAGTGGACCATGTGAGTATGGCTTAAGGCTGCTTGGTCTCTAGGGTTGTAGCTAGCGAGGGACTGTTGGGGTCAAAACTGATACAATTTTGTGATTTTATTTAATTCGCTAGGGTTCTTGAGGAAAAAAATCCAAACTTTTTCTTTAATTCTTCGAAAAAAAAAGTCTTTAAGCCCTGCCTCAAAAAAGTTCTAGCTACGCCGCTGTAAAATCCTTAAAATGTATTTTTTCAATTTTTGCAGTATTCAACTTGTCGAGAATCTTAATTGGATTCATATCTGCAGCTATATTCCTAATATTCATTGAAGGAATCAAGAAGGTATGTCTCAGATAACATCTCTGCCTTTGGTCACAAGAGGGCTGTCCATAAATGACGTTCATGAAGAAGTATGACTTTTTGACCCTCTCTCAGCGTTTTCACCAATTTTGTTTGAAGAATGTTTTGTTTGAAATGTCACATTCCCCCACAAATCTCCCCTCCCCTCCCACAACTCCCCACTCCTCTCCCACAACTCCCCCCTCCCTTCTCACAACTCCCCCTCCCCTCCCACAACTCCCCCTTCCACTAATGATCCTCCTACATTACATTTTTGACCCCAATTCAATGTTAGACCCTGCCCATCCCAAATTTGGACCAATCCTCGACTTCCCACCTTCCCCCCCTCGTTCCATTTTAGACCCCCCTCGTATAAAAAATTAAATATTTGACGTCAATTTATAAACAGCCTCTAATGATTATAACTCAATCTTTCAGGAAGAAGCATCAAAAATGGTCGCATATCTGTTCTTCAAGACAATCAATCTGTTCTTCTACTTTATCTACATGCTGCACTTAGCTTCGTTATCTTATATGATGCTCATAGCCACCACAATCCTGTTAATTGAAGTTTATCTCTTCTTTTGTGCTTACTCGATATATTTGCAGTTTGTGAAGCCAGATGATGGAAGTGACAGTGAAGTGGACTTTTAAGATCAAAGCTGGATGGAAATTAAATTTTAGAATATTTTTAAGGATTTTTTTTTGAATTTTCTTTATTTAATGATTAAAAGATTTATAAAATTGTAAAGAATAAGTCAATGTCCGTGGTCTGTGCCTTAATGATCCCATTTTAGCTGTCAATCTTCAGAGCTTTCATGATATTTGTCAATTTCTGGTTCAGTTCCTCAATGTTCTTCTCAATCTTGTCAGTCCTCAATCTGATTGCATCCAAAAGTTCAGCATGATCAGCCTTGACCTCGTCTTTAAAGTTTTGCATCTGTCTGAGTGACAAAGTTCTTGTATTTTCAACATTTTCTTTGAGAATTTCCAATTTTGTGTCCATGGCTTCAGTAAGTGCTTCAGTTCTGTTGTCAATTCTTCCAATGGCTTCACTTTGGTTCCTCAAAGCTTCAGTAAAGGCTTCACATTGGTTGTTGTTGTTGCTGAATGCTTCATTCGATGGCTGGCCTATTAAATCCTTTAAACTTGATGCAATGTTGTCGATTTTTGATTCCAGTTCTAAGCATGATTCGAAATTGATGCTTTTTGGTGTTGTTGAAGTTGTTGTTGGAGCTTGTGTTGTTGTTGTTGGAGCTTGAGTAGTTGTTGGAGGTTGTGTTGTTGTTGTTGTTGTGGTGTTTATATTACATTGAGATTTTATAGCTTGAATGACATTTTTGACTTCTGATATTGAATTTTTAGCTTCTTTGGAAATGCACAGATTAGAATGTAAGGAAAGGTCTCTTAATTTAGTTAAATGATCAAAGACATTCGGTCCGATGTAGACAATTTTGTTGTAATTTAAGCCAATGTAATGTAAATCAGGATTAAAGTCAAAAAGACCCTCTTCGAGAACTTCCAGATCATTAAAACGCAAATAAAGCTCAACTAAATTAGGAAATGGCTTCAAATCTTCTTGATGGACTTCCTTTAAATTACAGTCATAAATTTGAATGATTTTAATAGTTTTAAAGAAAGTTTCTAAACCACGCGGGAAATAATTTATGGTTCTTGAATAGGCATAAAAGCCACCGACATCAGAATTTGTCATTCCATTTTGATGAGTTCCAGAAATGGAAGTTATTGCCGCTGATTCTCGAGTTGTTATCCTTGGATTTTTATTGACTGGGCAGTGATATACATTTTGAACAATGTTCCAATCACGAGTCTTGTAGCTGCACTCAATGCTTGTCGATGCTGATAAATCTAAATTAACTCCAATGACACAAAACAGCAAGCTGGGCAGTAACAAAAAAATCGTAAAATTCATCTCAGGACTTAAAATTTAATAAAATACTTACAGAACAATTTTAGTCATGTTTATTGCTTCTCGGTTCCTTTTCAACTTTTTTTTTTACAATTTTCAGCACTTTTTGGATTTTATTAAACAATATTTTGATAAGAAAGTCCAGCTGTGATTCAAACTTAAGTCCACTTAGGTCAAAAGTCGATCGCAGAATGAATTAGACAAAATGAGAAATTTAATAAGCTATGGACTGAGCATCAATATTTGAGCTCAAAGAGAGTGCAAAAATTAAAATTTGAGAATAGCTGGATCAGACGACCCGTTGTGAGAAACCTGATTCTATTAAACCTTTGACATTGGCAAAATAAGAACGAAGATTATAAAAATTTTATGTTTTTTTTAGAAGCTCCGATCTTGTAAGCACCAAAAAGGGTCATTCTTTACACTTTGTCTGTCCGTCTGGCAGTCATTCTCTCCCTTTTTGGATTTCAAACATATTTGATTCTTTTTTTTCATTTAAAGGTTTGTTGTGTCCATAAAGCAGTGATAACCACCACAACAACCTAACATGATGTATTTAATCCAGTGTTTCTCAAACTTTTTTGGTCCACGGCACCTTTTTCATAAAATTTTACGTCAAATAAACATGAATATAAAGAGTCAATTTAAGCAATCCATATTCTTCGTGTCACACAGTTCGAGAATCACTGATTTAAACCATTAAAATGCCAATGACTCTTTTGCTTCCGCATTTCTTTCAAGACTGTGCCGCCATTGAGTCTCGAAACGTCATCGATTATTTCTGTTGACTCATCTCCAAATGGATGGAACGAAAATTGTGTCAAATTCTGTTTTTTTTTTGTTCCTCACATGTGGATTTGGGGAATGAAGATGCAAAGATTTTGGCAATAAGAACCAGATCAAGCAGATTATGACACAAAGTATTTGAATTACACAAATTTTTTGACTTCCTTGATGTTAGCTTTTTAGAATCAGACATGCGCTTAGCATGCAGTAATAGCCAATATTACTGTTGTAGGCAGACAACTTGGCATCTTGAATCCAATTTAGACAATGTGGAATGTCAGTAATGTAATGGATATTGGGACAGTCGCATTGTGCTTGTGGAATTTCTTCATATTTAAAACTTAGTCATGATTTAGTGTCAATTAGCCTAAAATTCAGGTAAGTTTGGGACAGAAAATCATGTTAATCTGACCACCCGTACTTAAATGATGTCCAATTTTTAATAAATAAAGCTTGGGCTTTTGAAGCTGTCTTGATTTTGAGTTACTCATCAAAAACTAGAAAACCCTTCAAAATTGACATCATTTATGAACTTCCCCTATCAAAAACTTTCATAATTTTTCTTCCCATCCAGCAATGACCCTCAGAAAATGCTGCTTTTGCTACGATCTCCGCAAAGGAGTCATCATCCTCGTCTACCTTCAAATGCTCTTGTACTTCCTCAAGTTACTCTTCGTCCTGTATCTCCTGACTTCATTCATTGCCAATACAAACTCAGAACATCCACAAAATGAGGAGGAAGAAGAAGCGATCGAGGAAGTTGAAATAAAAAACTTTGATTTTGAGAAATTTTATTTTGAAACTTTTGTGATGGAGAGGAAGTACACAAAATATAGGAAATTTGAGCTTGACACAACAAATGGTGAGGATTTTGAAGGTAGTGGTGGGAAGGGGTGGAGGTTTAAAAATTCTGTTGAGTGTGGAGCAGGCTTCTATCCAGGGGGATTTGAATTTAAATAAGAAAATTCAAAGGAGATGTGAATGTTTCAGTGGTGGAGGCAAGGGAGGTATTTGGAATCAAAACCCACCCCCCCCTCCCTTACCCCTCCTCCGAACCAAACAAATGGAGAAAGAAATGCAAAATCACCGTTAAAAACTATTAAGACTACGCACATGACCCCTCTCCTTATATACCCCCCTCCCTTCATTACCCCCCCCCCCTCTGTTAATACCTCCAACCAACAATCTTGAAGCTTTTTCTGAAATTTATGACTTTTTTGTCATTTTTAACTTAGCTGAGCTGCTTAAGCATGTGATTGCCATCAGTGTGTGCATTTTGGTCATCAAAGGAGTCCAAAAAGTAAGTTTAAAACGTGAAGGCTTAAATATCATAAAATTTGAATTTTATTTTCATTATTCCACAGAACCAGCCACTCAAAATATTCCCATTCATGATTTTCTCAGCATTTGACATCGCCTACAATGTTGTGTTTCTGATACTTTCAAGTAGCAACAGAAACTCATCCACCATACTTGATACAGTTTTTCTTACCTACACAATCATTTGTGTTAGATCCTTGTACTGTCGAATGTTGACTGAAACTAAGTTGGCTGCAATTTGTGTGGCATGAAGGAATTTAATGAAGCTATTGTGGCTACACTTGAGTCGCTGTTGACCAAAAAGTGTTGTAGGAGCCGATTAGGGTGTCTAGAGTTATGTTTAGAGCCGCTGTTTGGAATTTTGATACTGTTTGTTGGTTTGATATGCTTTTATAAGGAATGGGACTGTTTGGACTTGATTGAGACGGTTTGATACTGCTTGGAATGGTACTAAGGTACAGCTGTGATTTGAAATTACATCGGAGACAACACTTCAGTTCCTCAGAAAGGTAGTAAGGAGCGTCTGGACCCCTTTAAACGTTTTGAACCGTGCTCTTGCTGCGGTTTAAACAGGCTCAAAACGTTTAACGAGGGTTCAGACCTTCCTGGCTACGCCCTTGCAGCCAGTACAAAAGAAATCAGCCACAAAATCACTTAAATATCCAAGAATAATGAATAAAAACATTAAAAATGAAGAAATAAAATCAATAAAAATTCTGTTAACATTTGACTTATTATTCCTCATTTTTTATACAGCTTTGGATGCCTGAATGTCTGGTTTAGCATTGATTGGAGCTTTTCTTTTATTTTATTCAATTTTATTCAAGAAAATCTGATTTTACTTCAAGTTTTGATTACAGAGCATCATATAGAGGCACAATAGTAAAGCAAAGCATCCAGTGGACCCCTCAAATCACCATCCACATCCTTTCCTCGCCTCAAACTATCAAAAATCACGAATATTTTAATGTGTCTGCATCATGTCTGACCTCGAATTGAGGATAATCTCATCACAATATAAGTAATATCTATTCTAAGCATCCACCAGTCAGTTCTTTAAACACCCAACGACCTTGAGTTCCATTTTACTTCATCCTCATTGGAAAGACTTTCCAGCATGCGCTAAGAGTGAAAAAAAAAATCAACAATTTCGCTCGTTTTGCGGAAATTCCTTTTATGAAGCAAGAATGACGACAGCGAAGATGATGACGATGAGTCAGTCTGATCACGGACGTTGTGAGGTTTGAATCGTCATATCTAGTAGAGTGGAAATTATTAAGTTGTGGATTATTAAAATGAAAATTTAAGAATTTTAAAACATATTAGATAGTGGAATTAATTAAGTCAATTATAGGAATTTAAATTAGATAAAAATATAAAATTGTAAAAAAGTGAAAAAAATTATTTAAATAAAATATAAAAAATTAAAGTTATTTCAAAAAATATTTTATAGATTTTATAAATTGAAAAGTTTTGAAAATATATATGAAAAATTGAGAAAATTTAAAAAAAGTTTAAAAAATTGAAAAAATTAAAAAACAAAGTTTAAAAAATTGAAAAAATAAAAAACAAAGTTTAAAAATTTGAAAAAATTAAAAAAACAAAGTATAGAAATTTTAAAGTAAATTAAAAAACCTTCAATAAATTCAATTAAAGCCAAAGAAACTTCAAAACTTCCAAAAAATAATTCATCATGGCTCTAAAAATGCCAGAATTTAAGCCACCAACTTTAAAAAGTTTCCTATTTTACTTCAACTTAATCACTGCAAATGTCGTCATAGCTTGGATTCACTTTGCAGTTTGTATCTTAATAATTTTGGAATTCTTATATTTTCTGGTTTTTAACACGTCGAAAGAGTTAAAAGTTGAAAATATTGACATTAAAGTTGATCCTGAGGAACATGACGAGTTTACGGATACATTTGATATTAGTAAGTTTTATAAACAAATTTAAAAAATTTTAAGAATTGAATTATTTTTGAAAAAGTTAAAAATTTTGAAAAAAATTGTACAATTTTAAAAAAGATGAAATTTTTGAACAATTTTAAATTTTTTTGACAAATTGAAAAAATTTAAAAAAAAATTGAAATTAGTTTTAAAAAACAAAAAAGGAGAAACATTGAAAAAAAAACAAAAATGATTAAAAAATTGAAAAAATTGAAAATTTTGAAAAATTGAAAAAATTGAAAAATTGAAAAAATTGAAAATTAGGAAAAATTGAAAATTGAAAAAAATTAAAAAATAGGAAAAAAATTGAAAAAATAAGAAAAAATTTGAAAAAGCTGAAAATTTTGAAAAAATCATAAAAAATTGAAATAATTTTTTTCAAATATTAAATTCCAGTCTCTCGCCTGATAATCCTCGTCGTCGTCGTCTTTGTAGCTTTCATCACATTCTGGTTCATTAAAGGCATCCAATCTGTAAGTCATTTCAACATTAGTTCCTTTCAATTTTCAACAATAATTCTCACTTATTTTTCCAGTACGATCCATCAAAAATGAAGCCTTACTTATTCTTCACTGGAACTTTCGTCATCCTTTGTTTGTGCGCAGCAATCGTGACTTTAAACTTCATAACACTCATGATTGGTGTTGTTGAGCTTTACTTCTTCATTTGTGCTTATTCGCTGTATTTTAATTTATTAAGTGACCCAAGCATCCAGCAAGACGTGGTCTACAACAATCCAGGTGCATATGGATATACCCAAGCACTTGAATCTGATGGACATGTCAATGGAGCTGTCAATTATCAAACTCATCAGCAACAACCACAACAGACTGATGGATATTATAATCAGGAAGGGTATTATGAAGATGATCGACATGAACAGCAGCAGCCACAGCAGCCATATTATAATGGACAGCAATAAACTTAATCACTGATCAGTTTCTTGACAATAAAGCTATTAAAATGTATTTCAAGAATTAATAAAAAAAAATTAAGATAATGTTGAAAATAAATCATAAAACCTTTTTGAATTAGTTCATACAACCGCATTCCCCCTCCCCACTTGACCCCCCCCCCCCCCCCCTTGACCCCTCCCCCTTAATTTTTTCCAACTTTGTCTTCAGAATCTTCATAAAAATGTATCTTTAGAACTCAAATCATTTTGCAAATTGTGTTTGTGTTTATTTTTAGAAAATATTTTTTTTTTGTCGTTTGACCTTGAAAAGCAGAGAATTTTAAAATTTCTCAAGTGGAGTAAGTTGCTTGAGATTTAGTAGGAAGAATAAAGACTTCAAGTTCAAATATTGGGGATTATAAGTTGCTTGTAGGAGGGGAGCAGTGTACGCAGAGGAAGTTAAGCTGTTGTGTTGGTTTGCAGTTCATGAAAGAGTGTCCTGCTTAACACAGCTTCATGCAGGGGGATAACAACTTGGAGGAAAAAGTGGTCGATGGAAAAAAATTTCGTCAATTTTCCACCGCGATTGAAATTTTTCATCGATCACTTTTTTTCACCAAGTCATGTTCCCCCTGCCTTCTTGCTTGATCAATCTAAAATATGATACTGTGCGCTAGTCACAAGTACTAGGTGTGTCTCGAAACATTCTGGTTGGGTTCAACTCCATCCTATTCAATTTTTAAAAAAGTTTTGAATTCGTTTGCCAGCTTTGCAGCACAGCTATAGATAGTGATTAGCATATATAATCGTCCTAATTATCATTAATTGTTCCCATAGCTACAATAGCTTTACATTCTCTCATCTGACAAAAAACAGAAAGCAACACATATGAAATTCATTAGCAACTTGACTGATGCAGTTGTGGTCAACTGGTGTGTCACGACCTAAATTAATGTTGTGATACCATTTCTGTGACTTTACATTTTTAATGAAACAGGGACTGTAAACTTTCTTAAGCCATGAAAAGCATGGACCAGTGATGGTCAACCCATGAGCCACGGTACTCTAGTGTCGAGAAATCCCACGAACTGCATGGTGTGTGCTTGTTCGTGGATTATCATCAAGTTGTGCATTAGGTTTAGAAAAAGGTTGTGCATTACTGTCATGAACCCTAGCTGCAAACAGGTTAGCCATCAGTGGGCAATCTCTTCAACTCAAGAATGGATCGTATCTGATATTTTTCAGAGGAATTACGTTCTCATTCAATGTTACAAAAAAGGTTGAGCACCTCTGACTTAATGCGTTGCCTATTCTCTCACATTTGCCAAAAAATAAATTTTTCTTTTCTTATGGAAAACTCTTTTTTCGTTTTCAGTTTTTTGTGAAAATTGTCACCGTTCAGACGATTTTTTTTTCTTTTTCATCTGTTTTTGAGTTTCTAGAAATACAAAAAAAATTATCAATTTTTTTCATCTTTGTTGTCAGTCAGTTTCCCGACTTGTTGCTTACTTTTTAACTCTAATTTGATTTTTTATTTGTAGATTGCTACATTTTTGGCTGAATTTTGAGTAAATTTCGTCAATCAAAAAGACTTTAAATGCTGGAATCATTCCCAGAAAGTAAAAATATGTCCAAAAAGATGCGACGTCCAGTTGTTAACAATTGCTTCTTCTGTTTTGACCTTAAAGTTGGATGCTGTGTCTACTCAGTCGTGCAAATAGTTTTATACTCACTTGGACTTATAGTTGCATTTATTAAGCTTGGATCACAGCAAAGTTCACAACCAAAAAATTCAAATTTGAGCTTACCAAAAGAAGTACCTGAAAATATAATCCAAGGAGCACTCAATGCTACACTGCAAGGAACATTTAGCGGGAAGATTTTGGTGTCATTTGAGGGGACCTTCAGCAATTCAACACAGGAGTCAGTTGACCAAAACAAATCAAATGGATTTTGTAAGTTTTTTGTTCTCATTTAAGCGTTTTTTGGGTCAATTGAACTTAAAAACTGTAGTTCAAAATTGTCTGATCTATGAAAACATTATGTAAAGGCACCTGAACCTCAACAAACTAGTTTAAGGGCGTCTTACTCTAGCAACTTGAGTTTAAAGCCACCTTAACTTGAAAACCAAAGTGTGAGAGTACCTGAACCACAAAACTTAAATGTGAAGGCATCTGAACCCAGCAACTTAAGTGTTAAGGCACATTAACCTAGTATGTCAAGTGTGAAGGCACCTAAACCCAGCTGCTTTATTGTGAATATACCTGAATTTGTGAACCCTAGTGTGAATGTACATGATCTTTAAAACCCTAGTAGTGAAGGCACCTGAACTTTAAAACCCTAGTTGTGTAGGCACCTGCGCCTAGCTACTCAAGTGTGAAGGCACATGCACCTAGTGTATCAAGTGTAAATGCACTAAAAGTCATAAAAACTATTGTAAAAGCACCTGAACCAAGCAACTTTAGAGTGAACGCACCTGAACCAAGCAACTATAGTGTGAACGCACCTGAACCTAGATACTATAATTTGAAGATACCTGAACCTTGCTCCTACAGTGTGATAACACCTGAACCAAGCTATCTTATTGTGAAGACACCTGAGTAAATGTCCCCTAGTGTGAATGCACCTGAACTATAAAAATCTAGTTTTGATGGCACCTAAACTTTAAACCCCTAACGTGAAGGCACCTGAACTTAACCATAAATTACCAACTTACTTTTATTATTTCATTTCAGTTCTCCTGATAGTCATTGTGTGCCTTACAATCATTGTGGTAAATTCGTTGTTTGTGAATGGAACGTATTCTGTAAGAACCTTGACGCTTTTTGCTACTAAATGATAAATTTTTTGAAATATATTTTAGAACAGCGCTGCATCCTTAGTTCCATACATCTTTGTCAAAACAATATTTATATTTTATGTGCTAATTTATCTGTTGACACTCAGCAATGGATTTTGGATTGGATTTATTATTTTCTTAGTGGCTGTTGATGTTTACCTTCTGGTTTGTGCATATTCACTGTATTTATGCATACAAAATAAAGACAGCGTTCAACAGACAGAAGAATGGACTTAGAAAATTTCTTGGCGAAAACTATGCATCATCAAACTTATGTAACCTAAGAAGAAGCTAGTAATTTGCATATCTTGGTCTGAATTTCTGTACTAAAATGTATTAGATTTAATAAAAAAAATTACGCAATAATGTAAGAAATGAAATTATTTATTTTTTTAGTATTCATTCACTTATTGAGTGTGTTTGTGACTTATACTGGGTTTGCGTGCAGCCACAGATCCAGGGGTGGTGTAAGAAACACAATTCTTCAATTTTTAAATTTTTATAGACAATAATGAAAATTAAAACCATCTTAAATTCAAATTAGCAATATTTCAAAAAAAACTTAAGGGGAAAACAACATGAAGGGTTTAAAATTTAATGGTAAATTTGATTTTTTTGTCAATCTTCACCATTGTTTACTGAAATTGTATCCAAATTGATTGAAAAAGCTTAGAAATTTTTGAAACTCTGTAAGAATTTTCCATGAAAACTTTTGCCCATCATGTTGTTTTCCCCCTGAAAAATATAAAAAAAATTTTTTTGATGTCATCGCTGAAATATCATACACAAGTTTTGATTTTAAATGAATTCAGTCAAATGTATTATATTCAAGATAATTCCAAAAATTCAGTTGATGATAGAAGCTGTTCAAAATACTATCGATAAAAAGCAAAGATGTTGATAATGGATTTTAAAAAGGTAAATTGAAATATTTTAAAATTTAAATCCTGAATTTCTAAAAAAAATAATTTCAGCTTCCAAAAGTCAACAAAACAATTTCAAAATTCAACGAAAGAAAAAATAAAATTTTAAATCATTTTGATTTGCTTTCGACGTTGGAACTCTTATGGTACTTTCATGCTGCATGCCAGATAATAGCTGTTCTTATTTTCATCTTCTTTAATTGGACTATGAAGAACCTTGCTGAATTTAAATGCTTTCAAACTAAAATGCTGGATGATAGCTGCATTGGTGCCTTAGGTGAAGGAAAATGTAAGTGAATTTGGATTGTTTTGTAATTTTTGGGTGCAACCAGAATTTGGTTGTTAGAGAAAATTTAAAAAAAACTCTTTTGAGGGTTTGAATTCTCATCCAGTGGTACTTGAGGTAACAACTCAGATAATCTGAGTTTTATGCAGAGCTCGAAGTCGACGAAATTTTGTATGGAGTCAAGTCGATTCTAAGTCGACTCTGCAATACAAAATGAATGAAAATCTCAAATCGACTTTGAGCTCTGGTTCTAAGGCTAACCGTTGCACTTTTGGATGAAAATAAAATTTATAGGTTAGGGAGCTATGTGAAGCAGGGGCGTAGCCAGAGAATTTTTAAGGGGGGCCATTTTCGAAAATTAAAAAAACCGTTATTTTGTATCCTTAAATCTATATTCATTCTTCATAAGTTTAAATATTTAATTCATTATTCATACATTAAATTAAATTTTCGTGCTGATTTTGACATTTTTTTCATCACTTCCTCTACATTAACTGGTTCTTCTCTATAAATACTTAATAAAACAATTATCAGATTTTCGGAGGAAGGGCCCGGGCCCCCTATGCCAACCCCCCCCCCCCCCCCCCCCCCTGGCTATGCCCCTGATGTGAAGCCAATGGTTGGGATCCACTATTTGTAAATAATTTTGCCCTCGATCTGAACTTGCCGTAATCTTTACCATCTGTATTGTCATTTTTTTTTTCAGTAAACTATGTTATGCGAAACTTCATATTTGTCAGCTTTATTCTAGTAATTATAGGGTTCACTATCGGAATTAAATATGTAAGATTATTATTTTCTGTACTCAAAATAATGCTAATAATCAACTCTAATTTTTTTTATTCCTCCAGAAAAGACAAGAGTACATGACTCCATATCTGTTTGTGAAATTTGTAGTTTTAGAATTTTTATGCTTCATGTTTTTTACCTTTGAAGATCAATTCCTAACGAATTGGACACTTTTTGCTGTTTGTATCGAGACTTTTTTACTTGTTCTTGAATTTAAGATTTATCAATTGTTTTATTTTGGAACTGACAGTGTGCCTGACATTAAAGTCTAATAAAACATTGAAGTTGTGTTTTAATCTTTTAATTTAACATAATAAGTGAGCATGATTATAGGTTAGGGTTGGGTATAGGACAGCACTGTAAGTACCAAAGTAATCAAATGTCAATTCTCTGTGTATTTTCAAATTTTTATAGGAAAAAATGACAGATATGTTTTATTTTCAATCATTTAAATTAATGACAACTTTGAGTATTATCCTCATAAATTTGAGTATTATCCTTCACACCCTCATGACCTGCGTCTCAATTCCATCAATAGAGTCGTCCATCGAACTCTCATCATATCTTTTAAAATACGAATAGACACAAATGATGAAATAAATATTCCATACAGTAAATGCGAAATAATTCAGTGCCATTTCTGTCAGTCCTATGCTGAACACTAATAATGAGCCTTCACAAAATGTTGCGATTGTTGTCAATGCGCTGACTAGTAAATATCGTTTTACGTGTTTTGTTGATTTCTGGAATTGAAAATTTGAATTTTTTAAAATGTTGGAGAAAATAAAAAATTTGCATGAAAATTTAAATAATTTTTTTATTGCTTATGTGGCCGAGCTGATAATTAAAATTGTAACTCAAGAGAAAACTCGTAATGTGCATAAGATCAATGAGTTGGTTCTACAATGGCTTCCCAAATAGGTTCTTGAGGTCGATTTCATGACAAGTTCTTCAAAATGAATGAACTTCTCCAATAGCACAAGTCGGTTAATCGAATATTTGGCATGGTGCTGGACTCAATTCAAATCAAATTAAATCCAGCACCATGCTAGAGAAGCACCAGCTTCATGTCAGATGAACCGACTTGTGCTATTCGGGCTTAAGTCCAATCTTAGTCCAATACAATCTAAGCTTTGATATGAAAGCCATATGACTGTTATAATTATCATGTGCAGCTCGGGATCCACAACCACAACAAATAAAAAACTATTGAATTATTTCACAATAAATAGAAAAAGTTTCAGTCGTGACAGCAACTTTAAGAAGTCATCAAGTGGAAAATACTGCTGAATAAGTAAGTTTGATTCTTATTAGACTTGTTCAACTTATCAACTGTCTTATAACTAATCAATTTAGGTATGTGACTTATTAATCTTGCCAAATTCAGACACTTCTTTGAGGATCAACCTCTTAATTTACAGTTTTTTATGTTGTAGGCTCATAATCACAGATACAATCTCAAGCGACAAAATGGTTCAAGACAAGACAGTTTTAATGACCATTGTGTCATCAAAGATGATCAAAGATAGTTCTCCTTACTATAGTAACGAATTTGAATCGCAGTGCCTCGAGCTCAAAAGGCTGAGCTCTTTATGCTTTAATTTACTAAAGTAACAACTCTGTGAGAACCATTAGTGATGTAGCAAAAGGATTGTCTAAGGTTGGCCGAGGCTCAAGTTTCTCAATCCTTGCTACTCAATTGAGATATATTGGGTGGATTAATTCAGTAACATAGCCAAACTTCCTCCAATTGAACCCCAATGTCGCTCAGGAAAGACCAATTTTCATAATTTTTCACTGGATCTTACTTTTCTTTAAGTAAAACCAAAACTTTATAAATTTCCTATTTTTTCTTGGACTACAAACCTTCAATGCTGCCGCTATAAGGTAAATACAGTAGATAAAATGCAGGAAATAAATGATAAACAGCACTGCTTTGAAGAACACGAAAGCTAAAATTGAAAAAGATCAAAAAGTTATTTTTTACATATTTTTCATAATTTTTGAAGCTTTTTGGTAGCTTTGAAGGGCTTTGTGAAAGCTTAAAGACTAAGACTCTACTTATTTGCCTTTTACAGCTCAAGCTAGTCCTTAAAAGTGTCAATAATCACTCAAAAACTCCACAAAACTACATCAAACCAAAAAAACTCTACTCACGATCAAAAGATCCATTATGCGGCCTCGTATATCCACTATAGTAAGGCGCCCGCTTCGTCCTCACCTTCGCAAACTCATCCCGATCACTATTATGATTAATAATATCCAAAATTGTGTAGACAAAAAATATCAAACTCAGTACGGCATCGATCATGCCAATGATAATACAACCGATAAACAGTTCAATGTGACACATAAACTTATTGACTGTTAACATTGTTGTTGACTATTTGTGCAGGTTTATCAGGTACGGAAAGTGAAATATTTTTAAATAATTCGGTAAAAAAATAATTTTTTTTGATGTGAATTTTCTTGTTTACATCTTTTTTTTTTGTTTTGACGAGATTAACAGCTGGGTGGGGTTGTGGTTGTGATGGTAAATACGAGGAGTTTTGGATGTGTTGGTGTTGTGTACGTGTGTAGGTGAGGTTTGAATTTTAAAAAGACGTTATGGAATTTTTTTAAAGAATTTTTATTTAAATTTGTAATAAAAGTTTTAAGGCAGTCAAGTTTCAATTTTTCACAGACCGTTTTCAAAAATTCAGTTTTATCTAAAAAAAACTCCAAAAATTTAATAAGAAGCACCTCTAAAGCACCTCTAAAGCACCTCAATCCTAGCTCAATAAACCACATCAAATTGACAATTTTCAAATTTCTGCTTCCTAATCCGAACCTCAATTGTAGCCACGACGTAAAGGAAGAAAATGTTCAATCCAGAGAACAGGCCATAGACAAACAGTTCCAGTTGGACAGCTTGGATCATTGTGGCAACTATGAGCCATATTGTAGCTATGTAGTAAATCCGGAAGAAGAAAAAGCTGTTCTGAAATGAGATAATTTGAGAGTTTGAGGTTAAGGAGCTTTTGGTGGATGGGATGGGGTTGGAACTCTTGATTTAGGGATTGGGATGATTTCTGGGACTATTCGGGGTTCCTCTACTATAACATTAGATGGCTAGCTGAAATCACAGCAACATACAATGTCCTAGAGTTAAACCTTTGGATGCTGTATGGCAAAATTGATGAGGGTTAACTCTCGGGTCATTTTTTAAGGTCTATCCAGTTTTAAACGGAATTTAACGACATTTAGCATGAGATTTAAATTAAATTCATCTATCACTAAGGTTGGTTGTCCCAGTCAACGCCTAAAGAGCCTCAAAAAGCCCAACTAAGGTCACGAAGATCATAATCTCATTACTGAATCAATGAATCAACTCTATTTCAAGACCAATAAGTCAATCCCAAATAATACAAGTCGATTAATCGATTACAAAATCTGACAACGAGCCTGAGTGACTCTAGCATGGAGCTGGACTCAAATCGAATCCATAGTTACACCAGTTTGGTGCCAGATTTCTATTTAATTAACCGACTTGTGCTTTTTGGTATTGAAGTCGACTTCAAGCTTTAAATCCAACCCTATGACCACCATACTAACCTTATATTTAGCAGTATTAATGCACAATATCAGCATTGAATTAGCTAAAATAGCAAAAAAGTATCCAGTCGTCTCAAAGACCATCATGTACCCAAATTCTACAAATAAATAATTTTTCCATCAATTCTTCTTGCCTTTGCAGTCACAACTATTAAGCTTCATCCAACATCCAGGAAGATCAAGCCATCAACTCACCATAAAAAGCTCTCGGTCGATACGAAAATATCCAAAATACTTCATACTGCTTCTTATTCAACTCCACAAAGTCATAAAACAAAAGAATCTTAAAAATGATGAAAGCAATGCAGCAGAGAATGTTAAACACAGAAATAGACACAGCAGTCCTGATTATTGCCATATTGTTTAAATATTATTTTCTAGTTCAATTTATCACGTCCGAGTTTTAAACGAGGAATAAAAAAAAATCAATAAAAAAATAATAACAAAAGGTGCTTTTGTGCTTGTGTGCTTGCCGGCTGGCTTGTGTGTGGATACAAAGGATAATAAAAAAGTTTTGCATGGATGTATGGATGTGTATGGATGTTGGTGAGGTGGATGACACATAGCTTTGAGTGGTGACTAATTGGGGAAGTTGGTGTCTGAGTCTGAATGGAACTTTTCATACCAAGAAGCAGGGGTGTAGCAAGGAATTTGAAGAGGGGGGACATTTCGTATGGAAAACTTTTAAAGGGGCGGGGGGGATTTTTCCGAGTTTTTCATAAAAACTCTTGCAAAATGAAGAAATTTCTAAAGGCGAAGGGGGATTTGTCCTCCCAACCCCCCTCCCCTGGTGACGCACCTGGGGTCGTAGCCACAATGGTCTGGTGACGGTTCAAAATGGTATGGGGGTGGGGAGCCCACTTCTGGCTACACGCCTGCCAAGAAGCATAGCAAATGTTTAAGTCGCTCATGGTCACTCTGCCTAATTCTAGCAACCTAAATTCCATTCATCTTAACTCTAGAAACCAGAACAGGACTTTAGACTCAGTGTTGTCCAAAGTTTTTGAGCCACGGCATACCTGAGGGGTAAGCCATGATCGAAGTCGCACACTGCATGTGGCTCGTGTAAGTTTCCAAAAAACAAACCGCGGCACACAGTTTGGACAACACTGCTTTAGACCATGACAATGATAGGAACTTTACGGAGTACTAGAAACCAGGCTTCTGAAGCTGCACTCTTAGTCAAGAACTGTTCCTGAATCTTTGTTGCTGCATAAAGCTCCCCAACTTGCCAGTGATGTCGAATAATTTTACTAAAGTCATTTGCAATTTCTATAATTGCATAATTTAATTTAGATGCCATTATTTGATAAAACCAGCTCAACTAGCTGCGTTTTCATCAGTTAAGTGTAACAGTCTTTGCCTTTAAGTCAAACAGCTGCAGCAATGTTCCTCAAAAATCCACAAAACATCTACACTTCATCGACTTATTTGTTTTGCTATCTTAAGTTCCTGTCACTGTTCCCACAATCCCTAACTGGACCTTTGGCTAAAGGAAACTTTAAAACTAAAATTCGTGACAAAATCCTTGCAATTTTGATTATAATTTCCGCTCAATTTCTATTCCTTAACATGAAAAGAGAGGAGCGAATGATGTCAGCGGTGCGTAGGAGAGTTTGGGACTTGAGTGCTTATATGGGAAAGTGGACAATTGTGTTCCTGGTTATTTATCAATATAGGAAGCGTGAAAGTATTTTGGAAGTCTTTAGGATGATTTATGAGTTTGATGAGAAGGTAAGTTACTGGCAGAGCTTAGATTGGACTTGGTTGGAGTCTTTGGACATTGATTTGGATTGAGACTCGGTCTCCTTAAATGTGGATAGCTTGTCAACATCCAGAAACTTTCTGCAGCTCCTTAAACTTCATTTTCAGGCTAAATTCTTCAAAATTTTCATCAACTATAAGAACCACCGTCGTCAGTCACTCATCTACATCCTAATCTCAGTTTTTGGAGTCTCTGTTGTGACTTTTATCGTTGTTTATCTGATTTGGCTTAACAATACAATGCATTCAGACTTATTAACCACAGTAGCTTACTATGTCAACACTTTCTACTGCAATGCTGTGATTTTTCAGTTTTCTTACTTCACAATCATCTTAAAGGACAGGCTGAACCTCCTACATGTCAAAATCACATCGAAAAGAGTCTTAACAAATGTTGAAGTCGAGCTAATCATTGAACTTTATGAAAAATTATTCAAAACTTTGGATTTCATTAATGAAAATTGCACGACTCAATTGGTTCCAGTTTTTGGATACTTGCTGATGAATGTGACATTCTCACTTTATGGAATCGTTGCGAATCTCAGCAACATTAATGATTTTAGTTTTACAAATACGATTTTTGTTTTTGCTTGGTTTGTTGAGCATGCTGGTAAGTTTAAGGAATTAATTGAGGTTTAACTTAACCTTAACTTCATTGCACCTTTGTTGACTCGTGACTATTTGTGACACGGCACACCGTAGTGCAGTGTTTCTTAAACTATGTTCCGCGAAATAATTCTAGATATGTCAAAAAAGGTTGTCATCATGACGCAGAAACAGTAACGAATGATTTGCTGCTCTTTTACTGCTCCGCGGTCAAAAAAGGTTGAGAAGCACTGCAAAAATTCTAGATGTGTCAAAAGTGGTTGTCATCATGGTGCAGAAACAGCAATGGAGAATTCGCTCTTCTTTCACTGCTTCGCGGCTTAAAAAAGTTTGAGAAACACTGCCTAAGTGGTAGTCAACGATCATAGCATCTCCCCACAATTTGGGCAACACTGAATGTAAAAATTTCAATTAAATTCCAAATTTTTACAGCTCTGATAATTGTCCCAATCTATGCAGCAGTCATCACAATGAAATCATTCGATAGACTCCAAATTATTGGATACGAGACATTTAAGAATCGAAAAATTATGAATCATGAAGTTAAGGAAGCATTTTGTGAGTTTTTGAACTTTGTCAAGTCTTGGAACTTTAAATTGAGAACTTTATTCTTTGTGATTGATTGGACTTTGCTGTTTACTGTAAGTTTAAATTGATTGTGAGTAGTTTTTTAAATGCAAATGGCTTAGGTGGCAAGCTAGTTGACTGAAGAGTTGAAATGCTTAGGTAACAGCAGGGGCGTAGCCAGGAATTTGAAGAGAGGGGGACAAAATTTTTTTTTGTATGGTAAATTTAAGGGGGTGGGGGAATTTTTTCATAAAAACCCTAGAAAAATAAATAAATTTCTGTTAACGTTGGGGGATTTGGCACCCGATACCCCCCCCCCCCCTGGCTACGCGCCTGGGTAGCAGGCTTAATAGTGCCTAAAACTTCGACAGGAGCCGCTAATGACATGCAACAACTTATAAAATATAAAAATTTCCTTCAAGGGGTGGACGAAAAAAACTCTTAGGGCCCGTTCACATATTACGTAACGCTTTTTAGGGGTTCTGATATTTTGTGACATAGAAAATTTGTGTCAAACTGTGGACGTGGGTCAAGAAATCCAGGTTTTTGCGTTTTGTAAACCGCTTCTTATTCATTGCTTTTTCGCTGCTTCATTCCTTTTTCATTTCCAGCTTTTATCGACAGCAACAACATTCATCATCATAACATTCCAATTTGAGACATCAGTTCCTGAATAATCAACTTAATATGAAAATAAATTGCACTTTTACGTGTTTAATCTTGTTGAATTTGCTTAATTCTTTTGAGGAAGTCATGACTAATGATTATTTGATATTTATAATAGTAATGCACTGTGAGTAGCTGCCAGCTCGTGAATAGCATTCTAGCTTAATGCTTAAACAGTTAAAGACAACGATGTTCCTAAAGAATCACCTTAACATTTACAGCTCATCAATTTATTTCTATTATCATCTCAAGCTTCTGGCACTGTTGCCACATTCTATCAATGGACAACTGTCGAAAGGAAGCTTCTCAATTAAAATTCGTGATAAAGTCTTTACAATTTTCGTCCTTACAATCATAGTTGTCTTGTCAATGGTTGTTAAAAGACAGGATCACATCATGTCTGTTGTACTGTCCAATATTTGGAATATGAATTCACACACTGGTAGATGGACGACTTTGTTCCTGGTTTGCTATCAATACTGGAAAAGTGATAAAGTTTTGGATATTTTAAGAGGCTTGAATGCGTTTGATGAGAAGGTAAGTTAGAAGATTCATTGTGAAGCACTAAACTGCCACTAGCTTCATGTCACTGATATGGTTTGAGTCAGACCTAACCTAAAAAAAATTATAATACATCATTGGTACTTCTTTTAAAGTAGCTATTAGAGGATTGAAAAATAATCTTTACATTTGGAAAATTAAGGGGGGGGGGTCAAAAAATTTTTTGGGGGGCGGGTATTTTTTTGAGATGAGTGGGGAAATTTTGAGGGTGGGGAGAAATTTTCTCTAAAAAATTACAGAAAATAAAAAAAATTATGCAAGGGGGGGATGGTTGACTTCCCCCCCCCCCTCTCTCTACTACTCCTTCCAATTTAACTTTGTTATGACCAAACTCCAAGATTAAAGATTGAAATATTGATCAATCTGATTACAAGAATCGCTGTAAATATTCGGGGTCGTTTGATTATGACGTCCGAAAATTAGAGGGGGGATGGTGGGGAAGGGGAGGGGGGGGGGGGGTGGGTACTGTAATTTGTTAAAGTTAAATTTCCATACAATTTTGTTGACACAGGGTGGGGTCTAAAAAGATGGTTAAATGGCAGACGTCATAAGTGAATGACCCCTTTGGATCCATATACAGATTACACAGCATATCACAAATCTCTTATTTTTCTTAATTTCAGGCAAAATTCTTTAACATTTCCATCAACCACACCTCAAAGAAACAAAAGTCGCTTGTCTACAACCTCATCTCAGTCGTTGGTGTCTTAATTTTTGGAACTTTCATCACAATTCTCATTAAAGTCAGCAATGGACACGACCCTGATCTGCTGTGTACAATATCATATTATACATCATTCTTTTATTGCAGCGCGATTGCTTTTCAATTTTCATACTTGACAATCAACATTAGGGACAGATTGGAACTTGTAAATGACACAATAAAAGCCAAAAGGACTCTGACAAGCTTTGAAGTTGAATTGGTGATTGAATTTTATGAAAAGATGTTTAACACTCTTGATTTAGTTAACAGGAACTGCACAACTCAGTTGGTTCCAGTGATTGGATATATATTCCTTAGTGTGACTTTTTCGCTGTACGGATTGGTTGGCATTCTTCTTAGTGACTTCAATGTTAATTATTTTAATACAATCTTTGTGGTTTCGTGGCTTATTCAGCATTCTGGTGAGAGCTTTTACTTTTGCTAAGGGTCTGCTTTTAAATGATTTATTCCAGCTCTAATAATCCTTACCATCCGCTCAGCTGTTATCACAATGGAAGCTATTGAGAGTCTTCAGCCACTTGGCTATGAGACACTTAAACATAGGAAAATCTTAAACTATCAAGCTAGAAAGGAATTTAAAGAATTTTTGGCATTTGTTAAGTCATCAAACTTTAAACTGCAAACTTTAATCTTCAATATTGATTGGAAGTTGCTGTTTACGGTGAGTTGGATGTCCTTGATGAATTTTAAGCAGAACTTGCGGTTCAATCTTTGGCATTTAATAATAAATTTTAATTCCTAGCTTTTGTCAACAGCAGTCACATTTATAACAATAACATTTCAATTTGAGACCTCAATGGCTGACTACAATGCATCCTTGACATCAAAATGTACGCCTGGCAGTTCAGGGTTAGACAAATAGGAAGTGAAAGACGCAACACGACTCACACTTTAATCAAATTAATTAAATGCAAACATTTATTATGTCAGCAAACATTAAAATTATTAATAATCACTAATGGATGTGCTGCTTATGCTGCTTATACATTTTAAGGTTCATTTGATAACGATTGTGCTGCACATTTAATAATGTCATTTCAAAAATTTGACAAATCATTTCAAAAAGTACAAAATACTTCAAATATCTACAGCACAGCTGTCTATCCTTACTATCTGCTGAAGTTCCTTGGTCTTTTTCCTTCAAAACTCACCAAAAATACATCAAAAGATGTCCCATCAATTAAATTCATAGATAAGATCTACATTTTAATAGTTTTTGGCTTGCACATCCTGCTTTTCAGTCACTCAAGACCAGCAAGACGACTTTCATCACTTTTTATAGTTAAAGTTTGGGAACTTAATGCTTATTTGGGATTTTTAATGATAATTTTTTTGATTTTTTATCAATATTGGAAAAGACAGGAGATTATGGACATTTTTGGAAGGATTAATGAGTTTGATGAGAAGGTAAGGAACTGAGGATTAAGATTTTTGATAGATTAAAGTGGTTGAAAGTGATTTTTAAGGTTAGCTGCTACATCCTTATTCTGGCTAGACCGATTCCTTAGGTTGTTCCTAGTCATATAACCTTATATTGCAAAGATACTTAATAATCAAGCTCCAGAGCCTTCAAAAGTGCTTAATAGAATGTCAGGTCACATCCAAGAGTTTATAATCAAGCATTAAGTAATATAGAGTCATAAAGAGTCCATATAATGTTAGAATGAATTGACCTTAACTTTAGATTTATTATGATCTTATTTGTGCATAGCCCAGTGATGGCTAATCCGTGTGCCGCGGTACACTAGTGAGCCAAGACGAAGTGTCTGAAATCTCACGAATCGTATGCTGTGTGCGGTTTTGATTATGACTTACTCAAGAGTGGTTCAAAAAAGGTTGTCCACCACTGCAAAGCCAATACTGTCGGCTCCTCAACTCTTGTCAATAATAATTTAAATTTCATTTTCCTCTCACATCTTTTAGGCTTCAGCACTCAAAATGCACGTCAACTACAACTCATACAGACATCAGTCACTCATCTACATCATCATCTCATTTGTCATTGTTGGTGTCATCGGTTCCATCGTTATGATCTTTGTCGTGGACGATAAAAGAATCGACAATGATTTTTTTACTGCAACTTTCTATTATCTTTGCTATTTCTACTCAAATGCTGCAATTCTTCAGTTTTCTGGATTTGCAATCTGTATCAGAGACAGGATGAACCAGCTGCATCGGAAAGTAACAGCATTAAGGACTTTGAGTAATTTTGAGGTTGCTCTAGTTATTTAGCTTTATGAGAAGCTATTCAAAGGCTTGGACATGATTAATAAGAACTGCACAACTCAACTTATTCTGATAACTTTGAATTTATTAATGAATTTGACATTTTCAATGTATGCAGTTGGGACGATTGTTTTTAGTGGATATGGAATTTATTCGATTGCTGTTGTGCTGCTTAACATTTCATTGTGGCTTATTGAACATGCAGGTAACTTGAAATAAAGATTAATAAGCAAGGATTATGATTTTTGGGGGTCTTAGTGTGCTTGTGGGTCCTCTGAGGTAATTGTTTGTGGTAAATCTGGTTCTACAGAGGAACCACAACCAACAACCACAACCACTTTGATGCTTTTGAGCTTAACAGCGTGTCTTTAAGATTAGTCAAGAACCATTGTCAAGTCTGTTCCTTGTTATATGCGATGGTTTACTCTGGGTTTGCTTATAATAGGACATTTATCAATATTTATGCATTTTAAGCTTAAGGTTTGCTTTATAACTTGAGTTTAAGGTTCTATGAGGGAACATTTGTCAGGTTAAGAGTATATAAATCCCAAAAGATACCCTAGTGCCACTACAATGATGATTCATACTTATTTTATCCACAGCAATAACAATTTTCTTCATAAATTCTGCTGCAACAACTCAAGAAGCTGTTGAAAATCTTCAAATTATTGGATATGAAACTTCGAGGCATCTAAAAATAATGAATTACGAAGCTAGGAAGATGTTTAAAGGCTTCTTGCGCCACATAAAGTCATCAAACTTTAAACTACGAACTTTGTTCTTTAATATTGATTGGGCGCTGCTGTTTACTGTGAGTAGATTTTGAATTTTTAGTTCCCATCGATACACCAATGAAGCTGAAGCTAAACTTACTTTCAAAAGTTGAATTTATTGATCGGGATTCAAAACTAAGGTTAATTAATTAATTTTTAAAAATTAATATTATTTACAGATTTTATCAACAGCAACGACTTTCATCATTATAACATGTCAGTTTGAGACCTCGATGACAGATCCTAATGCTCCTGTTGCTACAAATTCAACATAGGATAAAAAGAAGATTTTTATGGCCGAGGGGGGAAACAACTTGTTTAGAAAGAAATTAAAATTTTAATTTTTTTACATTTTTCAACTTTTTCAACTTTTTCAACTTTTTCAACTTTTTCAACTTTTTCAACTTTTTCAACTTTTTCAACTTTTTCAACTTTTTCAACCTTTTCAACTTTTTTCAACATTTTTCATCTTTTTCAACTTTTTCAACTTTTTCAACTTTTTCAACTTTTTCAACTTTTTCAACTTTTTCAACTTTTTCAACTTTTTCAACTTTTTCAACTTTTTCAACTTTTTCAACTTTTTCAACTTTTTCAACTTTTTCAACTTTTTCAACTTTTTCAACTTTTTCAACTTTTTCAACTTTTTCAACTTTTTCAACTTTTTCAACTTTTTCAACTTTTTCAACTTTTCCAACTTTTTCAACTTTTTCAACTTTTTCAACTTTTTTAACTTTTTCAACTTTTTCAACTTTTTCAACTTTTTCAACTTTTTCAACTTTTTCAACTTTTTCAACTTTCACGTGTTCAACGTGTTCAACTTTTTCAACTTTTTCAACTTTTTCAACTTTTTCAACTTTTTCAACTTTTTCAACTTTTTCAACTTTTTCAACTTTTTCAACTTTTTCAACTTTTTCAACTTTTTCAACTTTTTCAACTTTTTCAACTTTTTCAACTTTTTCAACATTTTCAACTTTTTCAACTTTTTCAACGTGTTCAACTTTTTCAACTTTTTCAACGTGTTCAACTTTTTCAACTTTTTCAACTTTTTCAACTTTTTCAACTTTTTCAACTTTTTCAACTTTTTCAACTTTTTCAACTTTTTCAACTTTTTCAACTTTTTCAACTTTTTCAACTTTTTCAACTTTTTCAACTTTTTCAACTTTTTCAACTTTTTCAACTTTTTCAACTTTTTCAACTTTTTCAACTTTTTCAACTTTTTCAACTTTTTCAACTTTTTCAACATTTTCAACTTTTTCAACTTTTTAAAATTTTTCAACATTTTCAACTTTTTAAAATTTTTCCAACTTTTTCAACTTTTTCAACTTTTCTCAACTTTTCTCAACTTTTCTCAATTTTTCTCAACTTTTCTCAACTTTTCTCAATTTTTCTCAACTTTTTCAACTTTTTCAACGTGTTCAACTCTTTCAACTTTTTCAACTTTTTCAACTTTTTCAACTTTTTCAACTTTTTCAACTTTTTCAACTTTTTCAACTTTTTCAACTTTTTCAACTTTTTCAACTTTTTCAACGTGTTCAACTTTTTCAACTTTTTCAACTTTTTCAACTTTTTCAACTTTTTCAACTTTTTCAACTTTTTCAACTTTTTCAACGTGTTCAACTTTTTCAACTTTTCCAACTTTTTCAACTTTTTCAACTTTTTCAACTTTTTCAACTTTTTCAACTTTTTCAACTTTTTCAACATTTTCAACTTTTTCAACTTTTTCAACATTTTCAACTTTTTCAACTTTTCCAACTTTTTCAACTTTTTCAACTTTTTCAACTTTTTCAACTTTTTCAACTTTTTCAACTTTTTCAACTTTTTCAACATTTTCAACTTTTTCAACTTTTTCAACGTGTTCAACTCTTTCAACTTTTTCAACTTTTTCAACTTTTTCAACTTTTTCAACTTTTTCAACTTTTTCAACTTTTTCAACTTTTTCAACTTTTTCAACTTTTTCAACGTGTTCAACTTTTTCAACTTTTTCAACTTTTTCAACTTTTTCAACTTTTTCAACTTTTTCAACTTTTTCAACTTTTTCAACTTTTTCAACGTGTTCAACTTTTTCAACTTTTCCAACTTTTTCAACTTTTTCAACTTTTTCAACTTTTTCAACTTTTTCAACTTTTTCAACTTTTTCAACATTTTCAACTTTTTCAACTTTTTCAACTTTTTCAACTTTTTCAACTTTTTCAACTTTTTCAACTTTTTCAACTTTTTCAACTTTTTCAACTTTTTCAACTTTTTCAACTTTTTCAACTTTTTCAACTTTTTCACGTGTTCAACGTGTTCAACGTGTTCAACTTTTTCAACTTTTTCAACTTTTTCAACTTTTTGTAACTTTTTCATATTCCCTACCTAGTTGTTTCCCCCTAAGTTCAAGCGTACTATAGAACTTACTAGGTCATTCCCGAACTCCAAAACTTCAAAAGATATTCAAATTTTCCACTTATTTATTCCCTGTCCATCTTAATTAAATTCTAAACTCAGCATTCCATTTCCTATTAACCAGAACTATGTGTCTATTAAATGAATATTGAAAAATTATTCAAAACGTGTAAATAAAGCAAACATGACTAAGTTGTCTTGTCTTATTGTCATTCCGTTAATTTGAAGACGTTTCACATTTATTTGCTTGACAAATCAAAAAGGTGTTAATTTTGACTCAAGGAAATTTGCTTTGATTTTATCAACAAATGTGTGGATTTGTGAGATTTATTGCTGGGATGGGATTGGAGCTTTTGTAGGTTGTGGATCTGCTTGCTACAATCCAATCCACATCACTTTACACCTGTCATCCTGAAAATTTCGTTAGAAAAAATCAACAATTATTTTTTTTATAAAATTGAACATTTTTATTTTATTTACACAATTTTGTTACTTTTTTTCATTTCTTCTAGTTATGCTTACAAAAAAAACACATTTTTTAACAAAACAATGCAAAATTTAATGATTACATGTGAGATAAGAGTTTCTCCTCTTTTATGGTGTGACTTACAAAATATTTATTTAAATATATTAGCTTTTTTTCTTATTATTTAAATAAAAGATAAAAAAAATTGTTGTGAAATTATCGTTGGACGGCTTTAAAATGTTGTTGTTTTGTGACTTATGTCTTAATTGGAATTTATGGGCGACTTATGGTCAATGTACTCACTAGAATCAATTAGATTTAATTAATTTAATTATTTATTCTTAGTAAAATTATGCGTATGTGGAGAGTTTTATTATGCTTTTATTGAGGTTAGGGGAACTGCGGTGAGATTTGAATTCTGAGTCTAGATTGATGATAAATTTGAAGATTTAGGATTGTCTTTGTGGCACTTAGAGTTCAGGAGTTATATTTGCAAGTGATTATTGCTACTTGATTTAAACACTTGAACTAGTCACCTGCAACTCAGTTAATGTTATAAACAGTTTACTAGACTACTGGGATACTAAAATACTAGAGTAGCTAAAAGATTCTAGTGAACTTGTCTTTAGGCAAGAAACTCGATACTACAATCATGTACTAGATCTCAGATACTACTAGTTTCTGAACGGAATACTACTATCTTATTTAAAGTATACTCCTGGCTGGTTAATAGATTACTACTAGCTTAGAAATACTAAGCTCTTAGCTTACTAATAGTATAAATGTAAAGTGATAAAGTACAAGTTAACAAGTATACTAGATTTTCTATTCTAGAGTTCTGTTTTACTATATTACTACTATATTAGCTTACTATAATTAAGATACTAATAGATAGTAGATTAAACAACTAGTTTTTACAATTATGTATGTTCGTATACTAGTATAATCTGAGAAAGTAGTATCTAGTATCTAGTATCTAGTATATAGGATCTAGTATCTAGTATCTCGTATCTAGTATCTAGTATCTAGTATCTAGTATCTAGTATCTAGTATCTAGTATCTAGTATCTAGTATGTAGTATCTAGTATCTAGTATCTAGTATCTAGTATCTAGTATCTAGTATATAGTATCTAGTGTCTAGTATCTAGTATCTAGTATCTAGTATCTAGTATCTAGCATCTAGTATCTAGTATCTAGTATCTAGTATGTAGTATCTAGTATCTAGTATCTAGTATCTAGTATCTAGTATCTAGTATCTAGTATGTAGTATCTAGTATCTAGTATCTAGCATCTAGTATCTAGTATCTAGTATATAGTATCTAGTACCTAGTATCTAGTGTCTAGTTATACTAGCACTAGTTTAATATTTAGTAGATCCAAGGATACTAGATACTATTATACTATATACTGTAACACTAGTAAAATAAAAAGTATATTGAGTTTGACGTTTTTCTTGTATACTAGTTTATAATAAACTAGTATTCTATTAAAAAAGACTTTCCTAGTTCACCACTGAATCACATAAAACTAGTTTAACCCTAAATCCTCCAAAAAAGCACATAATAATCCACATAACCTCAATCTTAATTCTAATTTTCTTTAGCAAATTTATAGGCTTTTATTTGTTAAATTTACATTTATAATGAACGAATTATTTTATATTAATTTAAGAACTGATATTCAATACTAGCTTTTCTAGATGCAATACTTAAAAAATGTTATTTCTTGAAAGGTCGCTTTATGGCAACTTGAACATATTTTTTTCAATAATTTTCCTGACAGCATTTTGTAAAAAAAATAATAAAAAATTATTTAGACAAACAAAAACTTGTCAACGACCTTTCATTGTTTTATCGTCTTTCAAACACAAAAAATAGCGACAAAAACACAAATTTTTTTTTCGTAACATTTTCAGCAAACAAAATTATGTTAAATGACATCATAGACGAGAAAATTATGATGATAAAAAGATTGACTTAAATTAAATAACAGTAACTGACTCATCCAGATCTATTCTTTTTATACTTCAGAGTCTAACGTTCTTCCATTGCCATTGGTGCTTGTTGTCGTTGTTGTTGTTGTGTTATTAGTTGGAGCAGGTCGACTGTTTCTCGGCGTTCTCGGTCGAGTGATTGTAGGTGGATCAACGGGTCTCTCTTCGTAGCGTCTGACATTGTTTGAATTGGAATTTTCATTTTCGACGTCTTTAATCAATTTGTAGAGTCTGCAGCTGATGACACAGAGGTACAGGTAAAAAATTAAGGAAATTATGAAGAGGAGGTGATTGAAGATGAGACCTAATGATGCGATGACTGCGAGGATGCAGTAGGTTATGAATGGGGCCATCATGAAGGTGTTGCGCTGTGGATTTGAAGAGATTTTTGAGGTTAGAATTTCACAAAATCATAATTTTGAGGTTAGAATTTGATAAAATCTTAATTTTGAGGTTAGAAATTTAATAAAATCTTAATTTTGAGGTTAGAATTTGATAAAATCTTAATTTAGTTTAGAATTTAATAAAATCTTAATTTTGAGGTTATAATTTTATAAAATTTTAATTTTGAGGATATAGTCCTTAAAACACTAATTTTGAAAGAAGATCTTAACTTTGAGGTTAGAATTCAACAAAATCAACATTTTGAAAAAGGACCAAAAAAACATTTTGAGGTTAAAATTCAAAAAGAATTACAATTTTGATGTAAGAATTTAAGAAAATGTTAGCTTTTAGGTTAGAATTTTAGAAAATTCTAATTTATAGGTTAAAATTTAAGAAAATGCTTGTTTGAGGTTAAAATTCAAGCAATTCATGAATTTTAGGTTATAATTCAAGAAAGCAACAATTTTGAGCTTAGTACTCAAAAAAACATAATTTTGAGGTTATAATTAAAGAAAAACTTATTTTTAAGGTTAGAATCTCCACAAAATAATTTTTAGATCCAATCTATCAACAACTACGTCTCAATATCTATCCAAATAAACAAATTAATTAATTATTAATCACCTTTTGAACTCCAGCGATGAATATCATTGACACCCATATGAGTAAGAAGCAAAATATGGCCATTATAGTCTCGAGATCTGTTTAAGTGAGAAACAAAATAGCAGAAAAAAAAGAATTATTTATTAGAAATTAAGTGGAAGATGAATCAACTCTCGATGGTGATGAAAATGAATTGGAAAATTGAGAAATTATTTTTTTTTGCTATAATTAGGTGAGTTTGTTATGATTAGGATTGGATGGGTCCGGTATTTTTAGGATTTTTTGAGGATATAATCGAAATCTTTGAGGTTATATTGCTAAACTTTGAAGTTTTATGTTAAATTCTGAGGTTAAGTTGCTGAATTTTGGGTTTAATTTGATGAATTTTTAGGTTGAGTTTCTAATTTTGAATCTTAGGTGCCTACTTTTGAGGTTAAGTCGCTCAATTTTGAGGTTATGTTTCTAGTTTTAAGGTTAAGTTTTAATTTTGAGGCTTAGATATGAGCTTTGAGGTTTTATGTCCATATTTTGAGGTTAGGTTGCATTTCTTTAAATTTGTTGCTCATTTTGAGATTAATTTGCAAGTTATAAAGCTTTGTGTGTTTATATTGAGTTTAAGTTTCGAATTATGATCTAGTTCATAATTTTGAGGTTAAGTTTGCTATTTTGAGGTTAAGTGGAACTATAAAATTCTTCCACCAACAACTCCAAACCAAAATAACTCAAAAAGCATCGCAAATTGTTTATTTTCGCCACCCAACTTGTTTACAACTTCTCAATTATGAACTCCATATGCCAATTATCGTCCATGCTCGAGCTCTTTAGAGCAACAGAAGCGGAAGAAAATAGTATCTTCATCACGAGTAGTCATGACACCATCTGTAGCCCCAATGCATTAACATTCGTTCGTACGCTAATTTAATCAATTAATTTACATACATTGTACAGCATAAAAGCAGCAAAAAATTCATGAATGAAGTGAGTCAGAGACGTTAATTAATGTGACAAATGTCATTACGATGTAAGTAAGCGATTGCTGTGGTGGAAAAATAGTCACTTAATATCTCGTATACGTCTCAGTAAATACAATGGAGATGTATGGAATCTTTTTTTTTTCAGTACACAATGGACAATTTTTGAGTGACGACATTGACATGATGCCGATGATATTGTGATGATAAGTTTTGTACTTGTTTTGGGGTTTTTGGGGATGGTTGAGTGGTTTTTTGTGGTGAATTAAAATTAATTGGGAATATTTTGATTGAAAAATGTGGTTAAATTGGAGGTTTTGAGGCTTATTTGATAGTTTGAGGTTAAAATTCTGGGAAATTGATGGAATTTTTAGGTTAGAATGAGTTTTGAAGCCACAATCGAGGAGCAGGTAGAATTATCGATTATATAGAGCAGTGGTGAGCAACATCTATGGCAAGTTATGCTGTGGAACAGTAAAGTCTGCTCAGTTGTGCAAGTTAAAAGGTTTAAGTGAGGTTATTGTGAATCCACGACTGTTATAGAGCATGATAAGCAATCAAACTTATGAAAAATTGCAATCCCAAGTCGTAAAACTTAATATTCCATGAGAAATCGACTCATAAACCTACGAAATCACACATTAAGTACAAGTCATAATATTATTCATGAAATGGGAAAGAAAGCAGCGTGACTCATCACTTATTCTATTTTTTTTCAGAAAACAGTAATAAAATTGAGTAGAACTCGATAAGCAAAACCGCAAATATAAACAAAAAATTATTTCGCCGGCGGAAATTTGCAAAAACCACGACTGTAAATATTGTAAGTGCTCGTAAAATTCTGAGTAATGAAGTGTCAGTTGGGATGGTTTGAGTTTGATATTTTGCAATAAAATTTTTGGGATTAAATATTTTTAAAATCTTAGGTTTTTCCTCCGTCTTAACTAGTGTGAACTTAGTTTATACTTGCAAAGCCTTACAGATTCTGACTTATCTCGCTTCTGATTATCAATCCAGACTTTTTGTGATTAGACATCATCTAAGCTGTTATTCTAAACTTAGCTTGTTTCACTCAGTTTCCCTAATTCCAACTTCAAAGCATCGCAATCATACAAAGCGCAAAAAGATTTTTCAGGCAATTTTTTCCCATTAAACTGCAGTTTTGAAGTTCAATTTGTGTTGTCTGATGACTAATGTTGTTGTTTAAAGTAACAATTTAATAGTATTGGCGATAAGTTAGCACATTTTCTGAATTGTTGATTTACTGAGGTGTAGATTAGGGGTCGTTCACTTATGACGTCCATCAAAAAACCTGATTTTTAGACCCCCCCCTCACTGTCACAAAAATTCTGTAGAAAAAAAATTCCATTGTTTGAACTGTCACAAAATCATAGACCCCCTCCCCCCTAAATGTCGGACGTCATAAATGAACGGCCCCTTAAGTTGTAAATTGTGATGACTGGTTAAAATAGCTAGTCTTGTAGCTTGTGGGTTGTTCGAAGTATCCTAACCTCCTTGCCATAACCATTTATAAATCAAAATAACCCCTTTTCGAGGACTTAACCTCAAAAAATGCATATTATTGCACTCAGTCTCATCTACACCAACACATGCATACAAATGACATCTCCATGCAAACCATAATTTATGAGAAAAACAACTCGATTCTAGATTCTATTATGTAAATTTTTTCACAGTCAAAATATCAAGAAATAAAAAAAAAATTCACTTTGACCCAAATTTATATTTAATAATTCACATGACAATTGACAGATATTGCGACATCGAACATTTTTTGTGATTATTTTCTGATATATCATTGAAATTAATGGTTTTGAGAGTTGAGCTTTTAAATGTGATAATGAATGGAGACTTTATTGACAGTTTTAAATTGAATTTGCTGTGATTTTTGCTTTATTTATTTGTTTTTTGAGGATATGAGTGACAACTTATGGATTTGAACTTTAAATGAGGAAATTCAAACCTCAAAAATCATTAAACTGGGAATTTTTAAATTCGAAATTGTTAACATAACCCTTAAAAATTTATTCATTGTAATTTCATAATTTTAACCTCAAAAAGAAGATCCTAACCTCAAATTAAAAGATTTTAACCTCAAAAAGAAAGATCCTAACCTCAAAAAGGAGTTCCTAACCTCAAATTAAAAGATCCTAACCTCAAAAAGGAAGATCCTAACCTCAAAAAGGAAGATCCTTACCTCAAAAAGTTGACAACCATAACCTCAAAATTCACAAACTTATCCCAAAATTCCTCGTTTTTCTGCACTTGACCCTCTCTTGTACTTGTTCCACATTTCCATTAATCATTACAAAACACATAATTTGATGATCTTTGCATCCATAATTAAATTACATTTCCACTTACAACACAGACCAGAGAACCCAAAAAACATTACGCAAAAGTTCTCGAATTAGACAAAAAAAAATTTGTTTGTCGTATTATTTCTTGTTGGATAGTCAATAAGTGAATCATCCAAGTCGTACACATGCTGATTGTGACCTAAGATCTATCTGGAATGGCCTCTTAATAGAATGTAAATGGTTTGTGAACGAGTTGATATCGCAATTTTTTTCACACTTAAATGAATTGAGGAATTTTTCTGTTGTTTTCGTTTCGGGTAATTGAGTGGGTGAACTTGGGAACTTTTGGTTGCTGTGGGGATTGAATTGGTTGCTGTGGGGATTGAATTGGGTGTTTTGAGGTTAGAATTTGATACTTTTAGGTTAGAATTTGTTACTTTTAGGTTAGAATTTGCTACTTTTAGGTTAGAATTCTTAAGGTTCGAAGCTAGCAAGTCAACTTTTTGAGATTTTAGGGTTAAAATTTGAATTAAAGGTTAAGATTTCTTAATTTTAAGGTTATGTTCTTTAGTTTTAGGTTATGCTAATAACTTTAAACTAGTATTGCCAGTTTTGAGGTTATTTTCCTAGATATTGAGGTTTTGAATCCAAATTTTTGTTTTTTGAGGTTAGAATTTTTAAATTTGATATATTGAGGTTAGGTTCCCAATTTTTCTTGTTAAAATATAAAATATTTTAAGATTTTGTGGTTGAAATTATAAAAAAAAAACAGGTTAGAATTTTTTTCAAATTTGAGGTTAGGACCAGGGCTCGTGAGGAGTAAAAAAAATTTTGATTTTCTAAAATCAGTTATTTATGTGATTGAAAAAAATCATGATTTTTCAAATCTACGTAAATCTTAAAGGAGGATTTTATTACGTAGACAAAATCCCTACGTAATGATTTTGATTACGTAAAAACCGTTAGGATTTTAGTGACGTGAATTTGAAATTGTTTACATTTTTTTGGTGATTGTTTTTTATTGAAATTTAACAAATTTAAGCATTTGAGGACAGCGAATATGCTAATATGCAGCGGAGATTGACCTTTCAAGTCGTAAAGCAAAGATAAGTATGTGTTAATAAGAATATTACGGTTTATATCAAGTCAAAATTAATTTTAGAAAATAACGAAGAATTTAAATGGCACAACATTATGTCTTCTACGGAATTAGACAATAGATTGGATCGTAAGTGACTCAAAAGAACTCGTAATGCGCTGAATGATCGCTCTACAGAAGACTGGTTAATAGGAGTAGCAGCAACAGCCTTATGTTGGATACTTGTTTGGCATATTAGCATATTCGCTGTCCTTAAATGCTTAAATTTGTTAAATTTCAATAAAAAACAATCACCAAAAAAATGTAAACAATTTCAAATTCACGTCACTAAAATCCTAACGGTTTTTACGTAATCAAAATCATTACGTAGGGATTTCGTCTACGTAATAAAATCCTCCTTAAAGATTTACGTAGATTTGAAAAATCATGATTTTTTTCAATCACATAAATAACTGATTTTAGAAAATCAAAATTTTTTTTACTCCTCACGAGCCCTGGTTAGGACCTCAAATTTTTGAACGTTGCAACATTAAACCAACTAAACAAATTAAAATTCATAATTTTTCATATTAAATCTCTCAAATCGCAATAAAATTTCCACACTTAATGACACATAAAGTTCTTATGATAATAATTAACATCTCAGAATCTGACATCATCATGCGAAAAAACACAAATCCAATCACAATTCCCATCTCAATCTAGTCACAGCACACATGTCACATCAGCACAGCCCACAAATCTTTCGCAAATTAATGTTTTTATTCACACATTTTTAATTAATTTTCTTTTTTGTTAAACTTTTTAATTTTAAAGAAAATAGATTTTTTGAAATTTTTCGAAAGTGAAATTTTAAAATAATTTAAAAATTGAGTTTTTAAATAATTAAAAAATTGAGTTTTTAAATAATTCAAAAATTGAGTTTTTAAATAATTTAAAATTTGAGTTTTTAAACAATTTAAAAATTGAGTTTTTAAATTTTTTAAAAATTGAGTTTCCAAAAAATTAAAAAACAATTAAATTTGGCGAATTTTTATAAAACATTACAAAATTCCAAAATTAAATTTTTTCGTAATTTCTCAAATTTTCCACTTTTTTCACTTTTAACATTATTAACATTATTCAAACTTACGTAACATGACATATCTAAGGTAAGTGCTGTCAAGATCACTCGCAGATTTGGCTTTAATGAGATCAACAAAGGCTCTGTATCCAGCATAAAAAGAGCCAAGTATTCCCAGCACCAAATGAAGCCATCCAAAAATTATATTTTGGTATCGCAAGTAAAACTTGTCCGAATCCATCGAAATTGAAAAATTCGAATCAAATTTGAAAAAATTTGCGACTTTCATTTTTTTCACTTTTTTTCGTTGATTTTTTAAGTTTTTTTTTTAAATTTCAACTTTTCTATAATTTTTAATTTTTTAAAAATATTTTCAACTTTTATAAAATTTTTAAAATTTTTAATAATTTTTCACAATTTTTCTCATAAAAACTCGTCTGCTTGCACGAAGCGATAAAATTTAACTGCGATGATTAGTTGTCGACTGTATTGTTATTGTTCGTCTGACGTGACATGCGAGAAACTTTTTATGGAAAAGCCGTTCAATTGAAAATTGAGAGAAGCTCAACTGCGAGTAAAATGAGCGAAAATTGAGCTTTTTTGATGATGAAAAACTAAGTTTAGTCATAAATTTGAGAATAATTGATTAGGCAAATATTGGAATTGACGGGTGATGAGTAAGATTTTTTGATAGGTCTGGGTGTTAATTTGGTTAGCAATATGAGGAAATAGTCAAGATTGTTCTCTGAATTGTGAGATTTTCTGTGAAAATTTAACTGATTTCTGTGAATTTTGTGATGAAGACTTTTTGATACTATTTTTTGGTAGAGCATCTAGCGGTGCAAAGCAAGTCTGCAAAAAAGTGTGTGAAGGCACCTGAACTTTTAAACAAAGTGTTAAAGCACCTGAATAGCTGAAAATAGTGTGAAGGCACCTGAACATGTGAACCTAGTGTAAAGGCACCTGAACTTGTGAACCTAGTGTGAAGGCATCTGAACTAGTGAACTTAGTGTGAAGGCACTTGAACTTATGAACCTAGTGTGAAGGCATCTGAACTAGTGAACTTAGTGTGAAGGCACTTGAACTTATGAACCTAGTGTGAAGGCACCTGAACTTGTGAACCTAGTGTAAAGGCATCTGAACTAGTGAACCTAGTGTGATAGCACCTGAACATGTGAACCTAGTGTAAAGGCACCTAAACTTATAAACCTAGTGTGAAGGCACTGAATATAAGAAAATCGTATGAATGCACCTGAATATGAGAATTTGGTGTTGGATCAACGCTTATTGTCTTCTTCAAGTATTGTTTGTAGCTTTTATATAATATTTGATTAGATTGCGTTTATCAGCGCTCAAATTTAAAACATTTGTTAATCTATTAATATCCACAATTTATTTATAGCTTTTAATGTATTTTTCACACTCTACAATCCAGACACTTGTGTGATCCAGTTTCTGATTCCAGGAAATTCAATTCTTGTATTGACACTCGGGAATATTCCATCTCCGCAGGTCTAAAATACATTAGCAAGCGGTTATTAGCAAGTAAACCTCACAAAAACCCCCTACAAAAAATGCTTACCGTGCTTCCAAAGCTAACAACGCCAAGTTGAGTCCTTTGTCCATTAACATCTCTCACAAGTGGTGATCCACTGTCGCCACTGCACGAATCTCGACCAGCTTCAGATTTGACACAGAAGAAGTGATCAAAGATGTCACTCCAAATGCTGTCACATTCGTCAATGTTCATGATTGGAAGCGTTAGTTGTTGCAGATGAGTTGGCACAATTCCGTTTTCATTTACCTGGAATGAGTTTGGGTTACTAAACATCCAGAATGTCTGGATAAGCAAGATCCAGTTAACTTCCCGACCAACAACTTACACCCCATCCAGTAACAGTAGCTGGATCTGGATCGCAAGCCTGACAACATCTCTGATTGCAAACTGGTGAAATTGGAACAACAGCAACATTTAGTCCAATCATTGGTGATTCATTAGCAACTCTTATTAATGCAATATCAAAATCAAGCCAAACTGGATCATATTGTGGATGTAAAGTATAAAAATCAGTGAAAAAGAGAGTTCCACCGTATGTTCTGTCTGTGGTTGCACCAAGAAGATTGATGAGCATTGCTGGGGTGCCGAATTCGAGGCAGTGAGCTGAATTTTATGGATTATAAGTTTGAAAATTGATTTTTTTATATCTGCAGATCATGTCTTACCAGCTGATAGTGACCATTGAGCATGGATGACTGAGGCGCCGCATATAAATCCGCCCATACTTAGATCAAAGAGTGCCAACATGTGTGGAAATTGTTCAATTGGTGCTGGTTCACCTCCAAGGATTCTTCCACTTCTGGTTCTATCTCTCAAGTATTGAGGTGTCCTGCCACCTAATCTACTAGGACCTAACCTCGGTGCTCCATAAGTCAGTTCCAAAATTAACGCTAAAACAACGAATAATACCAATTTCCTCATCTTGACACAATTGACTGAATTAAATTACTCAATTGCTCGATCATATATAGCTACTGTTCAGTTATCTAGTTGGGAAAATCCAGGAGTAGTAGTTATCGTCATGCTATTGTACATAACGGATATGATAAGATTAAGTAAAGGTTCATATCAATTTTAAAGTTTGATTTGATTTCTGGAAAAATCAAGGTTGATAAAATTGAAGCACTGGAAAATCTGGAATTGATATTTATTTATTTTGTTCAAGTGGCAGGCGCGTAGCCAGGGGCGGGGGGGGGGGGACAAGTCCTCCAACATAAACAGAAATTTCTTTGTTTTGCTAGGGTTTTTATGAAAAAATCATAAAATCCCCCCCCCCCCCCCCCTGATTAAATTTTTTACCCCCCCCCCCCTCTTCAAATCCCTGGCTACGCCCCTGTCAAGTGGTAAGTTGTGATTGCATAAAAGTAAAACCTTCGAAAATCTAGATTATTTGGTCTTGATCTTAGTCACGGTTAAATTTTATGCAAACCAAAGAGTGTGAAGTCAGGGGTGTTTGCTTCAACCCCCCTTCCCCCCCCCCTCGAAAATAAAATAAATAAAAATAATAATTTTTCATGATTCAACAAAATTAATTTATTATCATCCCAATTATTTTTACAATCCAGACACTTGTGTAATCCAGTTTCTAATGCCCGGAAATTCAATTCTTGTGTTGACATTCGGGAACCGTCCATCACCGCAGATCTAAAATTCAAAAAAAAATTTTTTTAAAAAAAAGAATTTAAAGCTTAGAGTCAAGGGTAGAAGGACGTTAAATAAGCGTCAGGCGAGTGAATTAACACCTGTGAAAGATTTCTGAAAAAAGTGGAGAAGGGGCCGAAAACCAGGATTTTTGATGGAGGTCATAAGAGAACGTCTTCTTCCAAAAAGAGGAGGGAAATTGTAAAAACAAACTTGCTATAAAAACAACCAAAATCCCAAACTCACCGTGCTTCCAAAGCTTACAACTCCAAGCTGTGTTGCCTGTCCATCAACATCTCTCACAAGTGGACTTCCACTGTCACCACCGCATGAATCTCTGCCAATTTCAGCGTTCAGACAGAAGAAATGATCGAAAATGTCACTCCAAATGCTGTCACATTCGTCAATGTTGACAATCGGAAGTGTGAGTTGTAGAAGATTTCGTGGAAGGACTCCTTCTTCGTTGTACTGGAATATATTAATTGTAATTAATGATCTTAGTCTTGAATTGGGTTTTAGGAATCATCAATTAGCATGTTTGAGCCACAATGTACCAAACCGCAGAAATTTGCCTCTGATAATTCCGTGAAGCCAACTAGAAAGGATTTGAGACAGATTAACTGACTTTTGATCCTTTTTGACAAGGCATGGACACTCGGAATTAATCTCAAAAAAATGCTAGCATCTCTGAACATGATAAAGCCCTGAATTTTTTAACATTTTCAATCAGTTCTGCACCCTTTGTATTACTTACACCCCATCCTGTAACAGTAACCGGCTCAGGATCACAAACCTGACAGCATCTTTCATTACAAACCGGTGAAATAGGCACAACAGCAACATTCAATCCAGTCATTGGTGATTCATTAGCAACTCGAATTATTGCAATATCAAAGTCAAGCCAGAATGGATCATATTGTGGATGTAAAGTATAAAAATCAGTGAAGAACAGAATTCCATTGGAAATGCGGTTTGTGGTTCCACCAAGAAGATTGATGAGCATTGCTGGGGTACCGAATTCGAGGCAGTGAGCTAGAATGAAAGGTAATAAATATCACGTTTAAAATTGAAGGTTAAGGTTGAACCTTACCAGCTGTTAGTGACCATTGTGTGTGAATAACAGAAGCTCCACAGATAAATCCACCCATTCTAAGATCGAGCAGTGCCAACATGTGTGGAAATTGCTCAATTTCAGCAGGCTCACCACCGAGAATTCTTCCATTTCGGGTTCTTTCTCTTAAGTATTGTGGTGTTCTGCCACCGAACCTAGGCTGAGCTCCCTTTGGAAATCCATAAGTCAATCCCAATATCACAAAAATTAAAAATATTTTTTTCATTTTTATACTGAACCGAGCTACTTGATTGCTGAATTATTAATAGCAACTGTTGCTTGATTAATCCAGAAGTGGTAGTTATCATAGCTGTGCGTAGCGGATATGATAAGATTAGAAAATGAACAATTGATTTATGCTTTTGGGAAGTGAAGTTGTGGGGAAATTATGGGAACTGATTAGTAAGCAATTTAAATCAAAACGTTTTCTCATCACGCTGTTGTTCGCTTGGATAAGTTTATTTTCTAGAATTTTCGACAAAAACTTACCAGCTGATAGTGACCATTGCGTGGTGATGACTGATGCATCACAGATAAATCGGCACCAAGTCAAGTTAATTAAGGCAAGCATGTGTGAAAAGTCTGCAGGTTAAAATTTTATTTAAGGAGCTACGATCAGAAAAATATGTCAACTTACCAATTTACAATTAACTTAACCGATTTCCTCGAATGCTAAATTATTAAAAGCAACTTTTTAATTCGTTTTACTTGATTAATCCAGAAGCAGTTAAGTGCTTTGCTGGTCGAATAGGTAAGGCGCTTTGCTCAAATTTGGGATGGTAACTCGAAGGTTGTCGGTTCGAATCCAGCCATTTCCAAATTTGTTCTTTTTCGGAAGTTTAGATACTTCGACTGCTTAATGTACGAGATCAAGCCATAATTGGGCATTTTGGGCAACGTTGGATTAAGGAACGGGTCAAGAACTTGAAGTGTTGCGGGAGAAAAAAAGAACGAGAGCTACAAGATTACCTTATAATGGAATATTGTCAGAACGGACCTGAAAAGTATCACGTCACGCCTACAGAAGATCGAAACGAGAGCCTTAGTTTATTTGAAACCTAGATTAGAAGTTTGATTCTGCATAATACTAATTCATATGTATACAAAAGTGTAAAATGTGAATTATTACCGGACAGTATGTCGTCAATAAATGCAATAAAGTGCAATTAAAATGAAAATGAATTGGAAAAGTGAAGTGATTGGGAAATTTTTCAAGTTGATATGAATAGTATGATGCAATTGGAATTGATTTAAAGTTCAACTTTTAGAAAATTTTGATGAGGATTTGGATTCATCTATATAACTCATATTAAGCTGCATTCTTTAAATTTATTTTTTAAAAATTTAGAAAAAAATTGCTTAATTTTTATAAAAATTTATTTTTCACACTCCAGATACTTCTGTGATCCAGTTCCTGACACCAGAAAATTCAATTCTTGTATTTACACTTGGATAGCTTCCATCTCCACACACCTTAAAGATACAACAACTTTTAAATTTTTGTCGTCCACAAAATATGTTTTAAAAAAAAGTATGCGAAAAATCCTTACCGTGCTTCCAAAGCCCACAATACCAACTTGATATCTCTGACCAGCAATATCTCTCAAAATTGGTGATCCACCATCACCATTACATGAATCTTTGCCATCACCAGCCCAGTTACAAAAGAAAACATCTGGAATTCCTTGCCATGCAGCATCACATGCAGAATGATTGTAGATTGGAAGTGTGATTTGATTGAGACCTGACGACAGGACTCCGTTTTCGTTGTACTAAAAAATTGGATCATGAGACAATATTCAATCTTGAGAAGTTAAAATAGTTGATGACAGACTTACACCCCAACCTGAAAATATAAGTTTGAAAAAATACTAAAATATGAACTGAAAGCTTGCAAGGGGATATCCAGGATCTTAAAATCTACCAAAATACCAACCAGTAATAGTGACCAACCGATATTCGCAAGTATGACAGCAAGAAGTATTACAAATCGGTGAAATAGGCACAATTGCAACATTTAATCCATTCATTGGTGAATCGTCTGCAACTCGTATCAGTGCAACATCAAATTCAAGCAAATATGAATCATATTGTGGATGTAGGACATAAAAGTCAACAAAGAAGAGGAATCCACCAAATGTTCTGTACCTGGAACCGCCACGAAGATTGATGGAGCCTGCTGGTGTATTTTTATCAAGGCATTGAGCTAGTTGATGAAAAAAAATAGTAATTTCAGATTTTATTAAACTTCTGCATGTAGACTTTACCAGCTGTGAGTGACCATTGTCTGTGGATAACTGATGCACCGCAAATGAATCCACCTCTAGACAAATCAATTAAGACTAGCATGTATGGGAATTGTTCGATGTTGGCTGGCTCTCCTGTTTTTTAAAAAATGTTTTTATTTTATAAAGATTTTTTACATTCTTTTAAATGTCTCAACATTACCGCCAACAATCCTTTCATTTCTGTTTATATTAATCACATACTTTGGTATACGTTGACCTAATCTTGTTGGACCTCTTAGAGCTCCATTGATTAATTCTAACGAAGTAATCAAAACAGCAAGTAAAACCAACTTCTTCATTTCTTGCAAGTCAAATCAAATAAATTATTCAATTATTCAATCATATATAGGAATGCTCGTAAGATTACAGCTATAAATAACAGATTCGATAAGATTGTTGTTATCGGGAATTTGTGTTTTATTTTGAGGAGGGCAAAATAAGCATGACCTAAATAATATAAAGTTTGTGTCTTGGGATTAATCATAGAACTCCACGGTGTGACTACACATCAGCTTCATAATCCCCACAAATTTTTTCTCATCCAATTTCTCAAAATCAAACAAAAAAGAAAAAATCACGATGAAAATTTTTCTCAAGTTTTTCCACTCATTTCTTTGCAAAATGGCAAAGTTTCCGGTCGTGAAAAAGTTTTTGTGCATTTTTGATCTTCAAAATTCAATTTATTTTATTTCAATATTTAATATCGTGTTTTGTTGCTTTCTGATTTATGTCGATGCCAATGAACTTATACATCGAGTCGAGGAGTATAAAAAGTCATTGGATTTGGGTGGTGATAAGGATGATAGTGATTGTAAGTTTAAAGGTTGAGAGAATTCATTTTTGGAATTAATTGAGTTTTGAGAAGTGAAAATGAGAAGGTGCTGAGTAAGTTGGTCATTGCTGTGCGCCAAGGACGAGAGGAATAATTTTGAGAGCCTAGACGAGTTAAACCTAGCCGCCTGGGGTAAAATCTCCCCCAATTCCAATCCCCACACCTCCATCACTGCCAAATATTCAAAAAATCTCAAAAACAATTTTTTCCAAATTTTTTTCGCTCTTCTGCCATGAAAAATAATCTCACCTGGTGTCCATGCCTCTCCACAGGGTTCACATTACTTCAAGTTTCAAAAATAGTAATCTACATCTTCACAATCACTGCAAATATTCTGCTTTGCTGTGGGAATTTTATCATTAAAGATATTGTAAGTATCGAACATTGAAGCTTAAATTAAATGACCTTATTGAATGATTGATGCACAGCTACCATAACCTACCATCTGAATTATTTGATTAAATCTCGAAATATTTTCAGTGCTGCTCGTTAACATTCTACGTCATGTCAATTATTGTAGCTGTTATGACTCTTGCTAGTGGATTATATCACATTTTACCTCATTATATTGGATTTTCAATAGCAAATATTTATTTTGTGGTCTGTGTCTACTCATTGGAGATGAATTTGATGGAAAGGAAGGAGATGAAGAAGGCGAGGGAACAGGAGTTTGATAGGGATCGGATGAAAGGGTTTTGAAGAGAAGGCTGGCTTAAGTTTTGTGAGAACTAGCGTTGTAAATGGATTTAGAGGAGGTTGGCAGAGTTTTGTGTTAAATTTGTCACACTATTAGCTGATTTTGTTCAAAAGTTGTCAGAATTTCAGCTGACTTGTTCATAATTTGTCAGAATTTCAGCTGATTTGTTCAAAATTTGTCATAATTTTAGCTGACTTTTTTAAAATTTGTCCGACTTTTAACTGATTTTGTTGAAAAGTTGTCAGAATTTTTGCGGATTTGTTCAAAATTTGTCAAAATTTGTCAAAATTTCAGCTGACTTTTTTAAAATTTGTCCGACTTTTGGCTGATTTTGTTCAAAAGTTGTCAGAATTTTTGCGGATTTGTTAAAATTTGTCAGAATTTTAGCTGAATTTGTTAAAATTTGTCCGACTTTTGGCTGATTTTGTTCAAAAGTCGTCAGACTTTTAGCGAATTTGTTCAAAATTTGTCAAAATTTCAGCTGACTTTTTTAAAATTTGTCCGACTTTTGGCTGATTTTGTTCAAAAGTTGTCAGAATTTTTGCGGATTTGTTAAAATTTGTCAGAATTTTAGCTGAATTTGTTAAAATTTGTCCGACTTTTGGCTGATTTTGTTCAAAAGTCGTCAGACTTTTAGCGAATTTGTTCAAAACTTGTCAGAAATTCAGCTGAATTTGTTAAAATTTGTCCGACTTTTGGCTGATTTTGTTCAAAAGTCGTCAGACTTTTAGCGAATTTGTTCAAAATTTGTCAAAATTTCAGCTGACTTTTTTAAAAATTATCCGACTTTTGGCTAATTTTGTTAAAAAAATTGTCAGAATTTTAGCGGATTTGTTCAAAATTCGACCGACTTTTAGCTGATTTTGTTCAAAAGTTCAAAAGTCATAAAACTTCAAAAATTAATCCAAACAACCAAAATCTCTCAACATACATCAGCACCCCACATCAATTACATGAACAACATTAAACTAACATAAAAAAATTTCATAACCGACTGACCTTCACAACTAATAAATTCATGTTTCATATCCAAAAGCTGTTACATCATTGACAAGAAAATTAAAAGTGTAAATAAAAGTGCATTTTTATCACAAATTATCGCTCATGAAAAGCTAAAATATTTTCTTAAAAGTAAACAAAACTTTTTTTCACACCTTCATAACAATTTTTTTTTATTTTTTATTTCAGTTCTTCACATTGCAGCATGTCTGATCATGTTATGTTTAGTCTAATCATTTTAGATATTTATTGGGGTCATAAATCACGTTCGATGGGAAGTTTTTGAGGTGTTTATTGAGTTATTTTTGGGTGATTTGTGGATTTGTGGATGTAAGGTGCTTGAATTTTGAGGTTAGGAATGCCTTTGGACCCCTGAAGCTACTCATCAATCCATTAATCAATAATTTCCCAACACTTGACCTCCAACTTCCTCCAATCTATCCAATTAAGCTTACAAAATGTCTCAATCAATTATCAATCAACATCCCCAAGCTGATTCAGTCACTTCCATAAATTGACGAGATTTTATTTTTCGCATGAACCTCACTCGTCATTAATTAAATTATTTCAATAAATATTCAAATGTGAAATATCTCTAAGAACCATGACTCAAGCCTTAGTTTATTCAATCTAGAATGAGTCAGACATTACCGTACTTTTTTGTGTATGAGCTTCCAAAAACAATAAATCTGTGGCTTGCATGGCGAGGAAAAGATCTTAAAAAATAACGACTTTTTGAGGTTGCGATCGCGTGCAGTTTAATATTTCTTATTTATTTGTTTTCAATTTTTTGCAGTTGTTTATCAAATGTGGGATGAAAGCACGCTGTTTTTAGGACGGTGATGGACGAGGGGCTATGTTGTTGTCTTCTGTATATGACTCAAATTCTCAAACTTCCGCATTTATTCATTTCTTCTTGATTCTCATCTCTGATCATCGCACAGCAAAGTGTCAAAAGTCAATCGACATTTATCATGTGTACAACTTACAGTCTTTCATCTCTTACAATTCTTACCATTTCGTCAAACTTGTGCATTTAATTTTTCTAGACCGTATGTAAGTCAAGCTGGTGAATTTCAATTAATAATTTGGGTTAAGTGACTGCAATGTGAATGAATTATGTGGGCTTATTAGAGAGCTAGAAAGGGCAAAGGTAGCAGATTGAGATGGTTAAAAAAATTATGCTTGTTTTTTGATTGTGTGAGTAATTGTCACTTTGCTACAAATTAAGTGAAGCTATTTAACTTGACTCGATTCCACGTGAAAAATCTACTTGACTCGACTTCTTTACTTGATTCTACTTGACTCAAACTTACTCGACACGTATATATTTTGCTCGAATCTCCCCTAATCGTATCAACTGGACTCTTACCTTTCTGAATTGAAGCTACTCTACTCAATACTACTTGATTTGAATCTACTTGACTCAACACTACTTGATTTGAATCTACGTGACTTTAATCAAATTGATACGAAGCTACTTCAATTGACTCTCCTTAACTTAAGTCGAATCTGCTTGACACAAAACCTACTTGAATTGAGTATACTTTACTTAAACCCACTTGACACAAAACCTACTTGAATTGAATCTGCTTTCGTTGAACCTACTTGATGCAAAACCTACTTGAATTGAGTCTACTTTACTTGAACCTACTTGACACAAAACCTACTTGAATTGAATCTGCTTTCGTTGAACCTACTTGACGCAAAACCTACTTGAATTGAGTCTACTTTACTTGAACCTACTTGACTCCAACTTACTCTAGACAAATATATTTTGCTCGAATCTACTTAAATCGAATCAATTTGACTCGTCCCTATTTGAATTAAATCTACTTGACTCAATACTACTTGATTTGAATCAACTTGACTCAATACTTCTTAATTTGAATCTAATTGACTTTAATCTAATTGATACAAAGCTACTTCAATTGACTCTCCTTAGCTTAAATCGAATCTACTTGACTTGAACCTACTTGACACAAAATCTACTTTACTTTAACCTGCTTGACACAAAACTTCCATGAATTAAATCTACTTGACTTGAACCTACTTGACACAAAACCTACTTGAATTGAGTCTGATTTCCTTGAACCTACTTGACACAAAAAGTACTTTAATTGATTCTACTAAACTTGAATTTACTTGATACAAATCTACTTCACTTAACTCTTCTTAACTTAAATCGAATCAACTTGGATCAATTACTCGAATCTACTTGGTTTGAATCTACTTGACTCAAAATTACTTGAAATGAATCTACTTTACTTAACTACTCAAATCTTCTTCGTTTGAATCTACTTGAATTTAATTTACTTGACTTGTTCCTACTTGATAAGCATCAACTTCACTTAAATCAACTTATTTTGATTCGAATATACTTGACTCGAGCTTACTTGACTCAAAACCTACTTGATACAATTCTACTTGACTAAACTTTAGCAACTTGTCTCAAATTATTTATGAAAAATTTTTTCCAACTTTTAAATTCAATTCCTCAGTTTCCCGTAAATTTAAAATATTTTTACAAACATAAACGACACCTTTAAATAAAGAAAATGTGTTAATTTAAATACCAACCCATTTATGTAATTCATCTCGACGCTCTTTTTTTGTTCTCATATAAATTAAGCCTTCAATCAGCTGTCAAAATCAACGATGCATTCTGAACACATCACGACTTTTCTGCTGCATTTTCATACATATTCTCATTTTTGTTGCACAACTTAGTCGATTTGTAAACAAAAATATTAGTAGATCTTCTCAGAATTCCGGCAAAGCTTAAGAACCAGTTTTAATGACGTAAAATTGAGAGAGAGATTTGGATATTGTTGTTGTAGATTTTGACGTTATTTTTTTTTCAAGAAATCCGTTGAATCATTTGAAGATTTTCTGGTAAAACGTGTTCGATTTCTAAAGAAATTGGTTCTTGTTCTGTAATTTTCAATGTTTTAAGGAAGCTGGGTTCTAAAGACTGCTTTGAAAAGGGTATTTTAAGGATGAGGGCAAGTAAGATGTCAACATGCCCCAAACATTTGGTTTATTGATCAATGTTGATAACCGAAAATTTCTTCCAAGAATACAAAAAACATCAAAATTTCCCCTCAGTAGTTCAATAATCCATCAACATTCACCGCACGTCACAAACCATGCACTTGTCGAAGATGCAACAAGTAGTAAAAATGCCCATTAAAGTCAACGACAACAACAAAAAAAGTCTCACAAAGAAATTCCATAAAAAAGAGCTTAAAACAAAATTCCGACAGCGCTGCTCGCTCTAATGACTCATCCACATATGTGAGCATATAAAAAATTTCATTCAGTTTTACTTTATCGTGTGAGATATTCGGACGTGATTTGGACGTTAAGGAGGTTTTTGAGGTTATTTAAGGATTTTAATAAGGTTTGTTGATAGTTTTTGGTGCCTTATAAATTACCAAAAATTCAAGTCAATCCAAAATTTGTCTAAAAATTCAATAAAAGTTCCGAAAACCGATCACAAAATTCAAGTTTAAGGTGTTGCTCGTCATCAGCTTTTTGTCATTGTATTAGTGAGCATTTGAAAGTTTATCCAATCGAGAGAGTCATGCGGCACCAAACGGACAAGTGAATTGCATTTTTTATTTGTTCTCGAAGGTTCTCTCAACTTTTTTGGAGGTTGTAGTTGTGTTGGTGAGCGCGTGTACGAGAGAGACAATGATGATGACGATCGGTCATGCAGTGAATTGTGAATGAATAGCAATGCATTCTTTTGTTGACGGATGTTGCTGGTTGTAGATTTTGTTTTTTGTGGTTTTTTATAATTTTGCTTTTTTTGGCTGTTCCAGTGTCTTACCCAAATATCAACAGTTTAGTCAATAGCAATGCCCTACCACGTCCTACATCCCTTAATACCCCGCAACCATCAATAAACAACAATCTTTCTTATTTATCCAATTCCAGAAGTACAAAAGCAGCATCAACAAACCCAACCCTGAGGCTTCATTAGACAGCAAACTAATTAGCATTTCCACATTCATCAGAGACAGCAACAAATTCAGCAATCATGACAATAACAAAGACAGCATTCATTATTTCAGTATTTAATGTCGTCAGTTGCACAGCATTCTTCCTGTACAGATTCTTAATATTCTACGAAATTGTGGAACTAACACAGACAAATGAGATTAATAGATTTACAGTCGTGTCGAGGAGGGAATTTAATCCAAATGTGACGAGTTATATGGGTGAGTTGATGTTGTATTGACTTTGATAAGCTAACTTGTTAATTGAGTTTTTACTTTAAGATGCTGAACATGGTCTGATAGTTGAGATGAGCGCCTATTTCTTGGGAATCTTGTTTAACGCTCTTCTGCCTTTAGGTGTTAATACAGCAAGAGAAAAGGTGAGAAATGATTGCAAATTTGTTGATTTTGCTAAGGTATTGTGTGTGGTTGATGGTTATTGGACTTAAAAATATACTTTAATGGTCATAGACCAGTGGTGGTCAACCTTTTATTTGCTACGGCACACCATGATGGTAAACCATGACCGAAACTGCACAAGGCACACGGTTGGTGGGATTTTCCTGAATTTTTCGCGGTATTCTAGTTTGTCGCGGCACATAGGTTGGCCATCACTGGCCAAAATCCTCATACATAACTTTCAGAGCTCGGAGTTGACTCAGATTTTGTAAAGTTCATAATAAATGCATGTCAACTTCGAGCTTTTCGAGCTTCAAAACCCAAAAGAATGATTTTTCTGATTGTGAGGTGCCAGGTTCAATCCCGCTCAGGACGAGCCATTTTTTGATTATGTAGATTCTGACTTAAACATAAGCTGTCGTACAATAAAGTCAATTACTGTCCAAAACTTTGACAGGCCATAACTCTTGCAGGTTATATCCGTTTACAAAAATTTTTGCCGGACAAAATTGCACGTAATTAGTAGATCCATTTTCATATACAATTCGGCAATAAAGTTCCTATAATTACTCTCGCTGAAAAAGTGAAGTACGCGGAAAGATACCCAAAATCTTGTAAGGGGTATATCCAGTTATAGGAAGGAGGACGAAAATATTTAAATTCGGGACATAAATGGACGTAACATGGACGAAATTCAAGACAAGTTTCATCACTCCCTGACAACCTGCTTCCGCGTCCTTCACAGACATATTTTATCAAATCCGAACTAATACATTTTTTTACAAATTTCAGAACTCCTTCTTCTTTTTCCCTCCATACTACATCATTGCCATTTTATTATCAGCCGTAACATTCGCATTAGGCATCAAGAACGTCTCATTGACTTATATTGGATATTCGGTTCTGAATGTGCTTTTTATTATCGGTGTTATTGGAATTCATCGAGCAATTAAGCGTGAGAAGTCATACACAAGGAAATATAATGCCACAAATGTATAAAAAAAATGTAAAAAAATAATAAGATTTTGTAGGTTTAAAATAACAAATGAAGTCTGATGTTGAAAAATAGCAAAGATGTAAAAAAATTGAAAATTTAAAGGAATTTAAGAGTTTACTTGACGTCCGGCAAAACGTTTTTTAAGACCCCATTCCAAATGTTGACGTCATAAGTGAACGGAACTTAAAATATAATTAGTCTAAAATTTAAAAAAATGTCACCAAAATGAGAAAAATTAATGCCGTCCAAAAAGAAAGTTACTAGTATGAATAAGAACTAATCTTATAAATCTCCAGATCTGACTTTAAAGATCAACAAGCCAATAAATGTAAAATCTTCCGTCCTTATGTTTAAATAAGATCTTCCATATTATTTTGTAAGAAAAATTATCTTAAATTTATGAAAAGTAGAAAATTTTATAATTGAAAAAATAAAAAAATGTTAAAAAACAAAAATTTAATTTTTTTTGAACTTTCAGTGACTCAATTTCTTCTAGCTTAAAGGGCTGTTTACTTAAAGGTTTTTTAGGTTAGGAGGGCAGATTTGAGATTTTGTGACCGTTCAAACAAGACAAATTTTTCTTTGTTCAAATTTTATGACAAGGATCTATAAAGTCGTTTTTTTGGCATTGCATAATAAATGGCAGTTCTCTTGTGACGTCCGGAGGGGGGGTCAGTAATAAAAGAACACTAGAAATCCGTTGTTCTGTTTGGAAAAATTGCCATTAATCTGGTTAATCGAATAGAAATCAAGGGTGTGGCACTGATGAAATGATCAAAAATGATCAAAAATGATCAAAAAATGATCAAAAATGATCAAAAATGTAATTCTTCAGTTCCACACCCTTGATAGAAATCCAACATCAAGCCGGCATGACTCTGGCATGGTTTTAGCTTCGATTTAAATCTAGCAGCATTCGGGCGTAGCCAGGAATTTGAAGAAGGGGGGGGGGGGGGGAATTTTTTTTGTTTGGAAAAATTTAATTGGGAGGATTTTTTTCATAAAAACCCTAGCAAAATAAAGAAATTTCTGTTTACGTTGGAGGATTTGTCCCCCAAATCCCCTCCGGACTACGCTCCTAAGCACCATGTCAGAATCACACCAGCTTGGTGCCAGATTAATGATCCGACGTGTGTCATTCGGGTAAGTGAACGATCCCTAAGTGTAGCTAAGTTTTGTATAACAGGAAGTAAGGAAAATCCTTAAGAATCAGCTTTTGTGTTTCAGTCCTCACTACAACTCTGGCTACAGCTAATGCCAACAAGTTCTTCATTATCTCACATTTTTTAACACTTTATTGTCTTGTTGATTAAACATTTTTTATTCTTATCTTTTTGATGTAATCATAATAAAACTATTTTAATGGATGTAAAAATTGTGAAATTATTTTTTTAAGGTATTAGCTTTCATTTGAGATAATCAAAATGTGTGGAATGTCTGTTGATAAGATTGAAGCAGAGGGGCGGTCAAGGGACGCACTGGAGATAGCTAATGATCCAATATCATTAAAAAGTCTTTAAAATTGCGATACTCTAAGCCAGTGTTCTCCATACTTTTTTGAGCCACGGCACAATTTAGGGGTAAACCAATACCAAAATTGCACACAGCATGCGACTCGTGTCTTTTACAAAAAATTCTACTGCACACCAGTGTGGCGCGGCTAACAGTATGGACAACCCTGCTCTAGACAGTGATGTTTAACCTATGTGCCGTGATACACAATTGTTTGAAAAACTCTTCGGTGTGCAATATTGATCGTGGTCTCCTCCACAAATGTGTACCGTGACACAGAAAAAGGTTGTGCACCACTGTTCTAAGTTGCCCATCACTGTTCTAGGGTCAAAGTGATTGAGGACAATACACCAAACCCCAAAAATTTAATTTTGCAATTTAAAAAAAAAACAACATTTTATTTTATTAATTGAGATTTGCTTTACACCGCCAATAAAACTCACAATAAATTATCCAGCAATAAACTTCAATTTGACGTTCTCGGTGCCGGAACGAATGCTTTACCTTCCATGCATGCCTTAATAAATCCATAATGTTGATTAGCGCCGTTCTGATTGAGCTCATAAGTCGGTCGAGTCTTCATTAATTTAAGCCATTTTTCAAGTTTTCCATATTTGTGCTCATCAATTGGAACTAAGAATCTCAGCGACAGTAAAGTGCACCAAATGCTAATGTCAGCAATTGTCATGTGACTGCCGCAAAAATATTTCTGATCTTCTTGGAAAAATCCATCAAGCAGTTCGTAAGCGTCATGAACACTGTTGATGTTCTCTTGAGTCAGTTCCTTTCTTTTTTGCTGATAAATTGGCACAACTGTGTCATAAAGTCTTTGAAACAAGATGGTAGCTTCAAAGAACAGCATTTGATTGACTTTTGTGCGCATTAGGATATCCTTCGGATATAAAATGTCATCAGTCGCGTACCGTTCTACTAAATAAATTGCAATTGCATGACTGTCCCAGACATAAACGTCATCATCACTTAAGGCTGGAACTTTAGCAAGTGGATTAATTTTTCGATATTTTTCACTTTTATGCTCGCCGGAGAACATGTCAACGATTCTGAAAATTAAGGGTTAAGTGAACTATGAGATGAATTTTTGGTAATAGCTGAAATGCTTTGATTTAAATCCAGCACAGTCACATAGTCACACCGGCTTGGTGCCGGATTTCTGATCGATTAACCGACTTGTGCTGTTTGGGTGTGGCTCTTCAAAAACTACCTTAATGTCTCCTAAATGTTAAGCTGCCTTGAATTTTAAGGTGCTAGATTTTGACAATAGTTTGTTACAAGTAAGAAAGTCACTGACTCAGGATGTCAGAAGCGCATTTTTTTCAAAATTTATTGACCTTTTCAAAATCAAAACTAATTCAATCTAATGCCACTATTTGAGCTCATAGCCTTGCTGCATCTCTTAAAATCTAGTTTAACATGAGTCACTTTTGGGGTCATTCACTTATGACGCCCGTAAAAAAAATGACTTTTTGGACCCCCTGCTAGAAAATTTATATGGAAAAAAAATTCTTTTGTTTGAGGTGTCGCAAAATTTTAGAACCCCTCCCCCTAGACGTCATTTATGAACGACCCTTTGATTGAAAAATTTGATAAACTTTGTTTTTATTTTGTTTGAACACGAAAAAAACTCTTTAATCAGCACACGTGCCTTGTTTTCATCTTGAAGTATGTGATATGATTGTTTATTAACTCACGAGAGACAAAAGTTCAAAAGTTTGGCACTTGAGAATTGTCATGTTATTATGAAAAGCTGTTGAGGGGTTGTTCTCTTATGACGTCCAGAGGGGGGGGGTCAGCAAGAAAAGAACAATAGAAATTTCTGGAATTCCTTTGTTCTTTTTTGAAAAATGACCGTTAATATCGGACGTCATAAGTGAACGGATCCCTGAGTTCTTGCAGAGCTGTACCCACATTTAGGAGGTTAAATGTCAGGAGTCAAGCACTTCCTTCAATTTTTAAGGTATTTAAGACGTGTTTTTTGGGTTTGCCGGAATTTCTATTAAATTAACTTACTTAACCTCTAAATCAAGTCCAATTTCCTTAGCAGTAATCAATGCAGTTCTTGCTGGTGGACTCAATGGAATGTAGAACAAAGTTGGTCGTCTCATTTTCAATAATATTAACAATTTCTATTCAACGTTTACTAAATTAGATGTGATTGACACAAACGCTCAAACTAGACTGAATGAAATTATTTCAATTCAATGTGATAATGGAACTGGAAATGAATGTTTTTTCTCTCTCTTGTGTGACAGATAAGAAGTTCAAACTTGATAAAAAACTATAAATTGAGTTGTTATGATCAAATGAAGATTTTAAAGGTTTCCAAGGTTTGGGCACTTTTTTAGTCAAAGGTCAAAGTTATTCAACAACAACAACTGTTAACATTACAAAATATTCAGGCAGTACTGCTAGAATATGTCACACCTAAGGATCCACGATCAAATGGTGCAATTTTATTAGTCTGCAAATAAAAATCTCCTGTCATATATTCCCTTGCACTGTAGCCCATCTGTTGACTTCTCGATCGACACTTTCCAGCTACAAAGTCATCATAACTTGAACATTTAGTTGCTGCAAATGCATTCGTTCCTTTGTTTGCCACAGATTCTGCATAATAATAAACTGCCATTTGATGTGAGCAGAAATCTACAAAATAAAGCAAAGTTTTTATGTTCATTAAAATTTCCTTGAAAAAAGGCAAACTTACTAGTCGCGACAAATTGATCAACGAAATCTAAAGGTGGACATCCAGGTTGTACTTCAGTTTTCCCACCTCCATTGGGATAGAAGTCAATAGTTCCACATTTTACAGGTGCACCAAATGCAATCATATCAGTGTGAATTACAAGAACTGTTGAAGCATCTGAAGCATTTAGTGGATGATGATTGTAGGACGAGTTATACATGTACGGACCAGCTGGGTCTAATCCAATGATTTTTGGAATTTGTGGAGTCAGGAATGATTTTGGAATTCCGCGGTTGATGTAGGCAACTAGATGTGCTCCTAAGGAGTGGCTGGAATTCAAAATTCAAGAAATTTAAGCTTTAAAGCTGGTTTTTCGGGTTAAATTTTAGGATCATATCCCAAGGAAGCTAATGAGCCTTTGGCTTACAAACAATCCCCAAAAGTGTCGCAACTCACCCAACCAAATGAAACCTCAGTGTCGCAAAATTCCTAAAAGTCATTGCAATTCTAGCACCAACAAGTTCACCAATAACTTTCATATTCTCAATAGCAGCTGGATAATCAGCTACAGTAACTCCATTGTAGGCAGACCAATCGATAACAATTATGTTGTGACCACCTCTTTTGACATAAGCATCCAAAATAGTCTGACTTAGCGAATCGTCAATATTTTTAGTAAATCCAAAGGCATAAATGACGGTGTTTCTAGTTGGATTGAACCAGGAATTCGAGTAGATAGTTGTTAGGTTTTGGAGAGTGAATGCTGCTGTTTGTGATTTGTTGTAGGGATTGACGAGGATCAGATGCAGATTTGGATATTCTGTTTGATTAGGATTTATAATTTTTGAGGTTATGTTCAGGATTTTGAGGTTATGTTGATCATTTTGAGGTTATGTTCAAAATTTTGAGGTTAAGTTCAAAATTTTGAGGTTATGTTCAAAATTTCAAGTTTATGTTCAAAATTTTGAGGTTATGTTGAACATTTTGACTTTATGTTTAAAATTTTGAGGTTATGTTGATCATTTTGAGGTTATGTTGAACATTTTGACGTTATGTTTAAAATTTTGAGGTTATGTTGATCATTTTGAGGTTATGTTCAAAACTTTGAGGTTATGTTCAAAATTTCAAGTTTATGTTCAAATTTTTGAGGTTATGTTGAACATTTTGAGGTTATGTTAAACAAATTGAGGTTATGTTCAAAATTTTGAGGTTATGTTCAAAATTTTGAGGTTATATTGATCATTTTGAGGTTATGTTCAAAATTTTAAGGTTATGTTCAAAATTTTATGGTTATGTTCAAAATTTTGAGGCTATGTTGAACATTTTGAGGTTATGTTCAAAAATTTGAGGTTATGTTGAACATTTTGAGGTTATGTTCAAATTTTTGAGGTTATAATACCATTTTTTTATAAAAAACTGAGGCTATAGCTGTCTAACTTACTTGCCTCGAGTATTTCATTGACTCTTACACCAATAAATTGCCTATTTTTACCAAAAACTTCATTATTGTCAAAAAAAGCTTCTGCAACTGAACTTACAGCACAAAAAATCAATCCACAATGAAAAAGCAACTTCATTTCACAAAAGAGCTTCAATAATCAACAACTAGCTTCCAAAATATTCAGCTTTATAGTCACATATATTGTTATTCCCTATCTTAATGGCTTCCGTTGACAAAATTTGAATTTAGGTTCATGGTTTTTAATTATTAATTAAGGTTTAAATGTGAATTTATTGATTGATAACACTTGAGTTATTGACTTATGCTGTTTATAAAAATAAATCCCAATGTCTAACACCAAAATCGTGGAACTGATGAGAAATGATCAAAAATCAAGTTTCACGTTCCACACCCCTGCCAAGCACCTAACATTGGTCATTAAACACCTTAAAAAAACTAAATTCAATTAAAATCGACCAACTTTATTCAATAAAAATGAAAAAATTATTCAAAAATAAATAAAAGTTGTAACACATTAAGGAGCTGTAAATAAATAAGTAGCACCAGCGAGTCCACGATCGAAAGGTGCAAATGAGTTGGTTTGTAAATAAAAATCTCCAATTTCGTGATCCTTCGCATTAAATCCCATTTGTTGATTTTGTCTTTGACATCGTGCAAATAAATAATCTGAATAGTTTCCACATCGAGTAGCTGCAAATGAGTTTTCCTTGTTGTTGACTGACTCGGCGTAGTAAAGCACAGATCGGGTGTGTGAGCAAAAGTCTAGATTTGAATTAAAAATGAATAAAATTAATTGACTGATTAAAATGATGAATTTAGATCAAATAGCAGTAGACCAGCGAGACAGTCAGTCAAGCAACCAGCTACCGAGCTAAACATCCAGTAAGTCATACAGATGATTATTCATCTAGCTATACAACCAGCTAGATAACCAAACAGCTTTTTGTCAACTTACTTCCAGGAATAAACAAATTAGCTTTGTCAAAAATCGGACATCCCGGCTGAATGCCATTGATTCCACCACCATTTGGATAGAAGTCAATAGTTCCTGATTTAAATGGAGCTCCAGCTTGCAGCATGTCAGTGTGAATCACTTGAACGACTTCAGCATCACTAGAACTCAACGGCTTGTTTCCTAATGCCACATCATACATCAGAGGACCAGCTGGATCTAAACCAATAATTTTGTGGATTCTTTCAGTGAAAAGATTGTTTGGAATTCCTCGATTGACATAGGCACAGAGATGAGCTCCTAGGGAGTGTCTGTGGAAATTAGGAAATGAATTAACTGCCAAAAATTGATTAAAATATCTCAAAAGATGCTCACCCAACCAAATGCATCCTTCTCAGCATAGCTCTAGTAAATATTGATGACAATCTCCCACCAATCAGTCCACCAACTGCCTTCATATTTCCAACAGCAACATTATAATCATTTGGAACTGTTCCACTGTATGCTGACCAGTCAATAATTAGGATATTAAATCCACCTCGTTTAAAGTAAGCATCAATAATAGCCTGTGTTGTAACACTTGCCATGTTTTCAGTAAATCCAAAAGCATAGATCAAGGTTTGAAGTCGCCAATTGAACCATGGATGAGTAAGAATTTTCGGAGTATCAGCGTATGTGAAAGCAAAAATTTGCGCTTTATCGGCGGGGTTGATTAGGGTAAGGGTGAGTTTTGGGAAGTCTGAAAGGTAAGAAATTTGTTTTTTGAGGTTAAGTTTGCAAATATTTGAGATTGAAGTTATTAAATTTTTAAAGGCTATGTTCCAAAACTTTGAGGCTATGTTATCAAATTTTGAGGTTATGTTGTTAATTTCGGAGTCAAGTCATTTTATTGGGAGGTGATGTTGTCAACTTTTAAGGCTTTGTTGTCAATTATGAGGTTATGATGTCAATCTTGAGGCTATGTAACCAAATATGAGACTTTGTTGTCAATTTTGAGGTTAATTTATTAACTTCTTGATGCTATGTTGCGAAATTTTGAGGCTTTGTAGCCAAATTTGATGTCATGTCGCTATATTTGGAGGTTAAGATGTCAATTTTGAGGCTATCTCACCAATTTTGAGGTTATGATGTCAATTTTGAGGCTATGTATCCAAATTTTGAGGTTATGTTGTTAATTTTGGAGTCAAGTCATTCTATTGGGAGGTGATGTTGTCAAATTTTAAGGCTTTGTTGTCAATTATGAGGTTATGATGTCAATCTTGAGGCTATGTAACCAAATATGAGACTTTGTTGTCAATTTTGAGGTTAATTTATTAACTTCTTGATGCTATGTTGCGAAATTTTGAGGCTATGTAGCCAAATTTGATGTCATGTCGCTATATTTGGAGGTTAAGATGTCAATTTTGAGGCTATCTCACCAATTTTGAGGTTATGATGTCAATTTTGAGGCTATGTAACCAAATTTAAGGCAATGTAATCGAATTTGAGGCTATGTTCTCAAATTTTGAGGTTAAGTTGTCAAATTTTGAGGCTATAATCTAAAATTTTAAGGGTAAGTTGCTGATTTTTAGGTTATGTTGTTAATTTTGGAGTATGTTGCCAAATTTTATGCTTTGTTGTCAACTTTGAGGTTATGTTGTCAATTTTTTAAGTAATTTCCTCAATTTTGAGGCTATGTTGTCAATTTTGAGGCTATGTTGTTAATTTTGAGGTTAATTCATTAGCTTATTGATGCTATATGGCCAAATTTGAGGTAATACTAGTTGATCAACCAGATTTAACTTACTTGCTTCACTTCCAGCATTATTTAAAGGAATAGCTGCGGCTCTAGTTTCACCAGCTTGATAATCGTCATAATTATCCAAAAAATCAACTTCATTCTCATCAAATGGATCATCAAGTGTTTGTGCTTTAATCAGCAAAACTGCAAATTTTAATAAATTTAAAAATATTTTTTTTTATATTAATTTACAGAAAATATGAGAATTTGGGTCAATTATGTCAAGTTGAGGTTAACAATCACTAACAGCACTTCTCGCAAAAATTCACAATTCCACTAACCACAAATCACAGCACCAAAAATCAGCTCAAGACACTTCATTGCTTAAAATTTCACCAACAAATGACTCCAAAGTCTCATCAGCCTCTCCAATTTATACTTGCCGAAAAAAAAAAGTGAAACAATGATCTGATTTACTTAACGGATTCTCTTGTCATTCTGCAGGGATTCACGTCCATGAACTTGAAAATTTGTGCAATTATGCACCGAAAAACCAGTTTGAATGATAATTTGGAACTTCTGATGTTTCAAAGATTTCACTTTCATATGACATGGAATTGGATACAATAAGAAATGACCTGAATTTTAATTTGGGTGTACACGTGAAGTTGTGGATATGTTCTGGAGAATTTGTTGATTTTTTATGTAATTTTTGTGGATTGATGAGCTGTTGTTGGTGATTATAATGATGGGAATGACTTGAAATGGTCTATTTGTGGTTTGTGGAAGGGTTTGTGGACAGAAAGGATGCTTAAGATGTTCGAGGGGAGCTCTACAGCTACCAAACCCTAAAACTTCCAAAAAAAAACTCAAACTTTACTGTCAAAACTTTTTATTTCACATTTTCACATCCTCTACATGCAGCCATGGTCACAGTCTTCCGAAAATCCATCGTCACTTGAGCTATGTGAGCTGATTGGATCCTCAGAATCATTGTCTTCATGCTGATCACTCGCTTTCAACTCCCTTAGTGCGCTGATGAACTTTTGATGTAGATTTTCAGTCACTGACCTCCTAAACTCATAAATTGAGTTCGTTGCTTTCGAGATTTTCACCAAAAAACTGCCAAAATAATCCAAAATTGAACTCAAAATCCTCGAAAAAATCAACAAAAAAAAAACTCACAAGTTAGCCAAGCTGCAAGGAATCAACAGCGGAATTGCCATTGTATTGAAAAACTTAATCATCGCACAATTCGGTCCTTCCAAATGTGTCGATAAAATATTCAAAACTTGCTCAGGCATCGACTCGTGCATTGACTCTTCCCTTGATTCTGTGCATCGTCCACATTCTGGGTCATAATGTGTTGGCGGTTCCTTTGATATGATGAAGTTATGTTGAATTACTGAGCATGAATTGCAGGCGATGAGATTGTTGCTTTGTAGGTAGTTGAGGGCATCGTTGTAGCCTTTCTGGCAGAGATCTGAAAGTTCTTTTGGAGATGGCGGGATGAGGGCGTGAAGAAGACGGGATACATTGCTTGTTGTGAGCTCCATGCTGGTGTTTGAGAGGCTGATCTATAATAATTCAAATATTAGAGCTTAATTTAATTTTTATAGATTCAAAAAACTCACATGGAACTTAAACTCAGTTTCATCCCTCGGACAAATGTCAGTCTCACCACAAAATGGACTTACAGTCACTGTGTGATCATCCAAAGCCACCAAATTATCAGAAAATGCTCCATCCATGTACCGAACTCCATGAAACTTTGGCGGTAAAATTCCAGAAAATCCAGGAATAAAGAAGGAACAAGCTAGCGCATCAATCAGGTCTTCACGACTGTTGAACTGCGACACAACAATGTTCTTGCCATCAAATATTCTAGTAAGTGAGATGTGGATGCGTCCAGTGACTGTTTTATGTGCATTTTCTGGTAAATATGTATGCAGTCGGTTAATTAAGACTTTTTGGATGTCAAATGCTGGCGAGAATGGACCGAGAGAGTGATTGCGAGCTGCTGCGACGATCTTGAAGAATTCTGATGCCACAAAGTCTGTAAATTGAGGTTTAATAAGGCTTTGAATGAATAATTGTAAATAAACTTACCCATCGGCAGATCAAGCAGCAATAGTGTAGCTACAAGAGCTCCAGCTGAGGCTCCGACGATGTTTTGAAGCAGCAAATGTGATGCAAACTTTTTGAAGCACGTTCCGACACCGACTGGAATTAAATGTGATGTTTTTTAGATGCAATAGAAGTTAAAATAAGAGATTTGATGTCACAGATGTTGCAGACATCCAAACCACTGAACTTAATTACCATGATAAATTCCTAGGAACCCACAGCCAGCAAATGACAGGCTGATGTTGGATATTTTGTTTAATTCTTGAGGAACTTGTTGGATCGTCATTTTTTTAAATATTGTTCCTGAAAGGTTTTTGCCTCAAATGCAATCTAAAAATCCAAATAAAGCCTAAACTTAATGATAAGTTCTCTTTCTGTCCACTCAACTGGAAGCAATATGTACAATTGTCGACTGTCTAGTAAATAATGGTAAAGTGAGAAAGTTAATAATTTGAGGATATTCTCTCAGGTATCGAAGATTCTCATTAAGCAGTGGAATAAATAAGTAAAGATTCCTAATTAGACTGCATCGTATGATCACAGTTAGGTACAAATTTTGATAGTATTTGTGAGTTTTAACCAATGGATATGCAGCTGTGGTGTCTAAGCAAGTTAGAATCTTGGGTATCGAGCTATTTATAGGCGGATCTAACAGTACAAGAGTGGTTTGGCAACTGATCGGATATATTATGGGAGGATGTAGGTTCGATTCCCAATAGAGAGAGAGTTCAATGCCTATGACATTCCAGGAGCCAGCATAAAACAGAGGCTGCATCTAAAATGAGTCAAAAAAATCCAACGAAATTTCACAATTTAAAATCTTTCGAATTTCATCGAAAAAAGTCATCGCAAAAACTCATCGAAAATTCGAACAACTAATTTCGAATTTTCGAACTCCAACACAGCCAAAAAAATTGAATCCAACAAGCCAACACAGCCACAATAACTTACAGCATATCCATACACTCCCCATCCCAAGTGTATTGGTGCAACTTCATCATCAGACACATAAAAATAATTTCCCATTTATCGTCTCTTGCCGTTATTCAGTCACCGCACAACCGCGCCGTGAATATCATCTCATTTGCCTCAATAAACTTACGAAAAAAAAATCCGCTCATTTTTTTCTTTTTAAAAAAAAAGTGTAGAAAAAAAAGAAATTTAAAAAAAATAAAATTCAGGAATAAAAGAAAGCACGCGAAATTTTGTGTGAAAAAAAAAATAAGAAAATAAATTTATATTAAAAAAAAGTTGAAATTAAAGCAATTTTTATACCGCAAAAAAAGAGGTTCTCCATTTTTTTTGTACATTAAAGCAGAGCTCAAACAAAGTAGAATAAAAATTATCAAAAATGGTATGTGGAATTTTATTTTATTTTATTTTTTATTGGTGTGTCTTGCTGAGGTTTTAAGGGGCGATTGGGGTGTAGCCAAAATGATCAAAATTGTGAAAGAAAAATTTTAAAAAAATAATTGTGGATTTAAAATAAAATTAAGGTTTTAAGGGTTTATTAGGGTTTTGAGGATATGAAGAGGGGGAGAGGCGACGTAATGAGGATTTTAGAGTCATAATGAGGTTCACTGAGGCTGAAAGGGGTTCAATGAGGTTAAGAGAGGCTATGGGAGCCTTAATTGGACTTGTAGAGTCTTAATAGAGCTTAAAGGAACCTAATTGTGGCTTTGACAAGTCTAAAGAATCTTTTTAGCTCATTAGGGGCATCATAAGGGGTTCTAGAGGGGTCTAAAAGGGGTTTATGAAGGTTAAATCAAGAAAATTGAAGAAAAAAATCTAATAAATTGTGAATTTTAGGTTGAAATTTTGAGTTATTTTTTAAAAGTTTGCTGATTTTTGTGAAATTTTGATTTAAAGTTGCCCAAAAATTGTGAAAATTGACCAAAAATGTTGACAATTTCGAGGATATTTAATTAAGTTTTGTTCAATTTTTCTCAAAATTGGGCCAAAAATTGTGAAAATTGACCAAAAATGTTGACAATTTCGAGGATATTTAATTAAGTTTTGTTCAATTTTTCTCAAAAGTGGGCCAAAAATTGTGAAAATTGACCAAAAATGTTGACAATTTCGAGGATATTTAATTAAGTTTTGTTCAATTTTTCTCAAAAGTGGGCAATTTAAAGTAGATTTTTGCAGAATTTAACCAAATTGTGATCAAAAAATCATCAAATTTTGAGCGTGTCTTCCATTTTTATGAACATTTTAACTAAATTTGATAAAATTCTTCTTCAAGTTCCAATAATTTCGACATTTTTATCTAAAATCTCTTCAAAATTCTCCATAAGACCCCTCAAACGCCCTCTTACCCGACCAGCAGCCCCTAAAATTACTCAAATTCTTCTCAAAACCCCCCAAATTTTCATAATTCAATCTTTAAACCCCCCAAAAAAATGTGCTCAACAGACCTCCTTTCAACCATTCACAAAAAAAAAAAAACTCAAAATTTCTTTTCCTTTCCTCATCAGCCGTACAAAAAAAAGTATTTTTTTTTTTATGTGGGGGAGAAAAAAAAACAAATTCAAGAAGAAAACAAAATATTTTTAGGTTGGAGTGACTCGGGAAGAAAATTTTCTTTTTGGAAAGCGACTCGAGATGATTTTTTTTTTTTCGGGAAGGAGAAAGAAAAGAAAAACATTGAGAAAATAAAATTGTAGGGGACAAATTGTTAAAAAGATAAATTTTTGTTGATAAATTTGTGAATCATGCGTGATGCATTTTTCATGGATTTTGAGATGCTTTAAGAATGGGTTTGGACTCTAATTAAAGATTTTTGTGAATTATTGACGAGATTGTACTCTTGCGACCCTTAAAAATGCCCTTTGTTGCATTGATAAGAGCTCGTGGAAGTTGTTAAGCAAGTTGACACACATCCAATAGTAGGACAGAGGTTATTAAGCCGGCATTAAGCTGGTACGGGACGAAATGCGAATGCAAATCTAGAAAACTACTTTAAAAGGTCTTGCAAGAATCAGTATGGCTGCTGGAACTCTTTCAATAGTGTCGATTATTATGAAGAATTGATCAATCAAGTCCTGATCAGTTTTGCACCAAAGTTGTGCCTTAAAACCCTTCAATTCTTCTGTCTTGAACATTTAAAATCAAAATATTAAGTAAATTTCTATGAAGACTCCTATCAACCAGCCAACATCACCCCAAACCTCACCTCCTTACCATCAATCCCTTCCAGCATCTCCCAGTCCATCCACAATCGAATTCCCACATCTCCAGACATAACATAATACCTCATTTGTGAATGACTAATGCAATGAGCTGTTATTATTGAAATAAAATTTAATTAATGAGAAATTATGAGCAATTATGGATAACTTTTATGGTCTACTTCCGTTACTATTTATGCGTTTCTGAATCTTTCTCAATGAAATGAGATAAAAAAATAAAACTTTGTGAGACTTTTGTGTCAATTGGTTGTGGAGAAAGATGTGAGAATTGAGAGGAAATTTTGGTGGTGTTGTTTGGTGTCTGGATGAGTGTTTGAGTTGATGATGAGGTTTATGAATGAGTTTGGATTGTAAATCACTGGGTTTAAGTCAATAAAGTACAACTGAACAGCTGAGTACCTTTAGGAATTTCAAACCTTAAACTGAGTACCTTAAAAACCATCAACGACAAGACTTAGTCAATAATCCTCTCAAATGTTTTAATTTCAAGCCATGGACCCTCCAATTAAACCTCCTAGACTCCCTTCCAAGCACCATCGACTCTCTTTTAAGCTTAATTTCAACGACACAAGACAATAACGTCAACATTTTTTGCCATTTATGATAATAATAATAAATAAGTGTGTGGTGTGTCTTTGACAGAAGCCATTGCCCTTATGGATTCTTTTTTTTTCTTGTTCTTCTTCTACTCGTGTCTGTTTCTGACTCAATCACGCAACAAAGAAATAAAATAAAAAATACTGTGTGTAAAAGGGGAGTCATTTGTGAATTGGGTTCAACTTTGGGGGGGGGGGGGGGGGGGAGAAGAGGGGTAATTTGACTCCAGACGCTGATTTTATTTGCTATTTGAGGCATTAACCCGAATAGCACAAGTCGGTTTCTCGAATAGAAATCCGGTACCAAGCTGGCGTGACTCTAGCGTGGTGCTGAACTCGAAATCGAATCCAGCACCATGCCAGAGTTACGTCAGCTTGGTGCCGGATTTCTATTTGGTTAACCGACTCGTGATTTTCGGGTAATAGACCATATTTTGGGGGGATATTGAATTTAACTGTGATTTATGAAGGGACATGAGGTAGCCTATCAAACCATCCTCAGGAGAATCACTAAGATCAAGCAAAGTGCAACAGGGGGGGGGGGGGGGGGAGGTGGGAAGTGGGGAGTGCCAAAAATTTACCATTTTGACAGACATTACTTATGATTGACCCCAAAAAGAAGTAACCAACGAAGAACTCAAGTGAAAAATTGGGAAATGAATGGATATTTTCTTTAAGTTAAGGTTTAGGCAGCACATGGGACTCCTCCTTGATCCAAGGTACGTTATGACTTAGATTCATGCAATACTCTTGACAGTCAAGACCAAAAAAATTCACGATAACTGCTCAAAAATCAGTGAGTAATTCAAACTTCCTCTTACTCTTGTCTTGCTGTTCATATCAATTCTCTGTAAATTTCAATTCATTAGCAAGAAGCACATTAATGAGTCATCGACTCTTTTTTTCTTCTACAAATGCTGTCTGTGTGGAAACTTCTTATGATTATGATTTATTTCAATATTTTGTATGTTTTTTTTTCAATAATTTAATATTTAATAAATATTAAAAAATTGTCCAAAATTCCCGAAAAATTGTCAACTTTATCCTAATTGCTATCCATAACCCTTCAATCTTATTGATCCATCCCAAACCACATCAAAATTTCATTCATAAATTCACCAACGATCATCTGTTTCCACTAGACATCCACACAAATTCGTCACATAACCTCAAATAACCTCCAAAAAAAAATAATTTTTTATTTTCTGCGATAACAAAAAAAAAAAACATTTTACAATTCCATAAAAAGAGAGTTTTTTTTCTGTGTTGTGCATTTTTTTTTTGTTATAATATTTCATGTGTCGGCAATCTGGTCATAGGAAAGCGCAACTGAAACTCCAAAACTCATTGCCATATATGGTCAAAAAGACTGTGTGCGGAATAGAATGTGTGTGATGTGACTGTATTGGTGAATTGTGTGATTGTGTTGGTAATTTCGAAAATATAATTGAGATTGTGTGAGTGAGCTGGTGTAGTTGTGTGTGAAACCGGTAAAATGTATCGAAAATGTTGAGGGGCATGGCAGTGTTGATGTGGATTTGAGATTTTTGAGCTTATGGAAATTTTTTGAATGAAATGTTGAGCTGGAAAGTTGGATTGAGCTTTGTGGGACCCTCTCAGGTCACTTAGGGGCTCCTAGATCAGATTTTACCTTTTTGAACTCCATTTTGGTTATCTTTGGCCTTACTTTTCTACTAGGTTGCAGTTTAGATCTTATTAGGACTCTTATTAAGCTTCAAAGGCTATTTTAGACCTTTAGCGGTCGCTCTTATCCAAACCCATTCCAATCCACCTCACAAACCGCTTTACAACCTCACAACAATCTAGTTCCTTATCTCTCAATTAACTGCTACAAGCTTCAACAGACTCACAATTTATCTATCAAGAATTCCCTGCAAAAATAAAATAAAATTGACATCAAGAAAAAGTTGCCGCAAAAATGCAATTTAATGAATTTTTAATTAAGTTGCAACGATCTTCAGTCAATATCATCTGCTGTAATTAAAAAAAAGGCGGTGATGAGCTTGCTTGAGGCTTTATTGATGATATTAATTTTAATTATTTTTTTTATTGTTGATTTTGTGCTGTTTGGATTGAGCTTTGTGACTGATTTGTGACATTTAGAGTAAAGTAAGCATCAAATCCGTAAAGTTTAATCGCTAAGACTACAAAAATGACCTCAAAATACACCAAATTCATGACACATCACCTTCAATTCCTCACTAATCTCCTTTGAAAAATCACAAAAAAAAAAACATTCTGAATAAATCCTAAAAATAACCTCAAATGAATCGATAAAAGTGACTCAATAGCCGATGATCTAATAGTTTAACAGTCAGCAAATCATCAACGAATTAAGAAGAAAAGAGTCACGACTTCTTGTTATTGTGAAATTGATGCTGGTTGATGTTTGGCTGTTGTACACCTGATTATTGAAGTTATTTGAAGGTTTGGTGACTTGGATGGGAATTTTGAGAATTTAAGGGTTATGTCATTGGTGCCTTGAGCTTGAGGCTATGTTTGATCGCATTTATTACTAGAACATCTTAAGGATGTGTCAATGATGACCCTCTGCGGACCATCTTAGCCAAAATTAAGGATTTTTTTATTAAATTTAATCACAACTCATTCAAAGATAGCCTTAATCTCGTAAGCTAAGCCTCTAAATAATTAAATTTCATCAATTTATTAAAAATAACCACAACATGTGACATTCATGTGCATCCAGACACCACTGTCACTAAACCACAATTATATTAATTTTAAATAAAACTTCAAAATGCTACAAAATTAGCTGTGAAGATAGCTTTGAATATTAGTCACCAAATGAGGTGTCTTGACGTCATAACTCGCCGCATACACAATAAAAATTAATGTAGAGCAGTGTTGCCCAACGTTTTTCATGATTTTGATGTTAAGCAATGACCGAAACCATTCTAAAGTTCAGCATACGGTTCGTGGGATTTCAAGTATTTTTCGTGGGGCAGAGTTTAAACACGACTGTTCTAGACCAGACATGGGTTGGCCATCACTGATGTAGAGGCTTGAAAAACGAGCAAAAGTATGACGAAATATTTATGAGTCAGTTTGGATTTTTTGCGTCAATAGGGAAGAAGTTCAGTTGGTGAAAATTGTGAAATAGATTTTTGGAAAAATTTCATGAGAATTAGAAATTTTTGAGGATTATGAAGTGAAATTGAGTGCTAAAGTGGATCAAGGGAGTTATGAGGGTCGACCATGGGTACCTTGAGGTTATTTCTCTTTTCTTCCTTACTTACTTTGCTGGCCGTACAGATAAATTGTGATCTATAGCCTCCCTTAGATGGCGCTTGAAGCTGGCTCCCGCTTGCCAATCACCTAATTTTCTTACATTCTAGAAATGCTGGCATCTTAACCAAGAAGTTGAGATTCTTCATAAATCAAGCCACAAAAGGCTAAAATCACAAATTTTTGATAAGAACAACCAAAAAATGTGCCAAACCCAAGGATGCGGATCTTAAGAATTACATTTTGATCATTTTTGATCATTTCATCATTACCACACCCTTGACCAAACCTTAAGCTTAACCTTAAGCTTCTGGTAATTAACAACTACCTCACATTGATTAGTCATCGAACAAGAAAAGCTAATTTCTATATATGGTTCGAAAAATGTTTTTAATTCCCCTAAAACCACTTCAGGTAAGCACGCCAAGAAATCTTCTTTGATTTTCTTATCAGTTTCCGTCGATAAGAAAAATTGTTTTTTTTTCGATTTTTTTTTTATTAGTCAATGTTTATTAATAAAGATAATATGACACGTGTAGAGTTGGAGGGTGGGTACATCAGGTCTTTAGACGTACTCGAGTCTTTGCAATGTGCAGAGCTGGCAAGTGACTTGGATTCCACTACAAACAGTAGGTCTAAAGGTTGTGGTACAAAAGATTCTGATCAAGTTTGTGTCTCCAGCTCAAAAGGATGGGACCTTCAGGAGGGGGGGGGGGGGGGGCAAGTTTAGTCAAAACAGAAAGCTTAGTAGTCACGGCAAAAATAAAGAATAAATCATGAATCACATTGTTGAGTCATTTGATATGACAAAAGGAAATAAAAAAAAGAGTAAAATAAAATAGCAACGACGACAACTGTATCAAATACAATAGTGGGTTAATAATAGCACCGACTGAGTTTATTGATTGATTGTCATTGCGACTCGGAGAGAGATTCTGTTACTATTTATTATTGATGGAAAAGTTTTTAATACGCGGAATTGTTTGAATTGATTTGTTGGGTTGTGATAATGATTTTGAGGGGGCTTTGGGGGTTTATGACTTAATGAACTGACTTTATTGATTAATTTTTCTGGTCTCTAAGTCACTTGCAACCATAATTTCTGCAAAAATTCCAGCAAACCCCGAAAATACCAATTACATAACCTCAACCTTCCCACTTGAGTAGCTTAGTTCTGGCGCCTTCACAATATAGTAGCTAGGTTCAGGTGTATTCACAATAGAGTAGCTAAGTTCGGAAGCCTTCACAATAGAGTTGCTAGGTTCAGGTGTATTCACAATTGAGTGACTAGGTTCAGGTGCATTCACATTAGAGTAGCTAAGTTCAGATGCCTTCACAATATAATAGCTAAGTTCAGATGCCTTCACAATAGAGTAGCTAGGTTCAGGTGTATTCACAATTGAATGACTAGGTTCAGGTGCATTCACATTAGAGTAGCTAAGTTCAGATGCCTTCACAATAGCATACAAATCTCAAATTTAAATAAATAAAATAGTTTCAATCTTCTTAAGTTTCTCACAAAAAACAATTTACAACAACATAAAGCCGCAATTTAAAAATAAATTAAAGCGATCAAGAAGAATTTCTCACAAAACAACAACAACAACAACAACATTAAAAAGGAGGAAGAAAGGTGAATTTTAAACTCTCAAAAAAAGAAAAATTTTCAGTCGCATAAAAAAGAATCAACTCAATGAACCACATCAAAGCGCAAAACTGCAGCGACACAAATTGATAAAGTCAAGAAAAAAAAAACAAAGTCACCGACAAAATGAGTGACAATGTCGATGACAGTAAAGAGACGTCACACGACACCGACAACTGGATTATCTGTCACATCATTTGGAGGCGTGTGCGGCCTCGAAAATAATATTTTTTTGATAACTTTTTTCACTTCTCTTAGTTTTTGTGATTTTAAGAATCATTTTTTTCGTGAAAGATAAAAAATAGTCTTTTCGATGTGATCTAATGCTGAACGATGTGTGTGCGTCGATTCTTTTTTCTTTAATTATTTTGCTATAAATAAATTTTCTTACTTCTTCTTCGTGTTGGTCGGTTTTATTTTTAAAAAATGAGATTTTGTAGCGATTATTTGTGCAGTAGATGGGATTTTGAGGGAGGTTTGGCATGTTCAGGTGGCTTTACATTTCATCTGTTAGATTTAAGTGACTTCTCATCAAGATTTAGGTGGCTTCACACTAGATTGTTGAGGTTCGGGTGTCTTCACACTAGAGTTTTGGAGCTCAGGTGCCTTTACGAGGCGTTATTAGGTGCCTTTACGAAGCGTTATTAGGGTTCAGGTGCTTTCACAGAAGATTATTGAGGCTCAAGTGCCTTCAACTGGAGTTATTGAGGTTTAGGTGCCTTTACACTAGATTGTTGAGGTTCGGGTGTCTTCACACTAGATTGTTGAGGTTCGGGTGTCTTTACCAGGAGTTTTTAGAGTTCAGGTGCATTCACACTGGATCATTTAAGCTCTGATCCTACACCAGGAGTTATTGAGGTTTAGGTGCCTTCACACTAGATTGTTGAGGTTCGGGTGTCTTCACACTAGATTGTTGAGGTTCGGGTGTCTTTACCAGGAGTTTTTAGAGTTCAGGTGCATTCACACTGGATCATTTAAGCTCAGATCCTACACCAGGAGTTATTGAGGTTTAGGTGCCTTCACACTAGATTGTTGAGGTTCGGGTGTCTTCACACTAGAATTTTAAAGCTCATGTGTTCTTACCAGGAGTTATTGGGGTTCAGGTGCATCCACACTGGACTAATAAAGTTAAGGTGCTGTCACTCAGAATCAAAATGCGCTTAATGCTCTTAAATCTTACTTACCTCTTCTCTCTACTTCTAATTCCTTTCTCAATCACTCTCAAGACACATAACATTAATGAATGTGTGCTGTGGCTGTGCTGAATGTCTATCACCAAGCACACGCTACACTAACTTGATCTCTGCCATGTGATTTGGATGATAAAGAAGATTTTTTGACTCAATGTGGCTGAATTTTATGTGAATTGATTTCGATCGAGGTCGATTTGTTGGATGATCAATGGTTTCAATGAAATAGTTGTGAACTAGACTAGCTGAAGTGAGCCAGAATGGTTTTTGGACATAGCTTGAGTGTCATTCTATTTAAATATCATTAAAACTCTTTTAAATTCCCATCTTGAAGCAATCCAAGTAAGAAATTGCACGTGTGCACCATCAATTAAAATTGTATGCCTAAATAATTATGATATGTGGGTAGTGTGAGTTCAGCAACAGCAAAACTGAAACACTTGTGTGATCCAAGTAGCTTGATAATATAAAATTATTTATTATTAACTGCAACGATGAAGTTGTAAAACGAGAAAAAAGTTTTATAAATTTTATGATGTGAAAAAAAATATGGTTGAGTGAAAATGGAAATAATGAACTGCTGTGTCACTGGTTATGGGTGCTGGATGGGGATTTTCGTTAGCTAGTTGATATTTTGCTTTTAAGACAGTTAAAAGGTGTTATTGGAGTTTATGGGAGTCTATTAATCACTTTTGCTCAAATTTACTGTAAATTTCAATTTGAACAAGTTAAAAACTCCCAAAAAATGCGCCTTATGCACTCTTAACTCAACTTTAAACATTTTGAAATTAATTTTTTGTTTACAATGTACTTAAAAATACAAAAAAAATGTAAAATTATCTAAAAATAATATCACTGCATGTGACATGATAAAGAGGTTGTTTAGACAAAATGTGACAGAGTCAGAGATGCTTAAACTCTTTAATGGGATTCTCTAAAGATAGCAAACACACAAAATAATAAATAAATTTTCTTATTTTCATTCAAAATATCCAACAAAAATTCCATTCATTTTTTGAATCTACTTCCAGGCTTCCGGAGTAACTGTCTCAGATGTGTGCAAAACAACGTACGAGGAAATCAAGAAGGACAAAAAGCACCGCTACGTAATTTTCTACATTCGCGACGAGAAGCAAATTGATGTTGAGGCAGTCGGCGAACGAAATGCAGAATATGACTCGTTCCTTGAGGAGCTTCAGGTGGGCGGACCAGGCGAGTGCCGATATGGATTATTTGATTTCGAATATATGCATCAATGTCAAGGCACATCGGAAAGTTCCAAAAAGCAAAAGTTGTTCTTAATGTCATGGTGCCCAGATACTGCTAAGGTTTGTGTTGTGGATTTAGCTTTTTTTGAATCGTTTAAATTTTTTTGAAATTTTTTTTGACAGTTTATATTTTTTTTTATTTTTTTTTTGGCTGTTAAAAATTATTTTGAATTTTTGTCGATTATTAAAATTTTTTTCTGACCGGTAAAATTTATTTTTAATTTTTTTTAAACTTTTTGAATTTTTTTTTTATTTTTTTCTACCATTAAAATTCATTTTGATATTTTTTGATCGTTAAAACTTTTTTTGAATTTTTTTTTCTAACCTTTATTTTTGTGATTTTGTAGGTCAAGAAGAAGATGTTGTACTCATCATCATTCGATGCACTTAAAAAGTCCCTCGTAGGAGTGCAAAAGTATATTCAAGCAACTGATCTCTCAGAGGCATCGCGCGAAGCTGTCGAGGAGAAATTGCGTGCAACTGATCGTCAATAGATCCAAAAAATACATTAAAAATTTGCGTATTTGCTACAAAAAAAAAACCACTAAAATTTGTCTATCATAATTAAAGTCATAAAAACAATTGTCATCCGATTGACGGACTGCTCTCTAGCTGGACGTCCATTTTTTTAATTTTATTATTTTTTAAAAAATATTTTTCAAAGATCAAAAAAAAAGTTAATAGAATCAACGTAAAAAATCTAATCATTTACAAATTTTTTTATATTTATAAAAAATAACTTAAATTTGTGGCCAAAAATATGAAAAAAAAACTGCAAATTTTTCAACATTTTGACAATTTTTATTTTAAATTGTGAAAAATTAAAATTTTGTTTGTCTTGCAAGTATTAGAATGAGATTTTTTTTCTGACGAAAAGATGCAAAAATGGAAACAGAAAATTGTGAATTATGCAACAAAGAAATATGCGAAAAATTTAAATAAATAAATGATAAAAAAAACTTTTAAAAACCTCAAAATTTAAGCTTTTTATTATATTTTATTCAGGAAGTTGTTAATTTCTTTTACAATTTTTAATTTCTGTATTTTTGTGTTATTTCAGTTTTTAAATTATTAAATGTTCAACGTTTCAACTTTTGTTTTTCAAATAATTGAAATTTTAGAATTTTTCAATTTTGAACTTTTTACTTTTATTATTTTAAATTTTCAGAGTTTAAATTTTTCAATGTTTTAATTGTTAACGTTGAAAAGTTTTTACCTTTTAAATTTTTTAAATTTTAAAGTTCGAATTTTTTTGAATTTTTACCTTTTTAAATTTTAAAATTTTAATTTTTTTTTTACTTTTATAGTTTGATTTTTTTGAATTTTTAACTTTTTAAATTTTTAACTTTGAACTTTTTTAAATTTTTTTGAATTTTTTACTTTATAATTTTTCAATTTTTAATTTTTTTTTATTTTAAAGTTTGAATTTTTTGAATTTTTTACTTTTTAAATTTTTTACTTTATAATTTTTGAACTTTTAATTTTTTTAAATTTTTTGGTTTGAATTTTTTGAATTTTTTACTTCATAATTTTTCAACTTTTAATTTTTTTTAATTTTAAAGTTTAAAATTTTTGAACTTTTAATTTTTAAACTTTAGAAATTATTAGCAAAAACCAATTCAACTTTTTCTTGAATTAATTTTCCCAATTTTTCATTCAACAATTCCTCAATCTTGTTCATAAGTCGATCCTCGCTAGCCTTAACCTTTGAGTCAATAGCTAGCAATATTTTGGACCGAGTGACTTCAAGATCCTTCTCAATTTTAGCCAATTTTCTTGAATTTCTCCCTTCAAATTCTGTTAAGCGTTCCTCAAATGCATCACATTGTGACCCATGAGAAGTCAAGGATTGTTCCTCAGAATTACTAACTTTAGTGATCTTTAAGTCATCTAACTGAATTTTGATCTCATTTTGAGTTGTCTTTACCTTTCTTAAGGTTGCACTCATTTCAGCTTGAGCTGATTTTATGCCACTAAGAGTAGCTTCAATGTCACTGATCGAGCCTTTCATGTCGTCTTGTGATGTCAATGTAAAGTCCTTTAAGGTTGTAAATTTGGATCCAAGGTCAGTTAAAGCTGTCCTTATAGCTACTTGAGTCACTTTGATGTCATTCTGTCCATCCTTAAAGTCACTTAATGTCATATTGCAACTAGCTTGAGACTGCATAGCCTCATCCTGTGCTGTCAAGATTTTGTCAATTTTTGAGGATATTTTAGCAACAGAACCTTCATGGGTGGACATAACCTCACTTATTAGGGTCCTTTGGGATGTTTTTATGTCATTTAAATTTTTGGTCAATTTTGTGTCAACTTCGGTGATTGTGGATTTAAGGATGTTCTGGACATCAGTAATTTTAGGTACGAGATTGTCATTGGATGTCTTTTGAGTAGTCATGGATACTTTTAGGTCATTTTGGATAGTCTTAATGTCATTGTTGAGATTCTTTTGTGTATTTTTGATGTCAACTTGTCCACTTTTTAAGGAGCTCAGCTCAACTTTTAAGTCACTATGTCCATTTTGGACTTTTTGGACTGTCCACAACTCACTAGTCATGTTTGAATAAGTCTCAGCAAGGCTATGCAAGTTTTGAGTCAAATTTTCTAGTTTATTGTCTAAAATTGAAATTTGGTCAAATTGGCAGCAATTTTGCGGATCTTTTGAGTCGGGAGAATCTTCAAGTTTTGGGCATGTTAAGCTTGAGTTTATGGAATTAATTGTGGGATTCTTAAGAGCTTCAAATTTGTAGTTTAATGGACGAAAATTGGCGAATTTTGAGGAATTGAAAGATTTTTCAAAGGCTGCCAATTTTTCAGAGAATTTTTGGGAATTTAAAGTTTTTGAGTCTTTTTCGAGGCTTTCAAGTTGGGTTTTGAGTGAGGAAAATTCGGAATTAATGCATTGGGATTTTGCAGCTTGGATGACATTTTTGACTTCTGAAGTTGAATTTTTAGCTTTTTTGTCAATGCAGGAGTTATAAAGTAAGTAAAGATAGCTTAATTTACTTAAATGATCAAAGACATTCGGTTCAATGTGGACAATTTTGTTGTCCCAAAAATGAATAAATTCTAAATCAGGATTAAAATCAAAAAGATCCTCTTCGAGAACTTCCAGTTTATTAGAAGTCAAATGAAGCTCAATTAATTTAGGAAATGGCTTTAAATCTTCTTGATGGACTTCCTTTAAATTACAATTATCAATTTGAATAGCTTTAATATTCTTAAAGAAAGTTTCTAAACCACGCGGGAAATAATTAATAGTTTTAGAATAAACAGCAAAGCCACCAACATCAGAATTTGTCTTTCCACTTTGATGAGTTCCAGAAATTGAAGTTATTGCCGCTGATTCTCGAGTTGTTATGCTTGGATTATTATTGACATAGCAAAAATATACATTTTTAAGAATTTTCCAATTTTCAGTTCCATATTCACACTCAATGCTTGTCGATGCTGACAATTCCAAATAAACTCCAACAATACAAAACAGCAACCTGCAAATAACAAGAAAAAATATTAAAAGAACAAAAAAATCTCATTTAACGTCCATAAAACACAAATCAAGCTGCTGATTAAAAATTTACTGAGAATCACAATCTTAATTAATTCCAATGAACTTCGGAAAATCCACAATTTCTTATCAATTTTAATTTATTTTTCATACTTACAGAGCAATTTTAGCCATTTTTGTTGCTGCTCAGTTCCTTACTTCCACTAATTTTTAACTTTAGATAAATTTGAAATTATTTTTCACAATTTTCAGCACTTTTTGGAATTTATTAAGCAATAATTTGATAACAAAGTCCAGCTGAGATGCAAACTTAAGTCTACTCAAGTCAACAGTCAATCACAGAATGAATCAGAGAAAAGGAGACAATTTGATAAGCTATGGAATAAGCATAGCTGAGAGCAAATATTAAAGTTCATAAGAGAAATGATAAGTAACTCAATTATAACATAGCAAAGGATGTTAATCTCTCAATTTATAAGATCTACACATTAAGAAAGTGGCCACAACCATTCATAGCAACTTATCAATCAATTCCATATCGACATCATCGAGGAAATTCAATTCCTTGTGATGACGTCACACAAAATAGGTTTTCGTGTTTTTCACTGATTTGAATTGGATTTTTTTATGGTTTAAAGTGGATTGATTCAATTATAAGACAGTGTTTCTCAAGCTAGGTTCAGCGGAACTTTACTGTTCTACGGGATAATCCAAAATAAGCCAATCTAGCTACAAAACTTATTGTATCCAACCAATTTAAGTCTCCAATTTCCTCAGCTGCACGAAACTCATCTGAATTATTATTCCCTCAAATTCAGTAACATTTCATCATCCAAACCGTCCACAATGAAGTTTTTGTATATCCTTCTCACATTCTTTTTTATTGGAACTTCCATAACGTTTTCTCAAGCTAAGAAGTGCCATGTAGTTCCAGTTACTGTGAATTGTCCATCTTGCACTACGACACCATTTTCAGCAGACAGCAGCTGTACATGCAGCAATGGAGTAGTTCCTGTGCTTCGTAAATATGCATGCGGTCCAGCATGTGATGCTATTGGCTACTGCTGTGCATAAATTAAAGAAACGTTGATGATTTTAAAAAAAAAATTGTTAAACAAGCTTAATTAAAATAAAAGAAAAGTTTTTGTCAATTAATCTTTATTTACTTGCTTGGTTGGGGCGCATTTGAGTTCATTACGACGAATAAAAAAGTTTAGTCCAGTGTTTCTCAAACTTTTTTGGTCCACGGCACATTTTTTTACATAAAAATTTCACTTGACCGACTTTAACAATCATTTTTTTCGCAGCACACATAAGTTAAGAACTACTGGTGTGCCGCGGCACTTAGGTTAAGAACTACTGGATTAGTCTATCAAAACCTTCTATCAGATCAGAACCAAACTTTCTAATCGACCCCTCCGTTCCAGCTATTCGTTTGTCTTGCTCAAGATCAGTGGTGGGCAACCTTTTTCGTAAAAAAGCACATCTTTAAGGTTAATCATGCACATAGTATGCGGTTCATAAGCTTTTAATGAGTTGTTTCGCAGCACAAAGGTTGGCTAGAAACTTACTTTTATTGCTCTTTCCTGTACAAGCTTCCATACATCCAACAATATCAAATATGAACAAAACTTCAATTTACTCAGATGATTTGATACCCGAGACAGACTCAGTATCAAGCCGTCATTGAAGCTCATCAGCAAAATATCTCCAAAATAAATATTACTTCAAGTGTTTTTTTAACAACCTGAATAACAAGCTACAGCAAAACAACCTCAGTAAACCTTGGTCCTCAAAACTGTTCACAATGAAATTTTTTTACATTTTCTTTGCCTTAGTTTTGGCAATTCTAGCCAACTCTGTGGATGCTGATAGGAAGTACTGTCCACCATGTACAAGAAGCCGATTAGCTGATTTTGACAGCACTTGTGGTTGCCGCGATGGATCAACACCCGAGCTTCGTAAATATTCCTGTGGACTTGCTTGTGATGCACTTGGAAAGTGCTGTCTATAACTGGATTGATGAAAATTTTTAAAAATTTTTCAATTTTGATGAATAAAAGGAAATTAAATTCTTGGAAAGTTTGTAATTTTTGTAGCTGCATCTAGAGTAGACCTAGACTAGACCTAGACTAGACCTAGACTAGACCTAGACTAGACCTAGACTAGACCTAGACTAGACCTAGACTAGACCTAGACTAGACTGGTCTGTTCTTAAATTTCAGGTATCTTATTCGCAAATTCTGTTGCCTTTGACTCGTTGCTAATAAATCTAGTCCAAAGTTTCGCTCCTGCCGCCTCGCTAAACTCACGATCAGCCATAAAATTTTTAAAATCACGAAAATGCTAATTTATTATTTTAATTTCACTGAATTTTGCTAATATTCAGTCAATTTCAGTCATTCCAAGTGATTAGCCATGAAAGTTTTACTCCTAATCGTAGCTGCATTTTGCATTTTTGGACCTTTTGCTTTAGCAGATAAGAGGCCAGTCATCAAGCTCTGTCCATCTTGTAGCTCTTCAACATTTGCACCACCCGATAGTGACTGTCATTGTGTATTTGGATCACCAATTTTGAGAAGATATGCATGTGGACCTGCTTGTGATGCCATTGGGCTTTGCTGTGAGAAGAAGATTGTGGATCCAAGTGATTTAAATCCAAGAACAAGAGCTTGAAACTTTTTGAAAGATTAAAAATTGTTTTTGAATTTTATAATTTAAATTGACAATAAAGTTAAATAAACTGCAGAAAATTGAATTTTTTTTATATTCTCACAGATGTCTTTGCTCGGAGGAGAAGTTTAGTTCTAACAGTTTAGTTCAAGGGACAAACTTAGTTCTAAGGATGAGTTCAGTGTTAAAGACAAGTTCAGTATTAAGGAAAGTTTCAGTTCATAGGATAAGTCCAGTTCAAATGATATGATTAGTTCTAAGAATAAGTTTGGTTTTAAAGACAAGTTCAGTTTTAATGACAACTTTAGTTCATAGGATAAGTTCAGATCAAAGGATACGATTAGTTCTAAGAATAAGTTCAGTTTTAAAGAAAAGTTCAGTTTTAATGAAAAGTTCAGTTCATAGGATAAGTTCGGATCAAAGGATACGATTAATTCTAAGAACAAGTTCAGTATTAAAGATAAGTTCAGTTTTAAGAACAACTTTAGTTCGTAGGATAAGTTCAGATGAAAGGATACGATTAGTTCTAAGAACAAGTTCAGTTTTAACGAAAAGTTCAGTTTTAAGGATAGCTTCAGCTCATAGGATAAGTTCAGATCAAAGGATACGATTAACTCTAAGAAAAAGTTCAGTATTAAAGACAATTTCAGTATTAAGGATAGTTTCAGTTCATATGATAAGTTCAGATCAAAGGATACGATTAATTCTAAGAACAAGTTCAGTATTAAGGAAAATTTCAGTTCTTAGGATAAGCCTAGCTCAAAGGATATGATTAGTTCTAAGAATAAGTTTGGTTTTAAAGACAAGTTAAGTTTTAAGTACAGTTTTAGTTCATAGGATAAGTTCAGATCAAAGGATACGATTAATTCTAAGAAAAAGTTCAGTATTAAAGACAAGTTCAGTATTAAGGAAAGTTTCAGTTCATAGGATAAGTTCAGATCAACTGATACGATTAATTCTAAGAACAAGTTCAGTATTAAAGACAAGTTCAGTATTAAGGAAAGTTTCAGATCAAAGGATACGATTAGTTCTAAGAACGAGTTCAGTTTTAAAGAAAAGTTCGGTTTTAAGGATAACTTCAGCTCATAGGATAAGTTAAGATCAAAGGATACGATTAATTCTAAGAACAAGATCAGTTTTAATGACAACTTTAGTTCATAGGATAAGTTCAGATCAAAGGATACGACTAATTCTAAGAATAAGTTCAGTTTTAAAAAAGTTCAGTTTTAAGGATAGCTTCAGCTCATAGGATAAGTTCAGATCAAACGTTACGATTAGTTCTAAGAACGAGTTCAGTTTTAAAGAAAAGTTCAGTTTTAAGGATAACTTCAGCTCATAGGATAAGTTCAGATCAAAGGATACGATTAATTTTAAGAACAAGATCAGTTTTAATGACAACTTTAGTTCATAGGATAAGTTCAGATCAAAGGATACGACTAGTTCTAAGAATAAGTTCAGTTTTAAAAAAGTTCAGTTTTAAGGATAGCTTCAGCTCATAGAATAAGTTCAGATCAAACGTTACGATTAGTTCTAAGAACGAGTTCAGTTTTAAAGAAAAGTTCAGTTTTAAGGATAACTTCAGCTCATAGGATAAGTTCGGATCAAAGGATACGATTAATTCTAAGAACAAGTTCAGTATTAAAGATAAACTCAGTTCTAAGAATAAGTTTAATTTCAGTTCGTGGGATAAATTCAGTTCTTGGGATAAATTCAGTTCAAGAGACATGCTTAGTTCTAATTCGACTCAAAACTTAATAGCACAATTCTCGAACAATAGGATAAAAATAAGGCATAGTTAGGACATCAGCTCAATCACGAACAATCGTGACTAGACAACTAAAAACATTGTCATTCCTTCATTCCTACTTAAATTTAAATCCAGTTAAGTTCCATAAGTCATCAGAAATCACAATGAAAATAATATTCCAGCTTGCAGTTTCAATTATAACTTTAATGTCGATAGTGCATGGAGAAGTTGAAGTATTCATGAAGCCATGTCCATCATGCAGCTCTCCACCATTTGTGTCACTCAATGTCAGCTGCTATTGTGTCCTTGGTACTCCATTCTTAAGAAAATATGCATGTGGTGAAGCTTGTGAGACTTTTGGGCTGTGCTGTGAGGGAAAAGTTGTAAATTCAAATTTCGACAGTCAATTTTAAATTCTAAAAAAGCCAAAAAAATTAAATAAAATTTAAAAATAAAATCAACAAGTGTCTTCCTCATCTGACTTGTGTTTACATCCAAAACGAATTTCAAATTTTGTCCGTTACAAAAAAATTCAAAAATTCCACAACATTCAGTCGACGCTCCCCTGCCAAATAAAAATAAAGTGAAAAATCAATTTTTTTTCAAATAGAAATATTTTTTAAGGGCCTCAAAAATGATGCTTGTGAACTTTGACGAGCTCCTGGACAAGATCCTTCAGTTCCTGTTCCACGAACTATTCGAAAAAGTCATCAATTTCCTTTCAATCATCTTCACTCGATTCCTTGATTTTTTATTAAATTTTATTTTGAGATTTTCCAAGAAGAAAAAGGAACAGGAGACCTTCAATGTCCTGCATCAGTCGAGCAACTTCCTAATAGTCAACAAGAAGCACGATGTCCTGCTGAACTCTAACGACAAGTCTAAAATCACTGTCACATCGCAGCTTAAGAAAATGTTTCCAGACGTCCTATCACCTGAAGTTTCAGACTTTTTCTTTGCACATCGGCTGGACTTTGCGACATCTGGGATTCTTTGTATACCACTGAATAGGAAGGCGTGTCAGGAAGTTTGGGAGAATTTTGAGACAAAATATTCAAAATTTTACTTTATCGCGATTGTCAGCGGACATGTAGACTCGGAAATGGAAATAATAGACATAGATATTGGAGATGACACTCGATACAAGGACACGAGTAAGAAAATGTGCAGCTTTAGGGAGAAAATGTATTGCAAAAATGCTAGACGCTCAGTAACGAAGATTTTGGTGCTTGAAAAAGGATTCTTTAATGACCGTCCAGTCACAAAGGTCCTGTTACTTCCACTGACTGCCAATCGACGTCATCAGCTGAGAATTCATTGCCTTGAAATTGGACATGCTATTGTTGGTGATTATACATATGGAAAGTGCTTATCATCACCGAGGCTGTTCTTACATGCTTTTAGACTCGTGCTGCCCACAACTATGGAGAATATTGATCTACAGACAGATGATCCATTCACTGAGCGGAAGTTAAAGTATAAATATAAGCGCGGGATGATTTTTAATGAAATTCCATCGGCATTTGATCTGATTGACTCATTTTAAAGAGGAACTGGATGTGGATTTGTGGATTATTTATTAAGTTTATGATAAAAACTGCCTAAAAAAATATGAAAATTGTGTAATCTAGTCATTAGTATGTTGTTAATTTTGAGTATGGTGGGTTTATTGTGAGATTTTGGGGGATTTTTTGAGGTTTTGATGGTGAATTGGGCTTTTTTGACTTCTCTAAGTGGACTTTGAGTCTGAGTAACTGTCTTGGTTCAAGTCAGAATCTTTAAAATCATAACAATTGGTTCGACTTAAGTCAGGATCTCAAAGAGAGTCTCATGATGGAATTCCCGGTAAGTTTCAGGTCAGAACCTCTGGTTTCGTCAAAATACGATTTCTAAGTTGAGTTTGTCTAAAGTTGAAATCCCTGGATGAGTTTGAATCCCTAGATTGTTTACTCAATAGTGTTCCTCACTGAGCCAGGCAAGCTCTTTCTAAAAGATTACTTCAAAAACACCAAAAATCTCGCAAAAATTCTCACTTTTTGATCTCTTTTTAAGTTATTACTATAAATTAAATCTCAACATTGAATTTTAAATGCTCCAGTGCCTGCAAACAGCCTGCAGTTACTAAATTCTAGTCATTTGTATCGAAACTTATCACTTTAGCACCAAAATATGGCAAATTAATTAATTTTAAGGCTCACTATTTTCTAAATGATTATTAAAAAAAATCAATTTTATTTAAATTAAGCTCAATAAAGTGAAAACTTATAACTCGGATAACTGATGTTTTTTAATGACTCAACCTTGATGATATGGTTCGTGCAATATTTCACATTCAGCCGTTGCAATCAGGAGCAAATGAGGAACAGGTGTCAGGGGTAGTCAAGCCTACCAAGTAGTCGCGTAACTTTTCCCCGTCTCATTATCAGCACATAACCAGCTTCTTCTCCATTGCAACTATGTTCCAAAAACCAACAAATCCCCATCACGTTGTTATCCCCTTGAAATCACTCCACCACCTTCAAAACTACCAATACCAACTCCATTTCTGACTCAAAATTCCGACTTACTCAGCCTGAGTCACTCGCTTATCTCATTTCGTTCCACTTTCGGACTGAATTCATGCATTTATCCAACTATAATTTGCAAGTGAATGCAGAAACTTGATACTAATAATCTGGACTTGTTTGACTGAAAATGCAACTTTTTTAAATTTGGGATGTGCATTCGTACATCCCAGCTGAAATTTGGCAATTTTTTGCAACATCAACAAAAGGAATTTGATTTTCTCGTTGATGTTAATAAATAAGTTAAAAAGGGAATTAAGTCGTCGGCGTGAAGCTTGGCTTCACTTCTTAAACAAGTCAATGCTTCATAAATAAGTCAGTGGCATAACAAATAAGTCAATGCTTTATGAAAAGCTAATAGATCATAAATAAGTCAACGCTTCATAAACAAGTTAACGCTTCATAAACAAGTCAACGCTTCATAAACAAGTCAAAGCTTCATAAATAAGTCAGCGCTTCATAAACAAGTCAACGCTTCATAAACAAGTCAAAGCTTCATAAATAAGGCAACGCTTCATAAACAAGTCAACGCTTCATAAACAAGTCAACGCTTCATAAACAAGTCAACGCTTCATAAACAAGTCAACGCTTCATAAACAAGTCAACGCTTCATAAACAAGTCAAAGCTTCATAAATAAGTCAGCGCTTCATAAACAAGTCAACGCTTCATAAACAAGTCATTGCTTTAAAAATAATCCAACGCATCACAAATAAGTCAACTCCTGATTAATAAGTCAACGCTTCATCATTAAGTTTCCGCTTTTCAATATAATATCTCACTCAGAATAAGTTATTTTTCACTCTATAACCTCAGCAGTAAAAAAAGAATGAACAACATTTGCATGGTTTCCGTAATGTTGAAGTATATACTTCACAAGAGCACCGAGCGAATGCATCTTATTTAAGAATTTCTTTGCGATGTTAAAAATAACGAAGTGAACAGCAATGGCATAGACATTGCTGAAGAAGTAATATTCTGTTACCTGTAAAACAGAATACAATTTTTTTTCATGATTTTCTACAAAAGGAATTCAATTTCCTCGTGGAAAATCGCATTAAGTATGACAAAATAAAATTAGTTGTTGAATATTTGAAGATGAGCTGAATTATGGCTGGTTTATCATTATGAAGATAAGCTTTAGAATTTGAGTCAACGCTTTATAATTTTAGTCAAAACTTTGAAGTTTAGCTTTAGAATTTTAGTCAACGCTTTATAATTTAAGTCAACACTTTGAAGTTTTGCTTTAAAATTGAGTCGATGCTGTAAAGCTTTGCTTTTGAATTTACTTAAGGCGCTTGGCTCAAATTTGGTATGGTAACTCGAAGGTCGTCGGTTCGAATCCAGCCATTTCCAAATTTGTTCTTTTTCAGAAGTTTAGATACTTCGACTGCTTAATGTACGAGATCCAGCCATAATTGGGCATTTTGGGCAACGTTGGATTAAGGAACGCATCAGGAACTTGAAGTGTAGCGGGAGAAATAGGAACGAGAGCTACAAGATTACCTTATAATGGAATATTGTCAGAACGGACCTGAAATGTATCACGTCACGCCCACAGAAGATTGAAACGAGAGCCTTGGTTTATTTGAAACCTAGATTTGAAGATTAGAAGCTTGATTCTATGTCACCCATAGTGATATGAAATGCATCACTAATCAATGTAAAAAGTAAAACATGTATAAATACTAATTCTTCCGGACGGTAACGTCGACAAATAAATAATAATAATAATAAGTCAACCATTTGAAGCTTTGCTTTAAAATTGAGTCAACGCTTTCAAACTTTGCTTTAAAATAAAAGTCGTCGCTTTCAAGCTTAGCTGGAGAATTTTAAATCGAAGCTATAAAGTCTTTCTTCTTTATCCTCAGCAGGCTCGAATTCAATAACATTTGTAAGGTTCTCGTCATATAATTCACAAGAACAAGTAGCGAATGCAAACTACATAAGAACATCAAAAATTAAGGAGTGTAAGATCCAAGCTAACTATGGCAATGCCATAGTCAGCTAATTGCTGTTTTTTTAAACAGCAAATGCAAAAAACCTAATTTTTCCTAGATTTTCTGCAAAAGGAATTCAATTTCCTCGTGGAAAGTCTCATTGACTTGAATTGATAAGAAAATTTAGCTTGATATTGGAAATAAGTTGCTTTGAGATACCAGATTCATTAAAATTGACTGATTAAATGACACAAAAGTATCGCAAGGATACTCCAAAGCAGACAACAAACCCCAAAAAATAATAGTTCATTCCGAAACATTTGCAAGGTTCATAAAATTCAACCTCACATACTTCACAAGATTAATCAAATCTTCAATCCATAACTTAGCACAGAAGACTAGCAGAACTTACATAAAGAAACACCTAACCGTGCTCTTAAGCACTTATGTTAGATTACATTAGCTTCTTCGGAAGCGAATAAAAATTTTTTATTAGACATTTTACAAAAGGAATTAGATTTCCTCGTGGATGTCTACATTGATTATTGATGAAAAATAAATGGCAACATTTTAGGGTTTTTTGAGGTTATGTAGAGTCTGTGGTACGCTGCAGAAGGCTAATAGTGGTGTAGAACATACGAATATTGACACCTGAGTCCCAAAAGTGGTGGAAAACGTACGACTATTGACAAATAGTTTCAAAAGGGGTGTGAAATATACAACTATTGACATAGAGTACCAAAAGTTGTGTAGAACATACGACTATTGACATCGGGTACCAATAGTGGTGTAGAACGTACGACTATTGACACTTGAGTACCAAAAGTGGTGGAAAACGTACGACTATTGACAAATAGTTTCAAAAGGGGTGTGAAATATACAACTATTGACATCGAGTACCAAAAGTAGTGTAGAACATACGACTATTGACATCGGGTACCAATAGTGGTGTAGAACGTACGACTATTGACACTTGAGTACCAAAAGTGGTGGAAAACGTACGACTATTGACAAATAGTTTCAAAAGGGGTGTGAAATATACAACTATTGACATCGAGTACCAAAAGTAGTGTAGAACATACGACTATTGACATCGGGTACCAATAGTGGTGTAGAACGTACGACTATTGACACTTGAGTACCAAAAGTGGTGGAAAACGTACGACTATTGACAAATAGTTTCAAAAGGGGTGTGAAATATACAACTATTGACATCGAGTACCAAAAGTAGTGTAGAACATACGACTATTGACATCGGGTACCAATAGTGGTGTAGAACGTACGACTATTGACACTTGAGTACCAAAAGTGGTGGAAAACGTACGACTATTGACAAATAGTTTCAAAAGGGGTGTGAAATATACAACTATTGACATCGAGTACCAAAAGTAGTGTAGAACATACGACTATTGACATCGGGTACCAATAGTGGTGTAGAACGTACGACTATTGACACTTGAGTACCAAAAGTGGTGGAAAACGTACGACTATTGACAAATAGCTTCAAAAGGGGTGTGAAATATACAACTATTGACATCGAGTACCAAAAGTGGTGTATATCGTACGACTATTGACATCGAGTACCAAAAGTGGTGTATATCGTACGACTATAGACATTTGTGTAACAAATTAGACATCCCCGAGGAAATTAAATTCCTTTTGGAAGATGTCACAGGTAAAAATTGGTTATAACGGTTTTTATAACGGTTTTTATAACGGTCTTTATAACGGTCTGACGATGGAGGTACCCATCGTCGTTAAAATGTCTTTACTCTCAACATCCTTTTTATATCCACTCAGATTCTCCTTCTTGTGAAGTATGTAATTCTTAAAAGAACCTTACAAATGTTTTAAAGCTCAGCTATTTGGAGTTTTGGCTGTGCCTCACCAACCATGACTAGCTCTCATTGAACCCTCATTAATTTATGCATACATGCTACAAATACCATAACAGCACACATCACGGCACTGACCGGAGTTATCGAAAGAGGAAGAGAGTGGAAGTAAAATGTGGAATATTGTGTTTATTATGGCTGATGTAAATTACACACCTGCTCACTTTTTGGCTGTGAATATGAAAAATAATAATTGCAAGGGGTGGTCACTTTTGGATTTATTTGGTACCAAAGTGGTGAAGATTGGGTGACTTCTGGACATTTAACATCAAATGTGATAGATTGTGTGACCTTAAATCATTCCAACTTAAGATCGTGTAGATTATGCAACTATTGGCATCCCGAGTGACCTCCCCTTGCATAAAAATCTCCCCCTAACCAGCCACACACTCAAAAGACCTCAACTCTCGCATTTGAACGAACATTTTTTGAAAAGAGAATTTTTTTGCATTTAAATTTTATTATTTTTATTTATATTGCTCAAAAAAATGCTTCACATTGTTAACAAAAATGAAAATGAACGAAAATTGATGATGGAAAAGGAAGGCAGACTAGCGTAGCAGTGTGTTGAGTCAGTTGGGGTCAAGAGAGCAAAGCGGTGAGACCGGAAAAAATTGTGTAAGAGAAAAAAAGTATTAAAAATTGAAAAAAATTGAAATTAATTGAAAAATTGAAATGAATTGAATAATTTCAAAATAGTTGAAAACGTTGAACAAAATTGAAAAAGTTGAAAAAGTTGAAAAAAGTTGAAAACGTTGAAAAAAGTTGAAAAAAGTTAAAAAAAATGGAAAAAAGTTAAATAAGGTGAAAATGTTGAAAAAAGTTGAAAAAGTTGAAAAAAGTTGAAACGTTGAAAAAAGTTAAAAAAAATTTAAAAATGTTGAAAACGTTGAAAAAGTTGGAAAAGTTGGAAAAAGTTGAAAACGTTGAAAAAAGTCGAAAAATGTTAAAAAAAAGTTGAAAACGTTGAAAAAGTTGGAAAAATTGGAAAAAGTTGAAAAAGTTGAAAAAAGTTGAAAACGTTGAAAAAGTTGGAAAAATTGGAAAAAGTTGAAAAAGTTGAAAAAAGTTGAAAACGTTGAAAAAAGTTGAAAAAAGTTGAAAAAAGTTGAAAAAAGTTGAAAACGTTGAAAAAAGTTAAAAAAATGGAAAAAAGTTAAAAAATGTGAAAATGTTGAAAAAAATGGAAAAAATTGAAAAAAGTTGAAAAAAGTTGAAAAAGTTAAAAGATTGAAAAAAGTGAATAAGCAAATAAAAAACATTTGGAAAGCTGTGAAAAAATTGTTAAAAATATTAAAATCCAAAAACCAATCCAAAGTGAAAGTTCACAAATCCACAATTCTAACCTCAAAACTTTCTCCATAACTGCAATTCCAATTGTTCAAATCCACTCCAGTTCTACACAATTCAGAACATTTCATCCACAAAGCTACAAAAAAAAGTAAGGCACAAACTACCGATGCATATCAGATCATTTCCACAATAATGAAATTTACTTTTTCATAATAATGAAAAATAAAAAAATACGCAGAAAACAAACATGAACACACACTCATGTGAGTAGCTCAACAGTGCGGCTATAAATGAGAAGATTGAATTAAAAAAAATAAATTATTTAAATAATATAAAAAAGAAGAAAGCAAATGATCAAAAGTTGTTCTAGTGAGTCAGCAAATAACAAATGTGAAAGAATATTTTTATAGTAAAAAAGTCAACAAAGTGTGAAGAATTAAAAAAGAAGTAAATTTACTAAGTTGGTGTGAAATGTGATAATTTTGAGACTAAGTTGCTATAAAGGGTGACTCTAATGACTAGAATAAGGTGACTTTAGGAGTGATTTTGAGACTAGCTTGTGGAATTTAAACACAAAAACTTAATTTTTGATAGAATTTTGTGAAGCTTTTGTAATTTTCAACCCTAACGAAGCTAGTTTGAAGCTACTAAGTGTGTTAAAAGATTAAAAAGTAACATCAATTTCCATCATTAATTCCAATCAACTTAAAACAATAAATCCAACATTCCATTTAAAAAATTTCAATTTCCCAAAACCAATCTCAAGATTTCATCTGAAACTCACAAAGTGAAACGTGACCAGCTATAACTTACTTTAATCTGGATTTACTACAACAACAAATGAAATAAAAACATTAATTCACAATAAAGCAAAGAAGCCTAACTCCTACAAAAGCTATGCATATGTCAACAGTGCCCAAGTGTAGAAAATTATCAGTTACAGTACTATTGTGTGTCATGTCAAGCTATTAAGCCTCAAACATAATAAATTATAAAACAATACAAAAAGTTATCAAAATGGGATGTTGCTGTAAAGTTTTTAATGCAAAGTTGCTGCTTGGATTCTTTAATTTGGTGTTTATGGTGAGTAAGTCTTGTGGACCAGTGGTGGACAACCTTTTTTGTGCCACGGCACACTTTGATGGTTAGCCATGATTGAAACCGCACATTGTATACGGTTTTTCCAGCGCACTAGTGTACCGCGGCACATAGGTTGGCCATCACTGTTGTAAACTAAGAGAGCGACTAGAAATGCAGCGTTGTACATGCTTTTGTACTAGATTACAGCCTAGATGAGGGACATTTTAAGGCTGGGTTCAGTATAGAACCCCCAAATTGGGCATGGTTTGACCTCTCATTGCTTCTTGAGAAGTTGGATGCCTTTTGAAAGGTCTCATACCCACAGCCTTAGTCGCACTTAGCCCTACCTTCTTGAATAGACTCAATCTTTACTTGAATAGCTCAAGAGTCAGTTGACATTGCCCTTTATCATCAATCATCTTTCAAAAATCAACTAAACCTAAATCTTATCCCCCATTTCAGCTTTGTAGCATCGCAGTCCTCTTCGCCGGCTTCCATCTCTTCACAGACAACAAGCGACTCCTCCTTACATCTCTAATCATCATTGACGATCATCCACTCCATGCATTTGACCTCTCATATCCAATCATTTATTATGTTGCATTCATTTTAACAGTTTTTGGCATGGTCATCGCTTTCATTTCCTTCATTGGATTTTGCACGTCGTGCATGTCGAGTTACCCGCTGCTCGTATTTTACTTTCTATTGATTGTCATGCTACTGATTATTCAGTTCCTTGGCGGCGTTGTGGTTATAACGAAACCGCAATTTTTAGGGTTGAATGTCAATACAACGCAGATGGTTCGGATACTTCAAGGGACATATGGAGTTCCGAATCATGAGCAGTGGACAATAGCGATGGATTACGCACAGACATTTTTGGATTGTTGTGCTATAAATGACAGTATTAATTATGATACATCGCTGTGGAGGCTGCAGAAGTTGGGAAGGGATGATTTGTCAGTTCCATTGACTTGCTGTAAATTGATGAATAAGTTTGAGGAAAATTCTTATTTGGATCCAGTGCCGGTTAATATGACATTGTGTCAGTCGATACAGCCACAGGATTTTCAGAAGGCACGGCATCTTGAGGTATGATGGACTTTGATGATTATTTTAAAAAATATAACGAATTTTGTGAATTTTGACGTTTCTTTAAAAACATTTGAATTTCGAAAATGTAACGTATTTTTTTAATTTTTGGAATTTTAAAAATTTAACGGATTATTTTTTGAATTTTAAAAATTTTAACGGATTTTTTTGAATTTTCAAAATTTTAACGGATTTTTTTTTTGGATTTTCAAAATTTTAACGAATTTTTCAAAATTTTCAAAAATTTTAACGGATTTTTTTTTGAATTTTCAAAAAATAACAAATTTTCAAATTGTAAAAATTTCAACGGTTTTTTAAATTTTGAATTTTTTTGAGGTTATGTAACATTTTTCAAAAATCTTAATTTTAGGGCTGCCTTGACAGAATCGAGAATTGGTATCGCGAACATTACATCATCCTCCTCTACGCAGGTCTTCTTCTATCAACGATCGAGTTCTTCATCCTCTTATCCATCATCCTGGTCTGCTCAATCATCAAACAAAAGAAGCTTCGCCATCAAATCTCGCCATCACCTGTCAACTTCCTCAATGAGATGCAATCGAATATTTTAAGGAGGAACATGAACGAGAACATTTATCATGAAGACTTCATCACGATGGCACCGGCAACGAGTTCAGCATCAACGATTAGGGAAGTTTACATACAGCCGATGGATGTGCCGAGAGATAATTATAAGAGAAATCATTATAGACTTAATGGGAAGGGATTGTTGGTGTAGCTTTGAAGTTTTGTGAAGTTTTGAGTGAAATTTTTTGGAATAAAATGTGATTTTTTTTTGGTAATTTTGGTTTTCAGTCATTCGAGGAAGCTTAATGCCATTCGAAAAATTCCTAAACTTTTTTGTTATCTAACGTTTAGTTCGTGGCTTACTACATAATTATTAATAATATAATATATGCGTAGCGCGTAAGTTATTAGTTTAATTTTTTTATTTTGAAGATTAATATGTCCTTGTGGATGGAATGACGCTCTTGTGAAGTATATGATGAAAATTAAACTGTACAAATGTTAAATTATTGGATCAAAGCTAGTGGAATAAAATGGAAAATGAAACATTCTGTGTCAAAAGTCGCACGCTGAACACCACTTTTGACATCAAGAGTCCAAAAGTCATACTTAAAACAAATGGTGGCTAAAAGTCGCAAGCTGCACACCACTATTGAATACATTATGTCAGTTAATCACCACTTTGAACACATAGTGTCAATAGTCGTACGCTCTACACTACTTTTCAAATGAAATAGCTATACTGCCCAAAGTCGCAAGCAGGACACGACTTTAGGACACAAAATGACATACTATCAAAAAAGGTCAAAAGTCGCCCGCTGCACACCACTATTGACCACATAATGTTGAAAACTACCAAAGTCGCACGCTGCACACCACTATTGACCACAAAATGTTGAAAACTACCAAAGTCGCATGCTGCACACCACTATTGACCCCAAAATGTTTAAAACTACCAAAGTCGCACGCTGCACACCACTATTGACCACAAAATGTTTAAAACTACCATAGTCGCACGCTGCACGCCACTATTGACGACAAATTGTTGAAAACTACCAAAGTCGCACGCTGCACACCACTATTGACCATAAAATCTCAATTTTAAAATTTTTCGAGTAAAAATAATTTTTATTTCAAATTTTTCAGCATTTTTCCTTATAAATTAGTAATAAATTTCTCATCTTCCTGCCTCAACATCTCAGTCAGTTCCTTCAAACTCTCAGAATACTTAAACACACTCTTGTACTTTGGATCGTACCTCAATATTCCATTTCTCATTTCATCAACCCAATTCCAAAAGTAGACAGTCCTCTCGACCAAATTGCAGTCATCAACTACTGTCGCAAAATTCTTGATTGTTGTCAAGTCAGTCCAGCACATGTTATGTCCGTCAATTACAACATACTTTAAGTGATCATTTTCATTAATTTTTTTGATAATTTTTTCCTTGACGTATTCAGCGGATGAGTAAATGACATTTTGCCGTGGCTTAATAATCAAGAACATGTCGTCGACAATGTATGTGATGTGTGGACGTGATGTCCTGTAAACACTCATGAGAATATCAATGCCAGCTCCAACCAGGATACCCATATCCAATCCAAATAACAAACTGATGATGAATGTCCCCATAAATGGCACCAAGTCGATCTTTTTGGTCCTCCAGATGGTCATCACTTCCCCAAAGTTCATCATTGTAAACATTGCAGCTATAATAACAGCAGCAAGTGATGTCTTTGGGATGTACTCGAAAGTTCTTGTCAAAAGTCCCAAAGACAGCAGAACAACAGCTCCTGTGTAGATTCCACCAAATTGTGTCTTAACACCACTGGCATTATTGACTGCTGATCTTGTAAAGGAACCAGTAATTGGAATTGACCGAACGAATGATGAGAAAATGTTGCACAATCCCAAAGCAATCATCTCTTGCGTCACATCTAAAGACTTGCCTCTGTTAAATGATTTAGCAATGGCAACAGCTTCAATAACGGAAATGAGTGGAAGTGAAAATGTCGACAGACCCAAGGTTGAGAGCATGTCTGAGAAGTTGTAATATGTGCCATTATTGGTCGTTGATAGCGGTGGAAGGCTTAATGATGGAAAGCCTGATGCGATTTCTCCTGTAATTAGGAATGGCTGGAAGCTGTAGAATTTATGGCAGATGTAGGCGATAAGGATTCCACCAAAGACTATGATTGCGTTGCGGGATATGGACAGGTACCTGTAATTGAATTTGAAATTTAAGAAAAAGTTCAAATCTTGTGTCTTGGGTATTGTGTCTTGTGGTCTTGTGGTCTTGTTTCTTGTGTCTTGTGACTTGTGACTTGTGTCTTACCTTATTCCAAGTGACTTCTTGTTTCTCATGCTCCACTTCTTAGCTGCAATCAATAATACCAGCGACACAACACCAAGCAAAGTGTCCTGCCACCTCGTTTCCTCAATGTAAGTGAACAGATTCACCCAAGCATCAACAAACTGGTTTGTCTTGCCACTGCTGATTCCCAATAATCTCCTGATCTGTCCACTAGCAATCGTTACAGTTGCTGCATTCATAAAAGCTGTGATTGTTGGAACTGACAGGAACTGCATGAGAAATCCTAGGTTTAGGATCCCGAGGCCTAAAATTATGCTGCCACTGATGAATGTTGAAAAGACTGCAAGGTCAGCATTAAGTTTGGCGACAATTGTGAATGTGAGGATTGAAAGAATGGCTGTTGGTCCTATTGTGAGGTCCTTTGTGCTTCCAAAGAAGAAATAGACAAAACAGCCCATAAAACCAGCATAAAGTCCATATTGAGGCTCTAACCCAGCAAGTGCAGCATCAGCAATACCTTGAGGAATCACAGTCAATGCTACAGTCAATCCAGCCACAAAATCAGCAATGATATATCCAGTTTTATATGATGGCAGCCATTTTAACACTGGAAATCGTCTATAAAGTCCTTCCTGGCTGCAAAGTCTTGAAACTTTCTTTTGTACAACTTTTTTAAAGTCTGGAAACTCTTCGCTGTAGTCTTCGACTTCTGAAAGAATAAGAGCAAGGAGGTGGGTCAAAGGTTGGTTAGAATTGAGAATCTGATAAAAAGATAGGCTGAATGTTAAGGGACTAAAAGATGAAGAGCCAGGCAGACAGACAAACAGACAGTAATTATGATAAAAATACAAAATTGCAGAGGAACTAAGCAATAAAGATCTATACCATCGGCGCTTTCATGTCTAACGAATTTACAGCCTGAATTACTATAAACACTTTGTATAGATAAGATTGGATGTTCTTCCTGAATTGCCCATCCTTATTCATTAAGTTTTACTTTGTTATCTTTGTCAAGATAGACTAATCACCTATCTATTAAATGATTAGGGTCTTTTATTGACGTAAAATACTCAAGAAGCTTATAAAGCTCACAAATAGTGAAAGAATGAAAAATCATTACATTCTTTATCGTCAATTACACTCATTAATTTTTTTTTCGTCTAGATTCTTATCAAGACTTAATTGCCTTATTGTTGTAATAAAATGCCGCTATATATGAGTAATTTAGACGACAATGTAAGATGATATATTGAAGTGTAACAGATTTTTGAAGAAAACTAGTTAATTCAATTGATGACTACTAAGAGATAAAGGCAGGTTTTTAGGTTACTAGAGTAGTAGAATGATATACTAAAATAGTAGACTGAGATACTAAAATAGTAGACTGGGATACTAAAATAGTAGACTGGGATACTAAAATAGCAGACTGGGATACTAAAATAGTAAACTGAGATACTAAAATAGTAGACTGGGATACTAAAATAGTAGACTGGGATACTAAAATAGTAGACTGGGATACTAAAATAGTAAACTGGGATACTAAAATAGTAGACTGATATACTAAAATAGTAGAGTGGGATACTAAAATAGTAGACTGGGATACTAAAATAGTAGACTGGGATACTAAAATAGTAGACTGGGATACTAAAATAGTAGATTGGGATACTAAAATAGTAGACTGAGATACTAAAATAGTAGACTGGGATACTAAAAAAGTAGACTGGGATACTAAAATAGTAGACTGGGATACTAAAATAGTAGACTGGGATACTAAAATAGTAAACTGAGATACTAAAAAAGTAGACTGGGATACTAAAATAGTAGACTGGGATACTAAAAAAGTAGACTGGGATACTAAAATAGTAGACTGGGATACTAAAATAGTAGACTGGGATACTAAAATAGTAGACTGGGATACTAAAATAGTAGACTGGGATACTAAAATAGTAGACTGGGATACTAAAATAGTAGATTGGGATACTAAAATAGTAGACTGAGATACTAAAATAGTAGACTGGGATACTAAAATAGTAGACTGATATACTAAAATAGTAGACTGATAAACTAATGTAGTGGACTATTCTAAGATATTTTACCACAAGTATCTATAAAAATTGACCCCGATCAGACCACTTCCTAGTACTCCATGAGCATTCTTCTTGTTTGATCACGATGATCATTCCCAAATAATTCAATTAATTAAAATAATTCTATTAAAAAATTAATAAACATCGAAAAAATCCCAACTAAGCTAATTAGCACGACCGGGAATTCCCCAGTGCATCTAAACTATTCGCAATGAATGCAACCACACGAACCGGTTTTTAAAATGATGAAAATTCTAACATATTAAATAACACATTTTGATGACTGATTGACGGTTGTTTATACTTTGTACTGAACTTTAAAATTATGTGTGACGCTCAATTGTGTAAATATTATTACAGAAGCTAATGGGATATTCACAGTGTGAGATCAGAATTGAGGGAAATTTGTGAGATAATCCAGTGGGGAAGCAAATGGAGAGTTGAAGGAGCCAAGATGTGAGCAGAGTTTGACCGAGCTATAGCCTCAGCCATAGAATTCAAACATTCCAATCCCAAAGATCAGCATAGCCCACACCCATCGCTCCTGGTTATCTAATCCCAATCCTAATCTCATCACATCCGCTCCACGTAATTCGTTCCTAAAAATAAAGCACTCAAGTCGTTCAGCATATTTGACCATGTCTCAATTACCCAAAGTGTTTCTTATCAGCCCACAAAACGTGACAAAGCCTTTAAGAGCTTTTTAATTACTCCCCCCGTCCAATTTCAGATTTCTTTGACTCAAAAGATTTATTGACTCACAAGTTAATGCCATAAAATGTCAAATAAATTCGCAATTTATTGGACGCTAATGAGCGATAAGGAGGAATTAAAAAAGGTGTTTTTTTTTTGCTGATAAAAATAACAATCCACTTGAAGATTTGAAGCTCTTTCGCGAGAATAATAAAGCCTTGTGTGAATTCAGGTGTTTATGATAAAGTCGCTGACGATGTTTGACAAGACATGGCGTTGAGTAAGGGAAGTTCAGTGATATAGAAAACTGGTTTTTTATGGGGAAACTCGAGTTGAATTGTTTTTATTAAGGTGTAATTGATGTTGACATATATCTCCGGTTGGTACAAAGGGCGGGAATTTTTGAGATAGATGTGACAAAAAAAAAATGGGGGTTGAAATGGGGTTTGTGGGGATTTATTTAGGATTTATTTCAGATTTTTTTGACCAAATGTCAGTTGGCAACAGAAGGTTTTATTGGTTTTCAGCGTTTTCAGTCAAAATTGAATTTCTGGCGTGTTTTAAAGGTAATTTTAGAATTTAAGAACCAAATATGAAGGCATACTACCCTTGGGACGTTGATAGTGAAGGATAAACCAGGATATCTGGTATAAATGGATCAGAAAGCAATTAATCATGCACAAAACTAGTATGAGGCTTGCTTCAGGGAAGATTTCATCAAATTTGATGCATTAGGCTCATTTGCTTAAAACAAGGCTGGTTTGGAACCGAATTTCATCAAATTTGATACACTAAGACGCCAGAATAGTGGCTTAGAACCGGAGTCAGGTTCAAGTAGTCTTGGTGTATCAAAATTTGATGAAACTCCGTTCCAAACTAGCCTTGTTTTAAATAAGAGAGCTTAATGTATCAAATTTGATGATATCTTACCTGAAGCAAGTTATAGCTCTTCACAGCTACACGTCTGCTAAGTTCACCAATTTTGAATAAATCCAGTTTGAAGCCAGACTTATGCCAGCTCTAGTTACTCGTCAGCCATTCAGAACAGTCAATAACATGGACAGCAATATTAATGAAGTTGTGAGAAGCGGTTGAACTGGCTGGAGTCCTCTAATAAGCTTGGATTATTCAAAAAATCTATTATTGATTGAGGAATCAGTTCTCAGAGAACAGGGCTGAGGGGAAAGGGGGTTCAACATTTGAATTTTCCCTCCAAAAAATGAAGAGAATTGAAGAATTTTGTATTGATGGGTTTATGGTAGACATCCCTAAGGTTTAATAAAATCGACTTACCTGTTGAATTTTCATTTTCAGGGCGAGATGCGTTTCCGTTCATTTTATTATATTTTTCTTTGGTAAGTTTTTTTTTTAAATTTTTTGAATCTTTTTTGCAGTTTTGCATATAAATTGTCTAATTTGCAATTTTTTTAAATCTAATTTAAACAATTTTTGTCCAAGTTTTCGGTCTCTTTAAGATTATTGACCTATAAAAATGCAGATTTCGCAGTCTAATCGACCATTGCGATGATCTTGAAATTTAATTTCATTAAAAAATTGCAAATTTACGTTCAAATTAATTTTCAAAAATTAAATTTCAGCTTAAACTTTTCACTTAATTTGTTTTATTTCACAAACTTTGTAATTTCTCAGCTAAGAATAAAACTTATTTTTTTCTTCTCACACGACTCAACCAAAACTTCTCATATGACTGACTAAAAATTAATAGAAAACACTTGTCAAATGTGAGTTTAAATAATACCCAAAATCCAACAACAACATCAAAAAAATAAACTGTCTATGAATTTATATCAGCCTAGACGAAGATAATGCACACATTTGTACTTGAAAAAGAGCTGTGTCGAGTTATCTGCAATGTAAAAAATCTAACTTAATTGTGGACGTGATTAAGCTTTACAACAAAAAAAAAGTTTAGATTAAAATGTTGATGATAAATTTGATTGATCTGTTTATTTTGTTTTAATACTTTAAAGTGGTCATTTGAGTGGGATATTCTGGGAATTCGTTGAGCATTGAGTGTCAATTTTTACGTTTATTTTATTTGAGGACTTCAAAATTAATCAGATAAATGATTAATAGCCGATTGGTTCATCTAAATGATAGTCACCTACTAGGGTTCTATTTTAGTTCTACTGGGATTCTACTGGGATTCTACTAGGGTTTAATTAGGTTTTTACTAGAGTTCTACTAGGGTTTTACTTGAGTTCTACTAAGGTTATACCAAGATTTTTAAAAAATAGTTCTACTAGAGTTCTACTAAAGTTCTACTAGGGTTGTACTAGATTTTTACTAGAGTTCTACTAGGTTTCTACTAGGATTTTATTAGGATTCTACTAAGGTTCTACTAGAGTTCTACTAGGTTTCTACTATAGTTATAATAGGAGTTCTACTAGAGTGGTACTAAAGTTCTACTAGGATTCTACTAGGGTTCTACTAGAATTCTACTAGGGTTCTACTAGAGTTCTACTAGGGTTGTACTAGATTTCTACTAGAGTTCTACTAGGGTTATACTTGGATTCTACTAGGGTTCTACAAGACTTCTACTAGGATTGTACTAGATTTCTATTATAGTTCTCTTATGTTTCTACAATGGTTCTAATAGAGTTCTACTATGGTTATAATAGGAGTTCTACTAGGGTTCTAATAAGGTTCTATTAGAGTTGTACTGGGGTTGTAATAGAAGCTCTACTAGGGCTGTACTAGAGTTCTTTTAGGGTTCTCTAAGTGTTTTACTAGGTTTCTACTAGAGTTCTACTAGAGTTCTACTAGGGTTCTCTTATTGTTCTACAGAGGTTCTAAAAGAGTTCTACTAGGGTTCTACTAAGGTTCTACTAGGTTTCTTTTAGAGTTCTACTATGGTCATAATAGGAGTTCGACTAGAGCTGTTCTAAAGTTCTACAAGGGTTTTACTAGGGTTCACTTAGGTTTGTACTAGGGTTCTAATAAGGTTCTACAAGGAGTTCTACTAAACAGTCAAAGCAACATCAAAAAAAAGAGAAGACAAAAACAAATACAACAATTCAACAAATCACGCTTAGTCTTTAATCTTACAAAATCATTAATTAAGTACAAAATGTTCTAAAAAATTATCGGTCCAACATTGGCATCATGTTGCCCGTCACTTCATCTTGACTTAAACTCACTTCCAGTCCATGATGTTTCCTTATTTTCATTACAAGCTTCCTCATTTCTTGTCTCATAAAATACGACTTAGATTCTAAACTATTCTCTTTAAAATCGATGCAACAGCATAGTAAGATCGTGTCAATTGTCACTCCAAAAGCCATAAAGAAGCAGTGAGCTATTAGGAAGGTGAAAATTAGATCAACAGATGCTGGTGATATGGCAGTGAATTGAGATGCTTTAGAGTCCTGAGAAAGAAATTAGATTTAAAATTTGATCTTTAATTGGCAGCTTCTCAAAAATTACAACAATAAAGAGTCCAGCAAATATTCCCACAAAAGGAACAAACATTTGATTAAGTAGCAGCAAAATATCTTTAAATAGATTAAGCCAATAGATGTCTCCAAGATTTTCTAGAACCAAATCGTAGCTTTTCTTTCCAGATTCCCAAAATGAAGTTCCATGACTGTCTATTAAAACGTAGGAACTTTTAGTGTAGATTCCAAATATTTTGTCAATTGAATCGAATTCCTGATTACATCTTTGTGGCTGCATTCCTTTGAAGCAAAAGTTTACTGAAGCTTTTATGCACTGCAATTTAATTATTTCGATAAAGTACTAATAATATCAAGTCACTATCCATCCCTTTTATACCTTAACAATCCTGAATCCAAAATGAATGAGTCTCACAACAGGAACCACAACAGATCCAAAACAGACACTTCCTAGATGAAATCTCACAAGATTCGTCACTGATGACTTGTTTATCCCACCAAGTCCACTCTTGTCACGTGTAAAATACCATTTTGTGACTGATCCAGCAATGATGAAGTGCTGACAATTGATGATGAAATTTCCAAGCCAAGCGAATGTCAAAATGTTGAGAATTCGAATGACTTTCATGATTTTTGTACCTTCGTATTTTAGTTCGAATTTTCCATCTTCAGATGTGCCTGGCGAGAAGGTTCCGGAAGTTTCGATCCACAATGAGGTAAATAGGAAGGCTGCGATCAAAATTGTGAGGGTTAAGAAGGTCTGGAATGAGAATTTGACTTTTGAGAGTTAGTGATACTAATGTAAAGGCTCCTGAACTTTGAAATTTTAGTGTGAAGGCACCTGAACTTTGAAACTTAAGTGTGAAGGCACCTGAACTTTGAAACTTCAGTGTGATGGCAACTGAACTTTGAAACTTAAGTGTGAAGACACCTGAACTTTGAAACTTAAGTGTGAAGACACCTGAACTTTGAAACTTAAGTGTGAAGGCAACTGAACTTTGAAACTTAAGTGTGAAGGCACCTGAACTTTGAAACTTAAGTGTGAATGCACCTGAACTTTGAAACTTAAGTGTTAAGGCACCTGAACTTTGAAACTTAAGTGTGAAGACACCTGAACTTTGAAACTTAAGTGTGAAGGCAACTGAACTTTGAAACTTAAGTGTGAAGGCACCTGAACTTTGCAACTTAAGTGTGAAGGCAACTGAACTTTAAAACTTAAGTGTGAAGGCACCTGAACTTTGAAACTTAAGTGTGAAGGCACCTGAACTTTGAAACTTCAGTGTGATGGCAACTGAACTTTGAAACTTAAGTGTGAAGACACCTGAACTTTGAAACTTAAGTGTGAAGACACCTGAACTTTGAAACTTAAGTGTGAAGGCAACTGAACTTTGAAACTTAAGTGTGAAGGCACCTGAACTTTGCAACTTAAGTGTGAAGGCAACTGAACTTTGAAACTTAAGTGTGAAGGCACCTGAACTTTGAAACTTAAGGTTGAAGGCACCTGAACTTTAAAACTCAAGTGTGAAGGCATCTGAAGTTGGAAACTTAAATGTGAAGGCACCTGTACTTTGAAAATTCAGTATGATGGCAACTGAACTTTGAAACTTAAGTGTGAAGGCACCTGAACTTTGTAATTTAAGTGTAAAAGCACCTAAACTTTAAAACTTAAGTGTGAATGCACCTGAACTTTGAAACTTCAGTGTGATGGCAATTGAACTTTGAAACTTAAGTGTGATGTCAACTGAGCTTTTAAACTCAAGTGTGAAGGCACCCAAAACCTCCAAAACTCTAGTGCGAAGATGCCATAAACTCAAAATTCCATCGTGAAGGCACCTGAAACTTGCAACTCTATTTTAAAGGCACCTGAATTTTGATTATCTATTTTAGAGGCACCTGAACATAGCAACTCTAATGTGAAGGTATCCAAACTTGGATACTCAATTGTGAATACACCTGAACGTTAAAACTCTTGATTTTAAGCATCTTTACCCAAAATACTCACCAAAATCGGCAAAATTAGAATCCATGGAACCTTAATCATCGATTTTGTCATTTCACCAAATATTTTTCCCGCCAAAATTATCTTTTTCACAAACACGAACATCATAATGACAAAAAATCCAACATAAATGTACAAATACGATTCAATTCCATCACTTGATGAGTCAAATGAGAAAGCAAAGGAGAGAACAGCGAGGAGAAAAAGCAGACCAGTCAGCAAAATCGGAATCGCCCAAATGGTAGCTTGAGGTATAAATCTAAGCAGAATCAAGATGATAATAGAAAATAAAAACGAAAATGCACAATAAATTCCAAGTCCAATCCAGGATGTCATCATGTATCTTAAAAAGGCATTAACTTTCATTCCATAATCGGTTAGAAAATTTGGAACTTTTAGGAAATCTCCTTTTTCCCAGCACTGAATGAAGTTGTCTGGGATGTTTTGAGGACAGTCTGTTACACATTTGTACTCGATGATCCATGACTTGTTTACGTGACGTTGATTGAGAAGTTTTGGGTAGTTTCGCATGTCGTGTGGCTGAAAAAGTGGTGAAATTATTTTTTTTGCTATAATAGCTTAAATTATGGTCGGGAGCTACAAACTAGAACAAGAATGATTAATTGGGGAGAACAAATAGGTGGTGATTTCTTTGGTATGGAAGCGAACGAAGTGGCAGTTCTGGTTTCTATAAGAACCCTTTAATGGCACCTTAGACACCAGCCTAAGATAGTAGCCATACCCGGGATCCAGCTCACAACCTTGTTTGCTCTAGTTTGGTGCAAACCTTTCATTCTACACCCATTTGACTGGTTTTCATCTATTGCAGTGTTGGCCAAACTTTTTTTGAGCCACAGCACATTTTAAGGGTAAGCCATTACCAAAGTCGTACACAGCATGCGGCTCGGGTTATTTACCAAAAATTTCTACAGCACACCAGTGTGCCGAGGCACACAGTTTAGACAACACTGATCTATTAGGCTACTTAACCCCATGAAGCCCTTAAAACCATTCCCTAACCTTAATTCTTGTACTTACACCACATTGATCATTCAAATTTCCATCATTTAATTCACCACAGACATTTCCACATTCATCACGTCCTTTTGTCAAAATACTTGAGTTTGAGAATATCAAGCAGTAAGCAATGACTGAGAACTAGAGAAATTAACGCATTAATTGAGAATTTTAAAGCTTATTTCGATAAACTTACAAGAAGTATGAACCAAGCGATCGGAGCGTAGATGTCTGTGCATTTCCTGTTCTTGTTTGAGTTGTTATCGGGTTGCTGCTCCATATCCTGCAAATATGAGAGAGATTAAATTAAAATTCAGCTTGTTTTGTGAGAGATTCAACATTAGCTCTCTTGAAATTGAGGAACAAATACTCAAAGAGGCAATATTTAAGCTCCTCAAAGAGAGAATATTTCAAGATTGTTTATGTCTTTAGTTTCTCGTGGTTCAAGAGCGTGTACGGAGTAACAATGAAACAAACTAAACATAAAGGTCAGACCAGCTGCATCATTGTTATTCTAACTCGACTAGCTACAGAGCATTAAATCATACTTTCGCGCCACGCTGGTCACCACTATCGACACATCTAGAATTTATTCGTGGAACATAGTTTGAGAAACACTGCATTTGATTGTTGTTGAACATATGCTTTCCATTTTGGATTAATCATCAACTTGTTGACATGACTCATACTTTAAATAATTGAGTTGAATGCAATTTTTGATGGATTTTTACAAAAAATTGACTTGGTTGAAGCGATCTTTAATTTTGGGAGAGGATTAAAGCTCTAAAGTTGACTCAATTTATGAAATTTTGCAACAATAAATTGTGAATTAAAAGTTTTTGAATGTTAATCAATATGATTAGTCCAGTGGTTCTCAACCTATGTGCCGCGGCACAAGTTCATGGCAATCATATTGCGTACCGCAAGACTATTCAGGTGTGCCATTAAAAATTTTATTTTAAAAAAAACTGTGCCGTCGATCAAAAAAGTTTGAGAAACACTGGATAAGTCCAATTTTTTTTATTTAAATTAAATTAACTCATTTAACGAGGTAAGACGGGTTTGGAGTGGGGTTGACTTGGACAATTCCTAAATTACAAATTCTAAAACTTACCATCTTCGCCAAAAAAAATAAGAACTAAGCTAAATTATAAAAAACTTTAAAAACTTAATATTGTTCCTGCTTCAGAATCAAAACACAAAATGTGATTTATTTTTAAAATTTCATTTTCTTGCTATTTTTGTCTCTTGAGAGAACTGTAAAGCTCTCAGGAGAGTGAATACATACTTAATTCCAAGAGAATTAATCAAAACTCTCTTAAAATGGCTCAAACATCTGGCTCATGTTCACTGGCAATTGTACATCAATAGCAACACAATTCTATGCTTATGCTGAATTGAGACCAAATCCAGGGCTCGTAAAAACCAGTTAACTCGCTCGCCCAGTCAGACAAAACTTAACCCCAACTCCGTATCTAAACCCAAAAAAATAATCACATTTTCACTCAATTTTTATAAAAGCTAAACTTTATTTCTTCGAGATTCAAAATAGATTCAAAAAAAACATTATCAATATTGTCAGCAGTTTTGAGCTAGTCCTTAATGTCTTATCAATTCAGTATACTCATTTTTGGCAGCTGTACAAACGTAAATTAATGCATAAGCTATGAAGCCATTGACCCCTATTTAAATATTTTAGTAGGGCGGCTGCTGTGGGTAAGTTGGACCAGGTCCATATCCTTGTTGTGGTGGATATCCAGCTTGAGCTTGAGGATAATTTACTTGACCAAAAGGTTGTTGTTGAGGCATTGATGGAACTGAATATGGTGGTTGATCTGGATATGGAGCTTGACCAGGGTACTGTGGCTGTTGTGCTGGAAATTGTGGTTGTTGACCTGGATAAGGTGGTTGTTGACCGGGATAAGGTGGTTGTTGACCTTGATAAGGTGGCTGTTGTCCAGGGTATTGAGCAGGATAAGGTTGAGGAGGATCTGTTGAATCTGGACCACTCATTGGTGGATATGATGGATTTTGGTCTGAAATATTAGGATACATTGGACCTTGCCCTGGATATTGAGGTTGTTGGACAGGATATTGAGGTTGTTGACCAGAATAGGCTGGTTGTTGACCAGGATATCCTGGATGTTGAGGATAAAATGGTTGCTGATTCGGATCAGGATAAGGTTGCTGTGGACCAGGATAAGGTTGCTGAGGTGCAGAATATCCTGGATCTTGATATCCAGGTTGCTGTCCAGGGTAACTAGGTTGATCTGGATAATATGGCTGTTGATCAGGCATTGGTTGTCCTGGATAAGGTTGTGGCTGCATAGCCATGTTGTTTCCATCATCATCTTCCGAATTTCCATCGTTAGGATTTTCCATCCCCATCATAACACTCCTCAACTTGTCTGACATGTAGTAAGGATTCTCCTCGCCATCATTTTCTTCAATATCGATGCAGTAGCAAATAAAGACAGTATCAACTGTCATTTCAAAGACAGTAACGAAGCAGTGAGCGATAAAGAAGGCAAAGATGATAGCTACAAGTAGTGGGAAGAACATTAGATCTTCTAAGCCGGGTCGTTTCTGCAAAAAGTGGTAAAAGATTGTAAATTAGGTTAAGTTGGCTAATCAAATCACCCGAGCAGCACACAACTGCATGATATCAAAAGGTTTCCTTACCAAAATCTCATAAGCAACAAATCCAGCAATCAAAGTAACTAAGAATCTACAAACAGCCAGAACAATATCACCAAACTGATTGACTGAGTAGCAATGATCCAGATTATCCTTCAGCAAATGAAATGCTCGCTTGCCAGACTCAAAGAATGGAGTTCCATCAAGTGCTATGATGATGTATGCATTACGGACGAGATACTGAAGTGCTTTGTCTAGCATGTCAACTATGCAAGAGCATAAACAAGCTAGGAACACGGCGACCGAGCTTTCTGAGTCTTTTTCGATGGATTTCTGGAATTGAAAGTCAAAATGGGTTTGAAAATGTTTAAAGCTATGAATAAAGTTGAGCCTTACTTTGATAGCATTGACAATCATCTTCAAGATCTTTACCAGCGTTATCAACATCGATCCCAAGCAAATACTACCCAGATGAAATCTAGTAAGTTGCTTGAAACTTGAACAAATTGGCGAGTCTAGCTTGCTCTTGTCACGACTGAAATACCACTTGCTGACCGTCCCAGCGATGATAAAGTGCTGACATCCAAAGATGAATTGTGTGAACCAGATGAAGCCAATTGTGTTGAGAATGTGAGTAGCAAGCAGTACTGAAGAGTATTTTTCATCTTTAAAGTTGGTCATTGCTGCTGCTTGGATTAGGATTATGAAAAAGATGAAAGCTACGAATGAGACTAGAAGTGCGATGAAAGTCTGAAAGAATTAATGAAAGTTTTGAGGTAAGATTGAAAATTTTGAGGTTAAATAACCGAATTTTGAGGTTAAGTAATCGAATTTTGAGGTTAAGTAATGAATTTTTGAGGTTAGGAGCCATAATTTTGAGGTTAGGAACCAAAATTTTGAGGTTAGGAACCCAAATATTGAGGTTAAGTAACCAAATTTTGAGGTTATAATCATTTAAACCTTACCAAAATCGGCTCAAACATGATTGCAGGTACATCCATCAAAGCTTTCGACGATTCCTTAAAAATTGCTGCTACCAAAGCTATTTCCTTCCTAAATATGATCAAAACAATAATTGATATCAAGCCGAGGAGATAAATTAGCAATCCAGTCTTCATGTCTTTCATAATAAACAGGAAAAATGACCCAAGTGCAATTGTGAATATAATAAATCCAATGTTGATGATCCAAATGACATATTTGGCATAATATCGATATAACAGCAGACAAATATAGGAAAATACGAAGGCAACAAAGCAGACAATCATAATCAGGTACCAAGAATCAGCAAATGATTGCCGAGTTTGTTGAATGTCTGTAAATGTTTGGCCAGGTTTGACACATCGATTAAGTGTCTCTGTGTAGTTGTCTGGGCACTTTTCGACACATTTATTCCTTTTGATTTTTGATGTTTTGCTGATTGTTTTTACTAGTTTTGGATATTTTCGCATGTCTTGTGCCTGAAAAGTAAGATTTGAAGTTAATTTGAATTGAAATTAGTAAAAATACTCACTGTACAATTTTGAGAAACCGGCACAAAGCTTCCAACATTCATTTCACCGCAAACATTGCCACAATCATCCGTTGGCAGTTTAAGAAGTTCAAAGTCAGCATTTTTTCCACAGTAAATGACAAAACCGAGCTGGGAAAGATAACAATAAATATCTTATCAGTCGATTCTTAGTCATCTGTGGGACAATCTCCATCAACTCACCATAACAGCCACAAAAATAACACAAATAACTAAGGCTGGAACATTTGTACACTCAGCATCCTTCTCATCTTCACTTTCTTCATCGTTGACATCTTGATAATTTTGGTCATCTTGTTTTGGCTGACCTTGCTCTTCAGCGTACTAAAATTAAAAATAATGTCAGTAATATCTTGTAAAATTTGGGATCTGGGGTTTTAGGATATGTTTGCTTGGTACTGTCTAAGGCAGAAGGTAAGGAGGATGTAGAAAAGGTAGCTTTAGGACACAGAGCTTCCATTATAGTGAACCTTTATACTATTTTAGTAAACCTTTACACTATTTAAGTAAACCTGTCTCCTATTTTAGCAAACCTGTCTACTATTTTAGTAAACCTGTCTACTATTTTAGTAAACCTGTCTACTATTTTAGTAAATCTGACTACTATTTTAGTAAACCTATATACTATTTTAGTAGACCTGTTTACTATTTTAGTAAACCTGTAAACTATTTTAGTAAATCTGACTACTATCTAATATATAAAAGCCCAACTCACTGATTCACTGACTCTGGAACGGAAGCAATGTGAAGACATTTGTGAAGCCGTGTGAAGACAAAAATTTAAGGAGTGTTGACAAGGTGGTTGTCAGGTGGGTGTGGGTGTCAGGTGTGGGGTGGGTGTCAGGTGGGGGATGGGGACAAGGTGGGTGTCGATATATTTTGTGAAGCCAATGATTTGAGGGGTGCTGACAAGGTGAGTGGGGGGGGGGGGTAAGGTGAGGGGGTTTGTGGGAAAAGTTTGGTGTCAGGAATATTTTGTGAAGCCATATAAAATTTTGTGAAGCCATGTGAAGTTTTGTGAAGCCATGCGAAGCTTTGTGAAAAGACATTGTGGGTTTCGGGGGAATTAAAAATTTAGTGGGATTAAGGGGGTCCGAGTTTGAGGAGGTTTGTGAAGCCATGTGAAGTTTTGTGAAGCCATTTATAAAGTTTTAGTGGGATTAAGGAAGTTCGAGTTTGAGGGAGTTTGTGAAGTCATTTATAAAGTTTTAGAGGGATTAAGGGGATTCGAGTTCGAGGGGGTTTGTGAGGCCATGTGAAGTTTTGTGGTAGGATTGACCTTAAAAACATTATGGTTATTTGCGTCTTACAGTTATTTACATAATAGTAATCAAATTTTAACCCTGATAAGAGGCGCCACGGGCGCCTCCGGATAGCCTAGTTCTTACTCTTTTAGTATTTTAACAAGTAAACGAGTTTACCAAATAAGTGGAAATGCAGAAAAGTTGTAAACAAGAAATTACTAACCACATCTTTAAAATACAAAAGCCAAAGAACATAATTGTTTACTTTTGATGTCTCAAAATATCAAATAACAATCCAACAATATCAATAAATTGTTATTTTCACTTAACAAACAAATGAAATGCTTGAATCATGCAGTGACTGTAAAATTTACTATGTAGATTACTACAAAGTCTTCATTCATGGTTCTTCTTCTTATTATGCGCACCAAATGAAATTTAAAAATAAATTCGTGAATTTTATTTGTTGAGGAGAAAAAAAGTCACGAAATTAAATTTTTAAGGCGATTTTGATAACTTTTGGAACTTATTTGTGATGTTTTAAGTAGAATGTGTGCGCTACTTACCATAATTAATGAATCTAACTGTCAAAGGAGTGTCAATAAAGTGCTTGATGATGTTTTTCAACTTTTTCTCGAATCTTTAGAGGTCATTTGATGTTCAGTGCCTTAAAAGCCTGTCTAATATCCATAAACTAATAAAATCGCACTTAATCAATCAAAACTTTAAATTTTAAATTAATGTTTAACTTTTTAAATTTATAAAAACTTTAAATTTGGCCCTCTTTTTGAGACCCTCTCAAGTATTAAAGCAGAATCGAATCAGTTAAGCTTGAATCACTCAACTAATTTAAAATGAGTTCTTTTTCAATTTAATTCGGTCAATTTATCGAAAATGTGTGTTGCGGCAACGAAAACTGCTGCACTTGTGAGAAAAATACGAGAAATTTGCACTCTTTGTTATTTTTTTAAAGTAAATTGAGAAAATAAACATAGCCGGTTTGTATTTTGTTGTTGGAATTCGCATGCGAAAAAATGTAAACAGAGAGGATTTTTTCAAAAATTGAGTTTTTTTCTAAATTGAGCATTTTTACTCAAATTTTTTACTTTTTCAACTCATTTTCCTATTTATTAAGTCTTCAAATTGAACATTTATTATTTTTGGACCTCCTTATTACGAGGTAGATTGACTAGGTTATGTATATTGTATAATTGCATATCCTTTACATTAATATTGACTATTAATTTTGGTAAACTTGATCTAAATATGACTCATGCTCATCCACATCTTGCTGATAAACCTGATGTCCATCCTCATTATCCACCATAAATGGATTGGTTGTGTGAATTAAATGAGAATCATTCTTCTGAACCAACATTGGTAAACTACTTCCATCTGCGATTCCACTTCTAAATTCTGCATCTTTCCCGCCTTCATTAGTCAACAGAAACATGCTAGAATGTTCCTTCATGTCCATAAGAATTTTCTTTAAGCAGTCCGACATGTGGTATGGGTTCAGGTCTCCATCATTCTCCTCACAATCAATGCAGTAGCAGATGAAAATTGTATCTATTGTCATTTCAAATACTGTGACGAAGCAGTGAGCGATGAGGAAAGCAAAAACTATGCCGAGGATGAGGGGTGGGTACATGTTGTCTCGAGTGTCTGGTGAGTCCTAAAATTCAATGAATATTTTTGTTTTAGAACTAATGTTTTAGAACTAAAGTTTTAGAACTAAGTTTTGAAACTAAGGTTTTAGAACTAAGGTTTTAGAACTAAGATTTTAGAACTAAGATTTTAGAATTAAGGTTTTAGAACTATGGTTTTGGAACTAAGATTTTAAAATTAAGCTTTTAGAACTAAGGTTTTAGAACAAAGGTTTTAGAACTAATGTTTTAGAACTAATGTTTTAGAACTAAGGTTTTGGAACTAAGATTTTAGAATTAAGCTTTTAGAACTAAGGTTTTAGAACTAATGTTTTAGAACTAAGATTTTAGAACTAAGTTTTTAGAATTAAGTCTCTGGTACTTACCAACATCCCATACCCCACAAATCCAGCAATCAGAACAATCAGCAATCTACAAATAAACAAAACCAAGTCCCCAAAGTTGTTCAATGCTATAACATCAACAATATTCCTGGTCAACAAGTGTGAAGCTCTCTTTCCTGATTCAATGAATTCGGTTCCTTCTTTGGCAACGATAATGTAGGCGTTTCTAACAAGGTATTCCAAGAATTCATCAAATGCACCAATGACTACTCTTAGACAGTAAGCTATGGCAATGCCGATTGAGCTTTGGGTGTTTTTCAGTTGATTCTAGATAATATACAAGATGATAAGTTTGGTATTAAAGTTTCTGTCCACACATCCTACCCTAATCAGCTCCACAATCGTCTTTACAACCTTTACAATCGTTATCAAACTAGCTCCCAAACAAATACTTCCAAGATGATACCTTAGTAAATTCTTAAATGACGTCAAAATTGGATTTCCAAGTTTTTCTTTGTCAGGTGTAAAATACCACTGAACAATCGTGTCAGCAATAACAAAATGTTGACATCCGAAGATAAATTGTGTGAACCAAGCGAATGTGACGACATTGAAGACGTGAGCTAGGTCATTTATGAATCGATCTTCGTAGTTTAGTTTGACTCTGTTGTCTTCTTTGTATCGACGAACTTCGGCTGAGGTTTCGATTATTATGGAAAATTTGATGAAAATTATGAAGGTCATAAGCAGAAAGATGAATGTCTGAAAGGCAACAGTTGAATAAAATATTAGATACTAAAATAGTACATTGACATACTAAAATAGTATATTGATATACTAAAATAGTAAATCTATAAACTAATATAGAAAATTGATAAACGAGTCCTAATGCTTACCAAAAATGGCTCAAACATAATCGCAGGTATATCCATCAGTGCCTTAGACGCAACCCTAAATAACGTAGCAACAAGTCCAATTCTCCTTCTAAACACGATCAACAGAACTATCAATATTATAGCCATTATAGCCATTACCACAGCCACTAGATTCTCTTTCATATAAATTGCAGCAAAGGTCAAGAATATCAGGAACAAGATGCATCCAACATTGATGATCCAAATGACATAAAATGCCACATAACGGAACAGAAATAATGAAATGTAAGAGAAACAAAATGCAACAAAGCAGATCATTAGAATTGAGTCCCAAGTGTAGAAAATAGCTTCTAATGATCCATCAGCTATGATTAATGTATCTTTTCCGAATTCTTTGATTTGATTCCTTTTGATACAATAATTAAACTTTTCTTTATATCCTTTGTAGCATTTCTTGACACAATCATGTCTGATTTTATTGGTTTTTGGGTCGAGTTTGATTTGAAGTTTTGGTTTGTCTCGATGGTCCTTTTGCTGGAACTAAAATGAGTTTTTTTTTAATTATTTGTCTTATCTATAATTTTGCGGTCACTTACGCTGCACTTATAGTCATATTCTTGAATGTCAACGTTTGTTTCCCCACAGAAGTAGCCACAGTCGTCATATGGCTTACCAAATCGAGATGGAGTGCTTGTAATCCAGCAGAAGCCAACAAGGAGAAGCTTTGGGAAGTAGGAATTCTTTAGTATATGAGTCTACTATTTTACTAAAGCAGTCTACTATTTTAGTATATCAGTTTACTATTTTAGTATATAATTTTACAATTTTATTACATCAGTCTACTATTTTAGTACATGAGTCTACTATTTTAGTATATAAGTCTACTATTTTAGTACATCAGTCTACTATTTTAGTACATAAGTCTACTATTTTAGTATATAAGTATACTATTTTAGTACATCAGTCTACTATTTTAGTATATAAGTCTACTATTTTAGTACATCAGTCTACTATTTTAGTACATGAGTCTACTATTTTAGTATATAAGTCTACTATTTTAGTACATCAGTCTACTATTTTAGTATATCAGTCTACAATTTTAGTATATCACAAAACCAATGTCCTGTTTTCGTTATCAGTTATAAAAAACTCGTCAGTCCATTGCACTACTTACCGTTACACATATAAACACGATACTAATCACCAAAAACCAAACATTGGTGCATTTCCTATCACTTTCAATGTAGCTTTTATTTGACTGAAAGAAAAAATTGGTGACCATAGGAATTACTACATATGAAATATTACACTTTACGACATCCTACCATTATTGATTAGTTTCGTCAGTACTACTGGCGCCAAGAGTCCTGTGAATGATTTTATTTGAACTTTTAAATGCTTTGTTGAGCTTATCAGGCTATTTTGACACTAATGATTGTTGAATGAAGATTTCTACTTAATTTTAGTAGATTTCATGTTAAAAAATTTAATTCTGAACATTTTGACCAGAAAAACATTTTATTGACTCGACATCCGTACTAACTGTGAACATTTCCCAGCACTCACACATTAATACTTTTTGAACATATGCTTCTTGTGTCTTTACACGAAGAGAATGAAAATTTCGTTTGCACAACTTTGAGAGCAGTTTTCACGAATCTCATTCCTTAGTTTTGGCGGGAAAACATTCAAAATATCGTTTGCAATTTTCAAATTAAGCTCAACATTTATTAAGGAGTTCCTAGCTAGTCAGACTAGGTTAACATTTAAACACTTAATCAATTCTAATAGTTTTGGTAACCTTGTTGTGGATAACCAGCTCCATATACAGCTTGCTGACCATAACCTTGCTGTTGAGGATATGGAGCTTGACCTTGTTGAGGATATGGTGCTTGACTTTGAGCAGGATACGGCACCTGACCTTGTGGGTAGCTCTGTTGAGAATAATCAAATTGACTTTGTGTTGGATACACTTGCTGTGCCTGATACGGAGCTTGTTGAAATGGTTGCTGTGGCTGGACGTACGGCTGCTGATTGTCATAAATTTGTGGATATTTTGTACTTTGATGAAATTCATTGGTTTGTGGATATCCATAAGTCTGTGGTTGTACATATGGACCTTGTGGTTCTGGGGTTTTTCTTATTGGCTGCTGAGGAACTGAAGGATCAATGTATCCTTGTTGTTGACTTACTGGAAGTTGCTGAGGAATTTGATCTAATGGTTGTTGTCCATAACCTGGTTGCTGAGTTATTGTTGGATCTGGATAACCAGCAGGTGGGACATAAAGTGATTGCTGTGGACCTTGTTCATAGTTAGCTTGAGATTGCATCGGAACACTCTCCTGAGCATCACCAACAATTGTATCATCTTTGTCATTGAACTTATCCATAATCCTCTTTAACTTGTCAGACATAAAGTAAGGCTTAGTTCTTCCATCATTTTCCTGAACATCAATGCAACAGCAGATAAAGACAGTATCAACTGTCATCTCAAAGACTGTGACAAAGCAGTGAGCGATGAGTAGAGAGAATAAGACAGCAACTATGAATGGAGCGAACATTGGTTCATGCAGACCTGGCCGACCCTAAAAATGTTAAAATTTATAATAAAAATTATTCAAGGCTCAATAAAGTCATACACACCATAATCTCGTACCCTACGAATCCAGCAATCAAAGTAACCAAGAACCTACAAACAACCAGCACAATATCCCCAAACTGATTGACCGAATAGCAATGAGACAAGTTGTTTTTAATCAATTTGAATGCTCTCTGTCCTGATTCAAAGAATGGAGTTCCATCAAGTGCTACGATGATGTAGGCATTGCGGATAAGGTACTGAATCAGCTTTTCAAGCATTCCAACAATATGGACACAGCAGCCAGTCATGCACGTGACACAACAGTTGTCAGACTCTTTTTCGATTGCTTTCTGAAATTTTTTTTGAGGTTAGAATCAAGGGGGGAAACAATTTAATGAGAAAATTTTGATTTTCAAGGGGAAAACAACGTTATGGGAACTCTTTCGCAATATTTTACCAAAATTTTCATCAAAATTACTAAAGTGTTGATGAAAATTTCTCATTGAAATATTTCCCACCATGTTGTTGTCCCCTTGGCTCAATTTGAACCAAGAATTTCCAAAATTCTCACCTTAATTCCCTTCACAATCATATGAATAATCTTCACAATCGTAATCAGCAACGATCCCAAGCATATACTCCCCAAATGATAGCTCAACAGCTCCCCAAAAGTCCTCGAAATCGGCGATCCAAGAAAAGTTTTGTCTCGACTGAAGAACCACTTGCTGACACACCCAGCAATAATGAAATGCTGACATCCGAAGATGAATTGTGTGAACCAGATAAAAGCGATGATGTTGAACAAGTGAGCGAAGAATATTGAAGATCCGTGCTGACCGTAGTCAAGTCCAGTTTTGCTGGCGACTCCGATGAGGATTATGAAGAAGATGAAGATTGTGAATGAGATGAGAAGGGACACGAATGTCTGAAAATTATTTTTGAGGTTAAATTAAAAATTTTGAGGTTATGCTAAATTATTTGGGGTTACGTTACAATTTTTTAGGTTTTGTTACAATTTTTGAGGTTTTGTTGTCTAATTTTAAGGTTAAGTCTAGCAAATTTAAGGTTAAGTTGCCAAATTTTGAAGTTATTTCTGATTTTGAGGTTAGGTTGCAAAATTTTTATGAAACTCACCAAAATAGGTTCGAACATGATAGCTGGCACATCCATTAGTGCCATTGATGCTTCCTGAAAGATTCTAGCAACCAAAGCAACTTCCTTTCTGAAAATGATCAAAACAACAATGGAACCAAATCCAGTAATGTACAGTGGGATTCCCATTTTAAAATTCACCATGAAGAATGTGAAGAATGTTGCTAGTGCCAATGAGAATATGATGAATCCAATGTTGATGACCCAGATGACATATTTAGCAAAGTAGCGGTAAAGAAGTAAGCAAATATATGAAAATACAAAAGCTACAAAGCATGTAATTAAGATCCAGTGCCATGACTTGATAAAAGCGTCGATTCTGTCATTGATGTCTGAGATTTGCTGTCCAGGTTCAATGCATCTGTCGAGGATTTCTGTGTAATTTGAGGGACATTGATGGACACACATCTCTTTCTCATTTGATGTTTTAAGTAGTTTTGGTAGGTTTTGCATGTCTTGTGGCTGTAAATTTCACAAAAATTAGTTGATAAAATATTAAGATGCATTAAATAGGGATGTAAACTCACAGAACATCCAGGTAATCCACTTAATGAGCTTTCATCATTGAGTTCTCCACAAAAGTTGCCACAATCATCTTTAGGCAGTCGTAGTTGATTGAATTTTGCACTTTTGCCATAGTAAATTACAAATGAGAGCTGGAAATAGGAGGGTGAGTTATAAATTTTGAGGTTAGAGTCAGGTTTGGAGGTTATAATTGCTAATATTGAGATTATAATCTTGAATTTGAGGTTAATCTTCTGAAGTTTGAGGTTATGTTGTCAATTTTTAAGTAATGTATCCAAAGGTTGAGGTTAGATTGCTATTTTTCAGGTTTGGATTATTAATTTGAGGTTATGGTGCTTGCTTTGGAGCTTAAGTTGCTTAACTTATAGGTTAATTTGTCTAATTTGTAGGTTTAGATTCCAAATTTGGAGGTTAAATTGCTCAATTTGGAGATTGAGTTGTCTTATTTTGAGGTTAAGTTCCCTAATTTGGAGGTTAAGTTGCTCAATTTGGAGATTAAGTTGTCTTATTTTGAGGTTAAGTTCTCCAATGTGGAGGTTAAGTTGCCTAATTTGGAGATTAAATTGTCTTGTTTTGAGGTTAAGTTCCCTAATTTGGAGATTAAGTTCCCTAATTTGGAGGTTAAATTCCCTAATTTGGAGGTAAAGTTGCCTAATATTGAGAAAAATGTGCACAATTAAGAGGTTTAGTAGCAAACTTTCAGGTAATATTGATAATTTTGATGTCGATTTTTTAGGTTATGTTCGATTTTTTTTAAGGTTATGTTGCAAAATATTTTAGGTTATGGAAAAAACTTTATAACTGCTTCAAAAAAATCAAACAATACTTACAGTAACTCCAATAAAAAGCACAAAAATCACCAGAGCTGGAACATTCGTGCAACTTCTTGATTTGCTGCTCCGAAAGTATTGTTTTGGCGGTTCATACTGCTGAGAATACTAAATGAGAAATATAAAAAGAGAATTTCACCATCAACTGAAATACCACAACACAGTTAAACGTAAAATTTGAGTCATATTGACTTTACACATTCATAATATTCTTGAACATGTGATACAATTTTTGTTTGTTATGCCGGCTGTGTGTCAAAAATGATAATGTTTTTTTTATTTCTGAAAAATTCTATTAATAGATTTTCGATTCGCACAACTTTTTAAGAAGAAATATGTTTGCTAATTCAATTTATTGAGGCAATTTTGAGTATTTGGAGAATAATTTTCAATTTATTAATGTTCAATTTGGTGAATTTTCGGTAGTTTCCTCAACTTACCATAGTTTTTCAGGTTTATTTTGTTTTAAAATGCACAAATTTATTTAATTAAATTCAAAATAGTTTACTTCAATATTAAAGACATTCTTAATCATAACAAAATAAGTTCAACACATCAAAACTTAATAATTAGCTTTAAATATTCACTATTTTTGCTTAATAATCTCAAAATACTAGTTAAGCTATGACTACGCTGAGTACTAATGAGAGCGGTCGAACAGAAAATAAACCGAATTTTTGTTTATTTTCTTCTTAAATTCTCTCAGTTGATTTGTTTTGTGAGTAACTTAAACTCTCAAAATGATGAAAAAATAGAGAAAAATATTTTTATTTAATTTGACTTTATTATTGAATATAATTGGCATAACATTTGTTAAGATTATGGATATAAATGCTAATACTGGTAGTTCTAACTTGATTATTGAGCTTTGAATAATTTGACGTTCATAATTTTGTACTACTAGAGCTGGTATATCCTTGTCATCCTAGACAAAGGACATACTCAAGAACCCTTCCCAATGACTAGCTTAATTATTATTTTATTTGTAAATTTAATTGAATTTCGATGAATAGTTAAAGTTGCTCACACTTATTGCTGATTATAATTAATAGGAGGATAAGCACTAGAAGGATAAGGTTGTTGTTGATAGCGTTGATGCTGCTGCTTTTCAGACTGCTCAGTTTCCCAAGTATCTTGTGGGTATAGTGCATGTTGATCTGCATATGGAATGTTTTGACCAGGATAAGGTTGTTGTTGACCTTGATATTGCATCTGTTGTCCTGGGTATGGAATCGGTTGCCCTGGGTATGGCATTGGTTGCCCTGTAACATTCACAGCTTGACCAGGATACTCCATAGAAGCTCCTGGATACCCTTCTTGAGGATAAGGCTGCTGTTGATAAACTTGCTGACCTGGATACGGTGGTGGACTATAATAATTCAAATTTTGTCCTTTCTGCCCTCCAAATTGAGAATCTACTGGTGGTACTTGATGCTGTGGCAACATAGGTATGCAACTTCCATCGGCCATACCTGGTCCAACCTGAATGTCATCTTTCCTCTCAACACTCATATGCTCACCAGCAAATATCGTCATTTCTGTCATGATCTTCTTTAAACTGTCTGACATGTAGTAAGGATTCTGAGCTCCATCATTTTCCTCAACGTCAATACAGTAGCAGATGAAGATTGTGTCAACTGTCATCTCAAAGACTGTGACGAAGCAATGAGCAATAAGAAATGCGAAAATAACTCCAACTAGCAATGGGATGAACATAATCTTCCTGGTTTCATTTGTGTCCTGAAAATGTTAAGCAATTCGTTAGTTAAGAAATCATACAAACTCAGAACTAAGGTTTTAGAACTAAGGTTTTAGAACTAAAGTTTTAGAACTAAGGTTTTAGAACTAAAGTTTTAGAACTAAGGTTTTAGAACTAAAGTTTTAGTACTAAGGTTTTAGAACTAAGATTTTAGAACTAAGGTTTTAAAACTAAAGTTTTAGAACTAAGGTTTTAGAACTAAAGTTTTAGAACTAATGTTTTTGAACTAAGGTTTTAGAACTAAAGTTTTAGAACTAAGGTTTAGAACTAAGCTTTTAAAACTAAGCTTTTAGAACTAAAGTTCAAAATCATAAGAAAGTTTACATACCAAAATCTCATATCCAACAAATCCAGCAATCAAAACAATCAGCAGTCGACAAACAGCCAGAACAATGTCTCCAAAGTTATTCAATGCAATCACATCCACAATATTCCTAATCAGCAGATGATAAGCTCTTTTCCCAGACTCCATGAATCCAGTTCCTTCTTTTGCCACGATGATGTAAGCATTCCTAACTAGATATCCAAGGAGTTCTTCAAGTAAGTCTAAAAGACACTGTAAACAGCAAGCGATGAAGTATCCAACTGGATTCTTTGACTCTCTAGATTGTTGCTGTAACAAAATTCAAATTATTTCTAATTTTCTTATCACAAACAGCTTAAACCTCACCTTAGCAATTGCCATTAACGCTCTCATCACTTTCACAATCGTAATTAGCATCGATCCCAAGCAAATACTTCCCAAATGATATCTCATAAGATGCCAGAAGCTCTGCTTAATTGGAGCTTCAATCTTTGTCTTGTCTCTTGTGAAATACCATCGACTAATTGTTCCAGCAATAACAAAATGTTGACATCCAATGATGAATTGAGTGAACCAAATGAAAGTGAATAAGTTAAGGTAGAATGCAATATCATTAATTGGAGTTTCTTTGTAGATAATGACAACATGATGTTCAGCTAGTTGATATCGCTCAAACTTTTTCGAGGATCCTGCAACTATTGCTAAAGCTATGAAGATTACGAAGGATACAAGGAGGGATAGGAGAGTCTGGAAAGAGTTAAGGTTGATTTAATATTCAAAGAATTTAAGCTTGTTTATTGATTAAAATTTGGTCATCTTGGGTCAAAATTTTGTCATCTAGGGTTAAAAAATCGGTCATCTTGGGTTCAAAATTCGGTCATCCTGGGTTAAAAATTCGGTCATCTAAGATTAAAATTTGATTATCTAGGGTTCAAATTCAGTCATCTTGGTTCAAGTTCGGTCATCTAGGGTCAAAGTTCTGTTATCTTGGATCAAATCTTTTCATCTTGGTTCAAGTTCTGTCATCTCAGGTCAAAAGAACTCACCAATATTGGCTCAAACATGACAGCTGGTACGTCCATCAAAGCTTTCGAAGCTTCCTTAAACAATTTCGCAACCAATTGAATTCTTTTACGGAACCAAAAGAGAAGAAGCATCAACACAATTGCCAGAATAGCCATAACAGCAGCACCAAATACATTCTTGACATACAGGAACATTAAAGCCAAAAATACTACAAAAACCACACAAGCAATGTTGATGATCCAAATGACATAAATTGCTGCATATCTAAAGAGAACCAGGCAGACGTACGAGAAGCAGAAAGCCACGAAGCAAATCACAGCAATTGAATGCCAAGTTTTCAGGAATATTTTCAGAGTTCCATCGGCGAGGCTTCCAGCATTGTCATCAAAATGGTTTCTTTCAAATGGTCTAACACAACGATTTAAGTCCTCAACGTGTCCATCTAAACATTTATCAACACATTCTCGTCTTGTTGCATTTGGGTATTGAAAAGTTTGGAGCTTTGGGAAATTGCGAAGATCTCGAAGCTGCAAAGAAGGTTTAAAGAGGTTAAGGGAACAAAAAGTAAGGCAATTGTGTACTTACACCACAGGTTTCATACGGATTGTCAGTATTTTTTTCACCACAGAAGTTGCCACAATCATTATGAACTCGAGTCACGCGAGATAAGTTGCCGGTGATGGCACAGAAACCGACGAGGAGGAGCTGAAATTAAAATTGTTTTTGAATATTTTTTAAGGATTTTTTTTAAGTAATGGGTTAGAACAGTGATGGTCAACCCATGTGCCGCAGCAACACCCAACGAAACATAAGGCACTTGCCTACTATGACTCATCTTGCGGTGCCACTGAGGGTTCACCAACAACTCTCAATTCTAGAATCTTCAACTCTAATAAAGAATGAAGCTTAAGTTTGTTGATTTTCAATTAATAATCTCATTACAGAGCTTAAAGTCGAAGCGTGTTGACTTGAAAAAAATTGGCTCGACTCAAGTTGATTTGAGTCGTCTTGGAAGAAATGAAGGCGACTCGAGAAAAGTCGAGCTGACTAGGTTTTGAGTCATCTAGAGATGATTTGAAGGCTATCGACTTCGAGCTGTGATTATTCTTATCCTGTCCCCATCCTCATGTTTTACTCAATCATGAGAATTTACTTACCGTAGCTGATACAAGGATGATGCAGAATACCAACGAATAAACATTCGTACATTTCCGTTCTGTTTCAATTCCGCTCTTTATGCAAATTTCACCATAATCGTAAATTTTTGTAATGAAAATTTATTAAATTTAATTTTATTGTTTAAAAATTTAAAAAATTCTAATTTCATCTTCTAAAATGCAATTTGTGACAATTCCTACCATTATTGATTTTCAAGGACTCACTGGCGCCACAAATCCTGTCAACTATTTTTCGCAGATTTTTTTTACACAAATATTTAAAGATTTTTCATATTTTTTTCCTCAAACTTTTAAATAAATTTTCAATTTGAAAGCACAAAAAAATTAATTTTTTCACTATTTTTTTAACTTAACACCAAAAATTGCGTGTCCTTAAATGTTAAGGCATTGAGAGCTTTTGAGGAATTTTCATCACCAACACATGCTCAGTTCTTGTCTTTTGATTGTGTGGATGATTCTCATCCTCGATTATTTGATGCAAGAGAATCTAAGAGAGTAAAATGTTCAAGAGCATCTCAAACTAGTTTTGGAAGCGATTTACTAGTTTGTAGTGAGGAAAATGTGTCATTAGTCGTCCCCAGGAATTTGAAGAGTGGCGCACGGGGGGGGGGGGGGGATATTTCGAGTTTTCGATAAAACTCCAGCAAAATGAAGAACTTTCTCAAGACGAAGGGGAATTTGCTCCATAAATCCCCTCTGACTACGCACCTGGTCGTCTCTAATGCTACTAGACGTAAGATAAAGTGTCATGTGTCATTAGTCGTCCCTAATGTTTCTGGACGTAGGAACATTCCTAATAAAGTGTCATTAGTCGTTCCCAATGGTACTAGAAGTAGAGACGACTAATGACAATTTTTTGGGAATGTTTCTAAGTCAAGAAATTTACATCATGCAAAGCAGGGGCGTAGCAAGGAGTTTGAAGAGGGGGGGGTCGAATTTTTTTTTTGTATGGACAGCTTTTAGCGGGGGGGAGGATTTTTTCGAGTTTTTCATAAAAACTCTAACAAAATGAAGAAATTTCTCAAGACGAAGCGGAATTTGTCCCATGAATCCCCCCCCCCCCCCCCACCCCCTGGCTACGCGCCTGGTCGTCCCTAATGTTACTAGACGTAGAGACAACTAATGATAATTTTTTTGGGAATGTTCCTAAGTCAAGTAATTTACCAGACATCATGCAAAGCAGGGGCGTAGCCAGGAATTTGAAGAGGGGGGGGGGATTTTTTGTATGGAAAACGTTTGGGGGGGGGGGATTTTTCCGAGTTTTTTTTATAAAAACTCTAGCAAAGCAAAATGAAGAACTTTCTCAAGACGGAGGAGGATTTGTCCCCCCCCTCCCCCCCTGCTACGGGTCAATAGATTGTCAAGTTTGGCACCATTTCTGAAGGTTTTTGTTGGAACTTAGCCGCGTGACGTGAACCGTAGTTCTAGAAACACTGGATAAGATCAAAATCAAATGCAAAAGTTGGAAAAAAATAAAAATCAAGTTGATTAACAGCAAAAAAAATATTTTTTTATTTATTTTCAATATTTTTGATTTTAATATTTTAACAAGCCTTATTCAGCCAACAGCTGTTCATGAACAACAATTTTATATTCTTTAAATAAGTTGGTTACCCATTCAATCTTGTCATTGCCAATTTTCTTGTCAGCAGCTCTTTCCAAAATATTTTTTCCTTTCTTGTTCTTAACTTTTAAGTACTTGACTTGCTCATTGTAGCTGAAAATCTTCTTAATTTGATTCCATGTTGATTCAGCAACTTCAAATCATTCAACAAAAATGTTAACAATAAGAGATTTTCACCAAATGGACAGTCATCCTCAATAATCCTTATAATTTCAGATGTCTCAAAATATTTCCGAGCCACAAGCCAAACAGTATCAAGAAGTTTAGGATCTTTGTTCTTCATCGACAGACCTTGCAGCAGACAAACTTGATTATTGTCCAAATGACTCAGCATTTTCTTAATATCTTCATTTGATGCAATTTTTTCCAATTCGTTAATAAAAAATTCAAAAATTTCACTCGAATTTGACTCGGCACAAAGTCGAAGGATGTTCCGGCCAGCAGCATCAACATCCATCAGAATTGTTAAAAATTCTTGATCAGTTTTGCACGATTCTCGAATTATTTTCCATAAAATTTGGTGAATTTCGATAGAATTTGAATTAATGGCGGCAGTTTGAAGGACATTTGATGTTTTAGGTCCTTTGGAACTTATTATTGCTGTATATTGAGCTTCTGTGAAGGTTTCCTTGAGCATTTTAAAATTGAACTCGACAGCGATTGCATTTAATTTATTGGAAATAAAATTATGGATAAAATTAAAATGATCGTTTTGATCTATTTTGAGAATCATGTCCATTAGTTCCTCACGATTAGTAAAAGTTTTCAGCAATAAGTCCCACAACTCTTTATGAAATTTAATGTCATTGTTGATAGCTGCATAGTGCAATAAAGAACATTCTTTAATATCCTCAACTTTTATCAGTTCCTTAAACTGTTCTAATGAGCCGTTGGTTGAGTAAAAATTCTCAATTTCCCGCCAAAATTTAGCAAATAATCCCTGTCGACTAAGGACATAAAGCATCAATATGCTGTGCTTATATTCATTGCAATTCCTTAAAATTATACAAATCTCATCAAAATTAAAATAATTCTTATAAATTTTCAACATTCCCAGCACTGCTGAGACATCAAACTTTGGGGATATTGACAAGTGATGTAACATGTTTCCCCTGCCATAGCTAAATGTGCCGTGCATGGCCAATTCATTTCGAATCATCGTTCGACTCATTTTTGACTCGCATTTTTTTAGAAAACTTTCAAAAACCTCAAAACTAAGATTGGATAAAATAATGCAATGAAGTGTGCCTTTTTTATGGATTAAGTCAGCTACATCATCGGCCGTTAAGGTATCAAAAACATAATCTTGAAAATTTGTAAAGGATTTAGCGTCGGAGGATGTTACAGCAATTGCTAGTGACGATTCGTAAAGAATTTCCTTTTTTCTGTCATAATTTTCACAATTGATGGCTTTAATGATGAAATTTTGAAAATTCTCAAAATTCTGAATAAAAGTTTCGATGAAAAAATTAACAAATTTAAAGTTTGAATTGTCGTCAAAAATATCGACAATATTCTTCATATTTGGTTGAATTTTCATCAATATTGACATGTCAATCATGTCATTCAAGAATCTCCTGATGATCACATGCTGCTGATTTGTTAAAATTTTAATAAAAATTTCAATAATTGTCTCATCAATTTTCGGTCTTTTTAAGCCATTCGCGACTAAATCAGCCACAAAAAATTCTCCGTAAGTCGCATGGACGAAATAAAATTTATCACCAAACTTTGTCATCAAGCCGAACGCGATGATTTCTTCAACAGGCCATTCTGATGCATTACATCCGGGAAACAAGAGCTCCAAGAATTTAGGAAATATCAAAGCAATTGCAAAATATTGATGCAACCTCCAAAAACTCATGCTGAACTTTTGACTTTGAATGTTTGCAGCTTTTCTGATCGGACCTTTCTCAAAAGTCGACTTTTCGTATTGTCTCTGCATGAATTTATCAAAGATTATCGAAAGTTTAAAGTCAACTGCATCGTTATCTTTTTTACAGCATTCAGCAACTACAGTCAACATGTGTGGCATCCCAATTGGACTCAACCAATCAGTAAATAATTTTTCAACAATCTTTTGAGCTTTTTGGAGATAACCTTCATATTTATCGTTTGGTTCTGTCACATATTTGTGAAATTCATCAAATGACTCAAACTTCATTTCCATCAGCAGCCAACTTTCAGCTATCAATTGAAATGCATCATTGAAAGACAAAGCAGAAAGACCATAAACAGCATCAGTATTGAGCTTCTGTTGCAAGTCAATCTCAAAATAGTCACGCGTTGCAATCCATAGCTGATTCCCGCCATTTTGTTGGAAGTTTTGAGCTAATTTTGACACAAATTCAGCACAGTCAGGAGCAATTTCATCGAATCCATCAAAAAGAATCAAAACTCGGCCGTCTTTGTACATTTTTTGGAAGATTTTAGCTTCAAATTGCTGCTTCGATTTTAAAATGTGCTCAGCAATAAACATTGAAAATTCAGGCTCACCGTTTTGTGACTTAAACGCGTCAATGAACTGCTTCAGGTCCACATAAGTCACCCATTTGATTGACTCATCCTGTCTGAAAACGTCCTCAAAATTCTTCATGATACAACTTTTGCCATTTCCTGCAATGTCCGAAATGAGAACGACTGTCTTGTCATTGACATCAAACAGCAGTTGCTCTTGTGATAGATTTGGAATCGCCATCATTTGTCCATCTGTGCTGAGAGCTAATCCATACTTAAGTTCCTGTGTTCCTTGAATCTTTATCTCCTTTTGTGTCTTTTTTATGAAATCCCTTTCGATGAAGAGGTCGGCAATGCTCATATTTTGTTCCTTAATGTTCTCTGGTTGCACGTCGATGCATACATCCGAGCCATCAGCTAATAAATTTAACAGCTCATCGTCGATAATTTCGGGAAAATCTTGTAAAACTTGAGCTTTTGCTGTTTTGTATAATTCACTGGATTTTGGTTCCTTAAAGCACGTTTCAGACATCAAGAGCTCTAGCAAGGACACGCCAGTCCAATTTTGAAAGTCTACTTCATGGTCTAGTAGCAATTCTTGGCTGTCTATTGTCAAGTCGCTCCAATTGTAATTAATTTCGATTTTTGTTGGAAGTGCTTCAGGTTTATTGATGATTTTCATTAGTTCGCCATGCTGGACGTCAGTTGACACAACAAAAACAGTCTTTGAGCCTTTAAGATTGTTAATATTTCCTGGAATTTCTAATGAACAATCGACAATAATAGTCAATTTAAGGTCTTCCTGTAGCAATTTTGTAAAATCTTCGAGAATTTCCTTATTTTCCAGCACTTCTGGATTAACAAAGATGTTTTCAGTGTCAAATAAGTCACCAGTTGTATCTTGCAGGTGGTTATGGATGTCATTGAACAGAAGCATTGGCACATTGGTAGTTACGATTGTCAATTGACTGTCAAACAACATTTTGATGTCTTTTGGTTCTTTAAAGTTGTAAAGTTCATCTTGTATGTCCTCTAAAAGCTCAAGAATTCGATTCATTTTCCTGACAACCTCCCGACCCTTAATTTTGAATGCTGCTAGGTCCGGAATGACTTGTTGTTCCCAGAAATCGAAGAGAATCTTATACTTGTCTTGGAGCTGCTTTGATTTAGCTTCATTATTGTCATATTGGACCAAAATATGCACAACTCTTACAATTAATTCAAGATGAAATAATTCAGGTTTATAAAGTGTAAAAACTGTTGATATGATTCCATTACATTCATCATCTAGGCTATCAGCTTCATTGGATGTCCATTTATTGATTACTTTGACAATTTCCTCAAAGCGCTCCTTAACATCCTCTCTGTTCTTAAAGTATGGATTCTCATGATTCTCGTAAACCAATCGCATGACATAATGACATAATTCATGAGCCAAAACTCCTTTGATTTCCTGGTCCTTTTCCTCATCATCTGACATTTTAGCACCCATAAAGATCCACTTCCTAGTCGGATATGTTGAACCAGCTGCTTTCGATCCTGCTAAGCTCACATTTTCAACCTGAAATCAATCAAACTTTAATAAATATTTCAAAAATTAAGTCAAAACTTACCGTGTCACTTTCAAAATCAAAAATCATCTTTAATTCGCCACAAGTAGCTGCAACGTTAATCAAATCTGGTGCAATTTTGTGGATGTCTTCGAGCCATTTTATGATTTTTTCACGATATTTGTCACTTTGTGGCTTTTTAGTCCGACTGTTGTGAGTCGATGATCTCATAGATAACAACATAACTGGTTGTGGTGCGACAAATTGTGACTTGCTAACATTCAGCTTTCGTTGATTTGCTGCAAATTCAATGGCATGTCGCTTCTCTTCTTTGCTGAGTTTATTTAAAATGTCATCGCACTTTTCTCCTTTAAGGTCGAGTGACTTTAGATAGTAAAAGACTCTAAATTGCTTTAAATTAACTGCTTCGGTTAGTGCTGAACTATTGGAAGGACTGTAAATGAATTTAAGGTTAGGATTGTTGATTAGGAACTCGTCAAGTTTTTCAAAATCTTCAGACATCATGGCAGCTTTGAAAGCAGTTCTCTCTGCCATAATTAAGCTTAATCGAGCATGTTCAACAGAATCAAACTTAAATTCTTTAGGATATGGATAGTCAGCAATGTTTAGCAAGTCACAGAGGACATCAAGTTGATTTGATTCAAGTGCAGCTGTAGAAATCTTTACTTGTTGCTCAAATGGAAGTTCTTGGATCAAACGAGTCCAATAAGTCAACAGATATTCAATAACTTCCACATTCTCATTTTCTACAGCTCTAAGGAACACCGAATAGTCATTTTGTGGATCGTCGTCATCTCCAAAAACATCAGCGATGTACTTTTGTGCTCTGTCGTTAAGAATCCTTCCATCGCTAATAAATAATGCATCCAAAGCTGCTATAAATTCGGACTTTGATCCATTTGTTGCCACGTCCAAAGCTAAACTTCCAAAAAATCCAGCACTAAGTTTCAAAGTTCGCAAGAATCTCAATATTAATGAACGATTTTTAAATTGTTGAACTGCGTCAAGAACTTCAATCTCAGAGTCATAAAAGTTGGACGTGACAAAAGACAATAAAAATGATGGAAATGAGTCTAATTCATTAGATTCTAGGTGCTGTGGTTCGATAACATTAAATTGGAATGAATTTTCATTTTTGTAGTAAATTTTTGATGCATTTCCATCGATTGATGTCAGTTGGAAAATTATCGGACGAGTATGTCCAAATTTGAACAGCAATGCTTGTAGATTTGTTAAATTTATGGAAAAATCTTGCTGCTGTTTTGCAGTAAATTCAAAGTTTATTGCCTGTATGATGAATATGAAGAGATTTGGGTGCTCTTGGGGCTTCAAACCATCAATTGTAGCTGAAACTTCAGCAAAATTCCATTCGGAAGGGAAATGAAGAACTTTACAGGAATTTTTGATTTCGTTGCTGGCATTTTTGTTGTTTTTTGATAATTTTAGGATGAATTGTTCGTCAATTTTGAAGTTATGAAGAAAGTTGCCCAATAAATTGTAAGATTTATTATCAGAAGATAGCTCCTTGACTACTTCTTGACTAATATTTGGGTCATCTAAAGTGAAAGGCCGCTGAATTGCTATTAAATTGTCATTACTGATGGATTGAGCTGATGTTTCATCTTGCATGATGTTTTGACTGATTTTCTAAATTGTGTGAATAATTAAAATAAATTTTAGAAACATAAAGGCTCGCTTCTGTGTAAGTTTCAAAAAGAGTTGGCACTTCGGTGGTTGCAATCAGCAAAAGCCCACCGATTCCTCACTACAATCAGCAGTCAGCGACCAACGGATTGCTAATCGCAACGGCTAAACTTTAAAAAAGCAAAATCAAACCAAATTGCACTCAAAAAGATAAAACAAACAATCAAAAGATGTGCGAATACATTTGCAATAATTTTGACTGTGTTGAAATTTTTGTTTTATTTTTAGCTTCCTGACTAATTGTTTTTATTTTCATGATTCATGCTGAATTAATCTTTACTTACTTTTAAATCCAAAAGATCACTTTCCGCTCTTATAAAACTACCAATTAAATCTTAAACTTCAAAGAACAAACTTAAATTTAAGTTCAAAACCTATAAAAATTAAATTAAAAATTCCGATCGCTTTTTAAAGCAAAGCGGAGAATGAAACGATATGAAGAACTGAGTGTTGACTTTGTCGCTCTCTCAAAAAATAGATTTGGCACTCACGCACACATCTGTGGCTTTTTTTAAAACAATTTTTTTTAATAAACACAAAGTTGATCGTGGAGCTGACAAACTGTGCTCCATGGCTCTTATTCTTAGGATGGAGTAAATCCAATGAGTTGAGCTCGATAAAGCGACTAAGATTTCAAAATTATTATTGATGTTCATTAATCAGAACTTCCTGTAATGCAGAAGAAGCAAACTTCTAGATGACAAAACCACAGAAAAAAACCCGAGCGAGACTCGAACCCACGTCCAACGATTTCCAGTCGCATACTCCTACCACTGATCTATCGGAGGTTGGACGACTATATGGCTAAATCCCATATATAAGTTATGCTCTCCATACTGTTCCCTTGCACTGCATGATTTATCATTGACTGGAATCGCATATTCCAAAAAATCTTAATTCTTATTTTGCCAATGTCAAAAGTTCAATAGCATCGATGTTTTTCCCAAATTAGCTACTACTTCGTCTGATTCAGCTATTCTCAAATTTTAATTTTTGCACTCTCCTTGAACTTAAACATCGATGCTCAGTCCGCAACTTATCAAATTGTCTCATTTTGTATGATTCATTCTGTGATCGACTGTTGACTTGAGTGGACTTAAGTTTGCATCTCAGCTGGACTTTCTTATCAAAATATTGCTTAATTAACTCAGAAAAGTGCTTAAAATTGTGAAAAATAATTTCAAATTAATCTAAAGTTCAAAATTAGTGGAATTCAGCATCAAAAATGGCTAAAATTGCTCTGTAAGTATGAAAAATAAAAGAAATTGTGGATTTTCCGAAGTTCATTGGAATTAATTAAGATTGTGATTCTCAGTAAATTTATAATCAGCAGCTTGATTTGTCTTTTATGGACGTTAGCTGAGATTTTTTTGTTCCTTTAAAATTTTATCTTGCTATTTTCAGGTTGCTGTTTTTTACTGTCGGAGTTTATTTGGAATTGTCAGCATCGACAAGCATTGAATGTAGCTACAAGACTCATGATTGGAGCATCGTTAAAAATGCATATTTTTGCACAATCAATAATAATCCAAGCATAACAACTCGAGAATCAGCGACAATAACTTCAATTTCTGGACCTCATGAAAGTGGAAAGACAAATTCTGATGTTGGTGGCTTTTATGTTTATTCTAAAACTATAAATTATTTCCCGCGTGGTTTAGAAACTTTCTTTAAGAATATTAAAATTATTGATATTTCTCATTGTAATTTAATGGAAGTTCATCAAGAAGATTTGAAGCTATTTCCTAAATTAGTTGAGATTTATTTGCATTATAATCCCCTGGAAGTTCTCGAAGAGGGTCTTTTTGATTTTAATCCTGATTTAGAATTCATTTATATTTGGAACAACAAAATTGTCCACATTGAACCGAATGTCTTTGATCATTTAAGTAAATTAAGATATCTTTACTTACAAGAAAAAAATTGCATTGACGCAATAGCTGAAAATTCAATATCAGAAGTCAAAAATGTCATTCAAGCTGTAAAATCTCAATGTAATAAAAACACAATGACAACATCCACAACACAACCTCCAACAACTTCAACACAATCTCCAACAACAACTTCAACAACACCAAAAAGCATCAATTTCGAGTCATGCTTAGAACTGGAATCAAAAATCGACAACATTGCATCAAGTTTAAAGGATTTAATTGGCCAGACACCGAATGCAGCATTCAGCAACAACAACAACCAATGCGACGCCTTTACTGACGCTTTGAGGAACCAAAGTGAAGCCATTGGAAGAATTGACAGCAGAACTGAAGCATTTACTGAAGCTATGGACACAAAACTGGAAATTCTCAAAGAAAATGTTGAAAATACAAGAACTTTGTCACTCAGGCAGATGCAAAACTTTAGAGACGAGGTCAAAACTGATCATGCTGGACTTTTAGCTGCAATCAGATTGAGGACGGACAAGATTGAGAAGCAGATTAAGGAAATTAAGGAACAAAATCAGAAAATTGAGGACAAACTTGCAAAAATTATGAAAAGTCTTAAAATTGATAATTAGAATGAAATTCAAAGACATTGGCAAGGCACAGATCATAGACAAAAACAACGGACTAAATATTAAAATAATTAAATATTAAAATATTAAATAAAAGAATTTCAAATTTTGTAAATCAACAACTTTTATTAATAATTTTTCTAACATTTAACTTTGAATTTAAAATATTTCAAATAAAAAAATTTCAATTAATTGACAAAAACTACTTTATTGACTATTTTTAACAACATTAGAGCTTAATTCGGTCTTGTGAACTTTGACAGCATCGGAATGTTACTTCCATCTGCCAATCCTCCATCTACCTTCTCACCAAATGCCAAACTTCCACCCATTTCATCATTAATTTCAACCATAATTCTTTTCAGACTGTCTGCCATGAAGTAAGGATTAGCAGCTCCATCATTTTCCTCACAATCGATACAGAAACAGACGAGAATTGCCTCAATTGTCATTTCATAAAATGTCATGAAGCTGTGAGCGATAAAGAAGGCAAACGTTGCACCGATGGTTAATGGGATTGTTTGGCATGCACCTGGGGAGCTCTGGAAGATTTAAGAGACTTTTTAGGGTTACATTGATAAGTACAGGGAATGAATAATGTGGTTAAGGGTCAACTTCTGCCACATCAAAGGTTTAGTTTGTCCAAACAAACCCGCACCTGCACTATTCCTACCTCTAACCTTAAAAATACTTAAATAGTATACACGGATACTAAAATAGTATACATGGATACTAAAATAGTAGACATAGATACTAAAATAGGAAACTAGCATATAAATTAGGTATTAGGAACTTAGCCTCTTTCCTAGATTGTTCAAAACAATTCAACTTACCAGCACCAAAATCTCATATCCAAAAGTCCCTGCTGCCAAAACAATCAAAACTCTGCAAACAAGGAACACTAGCTCACCAAAGTCAATCAAAATCATCAATTTTCTGAGATTTCTGAGTTGCAGCAGGTAAGCTCGCTTCCCAGCTTGAAAAAATGGAGTCGCGTTCTTGGCAGTTATTATGAAAGCAGTCCTGGATGGATAGTGTAGGAACTCATCCAGCAATGCTAGCGGACGTAAAATATTGCAGGATGTTGATGGCTTTTTGTTGGATTTCTGGAGGAATTGGAATTAAATTTTGAGGTTAGGTGACAAATTTTGAGGTTAGGTGACAAATTTTGAGGTTAAGTTATGTTCAACTCACCCTAAACGGTCGAAATCCGACTCTCAAAACCTTCATAATCGCAATTAACAGAGAACCTAAACAGACACTTCCTAAATGTCCCCTTTTTAGATCCTTAAATGATGACTTAATAGGCCTCTCCAACTTCTCCTTATCGCGTATAAAGAACCATTTACAGATTATCGCAGCGACCACAAAATGTTGACAGCTGAGGATAAACTGAGTAAACCAAATGAAAGTGATGATGTTGAATGTCTGAGCGACCACAGCTATCGGAAGCTCCTCGAAATAAATGCTTATTGTCCCGTTATCATTCAAAGTTCGATGAACATCAGCTGAATTGTGAATAATTGCAGCGAATGTAATAAAGATTTTGAAGGCAGCAATGAAGGTTGTGAAGGTCTGCAATGGGTTGTAAGAGTCAATTCTGCTTGCTTTCAAAGAAAAGGTCTCACCAGAAGAGGTCCAAAAATGACAGCCGGGATGTCAACCATAATTTTTGAAGACTCCTTAAAAATCTTTGCAACCAATCCAATTTTTGTCCTTAACCAAGCCAAAATGCCACCCAAAATAATCCCAATTGTCATCAAAATCACAGCAGCTTGTGAGTTCCACATAAGCACTGAAATTCCCGCCAAAATAAAAACAAACAAAATAACCGCAACACAAATAATCCAAATTAAATATTTCGCGATGAATCTGAAGAAAATCAGCAAGACGTAAGAAAAAAAGACAGCAAAAAGGCACACAGTTGCTATTGCATCTCTGTAGGTCGTCACATTTTCCAAAAATATTCCTACATTTCTACTAAATTCTGTTTTCAATTGCACATCAAATAATTTTGTATCTTGTGCTTCTTCATCATCATCTGTCTTGTTTGTTTCTCTACATTTATTGAGGACAATTGAGAAATTTTTGGGGCAATTATCGACACATTTTCTGATTGGCTTTATTGTCAATGTTTCAATGTCATAGAGTTCGTATTCTATGTGGAGATAAGGATAATGTCTGAGATCTTTTGGCTGAAAATGGGAGATTTATGAGTATCTTTGAGGTTTACTAAAATAGTACGCAGGTATACTAAAAAAGTATATATTTTTACTAAAATAGTATATCAGACTACTAAAATAGTACATCAGTTTACTAAAATAGTATATCAGTTTACTAAAATAGTATATCAGTTTACTTAAATAGTATATCAGTCTACTAAAATAGTATATCTCAATTTTATTCCTCACCCCACAGTCGTAAAGATTATCATCATTAAGTTGACCACAAAAATTCTTACAATCATCAAGGACCTTATCAAATCTTCCAAGATTCCCGAAAATAATGCAATATCCAACAAGAATGAGCTATAAAGGAAAATATTTCAGTAAACTTAGCCTCATTTGAACCTCAAAACAAGCCAATTAACTCACCGAAACTAAAACAAGGAGCATACAAAGCAATAAAAACGGCAAGTTCGTGCAATCCCGCACCTTAACTGGATATCTGCTCGCATATTCCTAAAAAAAGAAAATAAATCACAAAAAATTGTCTTTAAAAATTGTAACATTTTGCATACATTTTCCCCATTCTTCACATAACTTAGCATTATTGATTATTTCCAGAGACAAATTGGCGCCGAAAATCCTGTCACTTGATTCTTTCCAATTCTTTTTTCACTTTTTACTGAAAATGCAAAATAAAAAAATTTAACACAAAATTCAAATTTTATTCAAATTATCCACGTGTATTGACTTTACCTCAAGTCTGTCTCAAAGGACTACAGCACTCGATGACTTCATTATTGACACTAACACACAAAATATTCCTTTTTAGTCCTTTCGTATTGTCTCTATCGTGCGGCATTTCAATCGCCAAATAACACGAAATGTTCTGTTTGCCAAAAAAAAAAACTAAAGAAAAAGTCGGAAAGAAGAAGAAATATCAACAATGATTCGGTTTTTATTCGATTTTTCTTATTTAGTTTTTCATTTCTTTTCTGTTTCTGTTTTGAAGATAGCGTGCAACCCAACTTATCATGCTGGCCTCACCCCTCTCGTGACTTTTTGAATAGATTATTATTATCTCTATTGTGTCACTTTTAAAGGACTCAAATGGATAAATAAGTTTGTTGTTTTCTTTTATATGCGGTTTTGGACGTGCTTTTCTATCAGGGGTGTTGGATGTCTTATGAAAATTTGGAATTTTGAGGTTAGAATGCAAACTTAATTAAATTTTTGAGGTTAGAATGCAAACTTAGTCAAAATTTTGAGGTTAGAATGCATACTTAGTCAAAGTTTCGAGATTATAATGCAAACTTAGTTAAATTTTTGAGGTTAGAATGCAAACTTAGTCAAAAATTTGAGGTTGGAATGCAAACTTAGTCAAAATTTTGAGATTAGAATGCAAACTTAGTCAAAAATTTGAGGTTATAATGCAAACTTAGTCAAAGTTTCGAGGTTATAATGCAAACTTAGTCAAAGTTTCGAGGTTATAATGCAAACTTAGTCAAAATTTTGAGGTTAGAATGCAAACGTAGTCAAAATTTTGAGGTTATGATGCAAACTTAGTCAAAAGTTTGAGGTTATAATGCAAACTTAGTCAAAATTTCGAGTTTATAATGCAAACTTAGTCAAACTTTCGAGGTTATAATGCAAACTTAGTCAAAATTTTGAAGTTGTAATGCAAACTTAGTTAAATTTTTGAGGTTAGAATGCAATCTTAGTCAAAATTATTTTAAAATGCAAACTTAGTCAAAATTTTGAGGTTAGAATGCAAACCTAGTTAAAATTTTGAGGTTAGAAACCAAGAAAATCAAGATTTTGAGGTTAGGGAACATATTTATTTAAAACATTTTTATAAAACTAGCAAAAGATCTACAAATATTTGATTAGATATCAATCAAGGCAATGATGGTGCTAAGTTTACAAAACAATATTTATTAATACTTTAGTTAAAACATTCAACTCTTTTGAGGATATGTCGTGGGTTGATATGGATTTGCAGGATATCCTTGAGGAGGCATCAATGGTTGTTGTGGGTAAGGGGGCTGTTGAGAATAAGGCTGCTGAGGAAAGGAAGGGTATTGCTGTGGAGGATATTGTGGTGGACCTTTTGGATCATCATATCCAATATTTGGATACATTGGTTGTTGTGGTGGCATCATTGGAATTCCACTTCCATCAGCAGCACCACCTTCAAATCCTGGAATTGGTTTCGGTCCAAATACCAAAACATTGCCTGAATAATCCTTCATATCCATAATAACTCTTTTAAGGCTCTCTGACATGTAGAATGGCTTTGTGTCTCCATCGTTCTCCTCAATGTCAATGCAGAATGAGACAAAAATTGTATCAACTGTCATTTCAAAGACCATGACGAAGCAGTGAGCAATAAGGAAGGCTAGGATGCATCCAAGGATCAACGGAAGTGCGATGTAATCCGAATTGGGCATGTTCTGCAGGAGAAGGAATAATTTATCATGTATAAAGTGTTCCTTTTCTAGTTTTAGCTATAATTACCTCACTAAGCACAGTATATCCAACACATCCAGCGATTAAAACAATCAATAATCTGCAAACAAACAGCACAAGATCCCCAAAGTGATTCAATGCAATGACGTCATTGATATTGTCCATGAGCAGTCTGCATGACCGTTTTCCAGAATCAATTAATGGTGTTCCTTCTTTAGCAATTATAATGTATGCATTACGAACGAGATATGCCAAGAATTGTTCAAGTAGATCAATAAGGCACATGAAGCATACAGCAATCAACGCAACCACTGCGTTTTTGTTATTGTTTGCTGTGTTCTGGAATTTTGTGAATGATTTTAAATGAGAGTTGGGCAGGGTTTAATCAAGGACTTGAATATCAAGAGCATAAGCTAAAGGTAACGAACCCTAGCCATAGTCAAGCCATTCATGAGCAAACCTAAATCTTACCTTAATATAATTGGTCAAATACCTAGCAAGCTTCACTAGTGTAATCAAAATGGCACCAAGACAGACACTTCCAAGATGGAACTTGAATAAATGTGAAAATGACTTCCTGATTGGTTTACGGAGCTTCGTCTTGTCTCTGGTGAAGTACCACCTGACAATAGTTCCGGCAATGATAAAGTTCTGACATCCGATGATGAATTGAGTGATGAAGATGAAGGAGACGAAGTTGAAGAAATGAGCTGGGGTCTGCATGGGGTCGTCATCACCAGCAAATGAAATTATTACAAAAAATGTTGCGAAGATCAAGAAGGAGATGATTAGCGCGATGAATGTCTAAAATGGAGAGAATTTTTAAAAATTTGTTATGTTTTTTTTAAATTTTTTCTGAATTAGCGCGATTTTTGCAGACAAAATGGAGGAAATTTATAAAATGAGCGCGTTTTTTGCTGACTTAACAAATATTATTCTGAGTAAACAGAATAAATACCAAACATTAGCCCATTTTTCTCTAGCAAAATGGAGAAAATAGAGCGCGTTTTACTCCAACTAAAATGGAGGAAATTTCAAAAATTTGCTAATTTTCTACTAAAATACTCACCAAAATAGGTTCAAACATGAGAGCAGTCACATCAATCAAAGCTTTTGAAGCTTCCTTAAACAGTTTAGCAACCAAAGCAATTCTCTTTCTGAAGTAGACCAAGAAAAATATCATAAGAGCTGCAATTATTCCAAATATGACAACACCTTCAATACTTCCAGCTAATGCAGCTAACAGGACAATTAAGAGCACCAAGACTACAAATCCAATATTAATGACCCAAATGACATATTTTGCAGCATAACGGAAGAGAATAAGGAACACATACGAAAAGATGAAAGCAACAAAGCAGATTGCGAGGACATAGTACCAAGTATTCTGAAGGGTTTGTAACATTTCCTGCGCATTTATACTGATTGAAATAAAACATCTGTTGGAGATTTCCTCATAACTTTCTGGACATACTGACACACATTGATTAAGCTCTTCGTAGCTTTTTGTGTAGTTTTTGTCTTTTAAGTAATTGTCATCTTCATCGAATGTGTTCATAAGTAGCTTCGTTTCACCCCGTTTGTCATTGTCGCCGCATATTGAGTAATTAGAAGTTGGATTGTTTTCACCGCAAATATTTCCACAGCCATCTTTAAGTACTTTTGGATCGGTGGAGTTGCCAATATCATAATCTTTGATTGATTTAGTTCGAAGTAATGCAGCTACTCCGCAGTATGTTACTAAAATGAGCTGGATAGGTGTAAAAAATATTTTATTGATTTTTTGAATATATTTTTTTTGAATTTTTTAACATTTTGTTTTTTTTTGATTTTTTTGTTTTTGTTTTTGTTTTTGAATTTTTGATTTTCTTAAAAACGTTTGATTTTTTTTTAATTTTCTAAGTTTCTTTAAAACTTTTTAAGTTTCTTTAAAACTTTTGAATTTCTTTATAATTTTTAAATTTTTTTATAATTTTTGAAATTTTTTCTATAGTTTTTGAATGTTTTCTTAAATTTTTTGAACTTTTTTAAACTTTTTGAATTTTTTTAAAATTTGAATTTTTATAAAGTTTTTTGTGGTTTTTTAAAATTTGAATTTTTAAAAATTTTTGTGTTTTTTTAAAATTTGAATTTTTATAAATTTTTTTTGTTTTTTAAAATTTGAACTTTTATAAAACTTTTTGTGTTTTTTTACAATTTGAATTTTTATAAAGTTTTTCTTTTTTTTATAATTTTTGATTTTTTTTTATATTTTATGAATCCTTATATAATTTTTGAACTTTTTTAAAATTTTTAAATTCTTGATTTTTTTAAAAATTGTTCTAAAACTTGAAAATTTGGATTGTTTTGAAATAAATAAAAAATAATTACTTACCGTAATACCAATAAAGACAATCGCAACGACCAAAGCAGGTACATTCGTACATCTTCTCTCAGACGATGGTTTGATTTCTGTCGACTGTTAATTAAATTTTACAAAAATTATTTTTAAATTAGCACAAAAAAAGACCTTGAATCTTCCATAATTCTGCAATCCACTTAAAAGATGTCCAAAAATTGTGTTTTTTTTTATAAACATGTGTTCGTACCCATTTAAAAATATTACACTTAACAAAGAAGAAAATAAGCCAACATTAATATTTTCTTGGTGCCGTTGTTCTTAATAAGCATATGATGCATGTTTACAGAACAAGAAATAAAAAAAAATTCAAGGTCGGCACGCACTTTTATAAGTTATTAAATAATAAAAACAATTTTTTTTTCATTCTTTCGGATTCAAATTTAATAATTTTTTTTTCAAAATTCTCCCAAAACTTACCATTTTGTGGATTAATTTTTAAATTCCAAATTCTTAAAGCAACTTGCTGCTGTGTATCTATAAGATCCAATCCAACACCCAACTTTCCAAATAATATCATAAAAAATTCACAACAAATAAAAATTTCCAGCTATAAAGTCTGCAAATGTCAAATAAAAGTCATAAATAATTACAGCATTTCGGCTTCTACGTGCCGCCGACACAAACTATAAAACAACATTAAGTCTTAAGCTCTCAACAAACACGAATGTTGAGAGCATTTTTGACAACTCGCGAGAGAATTTTCTCTCAAAATTCTTTATCTGTTGCTTTTGTTTACATTCGTATGAGTAAAGACGCACATGCCGGTCGGATCTTTACAGTTTGATGATGCTTGGGAGTGTGTGTTAGTCACGTGTATTGGTTATTTTATGTCTGACTGTAAGTTATGAGTTGTAGGACTGGCTTTTGTGATTTATGAGAATGTTTGAAATAAGATCAGTCTTATTAAAGGCTTAGTAAGGTTGTGTTGGGTTGGACTTCAGCGTGAGGAACTGGAGAGCCGACTTTTGATCATTTTTGACCAGTTCCTAATCCTTGTCTTGACCACAACTCTATAGAAACATCCAAAAATCCCTCACGTAGCCTCGAAACCAGGACCAAAAGTGCAGAACTGTTCAAAAGTCGATGAAATGTCTTTTTTACTGTTCCGTACCTAAACTAAGGCTGAATACAACAGTTAATTTATCTTATTCATTGATAAGTTCCTTTATTGATCTCTTATTCTTAAAAATCAAAATACATATGAAGTTCCTTTAAACCGGATACGGAGCAGATGGATAAACATATGGCTGCATCATAGGCTGTTGAGAATGTGGATACTGAGGTTGACTATTATTCATTTGAGAATATGGTGGTGGTGACGTCATTGGAACTGCGTTAGCTTCGTACAGTCTATTCTCAAATCCAGGATCACCTTTAGGTCCAAGAACTAAAGTTCCACCTGATTTTTCCTTCATTTCTGTAATGATGTTCTTTAAACTCTCAGACATGTAGTAAGGCTTAGTCTGTCCATCATTTTCCTCAAGATCAATGCAAAATGAGATGAAAATTGTGTCGATTGTCATCTCAAAGACCATGATGAAGCCATGAGCGATGAAAAAGGCAAAGATGCATCCAACAATCATTGGTACGATGATATGGTCTTCATATCCTGTCTGCATTAAAAGAATTAAACTTTTGTAATAAATTCATCATATTAGTTTACTTACCTCACTATATCTAGAACTTAGCAGAGTATATCCAACTAATCCAGCGATCAGCACAACCAAAAATCTACAAATCATCAACACAAGATCACCGAAATGATTCAAAGCAATGACATCCGTGACATTTTCCATAATCAGCTTATAAGCACGTTTACCAGAGTCACAGAATTCAGTTCCGTCTTTTGCAATTACGACATAAGCGTTGCGGACCAGGAATGATAAAAATTGCTCAAGCATGTCAAACAAGCACATGCAGCATGATGCAATTAGGTAAAGAATTGGATTTCTTGAGTTTCTTGCTGAGTTCTGGAATTAAAGGGAATTGACATTAGTCTTAGGAAGTCCTGAACCTTTTCATGATCAATCAACTGAAAACCATAACAAAGCGCCAAATTTACCTTAAGATACAGGATGATAGCCTTGATAATCTTGACAATTGTGATTAAAATAGCACCAAGACAGACACTTCCAAGATGGAACTTGAATAAATGTGAAAATGACTTTTTGATTGGTTTGTGGAGCTTGGTCTTGTCTCTGGTGAAGTACCACCTGACAATGGTTCCGGCAATGATGAAGTTTTGACATCCGATGATGAATTGAATGATAAAGATGAAGAAGATCAAGTTACAGATATGGGCTGGTGCTGTTAATGGTTCTTCGTCACCAGCGTATGATATTATTTGAGCAAATGATGCAAAGATCAGGAAGGAGATGAGCAATGAGATGAATGTCTAGAAATTAAGAAAAAATTAGCGCGTTTTTCTCATAAAAAATTCAATAAATTCTCACCAAAATAGGTTCAAACATGACAGCCGGTATATCAATCAATGCCTTAGATGCTTCCTTAAACAGCTTGGCAACCAGAGCAATTCTCTCGTGGAAACAACAGAAAAAGATGGCCATAACCGCCCCAAGAACCCAAAAAGTAATTGCAGCAGGAATTGCCTCATAAATAACACAAATGAAAGTCAATCCAATCAGCAGAGCAACAAATGCAATATTGATGACCCAAATGACGTATATGGCAGCATGTCTAAAGAGAATCAAGAAGACGTAGGAGAAGATGAAGGCAATGAAGCTGATGATTACAATATAGAACCAGGTAGCTTTAAGAGTAGCAAACAATTGCGTCAAACCATCCTTAACGCATAAATTATCAATATCAAGATATCCTGCTGGACATTCCTTAACGCATTCATTCAGCTTTGAGCTCATCTTTTTTTGAAGACTTTGGTAACCTTCATCATAATCATCAACAACTAAATTATTAGTACTTCCGATAAGGAGTTTTGGAAATTTTGTCTTGTCCGAGTCCTGAAAATTGATAAAATTAAGGTTTTGTGCATGAACAAATGTTAAATAAATTTCCTTACTCCGCATCTTGAGTCTTTGTTGTTATTGTCTTGACCACAAATGTTTCCGCAACTGTCCTGAAGGTCATCAAAACCAATGAGTCCAAAACGGCCAGATTTATATGCAACCACTCCGCAGTATGACACCAAAATTACCTAAAAGAAGAATTGTTTGATGATCAGGGGCTGATTACTAGAGCTACTTGGAGAATTCTACTTTTGGATTGATATTAAATGTACCACAAAGTGGAGTTTATGTTAAATAAATCGCAGACTAGGGTAGGGGGCCGATCACTTATGACGTCCAGGGGGGGGGGGGGGGGGGGGAATTCCTGGAAATCCATTGTTCTTTTTTGAAAAATGACCGTTAATTTCGGACGTCATAAGTGAACGACCCCTAGGACACTTTGGAAGTCAGCTAGCCAGACAGCCAGACAGCCATTATGGACCCATAAGCCTATTGTTTTCTAAGGAAAATGATGTTAATAATTAAATATTAAATTTAAATACTTACAGTAAAGGATATGAATACAATTGCAAAGATTAATGCTGGAATGTTTGTGCATCTCCGCTCTGAAGACGGCTTGACTTCGATCGACTATAATAATAATAATAATAATAATAATAGATTTATTCACCCTCACGGGTAGTAAAGTATCAATAATTAGTTTACATAAAACAATAAAAAAAAGACATTATTGTTATTAAAGGTCACGAGGGGGAATACAACATAATGGAAAAATTATTTGATTGTAAGTTCTAGACAAAGAATGGGGACTACTAAGGGGTTATTCATTTATTACGGAGGGTCTAGGTTTTTGTGGAAGCTCTTACAAAGGAAATAATATTTCCATATAAATTTTGTGAGGGGGGGGGGTGGAGTATTAAACGAAGATATTTTTTACGAACGTATGACCTCTAATCTATATCCCACTAAAGTTTGTGGATCATTCAATTATTACATTTTCTCAATAACTTGTTTCCCCCTCGGACTATTGTCTTAAGACGATTTGAGATTAAAAAGTTTAAACGATATGGGGCAGGCGCGTAGCCAAGAGGGTCTTGTCCCCCTCTTAAGCGTTTTAAGCCGTCCTCTCGCTGCAGTTCAAAACGTTTAAGGGGAGACAAGACCTTCCTGGCCACGCGCCTGATATGGGGGAAAGGCTTAAGATAAAGTTTTCTAATCGACATCATTTATAAACGAACTTAAAAAGTAATACATTGCAAATTGCTAAGGCATGAATACGAGCAATACTTTATGCAAAGTAGTTTCAAATGTTTATCAAATAAGCAATTTAATCTCTGTTCCTGTTTTGTAGTTTATGACTAAATGATGAATGTTTTTATTATTTATTTGCATTTGAGTCATCCTATAAATGACCCTTGCATTAATACAAAATAAATAAGACTTATTTCTTGGATCCAACTTTAAGAAGGTTCACAATTGAACATCAATGAGCAAAGTCTAGTACAAAAAAAATGTTAAAAGAAGAAACTAGGATGGGACATAGCCAGGCGGGGTCTTGTTGGTTAATCCTCAAGAGATAACAGCTCAAGTAAGTTAATCGATCAGAAATCCAATGTCAAGCCGGCATTATTCTGGCTCTCATTCATGTCAATGTCATGCAAGCTTAGAGACGGATTGCTAAACGATCAACAGACTTGTGCTGTCTGGGATAGGATGTCCAAATGCAGATTGGTTTATATTGCAAAAATAATTCGAGTATTAAAACTTACCATCTTCCCTGAATTGTGAGGAATTCAAATGTGCTTAATTTAAAAAAAACTATTTCTAAGTTGTGTAATACAAAATAATTCCGAGTATTTTGCTGGAAAAAACCCAAAACTGACCGCAAATTGCTGAATGAACAAAAAATGTCGAAAATTCTGCTTCTTAACACAACAAACTCTCAACAATGACTGCGATTCAGCACAAACTGCAATATTAAAGTTATTTTATTTGAGCGAGAAATTTAATTTGTGAGATTTTTTTTAAATTTTTATTCTCTGAGAGATTTTATGGAGAAGCTTTGTATACAGAACAATGTTATAAGAGTCGATTGACAGGTTTCGATAAATTTATTTCACCATCATCTGAATGATTCTAATCTGCACATGCTTGATTTTCAATTATTTCAGTGGATATGTTTGATTAGCATTATAAATTGCTGGATATCCAGGCTGTGGCATCATTGGCTGTTGTGGATGTGCTTGCTGTGGATAAAATTGCTGATTATATCCCATATTTGGGTACATTGGCTGTGGTTGTTGCAACATTGGATATCCACTGCCGTCAATGGCACCACCTTGAAGTCCAGGATCACATTTGGGTCCAAGAACTAAAGTTCCACCTGAATGTTCCTTCATTTCCATGATAATTCTCTTAAGGCTCTCTGACATGTAGTAAGGCTTAGTCTGTCCATCATTCTCCTCAAGATCAATACAGAATGAGATGAAAATTGTATCGATTGTCATCTCGAAGACCTCGACGAAGCAGTGAGCGATGAGGAAGGCAAGGATGCATCCAAAAATCATTGGTAAGATGATATGATCTTCATTTCCTATGCTCTAAATTGAGAGAATTAGATTTATGTAAGAAATCATCATGTTAAGTACTTACCACACTATTTCTAGAACTTAGCAAAGTATATCCAACTAATCCAGCGATCAGCACAATCAACAATCTACAAACCATCAACACAAGATCACCAAAATGATTTAAAGCAATAACATCTGTGATATTGTCCATAAGAAGTCTGTAAGCACGTCTACCAGAGTCACAAAATCCTGTTCCTTCTTTTGCAACCACAACATAAGCATTGCGGATTAAGAATGCCAAAAGTTGTTCGATCAGGTTAAATATGCACATGCAGCATGTTGCGATGATCATGGCTGCGATGTTTCTGGAGTCTTTTGCTGAGTTCTGTGGACAAAAGGATTATAATGCAAATTTGGTCATGATTACATTGATTTACCTTAAGACTGGATATGATACCCTTAATAATCTTGACAATTGTGATCAAAATAGCACCAAAGCAGACACTTCCAAGATGGAACTTGAATAAATGTGAAAATGACTTCTTGATTGGTTTGTGGAGCTTGGTCTTGTCTCTGGTGAAGTACCACCTGACAATGGTTCCAGCAATGATGAAGTTTTGACATCCGATGATGAATTGAGTGATGAAGATGAAGGAGATCAAGTTGCAAGCATGAGCTGGTCCAGTTACAGGTTCGTCTTCACCAGCGAATGAAATTATTACGAAAAATGTTGCAAAGATCAGGAAGGAGACGAGGAGCGAGATGAAGGTCTGAAAAATCATCAAAATTAGCGCGTTTTTCTCAATAAATCCATAAATTCTCACCAAAATAGGTTCAAACATGACAGCCGGTACATCAATCAATGCCTTTGATGCTTCCTTAAACAGCTTGGCAACCAATGCGATTCTTTTACGGAAGAAGATCAAAAATCCAATGAGCACTAGTCCCATGATGCCAAATGTGAATGCACCTTCAATAGTTCCAGCAACTGCACACAAAATAGCAAGTCCGACAACAAGAACAACAAATCCAATGTTAATGATCCAAATGACATATTTTGCAGCATGTCTGAAGAGAATCAGGAACACATAGGAGAAGACAAAAGCCACAAAGCAGATGATGAGGATGTAGTACCAAGTAGCTTTAAGAGAATTGACCATTTCATTCATGTCGCCAGCATTGATGCATGAATTTGACATGTCAATGTAGTCTTCTGGACACTCCTTGACACATTCATTGAGCTCAAAATGACTTCTGTAATGATTTGCATCCTCATCGTCATCATCAACATATCTGAGAAGCAATTTTGGATAGTCTGTCTTGTCAGAGTCCTTAAAAAATAATAAATTAGGTTCAAATAAAATCTTTAATCATTTTTTAAATTCCAACCCCGCATTTATCATCCTGAATGTGATTCCTTTCACCGCAAATGTTTCCACAACTGTCTTTTAAGTCCTTAACTTCATTAGAGTCATTAAGAGACAACTCATCAGGCCTTTTTATCTTGGTTGACGCAACAATTCCACAATATATGACTAAAATCACTGTGATGACAATAAAGACGATGGCAAAGACCAATGCTGGAATATTTGTGCATTTGCGCTCTGATGACGGCTTAACTTCGATCGACTGTAAATAAAATGAGAGGTGATGAGTGACAATTGACCTGTTCCTGATAAGAAAAGCAATTGACAAAAGAAGAAATTGTCATTATGAGTAATTAATAAGCACAGTAACTGCGAATCATGACTCAAATTCTATAGAAAATGATTAATTATATTAATCAGAGATGACAATGCTTTATATCAGTGGTGCTCAACCTTTTTTGTGTCATGACACCTTTGTGGTAAGCTATGCTTATAGTTAAAATGGTTCGTTTGATTGATCAAAAATTTTCGTGGCACATAGGTTGACCATCACTGCAATATTGCATAATTACTCATTATGCTTCATTATCTGTTCAATAGCTGTGGAGCACGGGCGTAGCCAGGAATTTGAAGAGGGGGGGAAAAAAATTTTTTCGTATGGAAAACTTTCAAGGGGGGTTGGGGGGGATTTTTTCGAATTTTTCATAAAATCTCTAGCAAAATGAAGAATTTTCTTTAGACGAAGGGGGATTAGTCCCCCAAATCCCCCCCCCCCCCCCCTGGCTACGCGCCTACTGTGGAGACCAAACACCTTTGTTTAATTGGACTGGCTTTCTAGTGCACCTCTTATAAAGAACCAGGTGACCATCCATTTTAACTGGAACCCCCAGTATTCGCCCCCCCCCCCCCCCATTTCCTCCCCCTTCCCGATCAATAATTAAAAATTTCAAACAACGCCATACTTCTCAGGTTAATTAAGTTTTTTTTCCTTCCCAATTTTCGATGATTTCTCTTCAGTTTTGTGCAAGATATGAATAAGAATCGATCTATAAATAACCTGAAGGCTATCAAGACAATATTGTGTTATTTGGCGTTGTTCGATCAGTGAAAATATCTTTCCAAAAAAAATTTCATTTGAATTGTTAAAGAAATTAGAGCTTGGCGAAGAACTTACCATTTTGCGATCTTTTTAACTATTTTTGAGACTCTTTTCTGAATTTTATCTCAACTTTTAATTTTTTTAAGTAATTTCACTTCACAATTTAATCTCAAATTAGCCAGCAAAAAGATTAAATATTTGCCATTCCTACTGCGACTTCTATGTGCTTCCGACACAAACTTTTGAATGTTAATGACACAACTAACACAAGATTAAATTGCATTCTCTCATTTACTCTTGAAATTCGCTCTGTTTATGAAGCTATTGCATGTATAAAAGTGTAAACAGAGCATCAGTGCTGATACTCACACAAATTTGGATAGGACAACACAGATGAGAGTATTTGATGATCTGTTTGTTGATATTATTATTTTTGCCGGTTGATAGGCAATGTAATGTCGAGCATGGTCTACCTGGGGCACCCTGGAAATTAATAGTATTTATCTGAAACCAGAGTAGTGCTGCTCGGAAGTATGGCATCATTAAAGACGTGTTTTTAATAGTTTTTTTTTTTAAAATAATTTTATTTTTTTGTATTTGTGTACTAAACAATCGTCTGCTGAGCAGTTAATCCATCCTCTTCAATAGCATCCTTTGACAACAACAACTGCCCATCATTGATTTTAGAAATCAACTCTTTCATACTGTCTGAGATTCAAATTCAAAATTTATTATTTAAATTTTATTATTTAAAAACATTAACAACATAAAAATCTATTAAAATTGACTAGTTTTTTGGATAATATCAAAAAAGTATTCCTGAGTAAAAAATATTATTTAAAGACGTTGATATTGTTATTGAGGATTTGGACATAATAAATGGAAATAGAGGGTTAAGAAGGTCTTTTGACATCTACATGAATGCTTAATGGTGTCCTATTATGACAAATTTCATGTTTTGCTATTAAATGAGGCTGCAAACACCAGTTGTTTAAAACTATTAAGAAGCAGCTCCTGAATTAAATATATAAAAAAAAGTTTAAAAAATAAATTTAATATTTCTGTGGATATGGTTGATCTGGATATGGCGAAGGATATCCATGTGAAGGCATTGGTTGATCTGGGTAAGGCACCCCTGGCTGAGGTTGATAAGGCATTCCTGGTTGTGTTGGGAACTGAGGATATGGCTGCTGTGGGTAAGGTTGCTGTGGATATTGAACTGGATCATCATATCCCAAACTTGGGTACATTGGCTGTGGATAAGGCTGTTGTGGTGGCAACATTGGAATTCCACTTCCGTCAGTCAATCCTCCTTCAATTCCTTCATCGCCTTTAGGTCCCAGAACTAAAGTTCCGCCTGAATGTTCCTTCATTTCCATGATTATTCTCTTAAGGCTCTCAGACATGTAGTAAGGCTTAGTCTGTCCATCATTTTCCTCAAGATCAATACAGAATGAGATGAAAATTGTGTCAACTGTCATCTCGAAGACCTCCACGAAGCAGTGAGCGATGAGGAAGGCAAGGATGCAACCGATTATCAATGGAACTGCTATATAGTCTTCATATGGACCAGCATTCTAAGAAAAGTATCAAAAAGTGACAAAAGACGTTAAAAATTTATTTTCAATTTTAACAAACCTGTTTAAGGACAGCATATCCAACAAAACCAGCAATCAGCACAACAATCAATCTACAGACAAACAGCACAAGATCCCCAAAATGATTCAATGCAATCACGTCTGTAATATTGTCAGCAAGAAGCTTGATAGCTTTCTTTCCAGAGTCACAGAATGGTGCGCCTTCCTTAGCAATGATGACATAGGCATTGCGGACCAAGAAGGACAAAAGATCCTCAAGTAGTTCAACAAGGCACAACAAAAGGCTGGCAATGAGGACAATGACTCCATTTTTGTTTTCTCTGGCTGAATTCTTAATGGCAGTAAAAAGCATCTTAATCAGCTTCACAAGTGTAATTAAAATAGCACCAAAGCAGACACTTCCCAAATGGAACTTGAACAGATGAGAAAATGACTTTTTGATTGGTTTGTGGAGCTTGGTCTTGTCTCTGGTGAAGTACCATCTGACAATGGTGCCGGCAATGATAAAGTTTTGACATCCGATGATGAATTGAGTGATGAAGATGAAAGAGATTAGGTTGCAATAATGAGCAGCCACAGCTAGAGGCTCATCTTCACCGGCTAGTGTTACAATGACTGCAAATGTTGCAAAAATCAGGAAAGAGACGAGAAGCGAGATGAAGGTCTGAAAAAGTGTTCAAAATTAGCGCGTTTTTTTCAATAAAAAAGCATAAATCCTCACCAAAATAGGTTCAAACATGATAGACGGAACATCTGTCAATGCCTTAGATGCTTCCTTAAACAGCTTGGCAACCAAAGCGATTCTTTTACGGAAGAAGATCAAAAATCCAATCAGCACCAGTCCCATAATGCCAAACATAAGAGCACCTTCAATAATTCCAGCGAATGCACACAAAATAGCAAGTCCGACAACAAGAACAACAAAACCAATGTTAATAATCCAAATGACATATTTTGCAGCATGTCTGAAGAGAATCAGGAACACATAGGAGAAGACAAAAGCCACAAAGCAGATGACGAGGATGTAATACCAAGTAGCCTTAAGAGCAGCTACAGCTTGTCCAATATCGTCCTTAAACTTCTGATCAGCTTCAGATGATCCAATTTTGAAGCAATTATCTTCTAGTTCTTCATATCCAAGTGGGCATTTCTCAACACATTGGTTGTGAGTCTTTTCAAAGTATTCGGTGTCGTCCTCGTGATGGGATTCTTCAATTAGGAGTTTTGGGAATAAGCGCTTGTCTGGATCCTGGAAATTTGAAAAGAGTGGGTTAAATTGTGGTTGATTTGGCAACTTAGAGACAAAAGCTTGGGTATTTTCAAAGAAATCAGATGTAGAGTTCTCAGAAATTTGAGTCTAGCGTCCAAAATTCAAGGGAAAAACAATATGATGGGAAAAAGTTTTGATAGCGAAATCTCATCATCTTGACTTCTCCTTGAAATTTGAAAGATCCAAGCCTGAAATTGCCATCAGAAAACCATGACTAGCCTTAATTATCCACCAAGTTACCTTCTCTGCTAGCTTTTATCTCCAAAAAATCAACTAAACTTACCCCGCAGTCACTAGAAGCACTTTTAACATTCAATTGACCACAAATGTTTCCACATCCATCTTGAAGTCCAGTTGATTTAAGCTTAGTTGCTGCAACAATTCCACAATATGTGACTAAAACGACTGTGATGACAATGAAGACGATGGCAAAGACCAAAGCTGGAATATTTGTGCACTTCCTTTCGGATGACGGCTTGATTTCGGTAGACTGTGGAGAGAATATTGAGAATTATTGTTAAGTAAGTTTGAGTTGTTGCTGAGACAGAAACACAAGTTTGTTACAACGCCCATGGTTGGAATCTGCAAGGGAAAAGATGCCCAGGAGCTCCAAAAGCTACTTGGTGCAGAACAGTGATGAAAAAATGTCAGCTGAATGTGTGGACAGAGAAACTAGGTGACAGAGTCACCAACAGAGTCAGATGAAAAGTCTTTTGTTGTAACCTAAGCTCCACATAGGAACATGGTAACAGTTATGAAGCAAGTAAGTTTGAGTTGGCATTTTGGTGGTCTGGTGAGACTGAAGAGATCTCCTTTGTAGGTTGTCTTAATTTTCAAATTTTGGAAGACCGTCAAAAGAAGTTTGAAGTTTGAACCCTAACGACTAGGGGACTAAGTTCAAAATTTGCGAATTCACCCCCCCCCCCCTCTGCAATAGACTTCAGAACCAACTAGACTATGACATGTTTATCAAAAAATATAAACTATTTTCCCATTGATTTTTTCACCAAACAAAAAAATCTGAAAGGACATAAACCTCCACACCTACTAGCTTTTCCTTATTTACTGCTCCGCATTTTTCTATTTAATAAATTAGATTTGCAATAAAGATTGTGTGTGGCTCATGTAAATGAAATATAAACATTATTTTTGGTTCTCAGACAACTGCGTGTTGAGTCGTAGCGAATATTTTCTTCATTTACAGTTTTTATTTACATCGATCTAAAAATATGCTCAAGGTTACATGGCAGTTGACGAGTATATAAGCGGAATTTATGGATCGAAGATCATCAAATAGATTTTTTTTTTACTTTTTTCAAAATTATTATTTAAATTTAAATTGTGAATCTTACCATTTTTGATATGGATTTTGAATAAAAATGTTTTTTGATTTTAAATATTTTTTTTATAATTTTATTTTCAAAAAGCTTTTTAATTTGTTTTAAACTCTGTTTGAATTTTGTATATGTTTTTATTATTTTTTAAATTATTTTTATATTTTTATTTTTAAATTTTATAGTTTTGAAATTTTTGAAATTTCCAGATTTTTGACATTTTTGATTTGATAATATTTCACGAAAAATTAAAATATTTTTTTAATTTCAATTTTTTAATCTTTTAATTTTCAACTTTTGAACTTTTAAACCTTTTTAACTTTTAAACCTTTTTAACTTTTAAACTTTTTTAAATTTCAAAAATCTTTTTAATTTTTTTGTAATTTTTAAAAATCGTCAAAACAATTTTGAATGTTTTATTTTAAAAAATTTCAAATCTTTTAAGCTGCCCACAAAGAATGTCAAATCTAATCCATGATTTGACTTCAATGCGGTTCCAATAAGAACTGCTCAATATATTTTTTGTGAAACATATTTTTGGAATTTTATTCTCAATTTTTGCTCTTTATTGTGGCATCATTTTCTCTCTGTTTGCACTAATACAGCTTCAACTTATTCACTTCTTTGGCTTTTGTTTTTATTTGAATATTTTTAAACCGACTCAGTCAATTGTGTGAGATCAAAGGGGCATGGCATACAATTTATGCAATTAAATGTGTTCGGAATTCCCATATGATGAATCACTTGACATTAAATTTATAAACAAATTAGTTTTTAAAATAAAAGATGGAATCATAAGCAACAGATTAGCTAAATGGAAATGTAATTTCATACTTAGTTTCTGAATATGCAATCGACAATGTATGAACTTAGCATAGACCAGTGTTGAACAACCTTTTATATCCCACGACACACCTTAGTCTTAGGCCATGACCGAAACCACTAAACTGAACCCAACACACGAACCGAGTTTCGTAACTTGAACGGTGAAATGGAAAAAGAGCTTCATCAACTTGACTTGGACTGGGATTGAACTAAGGACTTTTGGCAAGTAAGGCCAACGCTCTACCATGTAGGCCATTGATGCCACTTCCCGGAACCTACAAAAATCTACAAAATTACAAAAATCCTCGTGTTATTGATCGAGGGACTTCAGCGCATTGAACTCGCTATGATGTCTAGTTAAAAAGTTTTTATTCGCCCGAACGAACGAACGAACAAAGTGAATTATTAAGCTACCTTTTCGAAACAAGTTTCAAAAATGCGATAAAAAACATTTAAAACTTAATTCTGTTAAATATTTTACTTTATTTACGTTAAAATTTCTGAGTTTACATTTCAAAAAATAAACATTAATTTATATTTGTCAAATTATTTTCAATTATTCGATTGCTACAATTAAAAAGGCAATTTTTTAAAAAAACTGTTTTCTTTTTGGTAATTCAAAATGGACTTCAATAAGTACCACAAAATTTACGAAGCATTTTTAAGATCCTATTAATCAACATTTATTGATTGAGGCGCATCCAGTCTAATCCTGAACACGTTGAATATGCTATGCATTTAAAGGGGAAAACAACGTGATGGAAAAATATATTTTTTTATCAATTGTTTACAATTTTCCTTGAAAAGCTAAAGGGGACAACAACGGATGGAAAAATAAATTTTTATATCAATTTTCCGTAAAAAGTTCAGTTAAGAAATCCAAATTTTTATTCAACAAGTTGTTCCCCCCCCCCCCCTAGAGTTTGTGACTTTAAAAGCTTTATGATTGTAGATTTATTGGCATTACGAAATGATTAGTATTTATAAAAATATATATTATTTTGAAAAAAGTGCGCAGTTTCTGTTATCCCTGACTGTTGATGAAGACAAGCTATATCATAGTGAGCCCTTAATCTAGGCCTTCAGTATGGTATATCCAAACTGGCTCTAGGAAATAGTCTTAAATCTAGTAAATACATTAGGAGAACTTAAGAAAAAACTCATAAGTCAAACTGTATCAACTTTCCTTAAAGAAACTCTTTAAACACCCCCCCCCCCCCTCCCTATCCCTTTATGATAAAAATTCCATCCTACATTTCATTCAAAACTTGATCCTTACTAAAGGAAATATTTTTTACGGATGGGAAAAAATTAATTTATGGCAGGCGAGTAGCCAGGAGGGTCTTGTCTCCCCTTAAACGTTTTGAATCGCAGCGAGAACACGGCCTAAAACGCTTAAGAGGGGAACAATAACCTCCTGAATACGCGCCTGTTTCTAGAACAAATTGAATATTTTTAATAAATTACGATTCTCTTTTTTTTTGGTTCAACACAATTTTAATAATAAGATCGGATGTCAGCCACACACAGATGTGCACGACTGCTTTAAAAAAAACTGTTTTTTTTTCTTTTACAAATTCTCGTTCAATTCCTCAAATTATCCAGATCTACTTTTAATAAACACAAAAGCAATGATAAGGGCAACAATGAGAAGTCCAGCGACACCTCCAACAATCCACCACGTGTAGTCAAGCTTTTCATCGATTGGATCGACTGTTCTTGCAATGTCTTTCTTAAATTCTTCAACATCTTTAACACAAATCTTTTTTGATTCATATTCTTGATAATCTTGTGGACATTTTTCAACACATTCAAAATACTTGGCTTCAAAATATTCATCCTTTTCTTCTTTATTATCATTTGGATCGTGGACTTGAAGGAATGACTCTTTACGCTTGTCAGCATTCTAAAATTTGAGATTTTTTTTAAAATAAATTTTTAAACAAAAATTGTGAAAATTTTCTTACTCCACAGTTGCTGTCCTTGGTTTCGGTGTTTATTTTGCCACACACATATCCACAATCATCTTTTGGGTTTGTTAAGATGTCACTTGGGTATTGTCGGTTGGCTGATGCAACTCCAAGGAAGGATAGATAAGCAACCTAGATAAATTAATGAAATTTTTAAAAAGGGGGAACTCAACATGATGGGAAACTTTATTTAAAGTTTGGAGAAATTTTAATTTTTCTTGGATATATTGAGTTGTACTTACCGTTAGGAGTAAAAATACATTTATTGAATTCATGTTGATTTTCTGTTAATTAAATTAAAAGACAAAAATAAGATTAGCTTGTGTTGACACTTGTGTGGTGTGTAAATGCGTAAATCAGGTGCGTAACCAGGGGGGGGGGGTTACAAATCCCCCGACGTAAATAGGTAATTAAGATGGTCAACCGGTGTGCCGCGAACAAATCCCAAGAACCGTTAGCCGCGTGCAATTTTAGTCATTAGTTACCACCAAGGTGCAGGCGCGTAGCCAAGAGGGTCTTTTCTTCCCCCCTAAGAGGGTCTTATCCCCCCCCCCCTCTTAAACGTTTTGAATCGCAGCGAGAGCACGGCCTAAAACGCTTAAGAATGGAGCAAGAACCTCCTTGCTACTCGCCTACTGAGGTGTGCCGTAGCACAAAAAAGGTTGTCCACCACTGATAAAAATGCAAATAAAATCAATCTCTGATTAAGGTTAGGTGTCTTGAAACCAGCCCGTACCTATTGAAGAGCCTAACATGTATCTTACTCTAGGATAGTTCAGAATCAGATGAGCCAAAGACACTGCAATCCAGATCGAATATTGAATTCAGTGCTTTCCAATTCAACTTAGTCGTTCAACTGACTTACAATCTCTAACTTCACAGCATTCACAATTCCGATGGTGAAATTAGAAATTCAATCTCAATAAAAAAAACAGAATGCTCAATTCCAAATGATTTTAAAAATTATCACATTTCAGACGAATTATTTACTTCAGTGATGGTCAACCTTTTTTGTGTTACGGCACCTTGATGATAAGTCATGACAGAAACTGTACACAACATACGATTCGTGGGATTTCCCGAGTTTTTCCGCGGCACATTGGTTGGCCAACACTGGCTTTAATGTGTAATCAATTTATATTCGCACTGAGTCTGGATTCATTATCATGTGACTGATTGATTATTAATGAGGCTATTTGTGATGAATCATTCAATTGTTGGGAAAATCCTGGTAGGATTCATTCGTAAGTGATGTTTGATATTTGAGAGTTTTATATATATTTGGTCTCTTCATCATTCTTTTAGATTTGGGGATGGGGAGGGGATTTGGGGGGGTCAGGGGGTCAGGGGGACCGGGCGAGAGGTTGCACAATCAATAATGAAGTATTACTCGATGCACTCATTCCATTTGCACATTCCATGTTAGTCTAATAATCACTCATTTTTTACCACCAACACCAAACCACAGAAAACTATTTAATATTCGTCACAGCGCTTAACAGCTCAAAGATATGAAAGGCAAACTTATTCAGCAACTTTGTTGCTATTTGATTTAGACCAGTGTTCTCCAAACTTTTTTGAGCCAGAGCACAGCTTATTGGTGAGCCATTACCAAAGTCGCACACAGCATGCAGCTCGCGTTTTTTAAAAAAATTCTACGGCACACCGATGTGCCGTGGCACACAGTTTGTACAACACTGATTTAGACAGCAAATAGTCACCAAGACTAGAAAAATGTTATAACTTTGTGGTTGTGCAATTAAGTAAGAAGAAGAAGCAATATTGATTGAAGGAAGAAAAAAAATTCTTGGAACCTCTGCAATGTCGATTATTATTTAATTAAGCAGGAATTGTGATTCAAATTAAGGTAATGATACGGAAATTTGAAAGAATTGTTTAACAAATTTTGCTACTTTCGAGGATTTGTCATCTTCAACTTACTAAAATTTTCAATATTTTCTCACTTTTTAAGCAAATTTTCTTAAAATTTCGATGTTAATTTTTCACTTTTGGGTCTTATTATGATGAAATTCAATGTTTTAATACTTTTAATGATGAACTTAATGCTTAATTTTATGAAAAATGTAAAATTGACGTCTTGATGAAGCAAATATTTGTGGATTTCTGAGTAATTTTACCTATACATGCTCAAAATCCGCTCTTGACTCTCTCAATTCACACTTGAAGTTGCTATTCAGAATGTAAAGATGTGTTTTGATTAGTTTATGTCATGTAGCTTTGCATGTATGCATGCCATAATACTTTTTGGTATCATTGACGTTACTTTTACTCTCTTTTAGTCTCAATTTCAAGTTATAACTTATGTTCATGTTGAAATTCTTTTTATGTTCCTGCAAAATTCAAAAAAACTTTTTTTTTCATATTTATAGCTTGACTCGAGAATGTCTGAATTATTTAAATAATTTAAGGAATTTTAATTAAATTTAAACCATAAAAAATCATAAAAAAAATCTCAAACTTAAGCAAAAAATTCATAAATTAAATAATTTGTGTGGTTTTATAAAAATTTGAAATTTTATTGATCAGTATTTTTAATAATCCAGTTGTTTTTTTTTTAAAAAAAACAAAACATTTTTTTAGGGGCCGTTTAATTATGACGTCCGAAATTAACGGTCATTTTTCAAAAACAAACAATGGATTTCCAGGAATTTCTATTGTTCTTTTCTGCCTGAACCCCCCCCCCCCCTGGACGTCATTAGTGAACGGCCCCTTACGGAATTATGGCAGTCTTCGTTCCTCCGGATAAGGTTTTTATTTTGGTTATAATTAATCTTGAGAAGGGTCGTTCACTTCGTAGGGGGGGGGGGAGGTGGGTCAGAAGCTGTGTGACACCTCAATACAAACGATTTTTTTTGTATGAAAATTTTGTGACAGAGGGGGGGAGGGGGGAAAGGGAAGGATGCAGGGGGGGAGGGGGAAGGGGAGGGAGGCAGGAAGGGAGGCAGGGGAGGCAGGGGGAGACAGGGGGGGAGGCAGAGGGGAGGGGGAGTGGAAGATGGGGAGGGGGGGAGGGTGAGGGGGAGGGAGGCAGGGGGGAGGGGGGAGGGGGGTCTAAAAATCTCATTTTTTATGGACGTCATAAGTGAACGGCCCCACAACAATAATTTAAAAATTATCATTAATTTCAAAAAGAAGAAAATTTTTGAGATTCGATTTTGAATTTGTTTGTATGAATAAAAATCATATTAATAAGGTTTTTGAAACAATTGATACTTTAGCCTACACAGCGTAAATTTATTTAAACAGAGTTATTTTTAGTCAGTCCAACTTCAGACGCTCGAATTTCAGGACTGTTTTGGTCATAATTTCCAACTACCTTTTTCCTACAATAAGCAAAGCCAGCTCCAATACCAGCAATGGCAACTCCTAATACACTCAATATAATCACCCATAAATTGCTTGATTCAGAATCACATCCTTTCTTAAACTCTTCAAACTCGACACTGTTCTTAACGCAAAATTTTAATGGCTCATATTTTTGATAATTTTGTGGACATGCCTCAACACATTCGAAATATTTGACTTCATAATATTCATCGTTTTCTTCTTTTTTATCTTTTGGATCGTGAACTAGAAGTAGCGACTCTTTACGCTTGTCGGCGTTCTAAAATTTGAGATTTTTTTAAAATTAAAGTTTAAACAAAAATTGTGAAAATTTTCTTACTCCACAGTTGCTGTCCTTGGTTTCGTCGTTTATTTTGCCGCACACATATCCACAATCATCTTTTGGGTTTGTTAAGATGTCACACTCGTACTCTGATGCTGCGATGAATGCAAAAGTGACGAAAATCTGTGACAAAAATTTAAAATCTACATTTTTGCATACACAAGCAACTTCCGCCAACTTCTATGGCTATTCCCATGTTCACAAAAAAAAAAAAACATTTTACTTTGCAGATTAATTCTGGTCCATAGGTTTGCTATGGTAAGCAAATGGGAGTTTAACGAGTGAGGATGTGCACTAAAACCTAAACCTACAGTTTAAAGTCAGATCCAAAAAACTAATTTGATGACATTGCTGCATGCAGCATACAAAGAAAAGCTGTGAACGTCATTTCCAGTAAAAATGGTTTGAAACAGGAAAAGTGAAAGATTTCACATGTCGAGTCTCGAACCCATGATGTCGCCTTTTCAATAATTAAGTACCCAAGTACTAAACCATTCCACCACCGAGCCACTTCAGCTTCTGATCACAAAATGAACTTTATTAACACATCCACATCAACAGCATCTTCGATTCGCTTTAAAAAAATAAGATTATTTAATAAAATACTTACATTTATGAGTAATAAAGCACTTGATGATTTTATGTAGACTTCCTGTTAAATAAGTTGTTTTTTTATTAATTATTTAAGTTGGTCAGATGCAGGTGCGTAGCCAGGAATTTGAAGGGGGGGGGGGGAATTTTTTTTAAAAGCTTTTCATAAAAACTCTTGCGAAATGAAGAAATTTCTCAAGACGAAGGGGGGTTTGTCCCCTAACCCCCCTCCCCCCGCTGGCTACACGCCTGGTCAGATATTTTGAAAGGTTGGGGAAAGTCAGAGGTTGGTGGTTATCAAAGGCTAGGTTTTTAAGCTGAGATTGGTTTTATGGAAAGGATTGGTTCAAGGGGGCCTCAAAAGTAGTCCAACTTTGAGGGGTTATTCACTTATAGCTTGTATAGCTTGCGTCAAAAAACATGATTTTCAGAACATCCCCCCCCCCTTAACCTGTCACAAAATTTAAATATAAATTAGTTTCCTTTATTTGAGCTGGCACAAAATTGTAGACCCCCTCCCCCACACTCTCTTAATCTCGGACGTCATAAGTTAACAACTCCTTAATTGAAACTATTCATGATACCACAAGTCAGTTAATCTATCAGAATATGTCCAATCCCTCAATCCCAGAAGGATAGATCAGAGCCCGGCTTTACATTAGACTCACGCTGGCTTTTCGTCGGATTTCTGATTGATTAACCGACTTGTTTGGGGGTAGAGGGGAGGGGGGAGGGGGGAGGGGTGGGGTTACTTTAGTTGAATGAGACCCAGAAACCCCTCTAATGACAATCATCCTATTACAATAACTTAGTTAGACGTGATGATTAGTTCCCATTAATCAACTGTGAATCATAAAGCTTAAAGCTAACAACTAATCCCAATCATTTCAAATAAAAATCTTTTTTTAATTCTTTGTTGGAAATAATCTTTTTTTACAAACAGTTCAATTTACATTTAATTAATGACGTCAGCTTGTTGATCTAAATTTGAAGCCATGTGTAGACTCAATGCCGGTTTTATGTGTGCATTTACACCAACACTAATGTAATAAATTGTTCAATGTCACGCGTATTTTGCAAAATTCTCAAATGGGCTCGTTCACTTATTACGTAACGCAAAAAAACGAGTTTTTAGACCCCCCCCCTGTAACAAACCGTAACAAAATCTTAGACCCCCCCTCCCCCCCTAGTGCGTTACGTAATAAGTGAACGTACCCAATCTTATTTTTTGTTTTGATTATTTTTTGAAGGTTTTAATATTTTTGGACATTAAGTTTGAATTTGATTTAAAATTATAGGAATTTAATGGAATCTTGAAATTCATGTTGAGCTCCTTAAACTTACCATTTTAATGTTTTATGTCCTTAGAAAATATTTTAATGTAAGTTTTGGTGTTTTTCGTAATATTTTTACAAATGTGATGCAATTTTTACTAAACTTGTCTTAATTTTTTTAAATTAACATTAAATTTTTGTCAATAAATGACGACTAAATACTTAAAAAATTGATATAACAATTGGTTATCCGCCTCGAAATGCAAACTTTTTAAACACAAATGATAAATATTCTCATGACTCACCAACATTTGTAATGTTTTTGTCTCTCAGAAGAGTAATTCTCTCTTTTTGATCGTTCCTAGACAATTTTATTAGAACTTTTTAAACGAACTAAAATCAAAATTTACAAATAATTTAAATTTAAAATTTATTTCTGATGGAATAACCGACTGAATATGAAGAAGGTTTTTTTGGGGTCAAAACCCCTGGAATTTTGGAGAATTTTATTAATTTGCTTGAAAGTTTTGAGAATAGACCTAAGAATCCTCTGGCTTGCTTCTAGACGAGCTTAAGCAGGAACGTAGACAAAGAGGTTCAAGTGAATTCAGACCCTCCCCTCCCGACTCTTCCCCCCATACCAAACCCCTGGAAAAAATGCTAAGGCCTGGCTAAGCTTTGGCTCTTTGCTTTGATGAATCTACTGCTTCATCCTTTTCCTCTTTTTGTGTGAATTAATAATATATTTTTAAAATTATTTCTAGCCAAAGAGAAGGGGGGGGGGGGGGTGGAGGGAGCGTTTGGCACCAACCCATAATGAATTATTTGCAGCATTATAAAAACACTTTGAAATTAATTTTACTTTTCAGATTATTTTGGTTTATATCGAAATAGCAATAACCCTTTTTTTGGCCACGGCACACTTTCTGCTAAGCCATGATCAAAACCACGGCACACGTGTTGAACCAAGGTTGAACACCACTGAGTATTTCATTTGTAATTTTCTAAGAGAAATTCGACTCAGATCAGCAATGTGCTCTGAACTATTAAAATCCCCATTTTTTTTTTCTCAGAGTATAAAAAAATAAATTTTAAAAATTCATAATTTGAACGTCCAAGTATATCACAATTATCAGTTCCTTTAGCAATGTTTTTGTGATTAAGCTGTTTATAATGTTCATTAAACGTTCTTCAATTATCAAATTGTTAATTTTTTCTTGTGCTTTTTTTGAATATTCTAATTATAATTGTTCTGGACATAGAGAAGTATGCTGCTTATTATAGCCATTGTCGACACTTATAAATCATTATAAACTAAATATTTTGTTCCTTTTTAATGTAAGTTGACTTAACATTGCTGAAAAGCATAGAATTAATTTTTCTGGTATTTTTAGTTCAGGAATTTTGCGGTAAACGTACAGCATTGAAAGCATTAATCATAAATGGATTAACTGCGGAACGAGGACTGTTTCCATGGTTTGATAAGAGAAATAATTGAGAATTAGTTGAAGCATTTTAATCTTTTTCATTTTCAGGGTCGCTGTTCTAATGAGTGGTGATGTTCCATTTTGTGGAGGATCACTTTTGACAAATGATTTAGTGTTGACAGGTAATTAATTATTTTACTAGTATAATTACCCGTCAAGCATGGCTGCATAACAAAAACAATTTTAAAAATATCCGCCATTTTGAATTTTATTTCTTAAAAAATCATCCATTTTGGATTTCATCATAGATAATAAAAGGTGTGAATTAGGGCGCAATGGCACCTTTTAAAAAAAATTTCAAATCTGTACAGGGTTCGTTCACTTATTACGTAACGCACTAGGGGGGGAGGGGGGTCTAAGATTTTGTTACGCTTTGTTACAGGGGGGGGAGGGGGTCTAAGATTTCGTTACGCTTTGTTACAGGGGGGGGGGGGTTTAAAAACTCGTTTTTTTGCGTTACGTAATAAGTGAACGAGCCCTACAAATAAATTTTCTTTTTTATTATATAAAAACCTTTTTTGTGCAACGGCACACCTTAGTAGTAAGCTATGGATTGGTCATCACTGCTTTATATTCAAATGACTTAGTACCTGCCCCCCCCCCCCCCCCACCCCCCCCCCCCCCCCCCCCCCCCCCCCCCTTTAACGTTGTGATCCGCACGAAAGCACAGCCTGAAACGCTTAAGAGGTGGACAATACCCTCCTGGCTACGCTCCTGCGTATCACAAAAACTGTTCCCCACCACTGCATTACACGGGCATTGTCAGGATGGTCTGGAACCCCCCGTCCCTCTCCTTTCCCTCTCCATGCTTTTGCTGCATTATAAGACCAAAATAATTAATTATAATATGTAATCATAGCTGCTCATTGTATACGTGGCAAAGATGATATGTACTTATTTCACCCCAACAATTTAACAGTTGTATTGGGCGCACATAACCTTAGTGATCCTTACGAAAATGGAAAAATATTTGTTAATGTTTCAAAGATTGAAGTTCACAAAGATTGGAATATAACATCTGAGGATTATGATGCGGATATCGCAATATTAACATTAGACCACATTGTAAAATTTAATTCACACATCACTCCAATATGCCTTATACCTCCACAATCGAATATTACTATGATCGATAATGGATATACTGCTGGCTATGGAATGAGTGAAAAAAGGAGTTATGAAAATATTTTACGCTTTATTAACATTCCAATTATATCCGATGTTCATGATTGTATGAAATCATACGATGTTCTCTACAAAATGTCAAGTAAGCGGACAATATGTGCTGGATCGCGTAATGGCTCTGGCGTTTGTGAAGGCGATAGTGGGAATGGACTTTTTGTGATTCACGATGATACTCATTATCTTCGTGGAATTGTGTCATCATCGGTTAAGAGTGGATATAGTTGTGACACATTCGAGTTTGCAATATTTACAAATGTTGATAAGTTTTACGATTGGATTCAAGAGAAAATTAAGAAAAGGTAAAATTTACAAAAAAAATGGATAAAGGGGTCGTTTATAAGTAACGTCTGTGATTATTGGTAATGTTCTTCAAAAAAGGGAGGGGGTTTTTTATCCCCCCCCCCCAACATCCCCACTCCCCATCTACCCCCCAAATGTCCGCTCTGTAACTATGCTCTCGAATTAAAGGTTTTTTTCATACATTTTCTTTTGTAATTAGAAGGAACAAAGACGTGGCTTGTAGAAGTGAAGGGGATTTTATGGTGTACACCCCCTTCCCCCTCCCTCCCCTTGTTGAAAAATTCCTTAATTTTCTAAGGTTTTGGGAGAAAAATTACAAAACACCTGAATTTAATATTTTTAATTGACGTCATTTATGAACAACTCCTGATTTTTAATTAGCATATTATCTTGGAAATCGTTCACTTATTACGTAACGCTTTTAGGGGGTCTTAGATTTAATAATATAATAATTTTTTTTCATACTAATTTTGTTACGAGTGGAGAGGGGGATCTAAACAGTCTCGTTACGTAATAAATGAACGGCCCCTTGATTTATCAATTAATTTAATTTTGACTTATTTTAGAGAACAACTGGTCCTGATTGGATCCCGTTTTATAACTCCTGGTACTAATTACACATTTATTCTTTATGGAATAAACTTAGCTTCCAATTCATCTCTAAGTGTTTCCTTTGAAGGCATTAATCGTATTGAGCCCATTTTATTAAGTAATTTAGATGAGACTTTAAATAAAGAAATGAGCTTTCAGGTATGTTTTGAACTAAATTGATAAACAAAAAAATCGAGTTATGATTTATTCAACATTTATTATTGAAGATTCCACTCAGTTCAATGCCAAACTATGAGTTGAAATTGTTGTACAAAAGATCAAGCAGTACAATTTGTGTGGAACAATCAATTCAGCTCATCAACCTTCTCGAGCGTCCAATAATTCTAATCAATATAAACAAACCAATTTACGAACCGTTCGATGAAATTAAATTAAAAGTTTTTGTGCTAAATCATAAACTAATTCCATTTAATGAGCCTAAGAAATTGGATGTTACTGTGACAGATGCGAACAATAAAACTTTTAAAAGTTTTCGTTTGCTTGCTAAAAATTATGGACTATATGAAAATGTTTTTAGATTATCTGGAAACTTAAATTTTGGTTTGTGGAAGCTTGAAGTAAAAGTTGGCGACAAAAAGCGATCAAAAAGATTTAAAGTTCAAGAAAGTCTCAAGAAAACCATTCAACTCGATGTAAAGATGTCAAAAGAACTGTCATTTTATGATAAGCAGATCAACATGAGCCTCATTGTGAAACATCCAACAAAAATTCATGTTACTGCAGATCTGACCATCTCTGTTGATATTTATTCACTAGCAACTAACAGCACAATAGTCCAAAATATAAGATTTTACTCGCGTTTTAGAAATTTTAAAAAATTTAGACTAGTAGAAGACTTGGGCATCTCATCAAATCATTCAGACTGTCTCGTTAAGTTTAACATAACCATTGACGATTTCCAATCAAATTTAACTTCTTCATTGGAATCTGAAGTAATTTTGAGAAAAGATAAAATAAGAAAAATTTCATTGAAAAGGAAGAAATATTTTCGACCAGGATTAAAGTTTAAAGCTGTTGCTGATGTCAGATCAATTGATGGAAAACGAGACAACACAATAACTTCCATGGAAGCCATTGTTACTTATTATAGAAGTCACAATCAAACATATAATAAAAGTCAAACCTTAAACATCACAAATGGTGAGAGTTTAGTTGAGATAAATCCTCGAAATGACACAACTAAAATTGAAATTGAGTTAAGAGTAGCAGAAACATATTTGAGGGAATATATTGAGCGACATCCTGGAACTGACGAGTACATCACTGTGAAACTGACAAAAACCAAGTAAGGAGTTGTTTGTAAATGATGAACATACAAGGCAGTGGTTCTCAAACTATGTGCCGCGGCACGCACAAAAAATTAGAAAATTTTTATGTTAAAAAATGAGAAAAACTTTTTTAAAAATTTGCATGCAAAATTCGTTTTATCAGTTTTGCACACTTGGTTAATTCCCCCCCCCCCCCCCCCCCCCGCCCAATTTCTACGATTTGTGCTAATTTTGGCCTCCTCCATCTTTGCCCCCCTCTACCTATTTCGAAACCTTTCTTCAATTTGCTTAAGTCCTCCCTCCCACTCCCCCCACCCACTCCCCCCTCCCACTCCCCCCTCCCACTCCCCCCTCCCACTCCCCCATCCCACTCCCCCCTCCCACTCCCCCCTCCCACTCCCCACTCCCCCCTCCCACTCCCTACTCCCCCTCCCACTCCCCACTCCCCCTCCCACTCCCCACTCCCCCCTCCCACTTAAAAAATTTCTGGTTTCGTCACCAGAACTTATTTTTTGATGGACATGAATAGCCGGTAAATAAATTTTTTCAAACAATTTCGATAAATGCTCTAGTGAAGCTTTTAACTTTTAATCTAGTAAATCAAGTTTTTTTTTCTCTAATTTTCCATAAAAAAAATAGCTCAACTGCTCGAGAAGTGTTAGTAGAAGCATCTGCAAAGTTCAGGACTCTCTCTGTTATTATTTATGGACCTAATGGATTAGTCTATACTAAAAACTGCGCGGAAGCAAAAGGCCACAATAATCATGGATTTTCCTTCAACTTAAAGGATGAAATGAAGCCTAAGGCAACATTAATTGCTTACGATTTTACTTCGAATGGTGAAATAGTCTACGACATGGTTGAATTGGATGTTGGTCACTATAAATACAACTCGGTAAGGATCTTTTTCATTATTTAATACTTGATTGGCCTTCAAATAGTTTACTGAATATATGACTGTAATTTTCAGCTTAAAATCAGTACAAATGTCTCTGCAAATAGCAAGCAATTAATAGACTTATTAATTGAATCTGAGATTGGATCTACGGTATTCCTTACAGCATTTGAACAAGATTCATCCTTACAATATGGATTATCTGAGAAATCAATAAATAGAGAAATAATGAGCTTTACGAATCTTAAATTTAAAAGTACACCTGAATTTAAGTTTGATGATTCAAGCCTGTTCGTTATGCAGCCTTTTAAAGAAATCAACAATGACAAAACTTCAGGAATTGATGATGAGTTTGAGGAAAATCAACATGAGTCGTTAAATGCTCCAACCTATCGGCATGATTACATTCCAGATAAATGGTTCGATGATGAATATTTTCTTGAAAATGACACCATTAAGAAAATTTTAAAGAAAATTCCATCACGTCAGACCACGTGGCAAATTCAAGGAATTTCAATTCATCCAACAAAAGGACTTGCAGTTGCATCATATTCACTGAATGTTGACGTTCCAAAATCACATTTAATAAATATTAATTCACCTCCAATGACTCGCGAGAATGAAATTTTTGAAATCAAATATGAAATCAAAAACCTAGTCCAAGAGTCAACTAGATTGTCTGTTAAAGTTAAAGTTGAAAACGGAGATTTGATATCGATGAATAAAAACAGCTGCTCAATAAGTCATCAACCAACATTATCATATGATTTAACACTTCTACAAGGCACAAACTCGATTCAAAATATTTTTCTTAGATCTCATAAAGCAGATACAATGAAGGTTACTGTTATGACTGATGCAAAGTACTTTGTTGATGTTGAAAGAATCATCAAAGTTGACGACAAACAAAAGCTTGTTTGCTCTGCTTTTAAGTTCGTCGAGAGTTTTAAAGCCATGAAATCTTTAAAAATCGATCAATCGATGCACAACTCTCGATATGAAGTCACCATTTATGGCAATCTTCTTGATCCGCTAATTGGACGATTCGAAAGTTTTTTGTAAGTTTTTTAACTTTTTAGTGCATTTTTCTATCAGCAAAAAAAAATGTTTTTGTCTGTCCGTCTGTCTGTTACATCTCATTTCATCTCATCCTCCACTTTAAGCTACTTTTAAGAGGTTTTTTGCTAAAATAATTTCAATTTAATTGCTCACGTAAACTACTTACTTCACTGCTTAGGGGTCGTTCACTTATGACGTCAAATATTCCGGGGGAGGGGGGGTTAAAATGTTTGTGTCATCCAATTATTTAAGAGATCGTTCATTTATGATGTACGCAATTAACGGTCATTTTTCAAAAAAGAACAATGGATTTCCAGGAAATTCTATTGTTCTTTTCTTGCTGACCCTCCCCCCCCCCTGGACGTCATAAGTGAACGGCCCCTAATCAGGAATTTATAATTTTTTTCTGGTCTTGGATCGGACGTCACAAGGGGGGTGGGGGGAGGGGGCATTGTTATTTTTATGATTAAGGAGGGAGGGGGTCTAAATATTTGGTTTTTTGATGAACGTCATAAGTGAACGGCTACTTACGTAAACTGCTTACATTTTTAATTATTTATTTTTTTCAATAGTCCTTCTTTTAAATATAAGGAATCTAAGATCAACTTGTTATCAGCATCAATAACTTTTTATAAATTTCTGAAAGCCATTAATAAGTCCGAAATTGAATTAGGCAAAAAGATTTTTAAGGACTTGGAAAAAGGCAGAGATTTTGCAACAGAGCTTCTTGAAGCCGAAATAGAGCTGAAAAGTCCATCAAATATAAGAGTGGTCGCTTATGCTGCACAAGCACTTATCGACTGCAAAGAGTTTCTGAAGATTGATGAAGAATTGGTGAAAGCAGCTGCTAGCTTGATAATGAGTCATCAGAATTCAGACGGAAGTTTTCCATACGATGAGATGTCGAGTTACCGAGTAGACATTGGAAGTAGAAGTGCTCAGGTGCAAATTCAAACATCTATCGTAATTTTACTATTCATTAAGGATCCGGAATTGAAGGACATACATCATGAAAAAATATCAAAAACATTGAATTATTTCAATACTTTAAAGCCTGAGGATCTCCATAATGATTACGAAATTGTCCTTATTGCACACGTATTCTCAGTTAATGATGATGACGAAGCATCACAATTTTTTTTAAAAAAATATAAAGCCTCGCATGTAAATGCTACATTACAGAAACATAAGTCTATGTTTGTGGAAACAATTTCGACTCTTATTATGACAAAAATTCTTTTGTATGAAGATCCCAAGGAAGAAGTTAAATGGTTGATTGAACAACGTAGTACAGATGGTGGCTTTTATTCACCATACAGTACAGCTTTAGCACTTCAAGCTCTTTATGAATATACAAAGTTTAGAAATTTTCCCCAAACAAATCTCGATATTTATGTCAATAATACGTTAAAAGGACGACTAGATAGCTGCCTTGACAGTAAACACATTGAAATAGATTCAAAAAAGTTTTCTTTTTCAACAACAAATAAAGTTTTGTTATATTTATCGGAACATAAAGAAAATAGTCCTCAGAAATCAAATGGACAGTTTTTTAATGTAACAAATGACGTAAAAAATGAAGGAAATGGAAAATATAAAATTAACATCAAAGTAAGAATACTTGGAACGATTAAAATTTATTTTAAGACTGTGAATTTCATGATGATTGAGGTGGAAATCCCAAATGGATATAAACTTGACAAAGTTTTTCATACCAGTATGGTAAGTATAAAAAAAAGACTTTTCTTGCATTTCCATACCCTATCCCATACCCTATCCCATACCCTATCCCATACCCTATCCCATACCCTATCCCATACCCTATCCCATACCCTATCCCATACCCTATCCCATACCCTATCCCATACCCTATCCCATACCCTATCCCATACCCTATCCCATACCCTATCCCATACCCTATCCCATACCCTATCCCATACCCTATCCCATACCCTGTCCCATACCCTATCCCATACCCTATCCCATGCCCTATCCCATACCCTATCCCATACCCTATCCCATACCCTATCCCATACCCTATCCCATACCCTATCCCATACCCTATCCCATACCCTATCCCATACCCTATCCCATACCCTATCCCATGCCCTATCCCATACCCTATCCCATACCCTATCCCATGCCCTATCCCATACCCTATCCCATACCCTATCCCATACCCTATCCCATACCCTATCCCATACCCTATCCCATACCCTATCCCATACCCTATCCCATACCCTATCCCATACCCTATCCCATACCCTATCCCATGCCCTATCCCATACCCTATCCCATACCCTATCCCATACCCTATCCCATACCCTATCCCATACCCTATCCCATACCCTATCCCATACCCTATCCCATGCCCTATCCCATACCCTATCCCATACCCTATCCCATACCCTATCCCATACCCTATCCCATACCCTATCCCATACCCTATCCCATACCCTATCCCATGCCCTATCCCATACCCTATCCCATGCCCTATCCCATACCCTATCCCATACCCTATCCCATACCCTAAAAAGAATCCTTTATAAAATAAATAAAAAAAATAATTTAACACTAATAAAATGCAGAGGTCGAAGCGAGCATAGCGAAGCGAGTTTTTAGCGAGTTCGCTTCGCTAAAAATTCAACTTGCTAAAGTCGACCTGTAGCGAGAAATTTTTTTTTCTTTTCGCCTTAGCGACCTATAGCGAACTCAATTTTATTTTTTTCGCTTTAGCGAACTATTAGCGAACTTAATTTTTCAAAGTTCGCTATAGCGAACTATTGGCGAACTAGAAAAAATTTTTTGGCTTCATGTAAAGAGATGTCTGATTGCGTTTGTGAAGTATGTAATTTCATACAAAATTGCAAAAAATTATAGTTCGCCAATAGTTCGCTATAGCGAACTTTGAAAAATTAAGTTCGCTAATAGTTCGCTATAGCGAAAAAAATAAAATTGAGTTCGCTATGGTTCGCTAAGGCGAATAGAAAAAATTTTTTCTCGCTACAGTTCGACTTTGGCAAGTTGAATTTTTAGCGAAGCGAACTTGGCGAACCAAGTTCGCTTCGACCTCTGATAAAATGTCTTTTAAGTTCAAGGGAGAGTTTCAAAAAAATAATCAAATGTTATTAATTTATGGAAGAAACATTAAATGCTGCGAACATGACGTAGAATTCAGCCTTCTCCTTACCAAAATTTATTATGTTTGTAACTTGGCACCTTCCACAATAACTGTATATGATTATTACCGGCAAAGTAAGTATCAAAATTCTTTATTTAAACAATAATTTTTATAATTCTTTATTTTAAGATTTGAAAAACATCTTTAACTACACAATCGATCAGTCTGATATTTTATGTAATTGCTATAATATAAAGCATCAATAAAGACATTAAAATACTTCTTTCGACTAAGGAAGACTTATTAATAAATTAAGTATAATAAATTTTTAAGATAGCGTTGAATAAATTTAAATAATGAAATATTTACAAAAAATTTCACTAGGGTGACCATCAAATTGTTTTTTTTTTTAAACATAAACATTTTTGGATTCTTTAATTAGATAAAATACAATGATAATGTTTTACAATTAAAATTTGTCTTTTTTCCAGGGGTTGACACGATTTCATCTTTTCATCATTTTTCATCTTTTGATACAAAAATTTCATCTTAACAATAGGATTAGGGTTTTCCCGGGATCCGGGATCCCGGGATCCCGCGTTTTTTTTGGTCCCGCAATCCCAGGATTGAAACCAGCTTCAATCCCGGGATTACGGGATTGAGTAAGTAGTTAAAATTTTTTAAAAAATTAAATAATTCAAAATCATTGAAATTTTGATACTCACTGAAATTTTGTTAATATGCCTAATCACAAAAAAAATGTAAGTGAGTGACGATTTGTTTTTCTTAATTTTATTTTTACACTTAAAACATAAGAGTAGAAAAAAGGCTCTGAAGAGAGAAATTGTGATGTTTGACGACAGTGGCATCAAAGGGTCATTGCTTAACTTGACTTATGAGTATCTATTAACTGTCAAACCTACAAGTGTGGAATCTGAACGTACTTTTTCATCAACAACTAATTTTTGTAGTAAGTTTCGCACTCGACTACTTGATGATTCTTTGGATCACCTTTGCTTTCTTAAAGCCTACTTTCCAAAATGAAAACCTTATTTTAAGATTATTAGTACTTAATTTTCTTTTTTTTGCTTAATCATTAACAATAAACATACATAGAACAAATATAAAATAAGAATTTTTCTCTCAAACGAAGATTTAATGTTTTATTTATTGAAAATTTTAAGGCTTCTTTAATAATCTCTTAATCCCGGGATTGAAAATTTGGACCGGGATTGAAAACCCTAAATAGGATGAAGCAGAGCTCGAAGTCGACTGGAGTCGACTTCATTTTTTTCGAGTCGACTCCAAATCGTCCGATCAAAAATCATCAAAAATCATCAAAAATGATCAAAAATGATCAAAAATGATCAAAAATGATCAAAAATGATCAAAAATGATCAAAAATCATCAAAAATCATGAAAAATCATCAAAAATCATCAAAAATGATCATAAGCATCAAAAACGATCAAAAATCATGAAAAATGATCAAAAATCATGAAAAATCATCAAAAATGATTAAAATTTATCAAAAATCATCAAAAATTATCAAAATGTAATTCTTCAGTTCCCCACCCTTGGCAAAAATATCATGATTTTGTTATCGGTTTGAACTTTCTAAAAAAAACCAGGACATTTATGCCAAAACAGGGCACAGAACAAATTTAAAAAAAAATTACAGAAGTCCTCGTGTTATTGATCGAGGGACTTAAGCGCATTTTTGTGTTAGCGATCAGTATTTGATTATCTATTTATTTTACGTTCATTTACAGATCATTAGAAGATCTTTAATTTTAGTGTAATTGGCAAATAATTATAATGAATGCTTAAATGGAAAAGCTTTATTATTTAACGGTCAATAAATAAAAAATTAAATCTTTTACTTTTCTCTCCTCTGCGTTGACAATTAAAACAGGATTATTTCATTCTAGTAATATAATCCACTCCTTCAATAACTAATTTGAAGTTAAGCTCGTCTTTCAAGATCTTAAAGTTTACAGGACAAATTTCAATTTCCTTATCTTCATTTTCACTTTTTTGGTCAGAAACCAGTTGCATGAAGCTTTTTTGACAATCAAAATATTTTTCATGACTTTTCAAAATTCTTGGTACTATTTTATCATCTTCAATAGAAAAACCACTTTTTTTTATAGTAATAACGAATATAATCGGTTTGACATCTGCTGTCGGAACGACATTTAATTGCATGTCTCCTAAATTTTTTTCCAATGAATCTTTGAACCAGTTATAAGATTTCATATTAATTGGTTTGAAAATTGCATAACCGAAATCCACTTTTATGATGCATTTAATATATGGAGGTAATTTTTTCCAAATGTTTTTAAGAAAAGCATTATAACTTTCTCGTAATATAAAATCATGTGGATAGTTTTTATGAATAACCGTTAGACTATGTGCTTTTTGTTCGTCATAAGTAAAGCTAACATCAGCATCAGTGTTTGCAGCTTGAGTTTCAGGACCTTCTGAATTGCCAGAAATAGTAACCGAAATGCCGTTTTCTCTCTTTTGGTCATCAGCATCAGTGTACAGTTGATTTCGTGGCAGGAATGCTGTATTTTCTGCAGCTTGAGTTTCAGGATCTGTTATGATCGTAGGATCATTTTGGGATGTTTCATTGACTCCAGAGATTTGATGATTAGGCGTTTGGTTACTAGACATTTGAGTCTCTGTTTTCATTGATTTTTGAGAGCATTTTTTGACGAGAAAGATTACAGCATCGATTACAGCAACGATTAAAGCAACGCTTAAAGCAACGTTTATAACATCATTAAAGTAGTTTTGAGGTGAACCGTCGTTAAAGTTGTTTTGAGGTGGACCGTCGTTAAAGTTGTTTTGAGGTGGACCGTCGTTAAAATTGTTTTGAGGTGGACCGTCGTTAAAGTTGTTTTGAGGTGGACCGTCGTTAAAGTTGTTTTGAGGTTGACCATCGTTAAAACATCGTTTAATCAAACATATCTCATCTTCTTGCTTGTCAAGACAAAATCCTTTAACTATGAAACCAGACGGACATGATTTTTGGCAAACAAATTCTTGGCTTTCATTTAGTTGTGTGACTATTTCATTCCCATCAGTTAGATTGTTACGTACTAAAACATTATTACCTGTGTGGTCGGTATTCTAAAAATACAAAAAAAAATTAACATTTTATTCAATTAAGGATCACCAAACGTCATATATCAAAATCATGATTTTCAGCCCCTTCCCCAAATTCACGTAAGCTAATTGTTACTTACGTTGTTTTTCTGTCCACAATTATTTTTTAAGTCGTCCTGGTTGTTTCTGATATGTTCACAATGTTTTTCATCAAATTTTTCATTAAAATCCGAGCACTAAAATTGAAACAGTAAAAAATAGAAGAGTTTTTAAAAAGCTACATCGAAATCATCTAAAACTACAACTTACCGAGCTATTACTTTCATGAGTACCAGAATTAGTATATCCATTTTCCAATTCTACGCTAGTATTTTCAGCGGATGATACTACGAAAGTAATGATCTAAAAAATAGTAATTTAAGTTTAAGCTAATAGAATTGGAATACAAAAAGATTTTATTACTTCAGGACCTTTCCATGAATATTCCTTTCTTGTCTCCTCGATCGGAGCATCCTTAACGGATCCAACAAGAGTCTGAATTTAATAAAAGAGTCAGAATTTTTGAAAAATCTATTTTTAACTTATTTTAAGAATACTTACACAAAGCACCAAAAATGCAATTGTTATTATCATATTTGTTTTGATTTGTGTTAAAAAAATTAAATATTTCGTTCAGAAATATAATAAAAAAAAGATTTATCAAAAAGGCAGACCGGAAATTTATAAGAAATGTTTACAAATGTTATTTTTAGAAATGACGTCCATCAACTGTTTAAACTATTCAATTCAGTTAATTTCTTTATGTTTTGTATTTTTTTTTTTTCGAATTTTCAATTCAAGTCTAACACTTTTTACTGTTCATTCAAGATCTCTGGCTTCAAAACAACCAATTTCAGTCGTTTGGAAGACTAAAGCTTACTCTTCAAAGTATCAGCAACTTATTAGGACTCTTATTGATGTACTTTTTAATATGACATTAAGCATTATCAGCTCATGAATGTCAGAAGAAGAAGATTAGTCAGATCCATTAGTCTGGATTAGTCTGGAGAGGAAAATTGTCACAATTTTGGAAGTTTGAACCATTCAAAATAACCCGTGAAAACCACTTGTTACATTCGCTGCTGTGTAAATAAATTAACTTAAAAACTTCCAAAAAAAAATAACCGCCAAAAATTTTTCAAAATTATTTTTATTTACATTAAGCTTAACCGATTGTTTCAAAACATTAATTTTTATTATTTTATTTTAGTGATCTTCAAATTTATTTCTCATTTATTTTTTATTTTTTCTACATTTCTGATGAGTCAATCCATCAGTTTGCACAACTGACATCAAAATCTCAAAAAATCTCCACAAAATCGACATCGACTATGTCCTAAAAAGTGTCAATAAATTGTAAATCCAGTGCCATTAAGTATTTTTCACAAAAAAAAAAAAATTAACACAAAAAAAGTCAAATTTTTATACAAAAAAAAAAGTATTAACAAAGCACAAAATGAGTCGTGACGAGAGCATTGATTGGTTCCACGGTCGACTTTCAAGACTCGATGCTGAGCGAATTTTAAGTGAAGGTAAATTTGCTAAATTTCCCATCAAAAAATGACGTCATTGTCTTTAATTTTTCTAGAATCTCAAAATGTTGAAACAATTTTTCTCGTCCGCGAAAGCACCAACTTAGTAAACAATTACGTACTGTCCGTCATATATCAAGATGAATTTTATCATTATCAAATCCAGCAACACGGCGGCGATGCCTTCTTCTCAATTGACTCAAAAGACATTCATCATGGACTTGATGAGCTTATCGAATACTACAAAAGTCACCATTCAAATTTATGCACAAAACTTGAGAAGTTTGTCAAAAAAGGTCCACCGCCGAATCAGTTTTGTCGACTTGGGAAGGCAAACTTGTTGCATCGAGCCACAAAACACAATAATTTGGAAGTTGTCAAGGAGATTCTGACAACAACTTACAGTCCCGATTCTAAGGATGAGAATGGAATGACAGCTGTCCATCTGGCTGCTTACAGTAAAGTCAGTCCTGATATATTAAAGATGCTGATTGATAAAGGCGCTGTAGTGATGTGTCGAGATTCTATTGGAAATACGGCGCTGCATGTAAGTGATTAATTGACAACTTTTGGATGAGTCATCTGAATAATTGCGATATTTTGATGACGAAACTTGATTATGAATATTGAAGATTGCTCGGCTATCAGTGCAACGTTTTCCGTTTTTATGGACATGTTTATTCAATTTAAGATGTCTTATTCATCATGAGGCTGATTGTACTAGTGAGAGTCAATGTCATAGCAATCATTGAATTAATTGAAGCTTATTAAGATTAAAATAAGGACTGAGCTTCAATCGAGATTCAGCAATTCTGAGCGTCAGTCAAGCTGAGCTGAGCTTTAGTCAAGCTAAGGTTTAGTCAAGCTAAGGTTTAGTCAATCTGAGCTTTAGTCAAGCTAAGGTTTAGTCAATCTGAGCTTTAGTCAAGCTGAGCTTTAGTCAAGCTGATCTGTAGTCAAGCTGATCTGTAGTCAAGCTGAGCTTTAGTCAAGCTGAGCTTTAGTCAAGCTGATCTGTAGTCAAGCTGATCTGTAGTCAAGCTGAGCTTTAGTCAAGCTGAGCTTTAGTCAAGCTGAGCTTTAGTCAAGCTGATCTGTAGTCAAGCTGATCTGTAGTCAAGCTGAGCTTTAGTCAAGCTGATCTGTAGTCAAGCTGATCTGTAGTCAAGCTGAGCTTTAGTCAAGCTGAGCTTTAGTCAAGCTGAGCTTTAGTCAAGCTAAGGTTTAGTCAAGCTAAGGTTTAGTCAATCTGAGCTTTAGTCAAGCTGAGCTTTAGTCAAGCTGAGCTTTAGTCAAGCTGAGCTTTAGTCAAGCTGATCTGTAGTCAAGCTGAGCTTTAGTCAACCTGATCTGTAGTCAAACTGAGCTTTAGTCAAGCTAAGGTTTAGTCAAGCTAAGGTTTAGTCAATCTGAGCTTTAGTCAAGCTGAGCTTTAGTCAAGCTGATCTGTAGTCAAGCTGATCTGTAGTTAAGCTGATCTGTAGTCAAGCTGAGCTTTAGTCAAGCTGAGCTTTAGTCAAGCTGATCTGTAGTCAAGCTGATCTCTAGTCAAGCTGAGCTTTAGTCAAGCTAAGGTTTAGTCAAGCAAAGGTTTAGTCAATCTGAGCTTTAGTCAAGCTGAGCTTTAGTCAAGCTGAGCTTTAGTCAAGCTGATCTGTAGTCAAGCTGATCTGTAGTCAAGCTGAGCTTTGGTACAGCTGATCTGTAGTCAAGCTAAACTTTAGTCAAGCTGATCTGTAGTCAAGCTGAGCTTTAATCAATCTGAGCTTTTGTCAAGCTGATCTGTAATAAAGCTGTTATGTAGTCAAGCGGAGCATTAGTCAAGCTAAACTTTAGTCAAGCTGAGCTTTAGTCAAGCTGATCTGTAGTCAAGCTGAGCTTTAGTACAGCTGATCTGTAGTCAAGCTAAACTTTAGTCAAGCTGATCTGTAGTCAAGCTGAGCTTTAGTCAATTTGAGCTTTAGTCAATTTGAGCTTTAGTCAAGCTGAGCTTTAGTCAAGCTGAGATTTAGCCATGCTGAGCGTCAGTCAAGCTTAGCTTTCGCCAAGCATTAGTCAAGCTAAGTGGTTATCTAGCTGAGCGTCACTCAAGTTAAATCTTACTCAATCAAGTCTCGAATTTGTTCAAAAATATTCAACTAATCCAATTCTTATTTTTTAGTACGCCTGCCTTCACCAATGCAAAGAGATGGTCGAACTTCTTGTCAATGCCAACATTAATTTAATTCACACTCGGAACAATGTAACCGGATTAGTGCCACTCCATGAGGCTGCTAAAGTTGGAAATATAGAAATTGTGAAATTTCTGCTATCCCACAACGCAGCAAATCTACCAAGGACAACAAATGGATTATTTCCAAGTGATTTTGCCAGAGATAATGGCCATATTGATGTTGCTGAGTATTTAGAGAATTATTTTCCGGAAATCAACACATTTAGTCACAAGTGGCATCATGGTACTTTGGATAGAGAAGGTGCTAGAACGTTGTTACTGAAGAAACGGAACGAGTTGTATGAGAAGTTCAAAGAAGAATATCCAGAGACAGAGAATGTTTATGTTAATGATAGTAAGGAGATTAATGATCTGATTTCTGGACTATTCTTGGTCAGATCTTCTGAGAGGAATAAGGGATTAGACGTAATAACGATGCTGCATGATGATGAACTGAAGAATATAAGGAATTATGTCATTCAGAAGACAGTGAGTGCTTCTAATAGATTTGATCTAAACTTATCCCTAAGTAGCCTGAATTGAACCTGTCCCTGACAATCTCGAACTCGAAAACTCAATTTGAAACTATCCCTTGAGACATCTTAACTGAACGTTAGCTGAAAGTATCCATTAAGAAATTTAACTGAACTTATCCTTTGACAGTTATTGAACTAAACTTATCCCTTTTCTTGAATTGGACTTATCCTTAATAATAATTAAACTGAACTTATGATTAAAAAAATCTAAATTGAACATATCCCTTGCAAGAACAAACTGAACGTATCGATTAGAATCATGATCTTACCATTTCCTTTCATTTTAGGGGAAACATGTCTTCATCGACGACGGTCCATTCCTTCCATCTCTGGAGCACCTCATTAGTTACTACATGACATTCGCTGACGGTCTTCCAGTAAAATTATCAAAAATTGTTGAGCCAATTCCAAAGCCACCAATTCCAATTCCACCAAATGTTCCGCGAAAAGACAAGCTAAGACAATCCGGTCATTCCTTTGACTCCTTATCATCAATTAAAAGCCCAACGTCACCAAGTGAAGTAAGCATTCCAGACTCAATAAGTCCAACAAAAAGTGAAAACTCCTCAAAGCATAAAGGCTTGTCGACGTGGTTTAGGAAGAAGAAGCACTCACTTCCATTAATAGATAAGGACGTAAAGGAACCAGCCGTACAGATAGACAAGTTCAACAAAACAATTTCTTTCTCAACAGATTTCCTGAATAATAATTGTGTTCCAACAACAAGTCAGTCAATGCAGGATAACTATGATGTTCCTCAAAAAGTTAAAGCTGGACCAGTTCCAGCTCTGCCAACTTCCCATTCCTCCTCATCAATACAGGACCAAACGAATTACTTTACAGAAAGTGACAAAAAGGTTTTAGACAATCAAGAAGTGAACGACAACTGCATTGAAGAAATTTACTTCCGCGATCCACCAAAGGAGTTTGAAAAACCTGAATGGGAACAACTTGATCCGGAGCTTTACGATACCCAGAAGAATTTGATGCTTCAAGTTCAACAAACGACAGGAACTAATTATTATGTATCCAAAGAAGATTTAAAAGCTGAAAAAGAAATTGGATCTGGTGAGTTTGGGAATGTCTTGAGAGGAATAATGAGGATGCCGGACGGACGGAAGACCCTCGTAGCAATCAAGTCACTCCATAAAGAGCACTACGAAGAAAACTATCACGAATTCCTAAGAGAAGCATCAGTCATGATCAAATTAGACAATCCATATATCGTAAAGCTAATTGGAATCACAAAAGGTCCTCCAATCGGACTCGTACAAGAATTGCTTCCTCTTGGTTCACTAGCTAATTACATCCTCGAACACATACCTGAGATCGATAACAAAGACATCGACAAGTGGGCTTCACAGATTGCCTTAGGTATGGAATATTTGGAATCAAAGAGATTTGTGCACCGAGATTTGGCATCGAGAAACATTTTGCTAGCTGCGAAGGATCACTGCAAGATCAGTGATTTTGGATTGTCTAGGGCACTTGGTGGTGAGGACTTTTATCAATCACAGACTGGTGGACGATGGTGAGTATATAATTTGGGCATATATTGAAGATAATTGAATCAATTTTGTTATTTTTGTGTCAAATTATGTCATCTTGGGGTTTAATTTGGTCATCTTGGGGATGAATTTGGCCATCTTGGTGTTGAATTTGGTCATCTTGGGGTTGAATTTGGTCATCTTGGTATTGAATTTGATCATTTTGAGGTGCAATTTGGTCATCTTGGTATTGAATTTGATCATTTTGAGGTGCAATTTGATCATCTTGGGGTTGAATTTGGTCATATTGTGGTTAGATTTGGTCATCCTAAAATTTAATTGAAATTATCATTCCAGGCCCTTAAAATGGTACGCACCGGAGAGCTTTGGTGGTAAATTCTCACATGCCAGTGATGTCTGGAGCTTTGGTATAACGTTATGGGAATTATACTCGAGAGGTGAGACACCGTATGGAGACATGACTGGAACGCAGGTAAGATATTATTAGGCTGTAATAAACAAATTCCCCATATAGAACATTCAGTAAATATTACTTCTCAATCCAAAACTAGGTCAACGATTTCATCGAGAAAGGAAACAGACTCCCCAAACCCGATCAATGTCCAGACAGAATATACAAACTAATGACAGACTGCTGGCAATATCGAGACAGATTGAGACCAAATTTCAAATTTCTAGCTAGATTCTTTATCAATCGAATTGAAAAGCCAGGAGATGAGGACTTTACTGATGAAAATATTGAAAATTATGAAGGGAATGACAAGCATTCGAGTACTGTTTATGTTTAATTATTGATAGTCTGGTTTAAATTTTAAATTGTTTTTATTTTGAAGTTATTAATCTCAAAGATTGAACCTTGTGAATCTTTTGCCTTAAATTTTAAAATGTTAAATGATTTTATTTTTGTAAAAGAAAAAAATGTTAAAAAATTTATAATATTTTTATATTGAATAATATTTTTGTATTTAGATGAAGAATAACAATAAAGTATGTACAAATATGTTTTTTAAAAAATAGCCTTTTTGCTGATTTATAAGTTAAGGCTTTTAAAAGGGAAAGGGGGTACAAAACTATGAAGCAAGACTCAAAAGGAGAACAAAACTGCAAAGCAAGACTTAAAAGAAGTATAAAACTATGAAGCAGGACTTAAAAGGGGTATAAAACTATGAATATGGAATCAAAAGGGGTATGAAAGACAAATTAAGATTCAAAAGGGGTGTGAAACTATGAATTCTGACTCAAAAAAGGTGTGAAGCTTTGAACAAAGACTCAAAATTTGTATGATACTATGAACTTAGATGCAAAAGGGGTATAAAACTATGTAGTTGAATTCAAAAGGGGAATGAAACTATTTAGTTGAATTCAAAAGGTGAGTGAAACTATGAAAATATATTCAACAGAGAGTAAAACTGAAAAACTTAACCTATAATTTACTTTTTTAATATTTTAATCACTATGTCATAAATTATTTAAGGATTTCATTCATTAAAATATTACAACATTAAGAATTCATAGCAAAATTGAAAAAAAAAGTTCTCATTAGGAAGAAAACTTTTCATTCCAGTCAGAAAATCGGATGTGAAAAGTTGAAAAATTTAAATAAAATTCAGAAATGAGAATCAAGAAATGTCCAAAAATCTCAAAGTTTGTCCACAATTTCATCACTCCGACCTCAATCAAACCGCTCGAGGACAGGACATTCTTCAAGACATTTTGGCGCTTCGTAACTTTATTTGGACTTTTGCCGCGAAAGCTCACAATAAGTCAAAAGCATCGAGCAATTTTGTTGTTCTTAACATGCTGTGTTCCTACTGTTGTTCAACTGTTCGGATCAGTCATCATGTCAACAGATTCTGAAGATAAGGTTCGTGGGATACAGACAATTCCTGTCCTTTTCCTGATGATCTTCGATGCATCAAATTTTGTTATAAAGTCAAGAAAAATTGAGGATTTTTGTGAGAAGTTCAATGCAGTCATGGAAAAGTACAACGATGAGAAGTTTTGTAGCTCAAAGTTCCGGTCAACAAACCTTTACTTCATCACATCAGGACTATTCCTACTCGGTTCTGTAACCAGCAATATGGTTGTATTCATATTGACAGGAAAAAGTGGAATTCCAACTGTAAATATTTATGGAACTTACGGATTGGTCTTATTAATGGCTACACAGCTTATGTTCATGCTCTATACAGGTGCAATCTATTTGTTCCTTGATGCCTTCATGTGTTCCTTATTGTTCCTACTTAGTGGATATTCGGAGCATCTGCCGGGCCACTTCAAGTCAATGAAAATTGAAAACGTTCGAGAAATTGTTGAAATACACTTGGAGTTCAAGAAGTAAGTTCCATTGCGTCATTGAGTGACTTCTCACGGTCAAAAAGTTTTCGTCAATGAAGTTTTGATATTTTTTTTTAAATTTTCATGAAATTTTAATCAGCATGGTCGCGTCTTACGAGGAAATATTTTCAACTGCTATCATGTTGCGTGGATTGTTGAATGTTTTTGCACTGTCGTCGATTGTTTTGGAGATTGTTGATAATGTAAGTTGTGCTTTGAGATTAATTGAGGTTAAGATTCTAAATGTTCAGGACTGATGAGACTGAATTTTGAGGTTAAGGTCGGAAGTTTGGAGTTAGATCTTGAGTTTTAGGGTTGAAGTTTTGTATTTTGAGGTTAGTATTCTGAGTTTTTAGGTGTGATCCCGATTTTTGAGGTTAAAATTTTTTATTTTAAATCCAGAGACTTAAGGTAACAATTATGTATTTAGAGGTTAGAATCCTGAAATTTGAGGTTATAATTCAAATTTTTTGAGGTTAGATCCTGAGTTTCGAGGTTAAAATTTTATATCCCGAGTTTAGGATTCTGAGTTTTGAGGTTAAGATCCAAAATTTATTTGAGGTTAGTTCCGGCGTTTTGGGATTTAAAATTTTTAATTTTGAGGTTAAGAACCCGAGTTTTGAGGTTATGAGCCATATTTTAAGACTATGTTCTTATTCTTAGGGCATATCCGGAATGTCATTCAACGTTCTCTTCTTCGGCTTCAACGGACTTTTCAAACTATTCACACCTTGTTGCTATGGAAGCTTTATTGAGCAAGAATCTGAAAAAATGTTTAGAAATCTCTTTAACTCAACCTGGCTAGACTCCAAGTTAAGTGACAAAAGGAAGCTTTTAGTGCTCCAGCAGAACTTTGAAAAGAACTTAAAAGTCAGAGCTATGAAAATTGTCGAAATCAACTTGGAAACATTTGTTAAAGTAATTCAATGGACATATTCAATGTATGCAGCACTTTGGGCACTCAAGAATAAGCAATAACTTTCAAAATTTATTCAAAACTTCACAACAGACTAAAATGTTTACTTTTAAATTCACAATAAAAATATTTTTCATCATTTTCACGATCAAATCCGTCAGTTTTAATATTAAAATTTCCCCTCACACTCGACAGACTCACACACTCGTCATGTTCATAAATTTTCACCCAAAACTCGACGCTCTGCTCTCGAAATTGCTTTGTTGTGAAGTAAAAAATGAGCATCATGTCAAAATCGTCGTTGATTGTGTAAAGCTGCATGTCATTTTGTGTGCAAATTTCATCAGCTCGATGACATGTGTGAGGGGATTTGACAAGACATGCAGTTTTGCCGTGCCATGTTCGCGATGAGGTGCATATTGACATGTTTGCTGGAAGTTAAAAATTTAGCATTGATGATTTTTGGGGTTAATTAGGAAAATTGAAGAGGTCAAAAACTTTTTTCCAGTTAGGTTATTATTATTATTATTATTATATTTATTAAAACTTTCAAGAGCCAGGTTGTTCTCCCCTTGACTTAAATGATCGGTTAATCACTAGTCTTTAACATAAAACTTCAGTTATTGAACATAAATGAACTCTTACCTGCAGACACAGCACTGTAAGCTCCTATGTTGAGTAAAATGAGGATTACTAAATTTTTATGCATTTTTTCTATCCTGTTTCTTGACTTATGCTGCCTTTTTTGACATTTTTTTCACAAATTCTTTAACTTTTGCATCACTTAGCTCAACTGAGAGCTTTATACATCATTGATTTGTTTAGTTTTGGACACTAAAGATGACTTGTATCAATTGAAGGATGCTAAAAGCAGGTAAGTAGCCGAATATTCCTTATTGACTGCAATATCCACTGCCTGCGAATAGATTTTGTTTCATCTAAGCTCGGACTACTCGCAATTGTTTATGCTCATTTTAGATGAAAACAAAACATAAATTTTTTTTGAGTTGTAAATTAAAGCCGCAATACACTTGACACTAATTTAAAATAATTTAAGCACAGGAGTGGATAAGCTGGAGATGTTGATATGATTGACTGATGTTTGGGTAAGGCATGGCTCCTTAAAACCGGTCCCTAGGCTACACCAAGACTACATCCGGGCATCCAGATGATCTCCGAATACTTGACACTCAACCAAGACTAAACCTATTCCAAACAGCACACCGACTATCCACATCTGATCATTCAGCAAGTCCAGGCGCGTAACCAGGAAAGGGAGGGGGGGGAAGGGAATTTTGGGGCAAATCCACCGACGTTTACAGAAATTTCTTCATTTTGTTAGGAGTTTTATGAAAAAATCCCCCCCTTCCCCCTGAATTTTCCATATAAATTTTTTTGCATCCCCCCCCCCCTTCAAATTCCTGGCTACGCCCCTGAGCAAGTCACAACATCATGATAAAGTTTTCATGAATGAATGTGTTTGTGTTTGTAGAGAAACAACAACAAAAACCGGGTCATTTAAACAGGCGATAAATAAAATTGACAATGAATGAATGAGTGAAGGTTTTGTCATTATATGAACAGCTGATTTGATGATGTGTGATAGGGCTGGTGCTGCTATTGTAGAATAAATTCTAATATTTAATTCAAATTAATTTATTTGCTCATTATTCTCATCTATAAAGCTTATTAATAACATTTTGATATTTTTTCTGAACATCTTTCCTCTTAATCTTAAAAGCTGCTGTCACTAGTCCAGAGTCAGGTGTCCATAGCTCTTTGCAGAGTGCGATTTTCGTTGGAATTTCAAACTTATTCAGACCACGTTCTCTGCCATAATTTGCTAGTAAGTCATTTGCTGCTTTAATTACATCCTGATTCTCACAAAGATCATCAAAATCTTGATTGATTCCTATTGATTCAGCTAAATCCATCAATCCTCTCTCAGCTGGCTGCACTAAAGCCATACAGTAAGTCTTTGTCGAGTCAGCATAGATGCAGACGTTCTCAACAACTTTACATGTCTTGAGAATCGATTCAATTCGTCCTAGTGAGATGTATTCACCGTGCTGGAGCTTTACAAGGTCCTTTTTGCGGTCTAGAAAATTGAGAATGATCAGAATTTCGGTAAAGGATACAAGTAGGAAAGTCGCTGACAATGAGTGACTAAAGCGCATTTTTCAAAAGTTTACTAAAGATCTCTAAATAGTGTTCAGAAAAAAAGTTCAATTTCAAAAGATTTTTCGACAAAAAAAGTATGAACATCAGTTTCAAATTATGACTAGAGCGCATTTTTTAAAATTCTGTAATTTTTCGTAATTTCTGAATAATTTAATAATTTAATGGCCCCTGCAAAGCTTAGGAAATCAAATCTATAATCTTTGATGAAAAATCACCAACTCAAGAAAGAAAGTCACCACCAAATATTTTTTAAAGCGCAATTTTCCTTTCTAAATTTTCTCACCAATAATTTTGATAGTTCCATCGCTCTGTATTTCACCAACATCACCAGTTCTAAACCATCTCGCAGTCTCGTCCTCATAAAACGAACCTTCTGTCTCCTCAGGCATCTTATAATATCCATCAGCAATATTTTCACCTCCAATCAGCACCTCACCTTGTGGATTTGGTCGATTTGTGACAAAATAGTTTCCCTCTTCCCAGTTGATCAGCCTTATATAGTTTGTTGTCACTGGACATCCTGATCTACCTGTTGACATGTCGTATTTATCCATTAGTGAACCTGATGCACTTGTTTCTGTGCAGCCATAGCCTTGTGCTGTATTGACGCAAAGACAGAGGCGAATTGTCTCGTGGGTTTCTGGAAATTGTTCAAAGTATCATCAATTTTGGTAAAATGGACATTAGCTGAAGAAGTCAAGCTTACCTGGAGACAATGGAGCACCGCCACTAACCACAGCTCTTAAATTACCACCAATAATATTTTTCACTTTTTTAAATACAATTCTATCAACTATTGGAGTTCCATAGCCTCTTTTGAACCACTTCTTCTTATAGTTGTAAGCAAAATAGAACAAAATTCTAGTCATTAATGGACCTTTGTCAACTTTATCTCTTATTCCTTTAACAATTCTATCAAGCAGCAATGGAACTGATGTCATGACAGTCGGCTTTAGCATTCTTGCATCGCCAACTTGTCCTTTGGATATTTTAGGGCTGCTGTCGATTAGAGTTAAGGGACTTGAGTAGCCAATTGGCACACCAGCAAGCATTGAGCAGCATTCAGCTAGTAGTTCGTAGCAGTGAGCTAAAGGAAGGAGACCAAGGAGGATGTCAGTTGGGTAGATGTCATACTGGAAGAATTAAAACTATTAATAAAGGTTTTAAGAAATTAAAAAAAAAAACCTTACAAAATCCAAAAATCCTTTCATAGTTGTCAATAGATTGTTATGGGTAAGCAGGACACCTTTAGGCACTCCAGTCGACCCAGATGTGTACATCAGTATGGCAAGGTCATCTTTTGTTGGTGAAACATTAGCTGAAAACAGGAAATTATCAGTTTAAACCATAGCATCTGGTATTAAGGACATGAAACAAGATCAATGGCTCAATTGTGCATTAAGCAAGGAATCCTTGGTCAGTGTCACAGCCCACAACCCCAAAACAACTCACCAAAAGTGCTCCTCTTCCCCATTTCCACAACATCTCTATACCCCATCACATTAAGCTTCTCCAATCCATCAATGTTAGTCTTATGCAGCTGATCCTCAAAGTAAATTATAGTCCTTACCAAAGGAACCTTATCCAAAATCTTCTTAACCTTCGGCATTAAATCGTGTGACGTGATAACAACAGAAACTTCAGTCTGATTAATTGCATGAGTAATTCCATCCTCGCCAAGTGTCGCATAAATAGTCGCAACTCCACAGCTATGCTTAAACAATCCCTGAGCAGCAATCATCCACTCAGCACGAGTCTCAGCAAAAATTGCAACTCGTTCGCGAGGAATCACACCAAGTTCACGAACTCCTCGTCCAAAATGTTGAGCTTCAAGTTCAGCATCACGAAAACTTCGCCATTTATAGCTGCCCATGATGTACTTTTTCATGATTTTTCCATCTGCTTGGACTTCTTCGTGTTCCTCGAGGATTGATCGAGTTCCAAGGCAGTTGCGATTTGCGTGGATTTTTGTGACGAGGGAAAAGACTTTTTCAAGAGTGTCCGCTTGTTCTTTGATGACTAATTTGTGGTATTCACCAATTGGATGGTCGGATTTGTAAGTCGCTTGATGTCGATCGCTGCTGATGCATTTTGACTGGAAGATGAAAGCTATTATTGAGATTTTTGAGGTTGTTTGGGTTAGAAATGATGGATTATATAGTTTGCGGCTTGATTCTCTCATTCCTTAACATCACGCGATGTTATTTACATTTTTTAATCAATTGTAAACAACAATTGATAAGATAATGCGGAAAGAATCATTATCAGTCTCGCTTAAAGCAGTTATTGTCTATGTTTTGGAATTGAAAGTGGAAACGACACATGTCTTGATATAAAACCCGGAAAAGTGAAACTTTCGCGCCAAAAAGTATTCTTGTGTTGTCCAAACTTTTAGAGCCACGGCACACCTTAGAGGTAAGTTGTGACCAAAAGTCGCACACAGCATGGGGCTTGCGTCATTTCCAAAAACATTTCGGCACACAGTTTTGACAACACTGAATTAGGCGATCTAATCAAGTCACAAAATTTAATATCAGCAGAACATCACGATTATATAAAGGACATTAAAGCACGAAGCATTCCTAATCAAATCAAACAACAAAAGTGTGAAATAAAAAAACTTTTCCGGTTTCACTTAATCAAGCTTCAATGTTTACAGTTTCACTTATCAAGATTATGATTTACAATATTACAAAGTCCAATTTTGTAAGAATGTAATGATCGATTAAGGCAGTGGGATGATTAGAAAAAAAAAAAAAAAAAAAAAAAAAAAAAAAAAACCTTTACCTATTCAGATCAATTGTGATCCAGAGGTGCGCTAGGGCGATTCGCAGCTAATGTGAGTTTAACGAGTGAGGATGCGCCAAATCACTGCACTCAAACCTAGACCTACAATTTATAGTGGGATCCGAACCACTCCTTTGATGACATTTCTGTCTGTAGCCTACAAAGGAAGGCTGTGAGCCTCATTTCCAGTACATATGATTCGAAAAAGCACAAGTGAAAAATTTCCCATATCCAGTCTCGAACCCATGATCGCTGTGTCGGTATTGCAATAATTAGGTACCGAAGTACTAAACCATTCCGCCACTGAGCCACTTCAGCTCACTGGGATGATTAGAGTTTCTACAAATCAAGGATGAAAAATCCACTTATTGTTTATGATTTTGTTGAGATTAACAGCTGAGGATTGAGATTAGGATTTTATTGACAGATGTGTAGCTGGTTTTGACTTGATATGTAACGTTTTGATTAGATCAGGGGCGTATCCAAGAATTTGAAGAGGTGGGGACAAAAATTTTTTTGTATTTAGGTGGGAGGGGGGTGGGTGAATTTTGGTGATTTTTCCCTAAAATCCCTAGCAAAATAAAGAAATTTCTGTTTACGTTGGGGGATTTGTCCCCTAAATCCTACCCCCCCCCCCTGGCTACGCGCCTGGATTAGATTTATCAATATTTGAATTGGATAGTTTCAACTTTAGTTGATATTAAGTCTTCTATTTTGAACTTTTAGTTGAAATTTGTTTTAGTTTCTCAAAAGACTACTTCGAAGTCTACTTTGGGTACCCAACCCGAATCATAGTCAATTTATATTAAATCCCCCAAAAGTTTAAAGCATCAATTTTTACTTCAAAGCAGAGCTCGAAGTCGATAGGGTTCGAGTCGACTCGACTCGACTCAAAACCGAGTCGACTCAAGAACTCGAACTTTTCTCAAGAGCTGACTCGAGTCGACTTCGAGCTCTGCTTCAAAGTGCTCATGAGCTGAGGTCCGTTTCTAGGTCTACCCGGGGGACCCCAGCGCAGGCGTGTAGTCAGGGAAGGGGGGGGGGGGGGAGGGTTGTTGGGTGACAACAGAAACGTTACCAGAAATTAATTTTCATATAGAAGCGTTTTCATGAAAAATTTCTAAATCACCACCCCCCCCCCCTCTTAAATTTTTAATTTGAAATTTTTTTTTCACCCTTCTTCAAGGGACTAGGGTATTTCTCAGGTAGACCTAGAAACCGGCCTAAAATCTAAACTTTTTTAAAAATTGAACAATTCAAGGGGAAAACAACATGATGGGAAATTTTCAATCTTGTCAAAACCTTAAGAAAGTCAATTTTAACAAAAGATTGTTAACGTTGACTTAATTAGCTTCACAAAAGGGGGACAACAACTTGATGAAAAAAATTTTCATGAGATATTTGCCATCAACTCGATTCCTCCTCAGGTTGTTTCCTCCTTAGAGCCATCATAAAATTTTACACTGATATGTTAACTAAACATAGCTAAGCTGTAGTCATTGTGGTTGTCATGTTGTGTCCCCCTTGCCTGAATAGCCTTGAAAGATGTTGTCAGGATTAACTTTCATTAGGGATTTCCCCAAATTTCTTTAAAAATTATCTCTTAATCCTCATTCAAATGTCCAATGTTTATCATACTTTTGATAGATTTAAAATGACAATAGAACTAATCCAGAGATTAAAGATAAGTGTTCGTAGGTGAGCTTCACAATAACTTTCAGATGATTTCATCGAGTCGTGTGCGTCAGTCAATCAAAAATCCGAAGATTTAGGATCTTAATGTAAACTTAACTTTGTCATATTTTGAATCCAAGCGCTTATTTTATTAAAAATAACTCAACAAAGAGCATTGACTCACCTTACACTTGTTGGCAAGCTCCAAATTCTTCCAAGGACGTTGAATGAAGAAGTATAGCGGAAGTGTCAGGACATCGTAGATGAACAAGATGATGTAAAGTGTTGAGTAGAGTAATTTTTCAAGAATTTGATTTGTCATGGTTTAAAGTTCTGTGGAAAATTATTTAAAAATTATTTTTTTTGCAAATATTTGGGGGCTGCTAGAATTGCAGGGTAGGGGGTTAACTCATGGCTACGCCTTACAACAAGAAAAACAATTCCGAAATAAAAACTTTTAAAAACACTTGAGATTCTTAATTGCTGATAATTAATTAATATTGGGTTGTAGAACCTATTTAAAGTATCAAAAGCATTAAAATAGGGATTGTCATGATAAGATAAAGGTATAACCTAGTTTTTATATTCTATATAGCTGTTGACGCTGATATAATAATTAAAAATTAATACATTCAACAATTGGCAAAGTCAAAAAGTCAACTGCAAAGGGGTCAATAAGCACGCGGTCATGTTACTTTTATTTTAATATTTAATCGATTTTTGACGTTACCTTGAACTAGGTTTACTTAATTTTTTATTTCTAAAATTCTGTTTTTATTGCTTTAATTTTTGTCTAAATTTTTCACATTTCACAAATCAAAATTCAACTTAACTCTTTTTGCGACGGAATGTAGAACGAGAGTGAGAATGACGAGGAACTGAATAAAAGTAAAAATCAACTACAGGAAAAAACACAGTGTTAAGTTTGTATTGTTATCAGCAGTTTTTTGTGTTGTTTATTTAACTCTTATCAAGAAAATTTACTCACGTGTAAAAATTGCATGTGTTAATGTGCGAGATTGATGATGATTTTTGTGGTGATAATGATGATGATGACTGAGGGTTGGGTGCGGTTGTGAAAATGAACTTTTGATTCTCAACTTTTTACTTTTTAAAAATTCAATTTTTTGAAATTTTTTGAGTTTTTAAATTTTGACTTTTTAAGATTTAAATTTCTTAAGATTTTTGATTTTTTAAATTTTTTGATTTGTTAAGTTTTGACTTTTTATGATTTAAATTTTTAAGATTTTTTATTTGTATTGACTTTTTATGATTTAAATTTATAAGATTTTTAAGTTTTTAAATTTTTGACATTTTGAGATTATATTTTTTTTGATTTGTTAAATTTTGACTTTTAAAAATTTAAATTTTTGATTTTTTAAATTTTTGACTTGTGAAGATTTTGATTTTTTAAGTTTTTTGATTTGTTAAATTTTGACTATTTGAGATTTAAATTTTTTGAAATTTTTGATTTTTAAATTTTGACTTTTTAAGATTTAAAATTTTAAGATTTTTAAATTGTTAAATTTTTGACATTTTAAGATTTTTTTAAGTTTTTTGATTTGTTAAGTTTTGACTTTTGAAAATTTTGATTTTTTAAGTTTTTTTATTTGTTTTGACTTTTTATGATTTAAATTTTAAAGATTTTTAAGTTTTTAAATTTTAGACATTTTGAGATTTTATTTTTCAATTTTTTTGATTTGTTAAATTTTGACTTTTTAAAATTTAAATTCTTGATTTTTTAAATTTTTGACTTTTGAAGATTTTGATTTTTTAAGTTTTTTGATTTGTTAAATTTTGACTATTTGAGATTTAAATTGTTTGAATTTTTGAGTTTTTAAGATTTTTGACTTTTTAAGATTTTTGACTTATTAAGAATTTGATTTTATAAGTTTTTTGACTTTTTAAAAATTTTACTTTTGCCTTTTTGATTTTTTTAACTTTTTAAAAATTTTTAAAAATTTTTTTTTCTGTTGAATTCTTAAAAAGTGTTTCTTTTCAAATTCCAATATTTTTAAAAATTTAAAGACTTAAAAAATAATTCAAAACCTTTTGAATTCCAATAAAAACTTAACAAATTATTGCATAATATAATAAAGTAATTTAAATAATTTTATTCCCACAATTGACATTGACTAAGTGAACATTCTCTTATTACAACAACAAAAAATATTAAATTAATCAATTCCCAATGTCAACATTAAATTAAAATCCAAAAAAAGCTCTCCCAAAAATGAGCTTTCATTGATAACAATTTTATCAAAACCTATTCCCGACCAGATAACAACGACAGTCACAAAAATTATCATTTTTTTTTGATAACTAAGAGTTATTTTTTTTATTTTAATTTTTTTTAATTTAATGAGAGAAAAAAAGAAGTTTAATTTGATAATTTTTTGTTGACAACTCTCAGTCGCTCACAGTTTGCATTTAAGATCGGTCGAGTGAGGAAGTTTATTTGAGATTTTAAGCATTGAAAGTGATAAAAAAGAAGTTTAAGGTAGGATTTTTAGGTTATGTTAAGTGTTTATGGATTTTTGTGGTTATTAGTGAATTTATAGAACTGATTTTGGTTGTCATAGCTTCGTTACTATTAAAATGGTCACACTGATCCCTTAAATTAAGTGTTAGCACCCTCAGCTAAGGTCTTAAGCTCATCCGTTACCCCTCACAAATCTATGCATCACTCACAAAACTCAATCATTTCTCACAATAAATAGCAAAATATTCTCAGATCGTGTGCTTAAAGCTAAAGTCCAATTATTAAAAAATGCAAATTAAACTGAGGAAATCAACTTGCATCACTTTTATGTGTCATACGATTGTCATTCAAGAAACAAAGTAATGTGCTTAACATTCTTGGATGGTTTAGGACTTAAAGAACAGCTCGTAATGTGTTAAAAGCTTGGCAATTTCCAAAGAACACATCATTTTGTGTAGATTTTAATTTAAAGAATAGGATTCAGTCTATTTAACTCCTTCCTAACGCTCCTGACAACAGCATCTGGATTCACAAGATCCATCTCTGACAACGGCACTCACTAGATCTGCATGCGTTCGGTTTAAGTCGAATTTAGCACTGATCCATCACAAGACAGGCTTTATGTCACTTTTTATAGCATCTCTAGCGTAATTTGCCACTTATTATCAGTGTCTCTGTCCATGACAAGCCTTAGAACTTTCAAAGAACCACTTTTGAATAATTTTGCTTACTATTAAGATTAAAATCAATCAAATCTAACAAAATATTCATTTAATTCTTCTTAAAAACGTAATCTTTTAAGTCAGTGGTGCACAACCTTTTTTTTGTGCCACGGTACACTATGATAGCAAGCAATGATCAAAACCGCACACTGCATACGGTTCGTAAGTGTTTTGAAATCTATTCGCGAAATTTTAGTAGTACCGCGGCATATGGGTTCATCAGAACTGCAATATTTCCTTCAAAACGTTAGTCCAATTATTAGTAAATGATCATTAATTTCAATCCACATGCAAACAAAACGACGAAAAGAGTCAAACCTGATTATATTTTCAAGTCCACATTCTCAAGTTCAAGTGAGCAGCGCGCGCACTTTGTTCCGCTACAATTATATGCAATCAGTAATCACTGATAAACTTTTCTCTACCTTAAATCACAACATTCTGTCATAATATCATTCATGCGACTGGTGCCATGCTGCCTTATCGGAAATTACACAATTGAATAAAGTTCTTGTTGTTGTTGTGGGGAACAACGATTATCGTGCAACTTTTTATTTATTTTCGTTTCGCAGACAAGGTCAAAGTCTGTTTTTAAGTCTTAAAATAAAATTAAATTAGATTAAAATTAACAGCAACGAAGGTCATCGGCGAAAGTTTGTCAACAAATGATTATAAAAATGTGAATGATTGTGTTGGGAGGGACAAGGATGGGACACTTGGGATGAAAAGTATTTTATCTGATGAAATTCTGGTACAATAATTATTTTTCGGATGAAATTTGACCAAAATCTTTTATCTGCTGGAAATCTGCCAATAAAACTGACTTTTGGGAGAAATTCTGGCTCAGAAATAATAGTCGGCTGAAAATCTTGCACAGTCCTAATTTTGAGTTGAAATTCTGGCACGGAAAACATTTTTCTGGTGAAATTTCAGCCAAAAAATATTTATCCGCTAAGAATCTGGCACAAAAAATTATCTGCTTAAAATCTGTCACAAAAATTTATCTGCTTAAAATCTGTCATAAATATTTTTTTGTCAAAATGGGTTTTCCCGCCAAAAATCATCAACCAAAGTGGGCAAACCTGAACAAATACTTTACACACAATCACACCATTCATTAAAATGTATAAACAGCGATTAACAATGATTAATGTTAACGGCAAAACAAAAACTATGACGATTTCATACGGCGAAAGTGTTGTCGGTGATTTCTATTTATTTTTTTATGGTTTTTGTATTTTTTTACTCTCCATCGTATGTCGTGATTATGTTGATGTAGGTCATGTAGTGCAGTTTATTGATGCAGTTGCTCATGAAAAATGTGAAATTATTTTTTTTTATGTTCATTTGAGTATTTTATGTTGGATGTTTAGTTGATATTTGAACGGTGGAAGTTGATCTTGTGTGGAGAGTTGGAGGTTTTGTTGGACTAGCTTGTGACTTTTTTTTTAAATTTTTTCAAAATTGCTAAATTCGTCAATTTTTTACATTTTTTGAAGTTTTTAAAAATATAAAATAATTTTTTTTTTTTAAATTTTTTCAGTTTATTTTAGGGGCCGTTCACTTATATCGTCCAGGTGGGGGGGGGGGGGGGGGGGGGTCAGATAGAAAAGAAAAATAGAAATTCCTGGAAATCCATTGTTCTTTTTTGAAAAATGATCGTTAATTTCGGACGTCATAATTGAATGGCCCCTTAATTATTTTAACATTTTTTTTAAATTGTTTTAATTTATTTTAAAAATTTTTGTTTTTTTTTTCAAATTTTTTTCAATTTATTTTAGATTTTTTAAACCTTCTTAAAAATTATTTAACATTTTTTTAGATAAAAATCACCAAAATGCAAAAAGTATTTGCATTTATCATCAAGTCAACGCTCTATGTTGTCACATTTGTGTACGATGTCGTAACATTTCCAATTTACTTTATAGTTCAACGTCCATGGAAGACATTAAGTTTATCGAGACGCAACAAGGTGAGTCATCAGTTGATAGTGACGATGATTATAGTTTTCAATGTTTGTTTTGAATTTTTATTCAAGGGGAAAACAACTTGATGGGGAAATATTTAGAAATTTTTTACTAATTTTTCCAACATTATGTATGAAAAATGCTGACAAAAAACAAAATAAAAATTTCCTCTTCATGATCTTTTCCCCTTGATTTTATCTTGAAATCATTTATTTGGTGAGCTTTTTTTGTTAAGACTGAAGGGTTAAGTGACGATATTTTTAGGTCTTACCAAGTCGTGTCTACTTTCGCAATACTTTTTACTTGTCAGAAAATCAAAACAAATTAACTTTATCATATTTTATAAAAATAAACCAAAAACACTGCGATAAGAGCCTTAAAAGAAATTCAAACTTTCCACATACAATCTTTAATTCAATTAAGACTTTAAGTCAAGATAAGTTCTCTAGAATGATTAGATAAAGTAAGCTTGGTGCTTAACTATGAGTTGCTTGTGAAAGTTTTTGAAACTTAAACATCCTTTTAACATTGAGTCAACCTAAAATTCTTACTTTTCTCCTGAATCCAGGCAAAATGCATCAGTGCAAGCGACACCGAAATAACTTACAAATCCACAAACCGCATCGGAGTTCAACACAGCCTTCTCCTTCGTGAGAACATCGACACCCTCGAAAAAATGTTTTCATTTGTCACGAAAGTTCACAAAACTAAAAACTGTCTTGGAACTAGAACAGTTCTCGAAGAGCACGAAGAAGTCCAAACAGATGGAAAAGTCATAAAAAAGTACATCATGGGCAGCTATAAATGGCGAAGTTTTCGTGATGCTGAACTTGAAGCTCAATATTTTGGACGAGGTGTTCGTGAACTTGGTGTGATTCCTCGCGAACGAGTTGCAATTTTTGCTGAGACTCGTGCTGAGTGGATGATTGCTGCTCAGGGATTGTTTAAGCATAGCTGTGGAGTTGCGACGATTTATGCGACACTTGGCGAGGATGGAATTACTCATGCAATTAATCAGACTGAAGTTTCTGTTGTTATTACGTCACACGATTTGATGCCAAAGTTAAAGAATGTCATTAAGACAGTTCCTAAGATCACAACTGTGATTTACTTTGAGGATCCATTGAGTTCGACTGATGTTAAGGGAATGGGTGATGTGAAAGTGTTTGGGTACAATGAGGTTGTGGAGATCGGCAAGGCTAGCAATTTTGGTGAGTTTTGATAGGGTTTTGGTTAAAAATGCGCTTTACACACTACTTGGCGATGACTTTGTTACTTAATGCGCTCTGGCCACTCAATTTGACTTTACAACTTGTTAAAAATTTCTCATTTCAGAAAGCACACCACCAACGAAAGACGATGTTGCCATAATCATGTTTACATCTGGGTCGACGGGCACACCCAAAGGAGTTGTTCTATCGCACAATAACTTAATTTCCTGTATGAAGGGCTTCCTTGATTGTGTAAGAATCATTCATTATCCAAGAAAGTTGATAAAGTTAAGAACAAAAAAATTTTATTTTTTTGTAGATTCAACCACTTCCAACCGACATGATCCTCGGATTCCTCCCACTTGCCCATTCCTTCGAGCTCCTTATCGAGTCAACTGCGATGCTCGCTGGCGTTCCAATTGGATACTCAACTCCACTAACTCTAATCGACAGCAGCCCAAAAATAGCAAAAGGACAAGTTGGTGATGCAAAAATCTTAAAACCAACAGCAATGGCCATCGTTCCATTAATCATGGACAGAATAATTAAAGGCATGAATGATAAAATCAACAGCGGAAGCATCATTCAAAAGACAATATTTAATTTTGCATATAATTACAAGAAGAGATGGTATTACAGAGGTTATCAGACTCCATTAACTGACCGAATAGTCTTTAAAAAGATTGGAGAACTGATGGGTGGACAAATGAGAGGAATGATTGGTGGTGGAGCTCCATTATCACCGGAAACACATGAAAGAGTCAAGTTCTGCCTCAATGTTATTATGCTACAAGGTTATGGATTAACGGAGACATCAGCAGGCGCAACAGCACCGGATGAATTTGACATATCTGTTGGACGATGTGGTGGTCCACTGACAACAACATTAATACGACTCGTTAACTGGGAAGAGGGAAATTATTATGTGACAAATAAGCCAAATCCACAAGGGGAAGTGCTTATCGGTGGCAGTTGTGTTGCGGTTGGATATTATAAAATGCCACAAGAGACTGAAGAGAACTTCTTTGATGAGAATGGTGTGAGGTGGATGAGAAGTGGAGATATTGGAGAGATGCAGCCAGATGGAAGCTTGAAAATCATTGGTGAGTGTGGTTGATGGTTTATTTTATCATTTTTGAGTAAATTAGTGGTTTGGATTCTGTCATTATATAAATAGGATTAAGTATGTAAATTCAAAATGCGCTCTTGACACATTCGAAGGTTGACTTTTGTACTTGTTTATTTTGAAAATTCAAAAATCCAACTGTTTGCTTCAAAAATTCAATTTTTCAATCAAAAGCTAATCAGTTGTGGCAAGTTTGATCATAAATGCGCTTTAGCCATTTTTCACGCAAGACTTTTTCACTTGATCCTTACAAAATGTACGACTTTTTGTTTGAATTCTTGGAAAGTTTGCCAAAATTCAAATTATGTTATTTTCTACCAATACATCTTTAAAATCATATAAAATGCGCCTTATGTACCTTTTACCTATGACTTTCTTACTTATCCTTTTCTCAAAATTCTAATACCTTTTATAATTCAAGACCGCAAGAAGGACCTCGTCAAACTCCAACATGGTGAATACCTCTCACTAGGAAAAATAGAATCAGAGCTCAAAACGTGCCCAATTGTTGAGAACATCTGCATCTATGCTGACTCAACAAAGACTTACTGTATGGCACTCGTACAACCAGTTGAAAAAGCTGTGACAACAATCGGAACTAAACTTGGTCTAACTCTTCAATACGAGGAACTTTGTAAACACAAAAGTGTCATTCAAGCAGCTCTCAAGTCAATTGCTGATCATGGTCGAGCACATGGACTGAATAAATTTGAAATTCCATCAAAGATTGCAATGTGCACAGATCTGTGGACACCTGACTCGGGATTGGTTACTGCGGCTTTTAAGATTAAGAGAAAGGAGATTGTGACGAAGTACAAAAAGGAGATTTCGGAGCTTTATGTGTAAAAAAAAGTGAGGTTATGTAATAATTTTTGTAAATTTTGAGGTTATGATGAATAAAATGATGTAAAATTGTGTAAAACTGATTGGTTTTTAATGATTTGCTAGCTAAACTCAATTATATGCCTTAAAAATTAACCTAGAAAATTTTTAACGTCAAAAACTATAAAAAACCTTCAAAAAACACCCAAACTCACCAGAATCACTTCAAATCCCAATAAAAATCCTTCCCTAAAACTAATAGAGTGAATAAATCTCAATTGATATGAGATATTTTTTGCGGTAGATTTAGCAGCATGCTGTCTAACATCAACAGAGAAGAGGAAGCAGAAGCTGAAAAAAATACGATTGACATTAACAAATTGATTGATTGTTGGTACGGAAATTTATTTAAAAAAATATTTTTAGGAATTTTCTTGCCTCACTTGCGAAACGTATTGGCACCTTTTGATTCCATTTTTAACCTTTAATCTTTTTCTTGTTCTGCTATTTTTGAGATTTTTTTTTTGGATTTATTCGTGCGTTCTATTGACACAGAGTGACATTTTTTGAGTTTTTATTTTTTTAATGTCTTTTTAGGTTTTTGATGTCGACAGGGCTAGTTCAAGAACAGATGTTGATTTTTCTTATTGAGTGCTTCTTAGCTGTACACACCTTTTGAGTGACTTTGAGCAGCGTACCCCTTTGGATGAGATTCTGAGCTTTGTACCCATTTTAAATGACTCTTGGATTCGTACTTTAATTTAAAATGACAGTAAGCTGCGGACCACTTTTTATGACACAAAGCTGCGTACCTCTTTTATGACACAAAGCTGCGTACCCGCTTTTATTGTTCCTCAACTGTTTACCCTTTCGGATGTGATTCTGAGCTGTGTTCCCCTTTTTAAGTGACTTAAGGCTTCGTTCCCATTTTAAATGGCACTAAGCTGCGTACCTCTTAATGACACAAAGCTGCGTACCCCCTTTTAATGTTCCTCAACTGTTTACCCTTTCGGATGTGATTCTGAGCTGTGTTCCCCTTTTTAAGTGACTTAAGGCTTCGTTCCCATTTTAAATGGCACTAAGCTGCGTACCTCTTAATGACACAAAGCTGCGTACCCCCTTTTAATGTTCCTCAACTGTTTACCCTTTCGGATGTGATTCTGAGCTGTGTTCCCCTTTTAAAGTGACTTAAGGCTTCGTCCCCATTTTAAATGGCACTAAGCTGCGTACCCCTTTATGACTCTAAGCTGCGTACCCCCTTTTAATGTTCTTCAACTGTTTACCCTTTCGGATGTGATTTTGAGCTGTGTTCCCCTTTTTAAGTGACTTAAGGCTTTGTCTCCCTTTTAAATGGCACTATGCTGCGTACCCGTATTGAGTGACTCTAAGCTGCGTACCCCATTTCAAGTTTTAAATGCTGATTAACAAATATTAATTATCAGCAATTTAAAAAATCTCCAATCTTCTTTAACGTCTCATATTACTCATTAAACATCAAAAATCCTTCAAGTTTCAAAAGTCAGTCACCGTGCAAGGAACGAGAAAATCAACAACAAAAACTTAACTTTTATCTTCACTTCTCCCATTTATTTTTTTGCTCTCTAAAGGGAAAATGTGATGAATTATTTAAAAGACTTTCCGTGCTGTTAATTTGATGAAAAGTAAAACAAAAGGAAGTCAAAAAGTTCTTTAAACATTCAATCTTAATTCTGTGCAGTTCTCTATTGGGAGGAAATATTGAGATGGATTTTTACTCAATTTTTTGAGTAATGATTGAAGCTGAAGGGTTTCCTTATAAGTTGTAGGGGTGGTTGAGGGTGCAGCTGGTTTGGGCAGTTTTGAGGTTAAGCGGCAAAATTTAAAGGTTGACTTCCTGAATTTGAGGTTAAGTTTCTGAACTATGTGGTTCAGGAACCTGAAAAGGTTGTGTTGCTGAATTTTGAGGTTAAGTTGCTGAATTTTGAAGTTAAGTTGCTGAAATTTGAGGTTAAATTGTTGAATTTTGAGGTTAAGTTGCTGAATTTTTATTTTAAGTTGCTGAATTTTGAGGTTAAGTTGCTGAGTTTAGAGGTTAAGCTGGTGAATTTGGAAGTTAAGTTGCTGAATTTTGAAGTTAAGTTGCTGAATTTTTATTTTAAGTTGGTGAATTTTGAAGTTAAGTTGTTGAGTTTGGAGGTTAAGTTGATGAATTTGGAGGTTAAGTTGCTGAATTTTAAGGTTAAGTTGCTGAGTTTGGAGGTTAAGTTGATGAATTTGGAGGTTAAGTTGCAAAATATTAAGGTTAAGTTGCTGTCAAGTTGCTAAATTTTAAGGTTAAGTTGCTGAATTTAGATGTTAAGTTGCTAAATTGTGAGGTTAAGTTGCTGAATTTTGAGTTTAAGTTGCTGAATTTTAAGGTTAAGTTGCTGAATTTTGAGGTTATGTTGCTGAATTTGGAGGTTAAGTTGGTGAATTTGGAAGTTAAGTTGCTGAATTTTGAAGTTAAGTTGATGAATTTGGAGGATAAGTTGCTGAATTTTGAAGTTAAGTTGCTAAGTTTGAAGGTTAAGTTGATGAATTTGGAGGTTAAGCTGCTGAATTTTGAAGTTAAGTTGCTGAATTTTAAGGTTAAAATGCTGAATTTTGAGGTTAAGTTGTTGAATTTTGAGGTTAAGTTGCTGAGTTTGGAGGTTAAGTTGATGAATTTGGAGGTTAAGTTGCTAAATATTAAGGTTAAGTTGCTGTCAAGTTGCTAAATTTTAAGGTTAAGTTGCTGAATTTTAAGTTTAAGTTGCTGAATTTTGAGGTTAAGCTGCTGCATTTTGAGGTAAAGTTGCTGAGTTTTTAGGTTGTGTTGCTAAGTTTGAGCTTAAGTTGCTGAATTTTAAGGTTAAGTTGCTGAATTTTGAGGTTATCTTTCAAAATTTTAAGCTCATTTACTCAATTTTCATTCTTAATCCCTTCAGCATCAAAATCCCACTCCATCTCATTTTTCCCATTTATTTCACTTTATTTCTTCATCACATTTATCACGCAATATTGGAACAAATCAATCCTTAGAAGTGAACGAGAAAAAAGATGGATCAATAAGTAAATGAATCGTAATCAATAATGAGGTATTATGTTGGAATGCTGCAGCCATAAAAAATTCACGACTTAGGAGATTCCGAATTTTATTAAAGATGCATGATGTTTAGTAGTTTTTGATGGATTTGCCATAAGAAGCTTGGTGGAATGAAAGAGCTTTAATGGAATTTTTGTAGATAATTATGAAGGAAATGGAAGTAAGTTCTAAAAAAAATCAGAAAATTCTTAAAAAATTCCAAACAACAAATAACCAATTTTTTGATAATTTTGAATTCAAAGCTACAAAAACTCTTCGAAAGCTTCAACAAAAAGCTCACTTCGCACTCTCAAAAAAACAATACTCTAAATTCTCACTGCATGCCTTACAACGCATGTGACAGTCGTGCGACAACACAAGAGAATTTTTTTCCATTTTCACACAGGTTACATTTTAATAGACTATGCTTTAGATCATGTAGCATGTGGAATGCCGGGACCATCAATTTTTTACACCTTCTTTTTTTTTGTATTTCTCAGTGCCTTTCTCTCACACGGGACACAAAAGCACAACGAAAAATAGAATAAAATGCTTTTTTTATGCTCAAAAAAAAAATCCCGGCGAGACTTTCTATTTTTGCAGCCATTCGATGACGTCATGGATGATTACATCATTATTGGTTGATTTTTTGGATTTTTGAATATTTTTCGACTCTGGAAGTTATTTTTTTTAAATTATGAATTTAAGTTTTTATTAAATTTCACCAGACATGATGATTAAGATTTTTTATATAATAATTTCATCATTAATTGCTATCAACTGTAACTTGTGTTAATCGCCATTCGAATTTCACCATTTTATTTGAGCTGGAATTCAGGGAGAGCAGCTTTGATGTCAACCAGTGATGGAGACACGGGCAGTAGGGGAGTATAATTAACGAGGGAAAATAGTTATGTTTCAACAAGGGTGCAGCCAGGAATTTGAAGGTGGGGGGGGAATTATAGGATAAAGAAATTTCTGTTGACGAAGATCAGTCCAACATTGGGATCAATTAGCTTGCCTTATTTGAGAATATTAATCACGAAATCTTCAAAATTTTATTAAGCCACGGACCCCAATAAGGTCCATAATACGCTCTGCTCTCTCACAAATGCTCATTCCATAGCTTATCAAATTGTCTCATTTTCTCTGATCATTTTGTGATCGACTGTTGACTTGAGTGGACTTAAGTTTGCATCACAGCTGGACTCAAAATATTACCAAAAAGTGCTGAAAATTGTGCAAAATAATTTGAAATTTATCTAAAGTTAAAAATTAGTGGAAGTGAGGAACTGAGCAGCATCAAAAATGGCTAAAATTGCTCTGTAAGTATGAAAAATAAATTAAAATTGATAAGAAATTGTGGATTTTCTGGAGTTCATTAGAATTAATTAAGATTGTGATTCTCAGTAAATTTATAATCAGCAGCTTGATTTGTGTTTTATGGACGTTAACTGACTTTTTTTTTTTGTTCCTTTAATATTTTATCTTGTTATTTGCAGGTTGCTGTTTTGTGTTGTCGGAGTTTATTTGGAATTGTCAGCATCGACAAGCATTGAGTGTAAATATGGAACTGGTGATTGGAGCATTGTTAAAAATGCATATTACTGCTATGTCAATAATAATCCAAGCATAACAACTCGAGAATCAGCGACAATAACTTCAATTTCTGGAACTCATCAAAGTGGAAAGACAAATTCTGATGTTGTTGGCTTTTATGTTTATTCTAAAACTATAAATTATTTCCCGCGTTGTTTAGAAACTTTCTTTAAGAATATTAAAGCTATTCAAATTGATAATTGTAATTTAAAGGAAGTTCATCAAGAAGATTTGAAGCCATTTCCTAATTTAGTTGAGCTTTATTTGCGTTTTAATGAACTGGAAGTTCTCGAAGAGGGTCTTTTTGATTTTAATCCTGATTTAGAATATATTTATATTTGGAACAACAAAATTGTCCACATTGCACCGAATGTCTTTGACCATTTAAGTAAATTAAGCTATCTTTACTTACTTTCTAACTCATGCATTGACAAAGAAGCTAAAAATTCAACTTCAGAAGTCAAAAATGTCATCCAAGCTGCAAAATCACAATGCATTAATTCCGAATTTTCCTCACTCAAAAGCCAACTTGAAAGCCTCGAAAAAGACTCAAAAACTTTAAATTCCCTAGAATTCTCTGAAAAATTGGCAGCTTTTGAAAAAACTTTCAATTCTTCAAAATTCTCCAATTTTCGTCCATTAAACTACAAATTTGAAGCTATAAAAGAACCTAAGTTCGAGAATGTCATTCTCACAAAGACATCAATCGTAGACACAAAATTAGACAGTTTAAATGTCTTAATGACTAAAGTTTCATCAAATGTAAATGACATTAAGTCATCTCAGTCAAGCTTACTTAGTGCCATCAAAACAGGTCACTCTAGCATTGTAGAGTCCATCAATAATGTTTGTACAAAAGCTTCCTTAAATCAGGTTCAGGAAAATATTTTAAATTCTCAAAATAAACTTAGCACCAAAATTGATGGAGCCCAAAATAGTGTCAAGTCGTCTATTGATGCCTTAAGCTCAACCTTGACTCTTGCCAAAACTGACATCAAAACTCTTGAATCGTCAGTAAATCGACAGAATGAAGCGATCCTTAATAGCCTTAAATCATCAAAAACTGAAATTTTGGGTTCGGTTGATAAAGTTTGCACGAAGGAGTCCTTAAAAGACCTTCAAAAGTCGTCAAATCAAGCCTTAATTGACCTTAAAGCCGCATCAAGCAAAAACTTCTTTTATTTTAATGATTCCATCAATGCTCTTGACACAAGAGTCATGAATGTGAAGTCATCACAAGACGACATAAAATCCTCAATCGGAGACATCGAAGCAGCGCTCAGTGGCCTGAAATCATCACAAAATGAGCTCAAATCATCAATTAATAAGATTAAAGGTTCACAAAATGAAATAAAGATTTTTATGGATGAACTCAAAGACCAAAAGGATGACAACATTGAGGATAAGTTGAAGGCATTCGGTGAAAAAATTGAGAAACAAATGAAGGACATTGATGGGCAACTTACTGATTTTAAGGCAGACAATGCTGAGAAGTTAGCTCAAATTGAGAAGGAACTGACTAGCACACGCCACAAGATCACAACAACAATTGATGAGAAGATTAAGGGAATCGAGAAGCGACTCATGAAGAAACTTGAGGAGGTTTTGGTTTATAATTTGGGGAAAATTGTGGAGGAAAAGTTTGTAAAGTACATTTAAGACTAAAATTGAACAGCTTTTTTTAAAATATTTTTTATGTAATTAAGAATGGGTTTGTTCAAAAGTGACGTCAATTTTTAGGAAAATACAGTCTACGAGAAGTTCGACGCTTTTTTTACTACTTTAAGCTGTAAAATTAAGATTGAAGATGTTAAGATTGACAAAAAAAAACTTAATCTAGAAAGACATCATTTATGAACGACCCCTGGATTGAAAAAGGAAGTTAATAAATCATAAAAATATTTTTTTTATTATATTTTGAATGTTAAAGAATTTTTGGGGCCATTCACTGATTACGTAACGCAAAAAAACTGGGTTTAAAGTTCCTCATTTTCCCCTTTTTTTCACAAATTCTCTATGAAAAAGATATCTTTTGTTTGAACTGTCACAAAATCTTAGACCGCCCCTAAAAGTGTTTCGTAATTAGTGAACGGCTCAATAATTTTCAGCTAAGTGAAGCCAATACTGAGCCTAATCAAGAAAAATTGAGAGTCATAAAAGCTTTTTTTTTCCTTAAAATTCTCATTTTCCCCATCCACAAAACTCTCTCACAGGACATTCTCAAAGAGAGCGCAACACAAAAAAAAGAAGCTCCAGCAACACACAGCAAGTCATGAAGAGCAAAAAGGAGGAAAGAAGGAACACAGAAAGAAAAATTGTGTGATTTGATATCGACAAGGAACCCGTAAAGTTCGGCACGCGACATCCCTCTGCTCAGTTGATTATCGGATACCAACTGCAACAGTCGTGAAGCTCACTCGATTAATATTCGGATAAAGCGGGGAGCAAAAATCGTGGAATATATTTTTTTTATTTTTGTGTGAATTTAAATTCATGGAATTGAAAAAGAAGTTTGAAAAATAAAATTGGGATAATTTTTGAAGGGTTTTTAAGGTTTTTTAAAATTATAATTCAAAAATAAAAAAGTTTTTAAAGCTTTGTTAAAACTAATTTTGAAAAAGTAAAGAGTTGAATTTAGAATTTTAAAAACCTTTAAAAAATCTTATTTTTCAATTTGAAGTTTAATGATTTTGAATTCTTAATTCTTAAACTGGAAAAGATAAAAAACAAATTGAATAAAAAATGTGAATTACAAAAATTAGCAAAATTATAGCAATAATTGTGAACAATTTAGCATTAATAATAATTATAAGTGTGAAAAAATATTGCTTATTTTAAATTCAATTTAAAAAAAATGTTAAAAATATAACTGAACAATTAAAATGATAATTGCGAGAATTTGAAGTGTCAATAAATTTGAATAAAATTAAACAAAATTTTTAATTAAAAAAAGTGCAAAATAAAATTGTAAAAACCGATTTTTTAAAAATATTCGACTTGAATAAAAACAAAAAGTAGGAAAGAAAAATTATTAAAAAAATAATAAAAGCTCAAACGTCTGAAATAAGTTGAATTTCCAAAAATATTTTACAAATAAAAAAATTATAAAATCAATTGAAATCTTAATAAAGTATTAAAAACCAAATTTAAATAAAAAAGTGAAATAAACAGGAAAATAATTTTAAATTTGTATTGTAAAATTATAAAAAAAAAATATTAAAAATTTGTATTGTTTTTAAAAACTTTAAAAATTACTTCAAATTTTAAAAATTTAAAAAAAATATATAAAAACAAAAATATAAACACAATTTTAAAAAAATTCAATAAAAACTTTTCATGAAAAATCCAAAAGCTCATCAACTGGAATTTCAATTCTATGCCGCATAATGAGATGAAAATTTGTGCAAAAAATTATTCATATTTTCAAATAAAATAAGTTAAAATTGAATAACAAAATCTTTAAAGATTTGTGTGTAGAAAATAAAGTGAAAAAATCTTGAATAAATTTCCATGAATTGTGGTTGAAAATTTAAAATAAGGTGAATTGAATTTATGGTTACGAATTTTAAAGAAAATTTATTTTTTTGTTGATTTTGTCAGTTGAGAAATCTAGAAATTTAATTTTAATATTTTTTGGTTTCTATCAGTTTTTTAGCAACTTAATTTATTATTTTAAATATTCATTGCTCTCCAAACTGAGCTGTGCATAGAATGGAGTTGATTAATTCTTATTTAGGGGAAGGGGATGGGGGGGGGGGGTTGTAAATTTTTTAAAATCTTAAAATTTCATCATAAATGTTCTGATTTTTAATTTCAAAATAAATTTTTAAATGTTGGATATTCTGCTTCATCTAAACTTCATATTGCTTGACATTAAAAATTTCATATTTTAGTTTTAAAATAAATCAAGCATTTCCCACAAAAAAATTAATAATCCTTAAAGCATAAATAATCTCCATAATAACATCAACTTGTGAATAATAATTGTGACGAGTCAGCATTCATTGTTTTGTGAATAATTCAATTGTTGAGTGAAAGTGCAGAATAATTAAAAGAAAAACAAAAGAAAAAAAAACAGAATAAAATGTTGAGAGGATCAAGTCGATAAAAAGCTGCAGAACAATCAACAGGAAGTTCACAGAAAATAATAGAAAGTGGAAATTAAAGGTTTGTGGATTTTTTTTCTCATTTATTGAATTTTTTTGCCCAACTGATAGTCACGATATGTATAACAAGAAGTGTGGGTTGGGGGGACTGAACTATCAAAAATTGGATTTTATTTCTTATTTTAAACACAATTTCAAACATAAAACCTGAAAATTATTCCAAAATAAGCCCCTTTAAGCTATCCCGCTTTTAAAAATCTCCATAGAAAATTGAATTTCTGCTTAATAATTGCCCGTCGCCAGTGTGTCTCAATTTGACTTTTATTTTTATTTTTTCCATTTTTATTTCTATTCTCTTGTATCTGGCTTCTTGTTCATATTCCAAGTATGGTTTATGTATGTGCATACATTGATATGAAAATATATATGTTTGCTGAAGCCATTGGCGATATAAACACGAGAGATAAAAAGTGCTTTGTTTAGATTATTTTGGAAGTGGGAAGTCATACAATTGAATTTTTTTTGGTAAAGTGTTATGCATCTGACTCAATTGAACTAGATTTTTAAGATTCGGGCTCAGATTTACTACATTTTTTGAGAATCTGGCTCAACTGTACTAGATTTTTTAAAATCTGGCTAATACATACTAGATTTTTTACAATCTTTCTCGTATGTAATAAATTTTTTTATAAAATTCTGGCTCACGTGTAATAGATTTTTTGAAACATCTGGCTCATATGAACTAGATTTCTTTTAATAATCTGGCTTATCTGTAATAGATTTTTTTATAATCTGGCTAATACGTACTAGATTTCTTACAATTTATCTCGCATGCACTAGATTTTTATCAAATTCTGGCTCATGTGTACTAGATTTTGGGAAGATCTGGCTCATATGTACTAGATTTTTTTAATAATCTGGCTTATCTGTAATAGATTTTTGACAATCTAGCTCGCACATGACGGATTTTTATGAGATTCTGGCTCTTGTGTTCTAGATTTCAGGAGAATCTGGCTAATATGTACTAGATTTTATGATAATCTGGCTCACTTGTACTAGATTTTTATTAATCTGGCTCACATGTACTAGATTTTTAAAAATCTTGAATAAATTATTGAGACAGTGACTCTAATAGATTGAAGTTTTGCCTACAACAGACAGCTTTTATCAAGTTTTCAAATGATTTTGTAATCAAAACTACTTCAAAAGTTACACATTGACTCAATTCCACAAAAGAATCAAATCATCTTGAAACTGATTACATAGCAACCGTCACAAAACTACCAAATCAACGGCAAAGTTTGCCTACCCGTACAAAAAACTCACGAGATGATGAAGAGCAAGCAGCAAAATAAATTTAGATTAAAAATGAGGGAAATTGAAAATGTCAAATGCATGAAAATGTGAAAGCGGGAAAAGGTAGAAGAATATTTTTTTAACCTTTATGATATTGATAGAAATGGAACAATTTTCAATTGAGGTTGTTTTTTCAGCAGATGAGACGATAGACAGGATTGAATGATGGGACTCGGAAAATTGAGGATTTTTAAGGAATGTTACCTGGAAAATAGAATTTTTTTGTAGTGGTTTTTAGATTGAATTTTTGGGATGTTTTCGAGAACTTTTGAGTTAAATTGTGTTTAATCTAGTTAAACTGAGTCAGATAATCGTAAATCTAGTCTTAGTAAGCTAGATAACTAAGAATCTAGTCCAAATGAGCCTAATCAGCATAAATCTAGTCCAAACAAGATTCTTAATAATCTAGTCCAATTTAACTAGATTCTAAAAAATCTAGTCCATTTTAGCTAGATTCTCAAAAATCTAGTCCAATTGATCGATCTTTTCAAAAAAGCTAGTCCAATTGAGCCAGAAAATCAAAAATGTAGTTGAACAAAGCAACATAATTAATACTTACTGAAATATATTTGAGCTTCACAAAATTTCAATTAACTATAAGCACTTCTCACCATCCAACAGCTTTCAATTATCATCCAGCACTCAAAAGCACTCAAAACTGTAGCAATTTTCCTTTTAATTTACCTCCTCATAATCAACAATCTCAAGTTTTTTTTTTCATTCATAAACAAACAAATTATTTCCATTCGAAAATCTTTCATAATTTCCTCCCCTCATTTATTAATGCAAATTGTGTGTACGAAAAAAAAATAATGTTAAAGCAACAATCACGAAAATCATAAACATCAACATTATTAACAACAATGGCTTGTTTGATTGTTATAAACATTCATGTTTTTTATGCTATTAAAAAAGCTTTGGAAATTATACACATCGTTAAATATTTGCATTGTTGAGGAAGGGGCTTTTAAGTGGGTAGGAAATTAGTGATGTGGATGTTGGTAGGGGCTGGGTGGGTTTTGAGGCTTTATAGGTTAACGTGAGATTTGTATGCGGTTATGATACATTTTTGAGGTTATGTTGCATCTTAAATAGTCAATTTTAAGTCTTTCTTGCAATTTAATGGTAAAAAAGTATTAAAAAATAAATAATATTAGAGAAAACAGCACTCAAATTTTTCCAGCCTAGAAAAACGCGCTAATTTCAAAAACACACATTATTTTCTAAAATTTTTGAAGAATTAAAATTAAGTGTTATGTTTATGAGCCCATCCCCACCTCCTGCCCCTTCCCCCCCCCCCCTCCCTCCGCTAAAAATTTCATAACCTCAAAAAGAAATTTCTTCTTAAATTTGTTTCTCATTTCACCAAACACGCCAAACCAAGCAAAAAAATCTTTCATCATCCTTAAAAAGTCATAAA